TGATAGTGGTAAATGTCCTAAGTGGCAATTTTAGCTTGATAACTTGAGCGGTTGAAACAGTAACTTCGTACGTAGCCTGGAAGTAAAGGAGCGGACTGGTTAATCGATGGCTTGGAGGGCTGAATGCAACCGTCAGGGGAATTGCTTCGTAACAAAATACTCTCACTATAGACTGCACGCTCGCATGATACAGATTGCTCAGAGTCCCAGGGCAGGGAGTTCGGGATCTCAAACCCAGGAGAGTTGGTCCGATAATGCCAATTAGTTACTTCCTCTTCAGTAGGTCCAGCGATATAAGACATTTTGCGTATCTCTGGTCAGTTTCGAATAAGTGTATGACTGATAAGTTGTTAATGATCAAGACCTGACTTGTTCGGACCTTTAGTACTCCACAAATGCGGGCTATTGAGCAGCTGTTCTCCTGGAACATATGGAACGTATGTAGGTATTTAGGTAAGGCCATACACTGTATAGTGGTTCGACCGGAAATGCGGGCTATTGAGCAGCTGTTCTCCTGGAACATATGGAACGTATGTAGGTATTTAGGTAAGGCCATACACTGTATAGTGGTTCGGCCGGCTGTCGGTCGTTTCGTATTTCATTGTGACCTAAAAAAGACTTTCGGATCCAACTTCCGGCGTATAACTTCCAAATTCTCATATCGCTCAAAAGATAAGATTACGACAGAGTTACTGCAATCGCCAGTTCTCGACCCGCTCATGATATCAAGACTAAGGTTTCGTGGGGGCTAGCAGACTCCAGCAATATTAGAGGCATATAAATGGACTAAGTATGTAAACGGAGTTTAAGAAATTTTGTCGTCACGACCGTGCGGGCGGCTCGGTCACTTGTCTCGCGGTTAATTAGGGACTTCCCAGTGTGGGGCAAAGTTGTTCGCGCCCGTGGGTCGGTCGCAACCCAAGACAGACAGGGTTTTATCATGAAAAGTGAAAATTGATAGTCAAGCCCTTTTAAGGAAGGGGTCTAGCGTTTACGGGATAAAGCCTGTCAACTAGTAGGTAAGATCGAAGATGTCTCGGAACAAGTAGATTGGAGTTGGTACAGAGACTGATCTCTGAGGAACTTCTAGGTTCACCAACAATGAAGATTTAACATGAACTCTTACGAGAGGTAGTGAGGTGACGCTGACGAGTCGATGGGGATACACTGGCAAGAAGCGGGGTAGTCCATGGGACTGTGATACATGCGTTTGATACATGCACACATAGAATCCGTGACACCATCTGTCATCAGGGTCACGTGATGTTCCGACTAAACACTCGGGGCGATCAGCCCCGGCATACTAGACCTCGTTAAAAAACCATTAGAGGGCCAGAAGGCGGATCCTTGCCTGTCCTTGCCCGGCCTTGCCCGGCCGATCGCCCCCATTTGTTTAAAAAACGTCAACCTTTCCTAATTTAGATGAATTATACTGCTGATGTATCCTCTTAAAGAACCGTTGTTTAATAGTGTTTCGGTTTTTAGGTTAGTTCTTCCCTCTATTCTGTATGAATATCAAGAATTTTTAAGAAACATAGTTGAAAATACCCGTCTAAAGCTGTTTATCACCTCGACTTTTTGAATTCCCCTTTCAAAATATATATCACTTGCTCTTCATATAGTAACACCATTTTATGGCCTATTTACTATGAATTAAATTTGCGGACTGCTTAACAACAGCACTTTCAAATCTTCGCTTAATATTTTGTACAATAATCCCTAGCCTTCCGTACTGCTGTTACGCACGACTATCGGGTCGTCGCTAAGTTAGAAGATTTCCGGGTTATACTTGCCTGTGCTTCTCTGCTTCCAACGTCAACGGTCTGTCTCTCAACTATACCGTTGCCTAACAGGCCTTAAACGGGCTAAGTCCTTTCGAAGGTATCGAGGAGCGATGCTAGGTAGAGCGCCGAACAGATCTATACCGAAGTATTGGTCTGATCGTAGTGTTGCCAAGTTATAATCAAGTAAGAGTCACCAAAGGTTTCTGAATAGTAGACACAAATAACAACATGAGATTGAACACGAAGAACTAAACTAGATATATGAATGAGTGTCCTTATATATCCTGAGTCCTTCCTAAGTAGATAAGTAGAAAGTAGAATAGTAGAACCGTTCTACTTGTCGACCGTCGACTCTTCTACTGCCTATATAATCACGTGAGGTTGGTTCCAAAAGTATGTGATCCCGGGGGCTTGGCAGGGTTGTTGGTCAGACTTTTGGATGCCTGGTTGCTAAGGCATCTACTTGGGCAAGTGATATAGACCTACTTGGCAAGCCTGGCATGTCAGTTATGTAAGTAGGATTTATTTAACGTAATTCACATGCGAGCTGGACACACAAGCGAGCTGGACACCCCACCAAAAACGCGTTAGTTAATTAGATCTCTCTTCTTTAACCACCCACTATGCCACCAATTCGTACTCAATCCTCTCAAAAACGTACGGAGCAAGAGGGTAAGATCTTATTAGCTATTCAGGCTATTCGGAAGCAAGAATTTACCTCTATTCGTGAAGCAGCACGCCAATTCAAAGTACCGAATTCAACTCTCGCTACACGCCTTAATGGGGTTAAAAACCGCGTTGAATCTCGCGCAAATTCATACAAATTGACTGAAATTGAGGAGGAATCGCTTCGAAAATGGATTCTCTCAATGGATTCTCGTGGAGCAGCCCCTCGGCCTTCTACTGTACGAGAAATAGCAGACTTACTACTCGCGGCGCGTGGATCTATCCCTCCTCCTTCGGTCGGCCAAAATTGGGTTACGAATTTCGTTAAAAGGCATTCTGACCTATCGGCCCGATTCTCGAGACGCTACGATTATCAGCGAGCAAAATGCGAAGACCCAAAAATTATTTCTGAATGGTTCTCTCTCGTTCAAAAAACGATTCTAACGTACGGTATCGATCTCGACGATATCTATAACTTTGACGAGACCGGGTTTGCAATAGGCTTAATTGCGACCGCAAAAGTTATTACGAGAAAGGAATTCTACGGTCGGAGATCGCTTTTACAGCCTAGAAATCGCGCGTAGGTGACTACAATCGAGTGTATAAACGCGTTAGGGTGGGCGCTTCCTCCGTATATCATTTTTAAGGGTAAAGTCCTTATTGAATCTTGGCTCGACGGCCTTCCGCTTGATTGGAGACTCGATATTAGTTCGAACGGGTGGACTTCCGACGAAATTAGCCTTCGGTGGCTTCAAAAGCAGTTTATTCCGTCTACTTCTTCGCGTACGAAAGGGAAGTATAGACTTTTGATACTCGACGGCCACGGAAGTCATTTAACCGCGAAATTCGACGAAATTTGCGAGAAGAACAATATTATCGCAATTTGTATGCCTCCGCACTCGTCTCACCTTTTACAGCCTCTCGATATTGGCTGTTTTGCGGGGTTAAAGCGCGCGTACGGTCGGTTAGTCGAATCGAAAGTTCGGCTGAATATCAATCACGTCGATAAACTAGAATTCCTCGAAGCCTACCCGTCTGCCCGAAACGAGACATTTGAATCAAAGACTATTAAAAATAGCTTCGCCGCTGCCGGTCTAATACCGTATAACCCCGATCGAGTGATTTCAAAGCTTGATATTTAGCTTCGAACCCCGACACCCCCCTCGAGCCGGGGAAGCGAGTGGTCGCCGAAAACGCCCTCGAACTACGTCCAATTACAAAAACAAGCTTCTTCAATAAAAGCCTTACTTAAACAACGCTCAAAAAGCCCACCGAGTCCGCTAAATTCCGCGATTAATCAGGTTTTAAAAGCCTGTCAAAGCACGATGCAATCAGCTACCTTACTCGAGAAAGAAGTAAGCGATTTACGCGCTGAAAACGAGAAGAAGAGGCAAAAAAGGGCTCGTTCTACAAGGCAAATACCCTCCGGAGAAGGCCTCTCAGTTTTAGAGGCCTCTACTCTAATAGCGCAGTCAGAGCAAGCAGTTTTAGCACCATTGCCCCGCGAGGCAGAGCTAGCTCCGACACCTTCTCAGCCACGTACGAGAGCCTTACCGAAGTGTAGCGTTTGTGGAATTCAGGGTCATAGAATGACTACATGTCCTGATAGATCTCGAGTTTAATTCATTGAATTTAATGGCGTTTTGGTTGAGATAAATGCATTTAAAATTGATTGATTAGGTGGGGTGTCCAGCTCGCTTGTGTGTCCAGCTCGCATGTGAATTACGTTAACGTATTTCCCGGTCGAGCTGCGCACCCGGCCGAGCTGCACACCCCAAAACACCATATTAAATGCGATATTTTAGAACCGTATATCTCGACAACGACAAGCTTGCCCTATTTCATATCTAGTATATTGGGTATTCAGGATGTAATAAACTCTATATAAGAGTTTAAGGTAGATTCAATGATTCTTTTATTCCGTTTCAATAAAATACACTGTATTTTAACTATTTCAGCTAGAAATATATATCATTCAACAATCACACCTCTAAGATTCAGTGGGGCCCTAGAATCATGCGAGACATGCTACAAAGTGTTTAAAATTACCAAAAGACCCCATAATAGCCTATGGTTGTTAAGATATGAAGTTGTAATTTATCGCATTTAATATGGTGTTTTGGGGTGCGCAGCTCGGCCGGGTGCGCAGCTCGACCGGGAAATACGTTAAATAGCTGGCAGCGGCCACATAATAAAAACCATGCGATCCACACAGTATCTCAAGTATTGCGGTATTGCGTGGAACGGCAACTAGTAGGCCGGATTCGGCTAGTAGCTACGCAGAGGGTATCCTGTATATATAACTACATATGTACAGGATAAAGTCTGCTAGGTGGGTCTGCTCAGGGTGGATCATACTCTTGCTCACTAAGCATGATCGTGGTTTCTCTTTTCCCTGAATACCTGGGGATGCCAGAGTATCGGATGTTGCACGTGATCTTGATGACAGATAGATTGATTGGCTCTCGGTGGCCCATCAGTAAGTTGCGGCCCCATAGTCGATTGGTGCCTGTTGGTCCGTAACACCAGAGTACCCTTACCATCTGTCTCATGCGAGATTCTCTCGCAATAAGCTCGATCCTTCCGATCCTCATAGTCCTAGTTCGAAAGAGTTTCCGAAGCACTTATCGAGTGGAAAGCGTGTTCTTCCGTAGTATTGACTATAAATCGCTTCCTCTTTCCGGGCTAGAGGATCTAGGTATTGACTTCGATGCCCGACGCGGAATTATCCCGAACGATGGCTTCGGTCGCGTGACAAGTCTCTCGGGCAAGGGAGAACCTAAGGAACTTCCAGATAAGTCTCTGATCTCCACCCTTCCTGGTCTATACTATGCTGGTTGGGTCAAGAGGGGTCCTACGGGTGCAATCGCTTTAACTATGACCGACGCATTTACTACCGCAGATACCCTTGCCCAGGATTTAGCAAATCGTGCCGACTCCCAGTCCTTGCTTAATACAGCTGATCAGGGCAGTGGGCTCGGCTGGGATGGAGTGAAAGCCGAGGCTGAATGCCGCGGCCTCCGGCCTACGTCCAAGCAGGATTGGCTAAGGATTGATGCCACTGAGAAATAACTTGGTAAACAAAAGGGCAAACCCCGGAGTAAACTTGGCCGTATAGAAGATATCTACCAGGAAGCGACCCCGTAGTTTCCACGACATGGAAACACAATCAACTGATAGCCATCATTCACCAAACGCAGGAAGAGAGAATGCAAAAGAAGAGTTCTGAAGATACTCATCTGCACTATCCCTTCGATCATGTCCAATTGCCAGTACGTCCCTTGTCGTCCCATTATCACTATACGAGAAGAGAGGATGGCAGAGATACGAGAGATAAACGGGTCTATAATATGGATCTGATGAAGACTAAGTAGTTGATGGACAATGCAACCATAAAAGTAGCTGAATAAGAAAAAAAAAGTTGAATAATGAATGGTCAAAATCTGTGTAAGAGAGCATAATTTAAATCCGCTAGTTTAAAGAAATCTTGATATGAAGGAAACCTTGCCAGAATGATGGCCAAGAGCCAGAGTTCCTGCTCTGAATGCTAAACAAGTTGGACGAAAGTCTAGGGGGAGCTATAATACCCTCTTACCCTAAAAGAAAATCCATTGGTTGTCTAAAATAGATAACTTAACACTAGTTTCAGACCAAACCCAATTCCCTTGGCCCTTAAGAGTTTGGCGCAGCTTGCCCGTGCTAGCATCCCAAAGCCGGACGGTTTTATCACGGGAGCTAGAGGCTTACACCTGACTATTAGTTAAGAAGGCCACAGAAGTGACCGAATTAGAATGGCCCTCGAGGATCTAGAGGAGCTCGCCCGTACCAACATCCCAGAACCGGACGGTTTTATCAAAAGAGCTAGAGGCCAGCCTCCGACCGTCCAGTGAGAAGGCCACGGACGTCACTAAATAAGAATGGCCCTTGAAGATCTGGCAGAGGTCGCCCGTGGCAACATCCCACAGCCGGACGGTTTTATCATAGGAGCTAGAGGCTAGCAACTGACCGTTAGGTGAGAAGGCCACCGCAGCACCGAGGATTTCCGTAAAAAAAAGGTCGGGAAAATACCCATCCACGTGGCGAGGAAGACCTTGCGCCGAGGACGATTGCTTGGCTGATAGACGGTGTAGTCGGCTGCGAAGCTTGTATATCCGGTACCGAAGCCAAAGACTGTGGACCCATAAGAGAGAACAGATCCAAGTTCTGCACGACCGAAGTTTATAGGGATGTTCACGAAATCTCCGGAATGAGCAAATACACCGAGCACAACCAGGAAAAAAATGAAGGTCGGAATCCAGCTCCAATATTCATACACATATACCGCTCGATATCCGAAGAAAACAACAAGCTGAGTGCAGAATGCGATTATCAGGATTCCTGCGTACCCAGGGACGCTGGGATTGAGGACATTGATCAGTTGCGCTCCGACTATGATATTAGCAGCAGCCCAGCCGATGCAAGCTAGTACATTGAATATGGCGACTGTGAAGGAAAGCGGCTTGTCCGATCGGCCCAGGAAGCGTCGAAGAGCCATGTAAATACGTAATATATCAAAAATTGACTCCATTTTTCGACTTTCTCATACGTTCTTTGAAAAATTTGACCTAGACATGCTGGATTCCTTCATTTCTGCAGAGTTTTCGAAATAGCATCTCTTTCCTATTTGGGACTAGTGTCATACTGGCAGCATGGTCGGTGGGAGAGAACGAGGGTGACTTAATTTTACTAGGGAGCTGTATATTAAATAGAAGTACCTAGCATTCATGGGACCTCCGATGCTCGGGGCATTAGTATTGCCAAGAAATGCATGCATGCAGTTTTACCGATTCATGCATTGGAAATACAATTACTGCAGTAGGCCTAATTAGGCTTAGCAAGTGGAGAGGGGGTCCGAATAGCTTCCATAGGGGGTCCTTCTAATAATGCACTTTAATTGGCTTGAGATGATCTTTACTCAATCGATCGAGTAGTTAAATACGTAGACACTGAAACTAGACCTCGAAATGGTTCAATTCCTGTTCCAAGGTCTAGAACCTGGAGTCAGCACCTGAGAGCCCCAGAGCGGGCTTGCGATATGTGTGGAAGTATTCGCTATGATGGATGCGGTTGAAACTTCTCGCCTGAACGACGTGTCTAAAGGTCTTGGAAGAAGAAGGCATCGAGCACAACAGAACTGCGTGGTTTCCCGGTTAAAGAGGAGGAAATTGCTTGCTCCTATACGATTGAAATGCTATGCTTATTGCTTCGTAGAAAGGGGACAGGCTATTTTCGATAGCTTAAGCTCTTCTTCGGTGTAAAACCAGGTAACTCCATCATCTCCGAAGAGCTTCCGTGTATATTGCTTCTTATTCGGCTTTTAAAATGGATTCAACCATACAATATAAGAGAGACAATAATCCGGATTTTGTGCCTGTACGTCAGGATTCCCGACGATTATAATGCGAATCTTTCTATGATTTGATACTAAGGCTGCCTTCAACAGGATCGAGAGAAAAACGGAAACGGCACCAATACATTCATATAATCATATGTTCACATCTGACAAATACATGGCAGACATCTCCCTCCAATGAACGCACCATTGGAGCTAACTCAGAAAGACTACGCAGTCTCAGTGTGGGAAACAACAACTCCTGCCTCCTTCTTCTCATCGCTATAAATGCGCTCCTGCTCACGATCGTACTCCTCAGCAAACTTTCTTCCATAGAGACCAATCTTGTACCAGGGAAGATCAAACATCTTGTCGATAGTCTCGAGGCTGCGACCGGCAGCCTCGGGCACAAAGAGCCAAACCCAAACACCGCCAATAACGGAAACGACACCAAAGAAGTAGAAAGTTCCATGAGGTCCAAGTGCATGCTCGAGTAGCATCTCAGGCAGGGCGCGGTTGACGGCGTACTGGCAGATAAAGTGCATGGCCATAGTGATGGACGAGCAGATACCACGAATACGGAGAGGGAACAGCTCCGAGGACAACAGGTACTGACCGCTGTTCCATCCTAGAGCCCAACCGACACCAGAGATGTAGATAAAGGCAATGGCGGCGGTCGAGGCACGGTTTTGCCCTTCGGTTGGCTCAAAGTCGGGGTTTTCGGCAATGGGGACGAGGTTAAGGAAGATGGCAATATAGAACATGGCAATGGACTGCAGAACAATTCCGATAATCAGAGAGCGCTTACGGCCGGCCATATCGACCAGGAAGAGAGCGCAGATGATGGCGGCGACAAATTTGACGACACCGAAGACGACGGTCGAGAATAGAGATTGCTCTTGGCCAGTGATACCGACGAGCTTGAATAGATCCGGGGCGTACACAGTAATGGCGGATCCACCAGACCAGCAAGCCATATTCTGGGCAAGGTTGGTGAGGAAGAGACGATAGGCGTTGCGTTTGATGCCAAGGATCTCCTTGAAGAGGCCCTTCCAGCCCATACCGCGGGTGGCCTCCATCTCCTCCTGGAAGGCAAAGTCCATTTCGGTGACCTCTTCAAGTACGTACGGGTGGGTGGCGGGTAGGCCACGAAGTTTGCAGAGAACCTTGAGAGCCTGCTCGCGCTTGCCCTGCTTGATGTAAAACCGGGGGGACTCCAGTTGGAAGAAGGTGAGGATAAAGATAATGCCGGCGAACATGAGGTGTAGCGAAGTGGGGACAGCCTACAGGGGAGGAGATGTTAGTCAATTCAACAAATGATTGGAATGGCCAGTACTTACCCAGCGGTTGAATGAGTCCGCCATGTGAATTGAAGTACCCCAGTTGGCAAAGTAGGCAATCATGATACCACTGGGCTTGGCATTAGCATCTGAAAGCGAGGCAACAAGAAAGAAGAAGGGGGAGTATGAACTAACAGGTACACAGCACCAGTAAACATACAAGTGCAGAGACCACGAATGGGAGCGGGTGATATTTCAGAAAGGTAGATGGGACCAACGACACAGGTCTGTCCAATACCAACACCAGCAACGAAGCGACCAGCGTAGACAGCAGCCATGCTGCCATTGTTTCCAATGAAGATGGCGATACCAAGAATCCAGAGACAACAGAGCTGACGAGTAGCCCAAACACGACCAATCCGATCACAAACGACGAAAGCACTATCATTTATCCATGATTAGCAAAGGCTTTCGAGCGTAAAGATGAAGGCGATGGGTTTCAATAGCAAAACTTACAACAAAGCACCGGCGACACTGCCGAGCTGAACCATAGAGGAAATAGTACCCTTGACACTAGCGAGCTCACTCTTTCCGAGGTCGTCAATACCGACAGACTGCTTGAAGGCGTGAGAGTTAAAGACACCCGTGATAAGACCCTCGTCGACACCTCGGGCGGCGCCCATGAGACCAAACGCGAAGACAGCGAACCATAGCCTCCAGTTGAGTGTCTCCTTGGGCAAACCGCCCGTGTTGAACTTAAAGACGTTGATGACAGCACCACCTGCCATGATAAACGATGTTGTGTATTATTTCTAGACGTATAGACAGCTCAATCGTGGGGTCGAGGTCATGAACCTCATGAACCTGTATAATTATAAAAAGAGGATGTGACAGCCACGCAATGCGCGGTCAAAGAACAATATTAGATGAAGACGACACACTCGGTAGAGATCTCCGAAGCTGGCAGCCTTGGAATAGGGAAGACTGTGAGGGGGACAAAAGTGGTGCAGAGAGCGGGCATGCACGATTTCTTAAATCCAATCTTGCGCCAAGGAGGCTCATACGGGGGGCCCACGGGGTAATGGACGTCAAGTTCATCCATCGAGGGCTGTTCGGGTCGAATGTCCAGGGCCAAGGCTGGGCGCAGGCAAGCCTTAGCCTTGAACGTTAAATCGATCCACGTCGTTCCTTATTTCTCCGATTTTCAGACAAGGACCGGTAAGCCCATAGCTCAACGAGATTTAGATTTACAGAAGTAGAATTGTGAGATGACCGATCCTTGGAATTTCAGTCCCCGCGCAAGTTTACTACCACTCAATCCTAACTAGTACCCTATATAGCCCAAAGATATACGGACGGCGAAGTGTGTCTTTTAGTTTCAAGTGCGATACCATGCAAGGGCCACATGGACGATGATCTTGCGGCTGCGTCTGATCCCAATAATCAAAAATACCGATGAACGGACCGAATGTTCCAAACTCAGTGGTTAAGAATGGACTATGTCGCCGGAATTTGCAGATATATGCCTCACCCAGACTCGAAAGATTCCGAACTTCTTGCCACACTCTATTTACGGCTTTCTCCGTGGCACCATTCGCCCCCAAAAACACGGCAAGATAGAGTAGAAGTTAGGGTTTGGGGCAGTCTTAGTGTCAAAGCGTAGCCCATGCCAAGCACCGGAGTGTTGGATTTGGGGCCAATCAATGGCTTCACATTCAGGATGCTGCTCTCCAGGATTCGCTCCCCGCAAAAACTAAGACATTTCCTTGGCCTATGCTAATATTTCCGTAAAGTTTTATGCCCCCACACCTTAATTGTACTTTCCACATTTCCTCATTTCCTCATTTCCTCACTTCCCCGTTGCTCTTCGGTTGGCGTCCGATACCATTAGAGTTCGGGCCACCGCGGAGAAATTCACAGTCATTGGCATTGGCTATGATGTAGAAAGTCGGCATCTACTGAAAAATGGTTGAGCCGTGGTGAACCTGCAATGCAATAGCCTTGAAAGACTGCAGTCTTCTTTCAAATCAATGTTACAGTAGGAATTTACCGCTGGGTGCCAGGTGGTAAAGGCATGGTGCCCCGTTGGGGGAAACCCGAGAAACACCGGCGATGCCGTCAAATGAAAAAGAAGGTAGCCGTGTGGCCTCGGGATCCGGGCTCTCTTGGCGCTGTGCCTTGCGTCTTGGCTTGCCTTAGTTATCACCGAAGGTCGGTCTATGTGACTCGGTCCAGAGAAACGAGAGAGTTTGTCCCCAGGTTGGGCAGACATTTCCGACTCCGGTTTCCCCCACAGATTTCCCCGCATGTCGTAGCATCCCATGACCAGTCCCGATGGGTCCACCTTCCACCCCCCCTCCCGGGGGGGCGCCACCCCAATGCTCCTGCCGGGATATCTTCGTGAAAACCTTTGGCATCACCTTCGGACTAAGCAAGTTTTCCCTCTTCAATAAGGTTCAAGAATAGGAGTTCTAAGGACCACAGTTAGGCCCTTGTTGAAGGAGTCCGGGGGTTTATCTATCAGGTAATCTCATTATGCAAAGCTTGAGGCATAATCAATGGAACTAGAAAATCAGAACTGCGGGTGTAAACACTCTATAACCTGATCGGTGCGATAGAATGATATGTGGTATCTAGAATGTGGGTATATTCATAGTATTGATCAAAAGAAGTTGAGTTCTCGAGAAACAAGTATATGCCAGTTGTTGGGAACAATGAAATGCAAAACGCCACAGGGGAGATACTGTGACGCCATCCAAAACAGAGATAATATAGGGCCAAATTAGAAGGACCCCCCATGGAAGCTATTCGGACCCCCTCTCCACTTTTCTTTTACCTATAATAGGTAAGGCGTTGTAATTGTATTTCCAATGCATGAATCGGTAAAAATGGATGCATTTCTTGGCAATGCTAATGCCCCGAGCATCGGAGGTCCCATGAATGCCTGACCGTACCTAATATACCATCTGAGTACCTAAATTCACTATGTAAAGCGCTAGTAAAAAATAAGTCACTCTCATGTAGATCTAGTATATTGCCAACACCCTCACAATGCACTAGTCCTAAATAGGTTAGCACCGCCTAATTAATTATGCGTGTAATTAGGGCATCACCAAGTGCCATGTCTTGGGCTTCATGCATCTCAACAACACTTTTAACCTACCACCACACCGCCAATATGATAGCTGAGGATTTCTCTAATTACTTCATCGCTCAAAAATGGCTATTCAGTCCGGAATGAAATTGAAGGAAGCTTCTGGCTACAGATAATCTCCGCCTCGATATTAGTTCCTAGGAGCGCGCATTGATTTCTGAGGATCAGGGCAACATTTTACCAATGTATTTCCAAACTTCAGCGCCTCGGCTAATATACTCGCACGATTCCTAGGAGCATATCGGCAAAGAACATCAATATGGGGCCAGTCATGCTTTATTATAGGAAAAGAGGCCCAATCATACCTCCTAGGAGCTTGTGTTCTTCAAATGTTGTTGATCTCAAATGTCTTCATTTCCCCGATTCTTGCACATAAATACATCCATATAGCCCTCAACATCCTGACTGGCTAAAAAACCAAAACTTTGACAATTCTTGATCAAGGTACGAAAACTACTCTCGAGGGAAGAAATCTCGCTAATCGGCTAGTGATGGGCTATTCTGTTTTGGCGCCTCAGTCTGGCCAACCAGATATTCCAAATTGTCTCAAAATCAGGCATCATGGCCAAGGATAGAGCATTCTGTGGCCCACTGAACTCGGATGATAACCCTATCCCTACAAACGACGGTACCGCCTAGTGGGGCACGAATGACAACCCTATCGTTATAAAAGAGGATAGCGAGCAGGAGGGCTCTGAAACCAACCCTATCGTTATAAACGACGATGCCGACGCCTTAGACAAGGAGGAAAGGCCAGTGCAAAATGATTTTACTAGGGATACGGAGCCTCTGAGTACGCCAGAATTTTGGGCAATTTTGCGCAATCTAGGCGACCAAGGCTTCCACGTTCCACAGAACAAGCCCAAAATAACGGACTTGGCTTGTGGCTTGCCATCATCTCAATCGGTCTATGATCAAATGTCCGATTGTACCTGTTCCCCTGAGCCTGAATCATTCCCAACGACCATCTGGAGGAAGAAAGACCCCAAGTTGCCAAGTCTGATAATGACAAACAAAGTACGTTTATTCGAGCCATTAAATCTTGAAATTTGCTTTGCTAGCGAGACTAACTGCCGTAGCCCCACCAAACAAAGATGAGAGCTGTGGTCTGATAGCAGAGACTAACACATCTTGTGGTCAACCCAGCTTTTCGTGGTCTGGTCAAGGGGATGAGTTAGGACCATCTACTGAGACTAGCCAGGCCGACAATGGCAATCCGCTCCGTTTACAAGGATCCGGTAAACGCAAAAGGGGACACGAAGGCGAGAACAATTCTGGGAACAGACGATCAAACCGCTTAGCGAACAGGGGGAAACAGGACCGGAACAGTAGTTTTCTCTCCTTCTAGGACTAGCTACCCGAATTCCCATTTATCCACCACTCCAAGATGCTATTGAGATATTCCCATATGTTTTGCTGATCCCAGCTCTCTTTGGCGCAATTTGAGGTTTTGGCGGAAGTCTGTTGAGAACAGAAACAATGCCGTATCATCAAACCATTCCTGTACGATTTATACAAAGAACCGAGTACCGAGTCAAATTTTAATCAACTCAGACCTCAATTTTTTTATAAAATTTGCTTCGTGCTCATCGAATTCTAATATTTCTACCAACCACTGATTGGCGGCAGAGGTTGTCGTCAATTTTATCTCTTCTACCAGAGGTGATCTGAATTATCTGCGTTAATGAGAGTTCATGGTATATGTGGTACTCAGATCCTTGCTTTGCCCAGGTAGACCGAATTTAAAAGATGTTACATATTCGTAAAAATTCGCAACACCCCGAACGTAATATACAAATCACAATATAGTCATTTATAAAGACACTACCCAGGTAGGCTCATCAGTTGTTATGTATAGTGAGGCCCCCATTGGGTAATTTCACCTCGCATTGAATGGCAGTTGCTTTGGCGTATCCTTAGGTGTGTTTGGAATATATTGGGACCATTCATAAAGGTAGCTTGACCACTTAGAATTATTCCGTCCGGAACCCGTGGAAACAATCGTATTTCCTCCCACATTACTATGGCTTGATCTTTTCGCTCTGCGGCCCCTTTTGCTGAGTAAATACAGTAGGACGGGAGTATATAATTGCGGCATATTAAGGGAGATGAAAATACAATCCTCATATCCTCCTTTCATCTGCTTTCAAACCACAATTCTCAACACCGGCGATACATGATCGGACTTTCCGGCAAACGCTCGATTGTATAAAAAAGGGAGACCTATTAATGATTTCTGAGAGTGTACTTGTCTGTTTGGATCCTCTAGGCTCGATACCGTAGGTATGTTATATACATGTAATAAAAGACAAGAACATTCTGGAAGCTCATCACGAACCCTCGGCCGATCTTTTTACCAACACCCCTTTAGCCGTCTTCGGGGATTTCATCAACCTTGCAATGTTAATTTGGAGATTGAAATTGAGATGGGGGAGGTCGTTCAAAGCACATAACTTACGATCAATACGACAGAAAGGAACGGATAGCGGCATTGACACAGCGGTCGGTTACTTCGCTTGGGATGGCATCCTCATAAGGGTGGTTGCAGCTGCTATCCGTGCTCAAAGTAATGTTGTTGCCACTGTCAGTGGAGATCTTGACCGATTCCGTGCCGCTATCCAGAGTCTGGCATCCGGCTTCGATGCCTCCAACCTCTTTTCCCGCACCTGAACGATGGGGTGTAGTGTAGTAAGTGACGGACCACAGAGCAGAAGCTGGTATAGCCAGTCCAAGGGCGAAAGGGGTTTCAAGACACATGATTTCGATGTTTATGTGAAATACAGGATATGGAAATACCAATTTGGGACTCAAGATACTTGAAAAAGTCCATTTTTATAACTCTTTTCAAGGCAGAAGTGCTTCTTTGCAGGCTGTACAGTCGTGTCTATGGTGCCAGCCGGGCCAGCTCAACGAAGATATCGCTGAGCTCTCTCCAAATTCACCACTCTCCCTCAATTCATCACTCTCTCCCAATTCATCACTCGCTACCAATTCATCACTCGCTCCCAATTCATCACTCTCTCCCAATTCATCACTCTCTCCAAACTCATCAATTACATGACCCGGTCTTAACTTTTGGTACGTTCAATATTAATGAACCTGCGTAAGCAATCGAGGTTTTCTGATCTCCCTGAACGTCTATCCGACAGGGTCCCTTTAATTCAACAAATCTGTTGGGCATACCAGGTCAATAGAGCCATTTATGACTCGCAACCATATGATTGAAGAGCTTACAGGATGGATTAGAAGAAACTTCCATGTGCTATTACCCAAGTTTTGACCAAATTAATTCCAAGCGTACCAACCAAACATATGGGGAAATGTTTCATGACTGACATATACGTGTTTCGAACTAGATTTAAATTTCCGAAAATTATGGCGTACCGTAATATACTGTGGCTGTGCTGTCAGATATCTGCCCTCTGTACAATACCGTACATGCCGTGTAACGTAATTGCACCCACAAAACACACGGAAATATCGATCAAGGGGCCATCAGCCAAACATTCAATCTATTTAATTTAAAGCTTCCAAAACATGCTCAAACCAATACATGATGACTATTCCGTGACGAGGCCTAGAGTATCAGGTTCAGAAAATTCAGCATGCCGTAGTAAGCGGAGAAGCCCCAGTATGAGATTATTATATCGACAATGCGAGTGTTTATCTTTGACCAAAGGGTCAGTGAGGGGGAAGTTGGAAATATTTTCTGCCTGCGGTACAGAAATATGTAATTGGACTACTCGGTTACCTGAAAATTCAAACCCATAACTTGCGAAATGTCGCTGGAATTTGTCTTGCCATGGATATGGCCAGCTCTCTGGACAAAGAAAAAGTAAGGCGGAAGGAAATCGGGGGGAAGGGTAAGGGTATTTCATGTTCGCCAAAGGATGGGTATCGGGGATCCGTCCCTATCAAGGGCTTTATCGCGTTGCGGAAATTTGTGATCACCGGTTATTGCATTGATAGCACCTATAGGAAGCCGGTCTTCTTCGTCGGTATAGACTGGCTGTCCACTACGTAAGCGACTAATCTTAGACAAGAGTTCACTAATGACGTTTCGATAGTGTTGCGTTCCTATCTCGTATGCCTCGGATTCATGAGCGATGCGTTTGAGTGCTAGTCGTCGGTCCTATAGTATATGTAGTTTCTGATTCAAATCGATCGCTGCTAAGAATAACTTATTCTCTTTAGAAAAGATAGAGATCTACTCTATGTCGGAAAGAGTTCTTAAATAAGTGATCCTATTAAACCTGGTAAAAGAATATCTATAGCTATTCGCTAAAAATTCGCAATTCCATTTCTTCAAATAAATCAAAGCTATCAGAATCCGATTTATGCAAATAGAGCGACGGTGAATGATCTATCCACTCTTTAAAAGTACTCCAAAATCTTTCACATATATTTTGGGTGTTCGAAATTGCCGCCCGAAGATGAATGTGGACTTTGCAACTGAGTTTGATATCGCAAGGGTATGTACCCTCTATCTCTGATGTAATACTTCCCAATCGCTTTTTGACGGAAAGTAATTGACGGGCAACTTGATTCAGGAGTTCACCAGTGCGCTCACTAGCTTGAATATCCTCGAATAGAGCAAGCACGCCGCGCTGTGCAGATTTTACAACTTAGGCTGTAGTTGCCCTAGTACTTGTCCGGTCGGGCATCATGTGTTTGGATAACTGTAGGTAGCGAACTTGTTAAGTAAATATCTCAATAAGTCAGGCTAACTCACTATTGCAAAGAGTTATTGCTGTTTCTGTCCTCAGATATAGTATAAATGAGAGAGATGGGTATTCTTTGTGTTTTATACAGCAGCATCATTGATATACTCTGGCACGTCTATAGGCAGCAACCTAAGGATTTGTGGATATAGGTTGAGTTCCTGGGACGTCTACCTGGGTCTTTTGCATAGCAGGGTCTAGTGGCGCACGGAAGGCTCCCAGGAATAAAGTTTGTTCCAAAGAGCTATGAATATCTCAGGGACATACATGAGGAGTGGAGGATGTGCGTTATGAGTGACCCACAGGGTTCTCTAGGACGTGAGGAGCCTGCTTTCCTTTACTTCCTCGCGCGACTTCTTCCAGAGCCAAGGAATAGCTGTTTCTCTCAGCTTACGCGTAAGCCCTCACATGGTTGAATGTCCTGTATACATAGAGGGTGGTAAACGGTCCGGGTTCCTGGGAACATGAGTGATGTGGCGAATAAGGAAATAGCCCATACGATAGCTGCGATTATCGTAGGCTCTTGCAGAGCGTGCAGCCAGCTCCTAGGAGCAATCTATCTGGAGCCTCACAAAGAAAATGCGATTGCTTATAGAAGTCCGGAGGCATGTGCTTATTGGCAGAGAAGCGGTTCTCTGTCTCCACATTTTAACGATCCTCTCTGTTCGCCTCTGTGCCAGGACATATTGAGGATCTCCAAGTAGACTGATCAAATATCCCTGGCTCCAGTAGTCCTACAAAGCCCGGTTAGGAAACAGTGGGACCGAGAAGACAAAGTATTCCCAGGAGCATCGAGCTTAGAATGGTAATGCTTATTGGGTGGCCAAATAGCAAGCTCCATTATGGCGCAATTTATTGCAGTCATTTTACCAGGATTGAAGATCACATTGAAATGCCAGCCTTTTTTTGATGGGACGATGGGTGCCATCTAAAAGTGGAGGGCTGCACGTGATGGGACTAGCGTGTTGCATTTTATTGATGCAGCTTACTCAGGCCGCTACCCCTAGGCTCAGCTCAGACTCTGGGCAGATCAGAGCATGCTCAGTGAGCAGATCTGAGTGCTTATGTAATGCTCAGTGAGCGGATCAGACCGCTCAGGGGCGTGCTCAGTTGTACTCAGTGAGCAAAAAGCGGCAAGGTCTCAGCACTAAAACGGAAAGGGAAGGCCAAGAAGTGGCAGAGGAAATCAAGTACATAGGTCTTTCTATCATCCAAAAAGGTGATAAAGTGAAACGTTGAAATTATTTCTGTGTCTTTTCCTCCTCAGTATTACTTCAGCGTTGAGGGTGAAAGAATAAAGATCACCTTGGAGTTACTTTAACACAATTGAAAATAACAACGGCTCGCTGGGAGACAATCAAGACATCCTGAAAGAGGCCTCGGCCAACCTCACACTTTCTAGCTCCTGACACATAACCACGCTGACAAAGTAATTCTCGCCACTTTCACCTATCGCATGTACAATGACATTATCACCATATTCGCAATCTTTCTCGTTTGGACCAGCCTCACAATAGTCCTTGTAGCTGGATACTGTGATTCCATCCTCTTCTGAAAGTAACAAAGTGCTTGCGAACTTCCGAGCTTCTGCGTAACTTTTGAACATCCCCTCAACATTGGTATCATGTGCAGGCTTCCGTTCATGGGTGCAATATGGAACATTCGTCTGTACAACATAGTAGAGAGAGATCGGAATTCGGCCGTCTTCGTTATCAGTCGTCAAACGCAAGGTATTTGGGGAGGTGGTGATGCGGACTCGGAACACCGTGCCATCCGTTGCAATGGCGTACAAGGCAAGTCCGACTCCCTGACAGACGGAGAACTCTTCGAGGACTTCGGGGTTTGTCTCGAAGGTTGAGAACCATGCACGCTCATAGCCACTCTCAAAGAGGCTTCGATGAGCCGCATCCTTTGCTTTACCTACAGATGTGTAGGTGCCCAGGATGCGTATCTTCTCATTCTGTCCGCTTGAACCCTTCGATTGCGACATCATAAGGATAACATGATAAACGAACTCGGGGGCAACTTGATTTTCCTGAGCCATGTTGGGGCTTAAGAAGCGTTGGTAAATAGAGTATAGCAATGATCTTTCGAGAATATTATTGCGTCAGCATGTGGTTAGGATGCTTACACTCTTTTTAAGTTATTTCGGGTGAGTTAGACAGAATACCGACGGTGGATCTAGCCAACAAGGATTTAAGCACTAAAAGATCTTACGACATAATAAAACGGAAATCAGGAATCAGGCCACTTTTCATGACTGGTACTTACTTTAGTTCATAATATTGATTAAGGGGATGGGCCGAGACATAAGGCCAGAATCATCTGCCATGCCTTACGCGGTTACGAGTGGCAATACACCAACGCCTCGATCTAGAGAAGGCTAAATGATGTCATCGAGTATCTCTCGAAGCACATATTTTCTGTTTTTAATTCATACCTTTTTGCCATATTTCGGAGAGCTAATCCCTCCAGGCACCTTGCACCAGCCTTGCTCTGCTAGATTGACCAGGTCGAGTGCGATAGTAATTTTCTTACTCTAAGCTTGCGGGGGATCGTCATCTCAGGCAACTTGTTGTTTAGTGCTGTTTGACAACGGAATTAAGCAATCTTAATGAAAAGTCCATGGATGCACTTGGCGGTCATAGACCAGCCAGGCATCGCTTTTACTCTTAGGGACGTTGACGCTTCACGCGTCCCGCCCTTAATCGAAACGCCAAGCCGTTTTTCATTTCATTTGCCATACCTGAAAGTCTGTCTTATTCGCAACCGGATCGGAGTTTTGATTGGCTGCACCAAGCTTGCCGCAATTGTTTGCTGATTTCCATTTAGCTAGCATCCTGTGCTTTTGATATACTTACTAGCTTCGAGAACACCTAAATTAAAGAATATTAGAGAAGGAAAGAGCAGATATTATCTTAAATATATTATTAGTTAGTCCCCCTTTCCTTCTATCTAGCATTAAGCCTTCACAAAACTAGTCTATTGTAGTCTTTTGACTAGTATCAATAATCCCGAACCCTAGGGAATCCTATGTTAAGCGTAGGAGAAAGTCGAGGACTTGGGCACTATCGTTTTTGTTGATCCTTAGACCACTTTTATAGACTATACGTACGAAAATAACTATATACTAAGATTTACAATACTCTAAAAAGACAATTAACGCGGTTAGACTCTTGACTTAATCTCGCTATTTCTAGTGGTCAACTAGTAGCTCTGCCTCTATTTAATAATTGTGATATTAATGAACGAGTTAATCGGGGGACAGTTGTTCAGGTCTCACGGCGTTGAGGGTTAGGTCCGTTAGAGAAAATAATATTAAACATAACCTAGAGCCGATGGGCTTGTCCTTAGAAAAAGCCAAAGGATAGTAGCACTTGATCTCACCAGTGAGCGTTAAATGTGAAATGGTTACATTTTGGTTCGTGGTTGACTGTCCAAATTGTATTCCAGATGGAGTGACAAATGCGCAACGCAACGATGGAACATTAGTGGATCTTGTTTCCTTGATTGCAGGTGAGCAAGCGCTTCAGCTCCGGTTCCACGATTTGGTTTATAACAGGCTCTTTGTTTTCTGCTTTTGTATTCCAGCAGAACCGAGGCGAGTCGTCATTTCAGTGTAGCTCAGACACAAGTATGGGGTGAATCCTAGATATCTTGTACACTGGTCGGCGACAACTATTTTGAGCCGATTGCATCTTGCCTTCTTTTAAGAATTCTCCAAGCTTGAGGATTTTCGGAGATTATAAGGTTCTTCAGCGGGCGATATAATAGAGAAGACGCTTTCCATTTTGGTGGTGAACGACTACTGCGGCTAGGCGATGCACGGATGCAAGCAATGGAGTATGAGACTTAGACCAGAAAGAGACTAGGAGAACCTCAACAGCCTAATAATTCTAGGGAATGCAATATGATCACCTTCGAATGTCGCAGAATGAGTAACAAAGTCTTTATGCGTCAAAGACTGTGTGATCTCACTATTCACAAAATATAGACTGTATATCTGATTGAAGTTTGTCCTGTGACACTCTAGAAAAAGTAGGAAAGGCTGCTTTGCCTCTTAGGTACATACAGGATCTCTTGAGTAACCAGAACAAAAGGGATAAACAGATCGAACTGATCTGGAGGGGAGGATATCCGCAGGAGGCCGGCGAACGTCGAGATAGCTGTAGAGGTGACAGCCAAACGGGGATAGAGCACTACTCCAGAGGTACATAGAACAGGACCAACGCTTAATTCACAGCAGCGTCTCATATGGTCCAATGTATCCACAATCCCAAATTTAGGTTTCTATGTACCTAGGCCTAGAGCAAACAAGATTGGAGCAGGATTTAGAAATATGTTGTGAGATTAGGCAAGTGACAAGGGTTAGCAATGTCACTGAAAATTGTTTTGGATGAGTTGCTTGGTGATCGATACTAGTGCTAGATTATTCTATATCTTATGACACATGAATACTATATGTATATAGCTGTGGAGAGAAAGCAATTTCACTTACTGCTAATCGGCCAGGTTTGAATGTAGTTCAGCTACGATAAGGACGTGCAACTTTGATGCTGTGGATTGCGAATGATAAGTAGACATGCTAAATTATCACCATAGGTTCTTCTTTCTACTTGGCATTTTATTTACTTGGATCTAGTTTCAGCCGGAACGTTTGGTAGATACTTGCCTCTCTCGACGTGATGACTCCTTCATACGCCGCAGTTATGGCCATAAACGCCCCAGTTTTTGGGGATGTACATTGTGTATTAGAAAGTGGAGACCATTTTTGAGTTAAGGAATGTTCTGATTGTATTTCTTGCTATTTATGCTATGCTCATCATTAGTAATCCGCTCATTCGGAGTTACTATAATTCCGGTTCTCAAGCCGCATTCATGAATGCAGCACTGACACTCTTCGGTAAGTACATGATTGTCCATCCCTATTGTGAGGTTCTAAGCTTCCCGAATGGCGATCTTTGAGCCTCGCTTAAATGGCTTCTCTGGCTTATATTTAGGGCTGGTACTCTCTTTCGTTTCGAGAATCAGCCCAATTTTCTATAATGGAGCATGATCAGGCGTACGGGACACAAGTTCTTGCTTCAACTGGAAAGAAGCGCCTGCATAGCTATTCGATACTAGATAGGCTCCAACAGGTTACTAGAATGTTGATTGGTTGATTGATTGATTGCCTAAGTGACCTCTGATTGTCTCCACTTTTGCCCGTGAAATGGTGTGATGTATCATTATCCCAGATGTCGCTCTCCATCCATACAATTGACAAAGTGCGCAAGCCATGGTGTAGTCAACTTCGTATAGCCCTCTGCAAGTAGATCAAAAACTTCCAAGATAAGGCTTCGCTCCGTCTTTGGCGGTGACTTTTGTACCCTTACCAATATAGGGTATACTCTGGACTGCGCGAATTGAAATTTAGGGGAGCGCCGTTTTTGGTTGACTTCTGCATGAGATGGAATCATAGCGACCAGTCATCGTAAGTAAAGTCGTCTAGTTCAGAAGGATGAGGCGGCGGGTCCGAGTTCGTTCCTGTCTGGTAGCCGCAACAGTGACAATGGTGAAATCGTTGGGATTCACATTGATGATTCATTCTTCTTCAGATTTTTTGGCTATCCTTGCAATTTGACATCCCGGTTCATCCGTATATCAACGAATTTCACATTGAAGTCGAAACTGACCCTTTTCGATCTGTGTTAGGTTGAAGTTGGCAGAATAGAGATTCGTAAAGAGCATAACGATTTCCATCCAGTATCTTGACATTATAAATGGAATGAATATTGGGAAGGTGTTTGGGAAGACATCTTTGAAATTCAACGGCGCTGTTCCGGGGACAAAAAGGCAAATATATCGGCGATTGTTAGATAGTACAGGCTAATTGGTATGATATGAGATACTAAAACCCCGTGGACCATAACACCTGCTTTCACCGGCTTGATAATCAACGGAATTATCACCAAGTATACAATATATTTCACTTGCACCAGGAATACAATACTCTAAGTGACTTGAGGCAGTGGTTCCATTCTCTTCTTATAGTGGCAAGTTCTTAAAAGAATCTGTCCGCGTTATACCATTGTGTCAATATAATAGTACTGTTGAAGATTGAAACTCTTCTGTATGCCTCCCACAACCCACACCCCCTGGATCAGCTGTTACGCTGCATCCGATTGCGCGGGGCAACATGCCCTTCATCTGTCAACGGACGATTTAGGAACAGACTGATGTGCTTCATCATTATTGTCCAAGTTGCTGAAGTTTTTGTAGCACATAACTTTCATTCCAGGCTGAATGCAAATATCATAACCAGAATTAACACACTCAGGCATGACGGGTCTCACTGGAATTTCAGGTAGGCAGGCAGACTGTCATGAACCCTCATAGACTGCTTTCTAACCCACATAACGCCCGGGAGGTCAAATACTCCAATTGATCAATGAAACCTCCAATCAGGCGTTCGCATTCTTTCCCTTGTCTGTATAACACAAAGGTTGTGATTTTCACCTGGGCAGCAAGGGAAATATCCACACAGTGATCAATATCGACCGCGTAGAATGATACACTGTTTCCAGGGATACATGAACCAATCTGGTCACAGGCTTGCTCGATGGTGCAAATTGACGACCCGTCCGACCTAGCAAAAATAAATATGGAACACCGATCTGCCTCAATTATCTCGTGGTACGACTTCAACCTAGACAAACGGTACAAGTCAGCCTTGCTTAAGGGATCGCTCTGAATCTGTCGTACATGATGACGGGTTTCAATACCGAGCCTGTCATGATACCTCTTGGACTTTTTCTGTTTTGTATAGAGACAGTTGGGCTGGGAATATTGTTTATAATAAATCATTACGATATCTGAAGAATCGGAACAAAACTCAAAGAGGCGGAGGTGACTAGTAATGATTAGTGAGAATAATACTGTATGAACTATAAGTTTCATGATCAATAATTTTGACTACTGTTTTCTTTTGGATGCATGGGCTAGGCCATCCCAGAAACACCGGTCGCGTCGGGCCCAACAGGCCTAGAGCGGGAAAGACCAACAGCTCTTTTGCATGATGAAAAAGGCTCACCCCACATATTGCCTAACTTACATACCCCATCCAGTCTACTGACATAGAATAGACTAGACTAGAACATTGGTTTTGTTGTCCATTTGATTTAATCCAAAAAAAATCCGGCCTGTTGAAATCTATAGGCCTTATCAAGTGCCACTGTCCTGAACACGGTGCAAACATTAAGAAACTAGTGAGGAAGGTTGAATTTGTACTTTCTTTTTTTGTTGGGTATTTTGCTTACAACAAAAGTGAAGCACTTGATGATGATGTATAGATTTCGATCTTTACACGGAAGTAATTATTTTAGTGCTACTAATAATGACCGTTTCATAGACGCAAGATAGATACTAATTAGTGGATGAAAGTTCCTCTTATCGTTGCGGATTTTACATAGGCGGGCTGAGGCACAATTCGATTAGAAATAATTTGTTATTACATTTTCTAATATTACTTGCTACGACCAGACATAATCTGATCAACAAGTTGACTGGCGGTTCTTCGTTATGGTAAAGCGTAAGAATAACTAGAATGGCTAGAATGATAAATGCGTCCGGTGGCCTACTTATCAATAATGGATCCAATATGGGAAAAGGGTAGCTAGAGAAGGTTCAGATATTTGGTGGGGCAATTGCATAATCCATTTTAGCATTCTGTTTCTGAATTCACATATGCAGCGGAAATTTCATTAATAGCCCTATGCAAGCACAAAATTACTGGAACATGAACCAAAAGCCACAAGGAGAAAAGAGGTGGGATGCTCGTTCTAGAATCCACCTCTCTGTCTCCCTCTGTAAATGATGCTTTCAGAAGTTAGGGATGGATCGGCCACAAGATGCTCGAAGAGACACTGACACTATGCAGGCAGGTACTTTGCCCGGCCGCTTCGGCCTGAAATAGGCGTAGAATAGAATATACATTCAGTCTACATAACCCAGGGTCCAGTTTTCCAAGGGGCGGATTCTCATTTTAAATGTAAACCAAACGGTTGAGAATATCGTCGTTCACCAGCAGATCCCACCTGCCATCCTGTGTCATTTCTTACATTGAATTGGCCAGTTGTACGACTAGACCGAGGCCTGCCGCAACTTATTAAATATTATAATACGTGTGTTGCCACTGCTGTGCAGGGAGAACCTAGTACTACGAACATATTTGTCAGCACAGCCCCATGTCAATTACTGCTGGTAGGGACACTGGCAGCATCTGTGCTCCTGGTGATAAGCGCCATGATGCGTAAGAAATCTCCACCAGTCTCACCTTTGCTGGTCACACCAGCCTCATTGACCTTAAGCCAAGGCAGGAGTGGCAGGTATTTGAACAGCGCCCGACAGAAAGCACAGACCGATCTGTCTTGACTATGATTGGTCCAACTTGGCGTCCCATGTATATAAATCCAGGTAGGACATGATCTTAGCGGCCTTCAAGGGCGACTTTGGCTGCGATTGCTCATATGGAGTATATAAGCTTTAGAAATAAATCTTGTGGCAGGATCTCCGTCTTAGCCAGTGCATATCAGGAACATCAAGCGGAATACACACGTTTCTTTTATTTTTTTAATTTTTGCTTTTCTCAAGTCTCCGAATCTCATAACTTCGAATTCATGTGGTAAATTGAGCTGACTGACCGCGGAGAAAAGAAAGCCAGGATAACGTAGGTATTTCGAAAATTAGCTTTGTTTCTATTCGAATGTGAAAATAGTCTTTCATTCCGAATTAATGTCATCCCATCGAGCTTTGTTTACGGTGAAGTTGGGTTGAGTTGAATGTGTTGCGGAGTCCATTTTCTATTGTAGGATTTAGTAGGCAGGCCTAGTTCGTGAATAGTCAGCTAGACAGAGGTACATGATATCAATCTAAATATCACTCAACAGTATCCGCCTCCTGTCTAGGTCATTATCGTAAGCAATCTGAATTATTTACAGAGTAATAGTTATAAAGTGAGCTTTATACTGCTTGTGAGCCCTGAACCTTTTTAATAAGATCGCTCTGGGGAGTATTTGCCCTCACAGAAACAGCCAGGATACTGTTTTTCTTTCCAAATTTCGCAACCACTGCTACTCTTTCGAAGATAAAATACTTGTCAAGTTTATTGCACTCCACTAGAGGCCCCTCATTTGGTGACGACTATGGATTTGAATTCGGCTGATGGCACAACAGGTGGAAAATGCCCGGAATTCTCCGATCATATTTGATTTTATATAAATTCCAATTTCAATTTTTGTTGACCATTCCACCAAAAGGTTTACATCTTAACTAGCATGATTCCGAAAGATCAATTCCTTCTCGTTCGGCTGTCTGCAGGATGTATTGCTTGACCTAGAAGATGGAAACAGACATTAGCTATCCTCATCTAGTATTCCTGAAGACAAAGAACTTACCTTGAAGTCAGGCACTAGATCGATCGCCAATTTGCCGTCATTGTCTCTCTTACCGGGCTCTGCTCCAGATTTCAATAGAAAAATTGCCGTATCGCCATTTCCTTCCGCAATAGCATGATGAAGTGCTGTAAACCCGTCACCATCCGTGGCATTGACAGGGCTCTTGCCCTCTTCCAATAGTAACTTCACAATTGGAACAGATCCCACGGCAGCTGCTCGGTGAAGAGGAAGTTGACCCCGAATATCTTTAACCCTGGCACTGCATTTATTGGCGAGTAAAGTGCGGACCGTGGAGATATTAGACTTGGAACTTGCGAAATGAAGCGCATTCTGCTGTACCGTTAGCGATCGAAAACAGCTCGGTATTACATCTCGATCCAGGTATCCTGACCTGTCCAGCGTTGCTTTTGATAGTCACATCGGCTCCCTTTCGCAGAAGTAGGTTGATGACGGCATCGCCCGCGCCATCCTTCAAGCTGGCTGCAATCATTAGAGGTGTCCAGCCGGAAGCGTCCTGTGCTAGTTTAGCAATTTGCCATAGCACCAAGGGATCCCATATGATCCCATATGACTAAATGATGTTGCACAACTGAAATTCCCCACTAGGAAAACGCACTTCTGTATCTGGGTCAAAGTTCTTGCTGGCGGCTAGTAATTCCACAACTTGGAATCGATTGAAGGCCGCAGCCCAGTGGATCGGAAGACGGCCATCATCATCCTTGACAAGAGCCGACTTCTGGTTTTCCTGTGTCAACCTTTAGTATTCAATAGAAAATTGCAATTGCGAGCCCAAAATTGCGGGAAAGCCTGGATCTCCGGGTGGAGCACCGCTTACATTGAGTAACCACTCAACGACCTGGACTACCGGATAATGTCACTACACGGCAGATCATATATAGGGAGAAAGCTCACTCCTGCCTTCTCGGACAGCTTCATGCAGCTGGAATTTGTTGGAATCCATGACTTCAAATGTTTAGAAGAGGAAGAGTGATGCGATTAGAGCTGCGCTGAACTCGGGAATGGATGACGTCAGCATATTTGTGAGCTCGTTTATGTCACCTGTCTGGTGCCAAAGACATGCTTCAGGAATAAGACTAAGCTTCGCTAGTTTAGTCAAGGAAAGGGTGCTGGGGCTGCCTTTCTCATGATTGATCATAAGATAGTTAGTCTTCTTGAATTAGACCAAGTGTCACGAACTCGTTGCAAGTAGGGCTATGTAAAGCAAGCATACCCACCCACATTCAAGGGATCACTAGTCCAGCGGACTGTGGTCCTTCATTTCAATCTATTTGGCATTAGCGCTCTTAATTCTCAGCTTAGGATTGTTTCACTCGATGATATTCCAATTTTAGCAAATAAAATCATGAACGAGGTAAGGGCCGGACCAACAAACTGTACCGATTTGACGCCAATATTAATTATTGTAAACACAATGCGTCAATATTTGCGTCTCGTGCAACCTAAAACCCCCTATCTGGTCACCGAACTTCCAGACAAGAAGGCAACCTGTGATAAGCCGCTGATTTAGGTGCTTAGTTAAACTATCCGCAAAGGTAGAATCCCAGCAACTTAGACCGGATCTCTTTCGCGTGTAGTACGGTAGGAAGTGCACTCACACAAATTGTGCGGTTGTTATTTTATGCCAAATATGAAGTCATTTTCTTTCCGTTCTCAGCGGTCTTACTTATCGAGTTCATACTTAGCGGTGAAATATAACGTGGCGGACTTTTTATTTTGGTTCAATATGAAGTCTGCGTGACGGTTACTGATTTGCAAGATTTTATATGCCACTATATAAGGAAAAATGGGTGACTTAATTGAAAGAGCATGCACCCAGGTCAATACACGTCTACCAACTAGGCCCAAAAGACCACTTTGTCAGCTTAACGGCTAACATGCCTGGGACCGATTCATATACTTGCAGTTTTATGCGAGTGTAAGGAACGCCACGCTGTGGCACTAAATCTGGATTGATTCCTAGTACATATATCTTAGTCAGTAAAAAAAAGTATATGGCCCACTCCTGTTCACACGCATATAGGAATTATTTGCTGGGGCGACTCGCCCTTCACCGCCTATCAATAATCCCAGCTTTGGCTCGTACCTTAATAGTCCTCGTTATTTGAGGTGGTTGTTCTAGGTGACGGTAGTCACTGAACGTCAAATTCTACGCCGCTCGAGCAGAAGTCACCGGACGCCTGAACGATCACCACAGCCTCACCGCATTTGCTGTTGATATGACCGAAACTAAATGGTTTTTTTCAAAAAAAAAAGTAAGGAGAGGGCAAGATCTAGCTTGCATTTGCTAAGCTTCCAGTGCCTGCGTTTTAAGGTAGCTGCGTCTGACGTTTTGGCGTCGAGGCCTTCGCTTACAACGGGTGACGAAAATCTTACGAGATGACTAGAACCTAAAAAGTAAGCCCAGCCCAGACTCGGCGGCCTTGCGGAGCTTCCGGATCTATATTCCAGCCACTATAAGACGCGGAATTCGTACGAGGGCTGGCTGGCTTCTAATAGGATCTTTGCCAGAGGCTTCTACAGGATCCATGTATAATTTTCCGTTCTCCATGGTCTAGTTTGTATATCTGAAATTTTTATTCATGCTTATTGATTAAACAACGGGGTCGTCGAGAAGTTTGACATTAGTGTAATTGATATTCACGGAAATATTCAGTTTAAGAGCAAAAGCACTTGGCACAACTCAAAGTCAGTCAGGCCCAGAATATGTCTGAACCTAGCTAAGTAAAGCTTCGACAACTGCTGTAGCGTTCATATAGTTGAATGACGATGAAGTACTCGCAAGTACAAGTAAGCAGCTTCAAACATGTGGCTACGAAAACTCCGTGGGGCAATGCATTCGAAAAAACAATATCTTATATCATTTAAATTAAGAACGTTGCGCCGATGATTCATGACTTTCAAGGTCTGACCAACTTTCTGTCAAAAGGATCAAGCATACCTTGGATAAATTGGTCACATGGCAGAGTGTTCAAGAAACCAGCACAAGCAACCTGACTATCTTATCTTCATATTCAAGCTATGACATATAAAACTGTTGAGATTAAAGAGATTTCTTTTTATCCTTAAATATACTTTCAAACATGACAAACATTGGGGTGCCTTCCTAGCTTTACGTTACTTGTCGGGTGCCAATTTTGATTCGCCGACTTTGCATTTCAACTTGCAACACCTCGACCCAATTCACCAAATGCTTCTTGTTCTACTGCCGACAGAATTGCTTCTACAGCTAGTCATGTTTCTAGAAAAGGAAACAGACATTAGCTCGTTGTCTCGAACATGTATCCGTCTTTATAGTCTCCTAGACTCATTGCTATATCGCCACAATGCCCAAACTTCAGGTAGCTCCGCTATTTTATGGGCCGCCAAAATGGGGAACGAGACTACAGCTCGGTTATCCATGCGAGAAGGAGGTGATATCAACGTGGTAGATGATACTGGGCGGACACCTCTATCTTACGCTGCAGCAAAAGGATTCCAGGCTGTGATTGAGTTGTTGATTGAAACAGAGAATTTAAACTTGGACTCAATGGACCCTAGGGGCTGGACACCATTGTTCTGGGCTGCAGAAAATGGCCACGAGGCGGTGGTAAAGTTGCTACTTGAGACGAGGAACGTTAGTATAGACCCAAAGGACTTTTGGGGTCGGACCCCGTTGTCTATGGCTGCACAAAACAATCATGATACTGTGGTGAAGCTCCTACTTAATACGGGAAAGGTTGATATGGACTCAAGGGGGTATTGGGGTCGAACTCCGTTATCTTACACTGCAGCAAAGGGATACAATACCGTGGTGGAGCTGTTGATTCAGACGGATAAAGTGAACGTGAACTCAATGGATCCTAGAGGCTGGACGCCATTGTTCTGGGCTGTAGATAATGGGCAAGCGGCAGTGGTGAAGTTGCTACTTGAGACGGAGAAGGTTAATAGAGACTTAAAGGACTTTTGGGGTCGGACCCCACTGTCCATAGCTAATCAAAACGGACATAAGGCAGTAGCAGAGCTTTTGAGTCACACCTGAGACGCAAATATGGGGTTTCGGGGGTTCTTTCTTCAATTTGTCATTACCTATTCTGAATATTTTCACGCAAACGGAACAAATCGGAAACCTTGAAGAATCGGGCTATCTTTTGTAGGATCCAAATTGTGCTACCTTTCAATCGTGAGACAAAATTATTATGTCCAGCCAAAGAATCGAGCCTAAATATTAGTATAGTACTGCTTCAAACCGTTCAAACACGAACAAAATTAGGTAATTCTCGCGGTCTATTAAGTTTTCAAACCCGTAAAACTTTTGTGTCGCTTCCATTTGAACATTGGTAGTGCGACTAAAGAGAGCTTAAATGGCCGGAGATTAGCTTGAATCGGTCTTTTTGACTATAGGCTTTTGCTCCATAGCATGGTAATGACTTATTAGGGAATTTATTAGGGTCAATATTATACGGACCCCCATTCTTAGCATTTGGACCCAGGTCAGCTGACACTATGCCTAATTAGGCCTGCCACGGTAGTTTCTTTTCCAATGCATTATTGCTTCATGGCTAGTGCTCTGAGTATCTGTGTACTTCCATTTACTATGTCCCTAGTAATATTAGTCACTACCGCTCGCTCATCTGTGGATGGACAGTATGCACGGCTATCTATTTGATGACTACTAGAAAATCTAACGGAATGTCAAGAGGATGTTGCCGGTATCGATAGTGTCTCATGTCATTGTTATTCACTACAGAAGGAAGTGCTATGGCAGAATCTCATAATACATATTGGTCCTGTTAGTAGGTGAATACGAGGATCTGGGATGGGAGACCAACGGGAACCTTGCGCACTAACGTCGAAAGATCACCCTTTGTTAGCTATTGCGTCATCATTTTATAGTAACTGAAGTTAGCTCCCGGCCAGAATCAATATGGTAAGCAAGATGGTGTGAATCGTACCCGTGGTATCCGATAGTCTGGATGAACAGTATCTGCTCACAGCTCGTGTTTAAGACTCTATCTCAACGTCATACCCAGACAAAAGGTATAAGGCCTCCGGAACTGCACCCCTCATAACTACCTTTCGTACGCTTAAAGTCATGGCGAGCAATCTGTGGAATTTATGCCGTCCGGGGCCTGTCACATATTGCGCAACTCAATGCTGGATAATTCATACAGTCCCTAAGCCAAACTATCGATTAGTACGCTTGTTCTCTACAACAAAAGTGCCTCTCCACTCTAATTTGTCGTCTTACGACGATCGAAGACGAATGAAGGTGGGCAATCCAGCTACCGCCCCTTGAAAATACTTGGAAATGCTGACTATATCATGGTCTTAGCATTCAACAGATATGAAAGGACTGGTCTATGCAGGTTCTGGTACATGCGAAGTTCGAGATTTTCCTATACCAGAAGTTCAATCCCCCACAGAAGCAGTTGTCCGGATGAGCTATACGAGCATATGTGGAACGGACCTGCATATTCTCAAAGGTGACGTACCAACGGTAGAACAAGGCCGAATACTTGGCCATGAAGGAGTTGGAACAATTACTTCACTCGGTTCTGCCGTCACTGGTTTCTTCGTTGGCGATGATGTTCTTATTTCTTGCATCTCTTCCTGTGGCACCTGTGCAGCATGTAGGAAAGGCATGAACTCGCATTGTACTACTGGAGGGTGGGTACTTGGAAACGTTATCGACGGGACTCAAGCGGAGTACGTCCGGATTCCACATGCGACTAATTCACTTTATAAACTACCTGGAAATATTGACCTAGCAGAGATGGTGGTATTTTCCGATGCCTTTCCGACGGGAATGGAATGCGGGACTCTGAATGCCGATATTCAGCCAGGGAGCTCTGTGGCCATCGTCGGAGCCGGTCCAGTGGGACTTGCTGCCATGCTCACGGCTAAGTTATACACACCACACCCGCTCGTCATTATTGACAAAGAAGTCAAAAGACTGCAACATGCCAAAAAGCTTGGTGCTGACAAAGTAATCAACGTGGCTGAACCTGACGCTATGGAGCAACTCGACTCTGTTGTTGATGGAAAAGGATTCGACTGCGTAATCGAAGCGGTCGGAACACCTACAACCTTTGACCTCTGCCAAAAGTTAGTGGCCCCAGGGGGCTCGTTGGCCAATATTGGAGTACATGGTCAGAAGGCAACACTTGACCTTGATAAGCTGTGGGATCACAATATCAGTAAGTCCAACAAGGGAAAAGATTGCTCAAAAGTATTGTCTAAGCGATTTTGCAAGGTATCAAAACTCGATTGGTCGATACGGTTACTATTCCGACCCTACTACGTCTCTTCCAGGCCGGCCAATTCCAATCATCGCTGCTCACCCATCGTAAGTTGAGGAATTCCTACATATCCATCTCGGTTCTATGGTCAAGAAACTAATGCCTTCAGGTTATGCATTCTCCGATATTTTGAAGGCCTATCAAGCATTCCAAACGACATCGAAAGACGGTATTTTGAAGGTCGGCATTGACTTCTGATAACATGTCTGTAATGCCTCTATCAGAGGGGTAAATAAAAAGAATTGAGATTATTCCTTTGAAACTATCATGAGCTTTTTTTTCATGCAGTGAAAAGGCATTTTGGGATCTTTTGCCTCATTCCAATATGTAGGACTATTTTGCTGTCATTAAATCCTGCAATAATGTCTTATGAGAAGGCTAGTGACTATTTTTGGTACGTTGCTTCGAGAATCAATGGCCAGTGGATAGACCCTCTCCGGTTAGTAGTTGGGGGGATGAATACTTGTAGATTCTCTCCTTGTGTCTCTTCCTCCTTGTTGTCCTCAACTAATCACTCACCCACGATACTCCCGGTATCAGCGTCCTTCTTTCCATTGCCGAGAGTAACTAACGACTTATTCTTGGTATCCTTCACCAACTATTATTCTTAGAACAGCCGCTTGGTGTATAGGTGATTTAAGGCTATGTTTTTAACCCCGAAAGAGTGGGCAATTTTGTAAACAAGGCAATGATTTATTGCACAGTAAACGAAATCGCCACTAAACTACTCCCACACAGAAAATTCCCCGTGGAAAGTATTCTTCCAATACCAACTGCTATACCTTGCTTGCTGCCCCTAGCAATATCCCTACTAATGTCAAGAGTTCCTCAAAACCGCCAAAAGGTTATCCTTCCTAAAACAACAAATCTGGCTTTGTTGGTCAATTCATAGGTTTTCCTAATGATACTACGTTTATTATGGAATATATCTTGCGGAGGGCCCAAACTACGGTCTTTCAAGTTGATAAGAATGCTTAAATTGGTCCCATATTTAAGGAGAAATTTGCTTCTCAACGTCTTTGACTTGCTTGCTAGTACATGATTTTGGCAGCTTAAAAAACCTTAACAGGTTCTTTTCCTACAATATATACCTCGGATTGATTGCACAATATAATTATGCTCATATTTTGCAAATTATGATTCGAAGGTTGAATCACCTGACGTTCTAGCAGCGTTTAGCTATCTAGCTCTATAAATGAAACATCCAATGAGCTTTCTTACAATGAGTCCATTTTTCTCCGATATTATCGTCATAATGCCGTCATTTCTTCAGTCGTAATGTGGTTGATCCGAATATTCAGCCTGTACCAGCGGTTCTACAGCTACCTAGAACGCTGTCAGTTTCGCAAATCATCCGCTGATTTTCTTTCGGCCGAATGAAGATAATATTGCATTGATGGACACAGCAATGTGGAATAGTTTATATATTGGACAAGTAATTGGTGATAACCTTGAAACCAATGATGAACGAGTCATTATCCGATTCGAGCCAAGATGCTACTATGACTATACCGATCATATGCGCTTTAGTTTTTTTTTACATTTTGATGATTTTTTTGTAAGTTTATGTTTTCTAGCTCTTATAAAGTTTCACTGGATTTAATACGTTCATAACAGAGCTATTTACCGAGGCTACAACCTATCCACTCTAGTGTCGGGCGCTCACTTACAAACTATCTACTATATCCCTATCAATGAGCCTATTGCGCGCAGATTGAGTCTATTCGAGCAGATAGCGCCCAAAAGGCCGTTTATTTCCTGGTGGATGTCCATGCAAACGGAACAGGATGGCTTAAATGTCTTTGACAGCATATTCAATTGGTAAATTCAGGCTCACACATAGGATGTTCTTATTAACTAAGCGACCAAGCAGTCCAATTTGCCTTGAGCAGGTCTTAAAGTTACAGATAATCCATCCGCTTCCATGTCGTCATGTATTCCATGACCAGTGCCTCGAGGGATGGCTTCTGGCCGGTCATAATAGCTGTCCACTATGTCAAAGGCCCCTGCTTCCCTTGATGCAAGCAGAAAACCTAGTTTAAATAGGTACAAAGATTTCACAAAGGGATTTCGGGAATAAGGGCGTCAGCCTGTTGACCTCGGGATATTTACACGGCTTTGCACGAAAAACTCCACACAAAAGTGCACATTAAACCCTTCAACCTCCGATGATAGTTTACCAGATTGTGGTAGTGGAATTGACTGAGAGAGGAGAAAGATGGATGTGGATTCCGGTTTGTGCACATAAATCTGCCTGTTATCAGACATAATATTCTCGAGATCGTGCGGCAAACAGCGTCCCTACTTATCTCCTGTTGCCCTGATAATGACTTACATGGCTGTCCCGGAAACTAGATTCAGTTTCCTACTCTTGGCTATCCAACATAATCTAGACTTTTCCTTCAAATCAATCGTCTGGATCACACCGGGGCGTTGACCGAGGCCTTGTGTGGTTGAGAAATATCTCGTTTGCCAATTTCGATATGGACTTCCGTGTCCGAATCCCCCCTAGGTCGCTATCGTATTCTGTCCATATTTGATGCAAGCACAGTCGAATCATGATTAGAGTCAACCAGGCATCGTCCATTTGATCGATTCTATCCATCAGTATCTCACATGTACGAGCGTTGGGGAAGTTGAGGAGTGTTGTGACAGCCAGCTCCAAGCGAGGAGAGGCCGGCATAACAGGCTCTGGGTCCATGCTGCGGTTAGATTTCGTTGTTTCAAGTACCACTGAGCCTAAGCTATCTAATTTCTCAAGAAAGACCGCGGAAAAGCGAGTCGTCTCGTGTTCACCTATTTCTTCGCGAAATGGCACATTCCGTTTTCACATACTAGAAAAAGTCGTCATCCTTGGGTTTGCGACCGAGCCGGGGTCTGCCGGGGGTGCAGGAAGATTCAGATTGCCATAAGGCTCAATGAGAAGGTGAAACTAGTTGGTCAAAGCAGGAGCGGTCACTTGGCCTGCTGGTGTCGCGTCGAAGCATGTAGCTGCGTAAGAGTTCCACGAGGTTTGGTCATAGGCGCATTATGGAAGACCCAGTCTAGACTGCGTCGGGTACAGCGTGAGCATGTTGGGCTGGCATGATCGCAACGGATTTTGGACTTACGGTGTGAATCGCAGGCCTGTAGTTGGCCATTGTGGCACCTCTTTGGTTCTGTGAGCATGTAATTTGTATCACTGAGGAGAAATACTCTGTATTCCCACCCAAAGACCTCTTTCCAGTATCTGATTTGTTGAGCGAAAAGGTTTTGAGAGGGGAAGCTACTCTATGCAAAAGATAAGGACTTGGCCGTCAAGACTTCACGTCAGAGAGGCCATCAACTTCCAAATTCAAGAACTCGGGCTTTGGCGATGGCACTTGGCCCGATTTCGATCTTGTACTATAAGTTTGGGGAGTGCCACACGTAGTGTTTGTATTTTTAAAAAAAAGATTCAAACACTTAATGTCCAACCAAATACCGACTTTCAATGATACAGAATGGAAATCAAAGCCCGGAACGACATGTTTCGACATGATATACTATACAGTGGTGAAGTATTCAGGTATGTAGCAGTTTCCCTGAGCACAAAAATACAAGATGACACTTCAAGGGGACTAAGATATATTTAGTCTCTGAATATGGTGATAATATGTCAAAAAAAAAAAATTTAAATACGGCACTACCTCTTCAACAAATAGTGTAAGACATTGAAAGATAATTGTAGCCAGCTTATAAGCGACGAGTTGCTTGCTGCAGTATAACTACCAGTTGGCATTCTTCAGTGTCTGACACATGCACAGAAGTAAGCCGTAAAAACAACACCAAGTGGCGAGTTTGATGGCAATTAAAGTACCGGGTCACTTCAGCAAGTTGAGAGAATCATTCCAACGCCTGCCTCTAGCGAATCCAAGGTCCATGGCTAATTATCGCGAGCTTTATGAGCGAGCAGGATGTTGTTATTCACGGGTCGACCTTCTCGTTAGGATTTGCGTTATAGCGGAACTGGCACCTCGGAGTTATCTGGTACATGTTCCATCATCTGTACTCGTACTAGCATACCTATAATGGTCTCAGCTCGTAGTAAGCTACAATTTTGATATTGAATAGTCTTTTATACATGCTCTCTCTCGGTCCGATGGGATCCTTCGCTGTAAAACCCATCTGAAGTTGTCTGGGTAACTTCGAACGTCTGACGGATACCGACTTCCATTCTTCCTGGTAGTGGATGTTGTTGCAAAGTCAATCCTTCCACGCTATCGCTCGGGCTGCAGGATTGTGGCCAGGAGATTTCCAAATCTCTTTGGGTCTCGATGTTTGTCACCATGACTGCCAGTTTATCGGGTCTCAATTCGCTCCGATCATGTGCTCCCATTGACCCCAAAGCCACAGGACGTTGTCTACTCCCGGCAGTTGGACGCCCATAAGATTCTTTTGGGAACCCAGCAGAATACGATGGATCTGCATGTGAACCAAGCCAGTGACGAAGAAGCGGACGGAGGGTTGCGAGACTGCCAGCAGTAATACCAAGGCCAACCTCCAGATTTGACCAATAGGCAATTTGAACAGTAGAATCTGTGGTGAATTAGCATTCGTGAAGACAGGTTGTCTGAAGACCAAAGGGAGAAATGGGGCGTACATAAAAAGTCGTCTAAGTCATTAAAAGTGCTCACGAACGGTATACGAACAATCACGGCGGAGGATGCACTGCATAACGGTTTAGTGAATTTCCAATCCCAGGGGTAAAACGAGAGTGGTGACACACATGCAAGCCATACTCAAAATTCCAATAACTGCCAATTTCGTCTGGCGTTTCATGTGAAGTTTGTGCACAACAAAGACAGGTAGGATACCAACAGTAAAGTCGCACATTGCGGCAAACGCACTGTAGACATATGTCATGGCGACAATGATTTCCATGTTGATACAAGAGCCTTCGCCTTCGATGTTGACGACCGGGTGATGCTTCATCCGAGTCCAGAAGTAGGAAAGTGGCCTGCATTGCAGGAACATCAGAAACATGAACACTAAGCCCGCAAGAACGGTCATGGCCATGACAGAATAGAGAAGCCATAGGTGCAATCGCCTGATACAGATTCGCAGGAGGAAAATGCAGATTGAGATCTTGCAAAAAATAGATGAGAAGCAGAAAGCAATCTCGCAGAACCACCAATACTATTTGAATATGGGTCAGCAAAGTGTTATAAAATTGAGCCCTGTGGATCAAATTTACCTCCATGGCAGCCACTCGCTCCTCCGGTTCGAGACTATACCAGTGCCGCCCATTTCCATGCACCCCTGCGCCAATCATGGCCCCAGAGAAAAAGATGTACCAGAACTATCTGAATGTCAGTAGACTGCGTTTCAAGCTTTGCAAAGGTAACTTACCATAGCCATAACCATAGCACCATCATCCCATCCAAATGCCTTCACCAGCCAGCCCCGGACATAGCATCGTAGCATCACAGCCACACATGCTATCGACATGAATAGGGCTGCGACGACCTTGATCGCCATGTTCCTTTGGTCTTCATCGCTGCTCATACTGAGATGAGACTTTCACATGTGGCGAGGTTTTGTTTTCTCCTGAATGGAAATCCTAGGAAAAGTTGGAAGCTGGGTGGCGCGGAGTTCAAAAACCTTTGGGCGCCACTAAAATATGACACCAAGAGATCGACAGAGCCAAAATGGGTACGGAGTACATGTGCACGAGTTTCCCGCAATCATGTTCTCCAAATGCCGGCGTGTGGAGATTTCGTTCTGTCGGAACCTGCAGTATCCACCAGCAATCCCAAGAGTCTTTGCAGACAAGGGAAGGATTGTCTCTCGTCCCGCGCCGAACCTGCAAAATTTTAAGGAGCATTAAGCTAGCGCCCACCGTTTGGGCTAGTGCTGTTTGAAGTGCGCTGTATCTCCACTACACGCGGGAGCGGTATCCCGATTGGATGGTAGCGGGCTCGTTTCCTGGAATCAGGGGCTTTCCATAACTGCCGAGGCTCAATTAGTATCGTGGTGAAAGATTTCCAGGAGTCTAGATTTGTTCCACCGGTTTGCCGTGAAGTGCCAGGTGAGACAGGATCGACTTGTTATTTTAACATACCAGGGGTTTGGCCGAGTTTGGCAGCTGTCAGTCCACTTTTTAATCATAATCCAAGATTGGCGCATTTTACAACTGAGTTGCTCTCGCAGTAATTTGGCGATGAAGTAACTCAAGACTTTATTTACTATGGCCGGGTTGGGAATTGGGAAAGAAATCCATCTTGGTACTAAATGTCTACCATGTTGTCCTGCATTATAAGTTATGCGATCCTAGGTTCGTGGCAGGTGTGAAGGACACCGCCTCTGACGTTTGTTCGAATAGCGTATGCAGACTATGAAGTTTCCTTTCATTCTGCAGGGTACCATATGACTAGCACTAAGACAAGATAAAAATACTTGGACATCTATAAAAGTCAGAGTCATTGGCTAAACAATGTTTGTATTGTGTACGTGGCCCAGAGTGTTTGCCCCTGTCGCTCATGCGTAGGGGAGAACAATGGCGCTAACGCTTACGCTACTTGCTCGGCGACTTCCCGAATACGCTATTGTTCCTTCGCCTCTGTTTCCTTTCGAGGATGGTGCTTTTCATAGCGCTCACGCGTACTATGTGGGTGCTGAAAAGGAGTACTTGTAATTGTAATGAGAACACTTGCGGTCTTGGCGAAAGATTCCACAAATGCGCCGAGGAAAATGCTTGGCAAAACTAGAAATCCCGATTTATTGCAACGAACCTCAATTTAATTGAAGGATCTTGCTAGTACGAATCCGGAGGTGGCAGGATGGAACTGGGTCTTTAGATCAAGGACGGTACATGCAATTCACAAGGCTTGTTAGCTTTGCATATGCGTAGTGCGATATTAGTGGGGAAAATTTCGGTTCTTTTCGCGGTACTCAGATCCTCTTCCGATTAAGCAATCCTATGAATTCTAACCTCATCAACTTGCGAGTGATCTTTTGGTATCATAGCCGGGGTAGAAGTAGCTACCACATTACGTTTGGGACCCTTGGGACGCAACCATGTCCCACAAATAGCTCGACGTTATTTAGATCAGTATTTTTCGAATTCCTTGGTCAAAATATATATTGAAATCCACCTACGTCGTAGTCACAACTACATAGAACATCCACACATCATCGAGAAATGAGCATTCGATTCGTGAACAAATGAGTTCATATTAACGATGGCACTGAAAAAGTATAAAAAGCTCGTAAATGGTAACGAGGCCAGATGGTTCTTTTGGACACCCTGGGCTAGACGAAATGCAGCTTTTTCCTCCGCCTTCTTTCCAAAAAAAAAAAAAAAAAAAATATATATATATATCCATACGAAATTGTGATAAATTTCTCAACTTATCGCACAAAACCTGAATGTTTAGCTGTGTAGAGTCCAAAAATAAAACCCTTGAATTGGAGTAAAGGGATGCAGGGCCCAATGATATGTGGGTGTTGGGGGCGGAGAGATGAGATTACCGCCCGCAAAAACCCGCTTCGTCTTCTCATTAATTTTTCCATCGCAAATATGCTGTCAGGAGCCAGTTATAAATCTTTAGTAACGGGACTGTTAGCCTTCTATGGCTTCATTCTTTTATTCTGGATAAGAAAGGCACCAGGTCCCGAGCCACGAGACTTCGACCGCCACCCAGGTATCATTTCAGAGCCTCACCCGTTAACCCCTGATCAGGCGGTCAAAAATAGAACCTTAGGGGTATGTGCTAGGACTGAGTTTGATTAGAATTTTCAAATTGATCATAGGCCTTAGTTCGAGCGCATTTTTGTGATTGGGCTCAGTGATCGAACGGATAAGCGTGATGCAATCACCTTGATTTCCTCGTTTCTAGGGGTAGACATTGAATGGATTGATGGTGTCAAGCAAGACGACATAAACCCCAAAGCCTACCCATCGGTATGTCTCAAATCTCGATAGACTTGTCAATATCACTTATCATTGCACAGAAACCCGGACATCATCTCCTGGACAGGCCAAATACTCTCGGCTCATGGCGTGCTCACATGAACGCATTACAAACGTATGCAAATGCCATGGACCAACTCTTCAATTTGACGCTAACTCGTTTCATGAATGACATAGGATGATTGCCCGAGGCTATAGCAGTGCTCTTATTCTCGAGGATGATTCTGATTGGGACGTGTCATTCAAAGATCAAATGGTTGAATTTGCCCGTGGAGCCCGCGCTATTTCAACAAAGCAAGACAACCCACACTCGCCGTATGGTGATTCTTGGGATCTTCTTTGGCTAGGACATTGCTCTTCTCGTGCCAAGAAGGGGCCTTATTGGAAGATACCTAATGATCCTACAGTCGCACCGTTACAATATAGGACTGGATTTAAACACCCGAGTATAATTGATGAACCCGATGCGGCATTCTCACGCTACATATATTTGGCCGAGGACTTGCTGTGCAGCTACGGCATAGCATGGACTTTGGATGCAGCGCGAAATGCTCTTGCCCGTATGTCCATGCTTGAACTTGATGTGGCAGCTGCAGATGTGGGTTTCCATGTTGCATGCGACGGCGGGCTTAGATGTTTGACGTCAGAACCAGCCTTGATTGGAAGCTATCGACGAGCGGGCCCTCCCCAGGCGGACTCTGACATAGAGATATTCGAATCAACGGAATGGCATGAGGCTGGATCTGGGCACATTGTGTGGAGCTCTTCTCTTAACGCTTTGCGGTTAGCGGCAGGGTCAACAGTGAAGGCACAGTGGCCAGAGATTACTCCTCCGGAAATTGACCCAATGAAGCTAAAAATACCAAAGGGCCACCTGGAAGATCTCTCCTGATCTGTTCGAATTGCCTATCCCGTTTGCAATTGCGGCGGGATAATTCTTTCTGCTTGTTCTGATTTGGAGAACCAATCCGTTTTCCCCCTCATTGATGATAGACAGATTATCACACGATGGAACCGGTGCATAAAGATTCACGATGTGCCTGAGTAAATTGCGAAAGGTTGTATCTGGGCCCAGACCTAGCTGATTAGATCTACCGTTGTTCAATTTACAGTACAGAAAATAGAACTTCCGATTGGTGTCTTTCTTAGCTGGTAGAAGCTCCTCACTAGCTTCCCTATTCAATTAATAATGCTTCAACGAGAATCAGGGCCAAGGCACAATCATGAATCCATCCTAGCTAGGGTTTGATGTGAATAGGATCAAAGCGACGAGGAAAGGAGAAACAAGCTATTGCAGAGCAAAGTGGATCAACATAATCCGTTTTCGCTTACTGGGGATATTTTGCAACAAGAAAAGCGACAGATCAGGCAGGCATTGTGAATGAGAAAGTGCCATCCGTAGCGCTGAATGTGGAGTCAACCGGTGTGATCGTAGTTTCGGAATTCGTATTCGCAGCTTCTCCGTTATCACTCCCAACAACGGTAAGTGTCGCACTATCCAAGTCCCGGGATTAAACCTGCCATCTCCTGGCTCTCGCTGCTATAATTTTCTAGCTTCACAAAATATGTCTCATCTGCACTGGAAGAAACCATACACAGATCCAAGCAGAATCGCTTGTCGTCGCTTTGATCGTGTTGCCGCGGTTTGCGGAAAGTATTTCTGGAAAAACTAGCTACTAGACTCTATGACCATCGATGGGGCCTGTGTGAAGGAACACAAATTCGGCTGTTAGCGTGGAAGGTCAGTTTCTAGCAACTTCATGGAAGATATTGTTATTAGTGATCTCACCGTGCATTGGGTTGAATTTGTAAGCTGTCAAAAGGGGCACATAGGCAGCCATTTTCACAACGCTATTCCTCTCCATGCCAATCATGAAGACAGCTTCGGCCACCGAACCTTTCATAATTGACCAGTTAAAGCTATCTTGGTCAAATTTGCCACCAAAGTAGGGGAGAGACCGATCAAAGGTTGTCGAAGAAGTTTAACGGCTCCACCAAGCCCTCTGGGGCGTTGTAGACATGAAAGTCAACCCACGTGCTATCAGGCATTGAACTAGGATGACAAGAGGCATTTGATGTGCTGGCAATAATATTCAGATCTGGATAAACTGAATGGATGGCATCGCGAAATTTAGTGAATCTCCTTGGATAGGTTTCGCAACCTCCACCAAGATGATCTTGGTTGCCGATTTCAACCATCGTCAAAGGCCAAGGGTCTAACAACCATAGGAAGACCGCAAAGATCCATAGGTTCTACTTTCATCCCCAAAAATAATTAGAAAAAGAATCAGCAAGTTGATAACCCGCCTCAAGTTGCATCGAGAGTCAACTGTAGCTCGTTCGAGATATCCTCAATGTATGGTATAAGCGCACTGCCTGTAATTGGTTTATTTTCACCCGACTCAAGTGGAAATCCTGCCCAAACTTCTAGAACTGGGGCTAAGCCCATGTCCTCACTCCAGCAAAAGCATTCACCAAGGCCTGCTCCTCATGGGTAAACGATTTGAACTGAACATGTTCAAACATAACTCACCCAAACAATCAGCATTGTAATATTCCTAGTCACCTAGAGATAAATTGTCAGGTGCGTTAGCTCCAATTCGTGTAGGATTTTCTCACCTTGCCGGCCCGCTCGATCCTCTATTGGACCAATGGTTTTGTTCCCCTTCCAACTAGTTTCTTCCGTCTCATCATGATTGATTGATTGATTGATTGATTGATTAGCTAGATAATCATTTCAATTCACTTTGATCACGGATAATTCCATACAGATTGTTTCCGCGGGGAAATCTAAGGAAAGAGCCTCTCATAGCATCCAAAGCACCTGCGAGCTGAGGGCGGGACCGTTGTATCTTAAAGAACTTTGTTCAGCATCTCTAGGCTGCAAGGGAAGGTACCAAATAGATTTATTTTTGGCAAGAATTGTGTCACTGACTCATTTTTGTAGGTTGATGGGAACAGCCGACCAAAGCCAAAATGCAGGGAGGATCTCGCAACGTCTCAGCAATTGTCAACTCATAGTAAACGTTTCCACCGGGGGCTTTGGTAGTGGGGAAGGATGCATCAATATAGATGAAATTATCAAGGTTTGATGACATTGGAATAGATGCAGATGCGTACTCTACTCCGGTATCCTTGCCCATAAGTCGGGCTGTAACACTCCCGTTTAGTGATCCTTTGATCCAAAAGCAGGTCTGAAGTATTTTTCATCGACAGGGATTACCCAGTATCCGGAATTAGTGACACAGACCGGCCCACTTGTGTCAACAGGAACATGAAGTCGCAGGCTATGTGGAACGGCAGAAGATAATGGGTCATTGGAGTCAACAGCAATAGTGGCATCGCCAACTGTGCCCAAGTCATCAAATCTGGGGGTTTTACCCTGAAGTCCAGGGTTTTGTAGCGATTGGCCATATAATCCTCCATCACCAGAACGGTTGATATCCTATTCAACATGTGTCAATAAAAGGAAGTCAATCTTTGGATACTAATTCAAATGGTTTTTGTTTACCTCGAACATGAAGCCGTATGCCGATCAGACCGATGTATGAATCACTATTAAGTTAGCCGTGGTATTACAGCGGTTGTGATCAATCCAAAGCGGTTCAAGACACCTCGAGTCCCGATCAGACTGCATGAAATCAACATGGTCTGCGTGAGGCAGTCCTATATTTATTGATTCAAGTTGGTTAGTGCCATCATACTGCAGGGCCACAAGGCAATACTATTCCATCCATATTAAAACCCAGTGGAGATCCCTTCGGAGTACATTTTCCGGGCCCCAACTTGGGAAAACCCCCCGGGGAATATTGAATGCCAGCTCCACTCGACTCAACATCTTCTCATCAAACTTGAATGTGTCTGATCATCAATACGGAGAGGTGGATAGAAAAGAAGTGACCAACAGGGCGCCGGGAAGGGAAAATAGGCTCGTAACCTTTCGGACGCACTCACCTGGAAGGAATGAAAAGTCGCGGAAGCAGAAGCAGGGACAACCGGGTGGGGGTCATAAAATTTAGTGAGGACTCCAGGCGCCCAGAGTGCTTCAGCATGGAGATGGATTAGGTCTTCGTCCGCCTTGAGGAATGAGGGATTGTGAGGTGCGCAAAATACCCTCTATGGGTTAGTGCGACCGGTGATTGGAGACCGAAGAAAAGGTATCAAACAATCAATCATCAATCAATCAAAGTTCTATCAACCTAGGCAAAATAGGTACACAGGCCGGTCCGCGCTTTGATGTTAGACAGATCAGGGAGGGAAAGGCTAATCGCGATCGGTAGTATTGCGCCAGGTGCCAGTCGGCGTTCTGGTGGGTTTGGGTGGATTTTAGTTGCGGGGTGTCTGGAGTGAGCGAAAATTAATGCGCAACGACTAGCATTGTAGTCAAGGAAAGGCGCAAATCCAATGCAAAAGTGAATTGACTGTACATGGGAGTTGAGCTCTGGGTAGTGGGGTGTTTCAATCTCTATTTCCAAGATAGCCCAATTGTACTCCGGATCGACCAAAAAGTTTCCCCGAGTGGAGAACGCCATCCACAATCATCCGAGTGACCTGTCAAGGTAGCCTTTACATGAAAGAAGTTGTGGCACGGAGTGTGGCTTAAGGACACCAAGGTGATTCGCCGTATCAGTGCAGGGAACTTTAGCATCCCCAATCCAAGAGGCAATGAAAACGTAAATCTGATGGATTTCGTAAAAGGACTTGAACATCTTTCTAATCATCCCCGCATTACTTGACTACTATGTGTATCTTACAACTAAGTACGGAGTACCTACATATCACGGAATGTTTCCGGCTTTCCTTCATTCCGACTCTCGGAAGTATTTCCGACTTTCCGATTACAACTGTCTATAAATATTGAAAGACTTCCAACGCGGTAATCTGGTTGCCAACGCAATCATGTCTCACCCCCTCTCTATTCTCTCTCTAACCGAGACTAACTTGGCCCGTGATGTGATCAAAGCTGCTCACCCAAATGTTGTCATTGACTTCCGAGAGATCTTCCTGCAGGAACCACCAAAAGCACTGCTCTTGGAGTTTCTGGCAGTGGAACATGCTGGTCGTCTCAGCCCAACAACCCCGAGGCCTCCGCGTCTCGCCCTATGCCAGTATGATGTGATTGGCTCAGACCGTGTCCCCCAGTTCCACGAATCGGTGGTCGATTTAGTTTCGCAGTCGCGCGTTAAGCACACGGTGGTGGGGAAGCAACATCATGCCAGTTTGACAATGTAAGCAGTACCATGGAATCAGTGAAAGGTGCATACTAATCATTTCAAAGCAACGAGTTTGATGTCCTTGTGGAACGGTGCATGAAGTCTCCCTTATTCCAGGAAGCCCTCTCGGATTTCATCCTTCCCGAGGGCTTTGAGGTCGTGATTGAGCCCTGGCCCTATGGCGGATTGGATCATACAGATGAGAATCGCCGCTTCTTTCAGGGCTTATGTTTTGCCCAAGACAAGCGATCTGGAAATGAGGACTCCAACTTCTACTCTTTCCCCTTGCCTGTCATTCCGGTGATGGACGCTTTGACACAAGAGATTATCCGCGTTGATCGACCTGCCACCGGTGGAAAAGGTGAGGGACTTTTGGATCAAACCTTCAAGCGAGACATTATCGGCCACTGCAAGCCTTCGGAATATGTCCCAGAGCTAATGCCCGAGGGCACACGCAAGGATCTAAAGCCACTCAATGTGGTGCAGCCTGAGGGTCCTTCTTTCCGGGTTACGAACGAATCTCTCGTCGAATGGCAGAAGTGGCGGTTCCGTGTCGCCTTTAATCCTCGAGAGGGAGCCACCATTCACGATGTGTCCTATGACGGCCGCAGTGTGATGCACCGACTGGCAGTTAGCGAAATGGTAAGAATCTTTGTCTCTGTCAGAGAAACCAATGCTAATCTTTCCGTTCAGACAGTACCTTATGCTGATCCACGACCTCCCTTCCATCGGAAGCAGGCCTTTGACTTTGGCGATGGAGGTGGTGGTAACATGGCCAACAACCTGTCGCTTGGTTGTGACTGTCTTGGAGTGATCAAATACTTCGATGCTGTCCTCACTCAACCAGATGGCACTGCCCAAACCCTCCCCAATGCAATCTGCCTTCATGAACAGGATAATGGAATCGGCTGGAAGCACTCCAACTGGCGCACTGGGCGGGCGGTTGTCACTCGGCATCGGGAGTTGGTCATCCAGTTCATCATCACACTGGCCAACTATGAATACATCTTTGCCTACAAGTTCGACCAATCTGCTGGCATTACAGTTGAGGCCCGCGCCACAGGTATTTTGAACGTCGTCAATATCGATGCTGGCAAGGTCAGCGACTACGGTACTGTGGTCAGTGGTGGCGTTCTCGCCCAGAACCACCAGCATATCTTCAACGTCCGAATTGATCCGGCAATTGACGGTCCAAACAATTCAGTGATTGTTGAGGAATCTCACCCTGTTCCAATAAATGCAGTCACTAACCCGAACGGGAACTTTTACGAAGTCACGAAGCAGACAGTGGAACGTTCTTCTTGGATAGATGCTGCTCCTCAGCTCAACCGTACTATCAAGATGGTTAACCCTCACAAGACGAACCCCATCAGTGGAAGCCCCGTGGGCTACAAATTCATTCCTTTGGCAACCCAGATGTTGCTGGCCGATCCAGAATCAGTACAGGCACGTCGGGCGCAGTTTGCTCAACATCACGTTTGGGTCACCAAGCATCGTGACGGAGAGCTCTATGCTGGTGGGCGCTATACGTTACAGAGCCAGACAGAAATTGAAGGTGTCGCAGACGCCGTTCGCCGTGGCGATGCCGTTGTCGATACCGATGTGGTAGTTTGGAACTCCTTTGGCATTACTCACAACCCACGTGTAGAGGACTGGCCTGTGATGTAAGTGTTTTTTTCTGTCATTTTTTTGCACACAACTAACAATCCCAGGCCTGTGGAGATCTTCCAACTCATGATCCGACCCGCAGACTTCTTCGTCGCTAACCCGTCGCTCGATGTGCCTTCCAACAAGAATGGATCGTCTCGCTTAGCCGATGCGGAATGTTGCCGAAAATCGCACATTTAGGTGGTTATATTGATTGTACTTTAGCGTTCTTCAAATTCACTTCTACCTTGTTAGATCTAAAGAGATGCTTGTAGTGAAGTGAGTCTAGGGATTTGGTACGGCTTTCGGTGCATGCTATACAGGAATTTAAAATCACATAATATATTCAGTAATCATTCAGTAACCATCCAAATCAGAAAATAACTTTTGACTTATAATTTATTGTAAACTGGGCTAAACGAACATATACACGGTAGTAGACTGCCGTACAGGCGGATAAGATCCGCAGCTCGGAATCTCGGCTCTGGCCATTTCCATTCCGCCGTCAATTCCGAGTTACCTCTCTCTTTGACCTCACACCTCACCATGCTCGATTCTGAGGATTCGTCGCGAAGAAAGAGAGCCAAATATACTCAAGTTGCCTGGTGTGTCAACCCCTGTTCTGCCTTCTGCCCCTTTTTCGTGAACTGATCAAATCAGCAACGAATGCAAACGACGCAAGTTGAAATGTAGCGGTGGTTCTTCCTGCGCGCGATGCTCTCGCGATCAAATCCCGTGTGTCTATGCTACGATTCGATCTAGTGGAATGACTCAGACTGAGATCAAAGATGACCAGTATGCCCTCAAACATCCCCCGTAGTCCAAGAGATATTCACTGATATCCATTAGAGCAACTACGAGATTCCGAGTTGTAGACCGGCAGTTAGAAACTCTGCGCCAGGAGATGCGCACACTTTCCGCCCGCCTCCATGAACTCGAATCCAGCAGTCCTGCTTCGTCGAAGCCATCAGGAATCCCGGCTGCGGGTGGTCTGCGTCGCATCTTGAATGCACCCAAGTCACCAACTTATGTCGGACCCACAAGTGCAGAGTTCGGTCTTAATCGTCCACAATCATTTTCTTCGGATGAGAAAGAGGCTGCTGAAGGTCGTGACGAATTAGACCTATCAACAGTTGCCCCGAGCCCTGCACCGTCCGACGAGGGCGAGAATGTCGCCACTGGGGATCCTCTGGAAAGCCTAGGGCTCAATGAAACACTCCGTTTGGTACAGATATATGAGGACACGGTCGGTGTGATGTACCCTTGTGTCGACTTGGAGAGTGTGCGCGCATATGTCTTGGAATACTATCGCTCTAATTCAACAACCGGGCCTTCCGAATCGATGGCACCCGTTGCCGATGATTGGTTCTCTGCAAGAGATGCCCAAGTTCTCAAGATATTGCTGGCAACTGCTTTGCTGGCGGAATCGCACGGTCGCAGTGAACGTGCTGCCCATCTAGCCGACAGTGTCGAAGACCGTTTTGCGAGCAGACTAAAAGTCGCCGAAGTCGACATGAAAGAAATTCTCATTCTGACCTTGTTGTCCATCTTCCATTCTTATCGAGACGACGAAGTCATTGCTTGGCGATTGATCGGGATGGCAGTCCGAGGGAGTACAGAACTAGGCCTACACCGTCAAGACACCTGGCAAAAGACTGGAGGTGTTTTTCCGGGGGAATTGGAGTGGACATGGGCGAGTCGACTATTCTGGTGTATCTATGTACTGGACCGGAAATGGTCCTTTGGAACAGGTCTTCCCTTTGCGATTCAAGATGCGGATCTGGATGTCAACCTACCTGAGCCGGGCCACTCCACACCATACCTGACATGTATGATCTCTTACGCTCGTCTGAGCACAAAGATATGGGGGCTGGTTGTGGGCTGGTCCAATCGTTCACAGGCAGCGACTTTAGACGGTGTCGCCTATTTGGATGCTCAAGTCCAACAGTGGATTCGTTCAATTCCACGCGAACTACGATTCGATCCAAGCTGGCGCTCTCCGGAGGGATCGGAGCATACCGACCGAGCCATGATGCTTCAAGTTCTTCTTGCTCTGCAGGCTAATCAGCTCCGAATTCTTGTCTACCGCCAAAATCTTCTAAGTGGTGAACGGATTGCAGACAACCTTGTGGGCGCGTCAACCGCCGTAGAGACAGCCAAGAGCACTGTGCACATGCTGGATTATTTCAGCCGGGTTTCAAGTATATACTTCCAGCGCCCGGAGCCATTCAATTACTTTCTGTTATCAGCTCTTGCGGCCCTCTTCTTGGCTGTCTTACATGCTCCATCGCGTTTCAGCCACGCCTGCCGACCCGAGTTTTATACGGCTGTAGATATGGTCCGACGCTCGGCAACCCGGGCCCGTACCTCACGGAGATTGCAGAAAATCATACACAGCCTGAAGCTGATTCAATTGAATATTCGGCTGGACGATGCCGGTCGCCAATCCGTTCGTCGCGGCCCGAGTGGAGGTTTAAAGGACGATCCGTCGGATCCCTATTCGCTTTCTACCTCGCAAACAAGTCTGCAGTTATCTCACGCAATCTGGAATACCACCCCGCGGTCTGGCACAGCACAGTCACCCGGGCAGTACACTCCTAGCCTTCACCAAACTTCCGGAATCCCTACTCCTCAGCCCTCGTCTACCACCCTCTGGCCAATCTCACCCGGGATAGTAACAGGAGCAGAGACAAATGGCTGTGAAGACTTAAGCAGCTTCTTTGAGATTGCAGGCGGGTTCTATTTTGACCCCCACACTGATCCGGACGTCTCCGTAGACGTGGGCTTGACTCAGACAAGCGACACACGATTGCCTAATGCGTTAGATGCTTTTCACGCCGAAGATGAGGCATTGACTCGAGTGATGGCAGGTCTACTGTGAGAAGGAGAAAGGGGTTGTAGGCACAATTATTTAATGCAAACATAACCTGAAACGCAAGTTGGACATATTGGGCAATACTCCGAGCGTGCTCCATGTTCCGCTTATTCTTACCTCCTTCTGTCCAACTGAAGAAACGCACAGTGCCATCTTTGAGGGTCCCCCGGAACTTGGCGTGTCTCGGTTGCATGGTGGCGCCTGTAGCTAGTGTTTGGGAATTCCACCAGTCGGTGCTAGGGGTCCCTGTTTTTGGTGCAATTTCTGAAGTGCTCCAATCGGTTTAAATGAGCTCTGATAATTTTTCCTATTGCATGGACAGAACGTTGTCCGCGGAGCATCTCCGTGTATTGGTATGACAAGGCTCAAATTCCACGAATTGTGCTTTATGCAGGGTTTCGGGTGTTTCTATAACTAGCTCGTGGTATCCTCGCATTTCAGAGTAAATTCACTCTCTGTCCACGCTACGAAAGATCTTTTCCAATGCATCTGATGAAGGCTGTTAGGCCAGCGGTCTTGTTTGCGGCCTTGGCGCATGGATATGCGAACCCCGGAACATGCTCAGGGGCCTGCAATGTGCACGACCCGTCGTTGATCCAGAGATCCTCCGACAAGACCTATTTCCGTTTTTCTACTGGCAATAAGATCTCCTACGCAAAGGCCTCGTCTATCTCAGGACCATGGACGACTGTAGGGTCCATGCTTCCTTCTGGATCATCAATTGACCTTGCCGGTAACGATGACTTATGGGTAAGATCTTTGCACTGGCGCATTGCCACATATATATTCACGTCATGTTACTTAGGCACCTGACGCTCAAATTGTGAATGGTGCTTACCATGTTTACTATTCCGTTTCGAGCTTTGGATCGCAAAATTCAGCGATTGGATTAGCTACTTCCGCGACTATGGAGTCTGGTTCTTGGACTGACCATGGAAGTACTGGCATCGCCTCATCTTCTTCCAAAGCATACAATGCTATTGATGGTAATCTCTTCAATGATGGTGGCACCTACTACATGAACTTCGGCTCTTTCTGGCATGATATCTATCAAGCGCCAATGAATTCTGCTGCCACCAAAGTCGCATCATCGTCCTACAATTTGGCATATGACTCTTCCGGTACGCATGCTGTCGAGGGAGCTTACATGTACAAGTACGGCAACTACTATTATCTCTTTTACTCTGCTGGCATTTGTTGTGGCTATGATACATCTCGTCCTGCCAGTGGAGCAGAGTACAAGATCAAGGTCTGCAGGTCAACTTCAGCTACTAGTGGATTCGTACGTGTTTCAAGGCTTCACAAAATGTCGTTTTCTTTAGTTAACTTCGTTTCTAGGTTGACAAATCTGGTACTGCCTGTACAAGTGGTGGAGGTACAGTTGTCTTGGAAAGCCACGGCACAGTCTACGGCCCCGGTGGACAGTAAGTCATTGGATAATACCTTACGAAACGTCAAATCACCCAAATTAACAGCTCTCAGGGGAGTGTTTACCGATCCTACTTACGGCCCAGTGCTCTACTATCACTATGTTGATACCACAATTGGCTATGCTGACGGCCAAAAATTGTTTGGATGGAACGCGATTGATTTCTCCAGTGGGTGGCCTGTAGTCTAATCTGAACTTCCCAGCTGCGGTTCTACCCAATGATCTCGCCAGATCGGTTAGAGGGAAGCAGAATGTATGTGACAGTTCTTTCAGTTCAAGAATAAAGCCGGTCAATTCAAATCAGGATTTCATTCTACTTCCATTCTGCTTCCCGCGACACCTAATATTCAACCATAGCTTAGAGACATGAATGCCCATTTTGTTTCAGTCAAAAAGACCTAACCGTGAGGATCCGCACCGTAAAATTGTCAACTGCGACGAAGGTGAGGGTCTGGTGTATCACATGAAACCATTGACGCTATCCCCAGTAGAGCTTCATGTATTGCTCAACAGTTGTGGGCTGTGAAGGTGACAAGTTGAGTGTAGATGGCACAACAGATGCGCCACGTGAACAAACAATTTCCAGTTGACATTCCATACGAGGAATGACTTGTTCTGGGCGCATTGCTGACAGCCTTGCTCTAAGCTCATCTTCCTGCACCCTTCGGACCTCAATTGGATATCCAATATACCTTTCGCAGATACGTATTAGTTTCTCAAAGCCTAAGGTCTCGCCCGCCATTCCTAGCTCACGGCCACCCCACTGCTCTTTCATGTCCAGAGCTGCAACAACAAATCTGCCGACATCTCGGATGTCGGTCATTGTTATGTCAGGCATTCTATTATCACGTCGGACGGGAACTTCAACCCACGGCGGGCTGCTGTCTAGGTGAACCAGGAACGGACCCTCTTGAAATCCAGCCAGGGCATCCGCACGCTTTGCCTCCGGGCATCCTATCCCCAAATAGTTCATGAACATTCCGCACGGGAAACGGGCAGCATCAATTTTGCCTTGTTCGACCGATGCATGAACAGCGTTCCAAACTGTGTTCTTGGCGTTCAACAGGTCAACCATGGTGTGAGCGAATGATGTGAGTGCGAACTCAGACGGGGCAAAACGTTGGCAGCCAGCAGCCTCCGCAGCGTGGAGGAGATTCACCTGAGCTGTCACCCAGTCGGGCCCTGGGATAAGCAAGACACTGATGACTGCATGCACATCACTCAGCGCAAGCACCAGAGAGTCGTGAGAGTGATAGTCCACGCATCGCATGTCAACTCCACCATTTTGTGTATTGGATCCCTCTTCAGTTGGCGTTTTGTCCTTACGAGATAGTATAACCGGGGTATACCGGCCTTTGGTGGCTTGTAAGGCTGATACAATCGAACATCCTAAGGTCGGACTAGTTCCACCGGCGATGGCGACACGCATTGTTGAAGATTGGGCAGACTATACAAGGAACGTGGACATCCCTACCTCAAGTGACTTGTTAGAACGTGATTGCAGGTATACGAGCGTTGGGGTTGGAATACATGACGTCATTATTCTCATACGCATCGAAAATAATCTGCGCAAGGGAAAGTCCAATATCCAAACAATGCCACGTGACCAAGCCTCGAGTCGAGCCGGTCTTGGCGCGGTTTCGCCTTGCTCTCTTCACTCGACCTTGAGCGCCACATATTTTACCTATTTCGTACGTTTCTCGAGCCAATGGCTGCACTACTATGATCCACTCGGACATTTCTCGATATTGCAGAAGCCTCGACACGACACCTTTCCCCGCTTTCTGTTCTTTCAATGACGGGAAAGCGCAAGTCCCGAGGACGGGGTCTTCGAGCCACTACCGGCTGGTACGCATATTTCCAGATTAAGTTGACATCGCTCATGCATTCTACTCTAGTCTCATCTGCAAGCGACGTCATGTGAAATGTGACGAAGTACGGCCCCCTGCCTGAGTCGATGCCTCATATCTAACCATCTCAGGCACATCCACAATGTGGCCCTTGCGTCAAGGGCAATCGACCTTGCGTATATGCGTCCAAAGACACAACTCCCATTACCTCAAAGCATGGGCACTTGACTCGATCCCCGAATAGTGACACCCTTTCACAGAATGATCCTGCTCAACCCCACGTTCATGCTCCACTGCAAATACTTGTTGATGCCTGTGATCAAGAGCAGATTTCGCAACAAGAGAGGCACCGTCATGGACTGCATGCCTCTCATGCTTCTCCTGTAACGGCCAGAGATATTGAGCCCCCCGGTCCAACTTTATCGGCCTATCAAAACTCCGATTCACCACGTAGCCTTGCCCTGTCGCCCGGAACCGACAACTCAGTTAGCTCTACTCGGGCCGCGCCTCTGAGCTGGTTCGAGCTGCTAGCTAGGGATGCTGCAAATGCAGACACGGGCTTCTTGCTGTCACCTCTACAACGCTCTCCGAATGTGCAGGCAGTCGAGGACAAGACCGACCCGAGAAACAGTGCGAACTTACGGCCACGCAGCTGGAGAGAGCGAGAGAGTTTTCAAGCAGCAGCTTTCCCAAGGGTTTCTGGAATCGAACAACAAATATCTTCGCACACATTCGATGAAGAATCTTTCGTACCTAATGACTCTACTTCATGGACGACGGCTTTCCCTATTCCCCTGTCGGAGCTTGAGCGCCATATATTTACACATTTTGTGCGCTGTTCAAGTCAATGGCTGGACTTTTATGACCCCCTCAGGCATTTCTCTACTAACGTACCACATTTAGCATTACGGAGTCCTGGCTTGATGCGAGCGTTGCTAGCTTTTACAGCACGCCACATATCGCTCGAGTCTTCCGTGCCGGGACCCTTGGGCACTGTTGATTCTGTCGGGTCAGATGACAGACGTTCTTCACTATCTCAGACCCCGAACAACCTCAACACGGTCGACCGCAATGTGGCTGTGCAGTATTACTACGAAACTTTGCGTTGTTTAAACAAAGCAATGCGACATCCTTCATACGCTAGCAGCCACGAGGTAGTTGCGACCGCACTTCTCATAAGCGCGTTTGAGATGATCGACGGATCCAATCAGGATTGGGAGAGACATCTCAAGGGTGTCTTCTGGATTCAACGATTTCAAGACAACGATGGAGAGTCGGGCGGACTACGTCAGGCTGTTTGGTGGGCTTGGCTAAGACAGGATGTCTGGGTTGCTTTGAGAGAACGTCGTCGGGTTTTCAGCTTTTGGCAACCAAAGAAGCCCTTGTCGATTCTATCAGCTCCCGAACTCGCTACTCGGGCTACATGGCTTTTCGCACAATGTGTAAACTACGCATCCAAAGAGGAGCAAGATACAATGGAGCTTTCTCGGCGTCTTGAACGCGGTAGTGAATTGCTCTATCTTTTGCAGCAGTGGTACGAACATCTACCTCCAGAGTATGGTCCTCTTCCGGGCCTTTCTGAGACCCAAATATTCCCCCCAATCTGGATTCATCCATCACCCTATGCGGCTTCACTGCAAGTCCACAGCCTTTCTCGTATCCTAGTTATTCTTCACCGTCCTTCCTCCGGGGGACTTGAAGACTATCGTGCAGCCCAAAAGTTGCTGACATTATCTGTCAACACTATATGTGGCATTGCACGAACAGTGGATTCTGAAGATAGTGCGGCTAGTCTTATTTCACTGCAGTGCGTTTTTGGAGGTAAGTCTTCTTTCCGACTGACAGGTTACATGCAGACCTGATTACTGACTTCTTCCAGCGGGTATATGTGTTTATACCCCAAATGAACGGCTAGCACTCTTAGATCTCCTCGGCTCTCATCAAAGGCGCTTGCGTTGGCCTCGAGCATCGTTGCGGAAAGAACTTGAGCTAGAATATGCTAAGGATGAATATTCTGATTATGCTAGATGAAATGCGCACTGCTTAGGGTCAACACAATGCCTTTGATACATCCCAGCAGATCATATCCGATTTCTGGTTTGTCATCGACCTTGCTTTCTCCATGGCTTGCAACGTTCATGGCATAAGATCCCTGAGAGAGTCTCGGCTTGCTTCTGGTTACCAAAGCCCAGTCCTGAACGAGAACCCCGAACGAAATCATGCAGATGGACCTAAGGAGTCATTCAATCTTTGTATGCATGCTTCCAGTGCTTACTGGAAATTGCAAGATATTGCGCATTCATGCCCCATCTTTCTTCGGTTTCAATGACTACCCACTCAGCAACGATGTGCTGACTTTCAAGAACTCAACTAATTTATTATTCTTTCTTATGAGAGTTGACTCTTGCCTAAAAGAATATTCTTGCCATGTCTGATCATACATGAGAAGATCTATTATAGCCATAGTCTTCTCCGATATCAAAATCTACGAGAAGATCCAAACCCACCCAGAAAAGCGGTATCAAGTTTCAATTCAAAACCAGTTCAGCGAAGAGGTTGAAAAGACGGAGGCAGAAAGGCAGAAAGTTCATAGCATAGTGTTGTTTCTGGAACCTGGATATGAGCTATAAAAGTTCACATACCTTGAAGATATCCAGAGTGTGACTAGAAATTCACATAGCAATCTGTGAGAACCTACACGGCGCAATTTGGAGCAAATCAATTAATCCCTTGATCTTTTTTTCATCAGTTATCTATCACCGAGCAAGCCTGGCGACGAAACCAAATATGTAGCAAAATGAAAACAACAATGCCTAATGCTAGCATGGCGAAAATCACAGCAAATCCCATGAGAAATTTCGGCTCATCGCTATCAGGAAAGAGATACTGTGATATAGTCAGCTCTAGCCCTTCAAATTCAAAGAGGTTTAGCGCATACCGAGCCATAAATCTGTGCTAGATTTCCTGACGCGTTGACCAAAGCCAGGCTTGCACCTCGGGCCTCCGGATTCATTCCGGCAAAGGCAGAAGAGGCATAGGCCAAGGTACCTCCATTTGTGGCCCAGAGTCCCGCGGCCATCAATATCAGAAGAAAATATCGCGTCGTGAAGTTATAAACTGCGCAAACTGCGATTGAGCAGGCCAGCGAAAAGGACAGCCAGGCTGCAATGACCATTCCGCGCCATGTTGGAATCTTGTCACTGAAATAAGCAGTTATTCCGGTACATACAAATGCCACTCCATAGATTGGGACGGTAAGAAAATTGATTTTTCCGTTGACGCATGTCCAAAGAGTCCCTTGACTAATGTAGGATAAAAATATGAAAGAGTACTGGATCCAACGATGACCTGTGGACGGTTAAAGTCACTAAATAAGAAACCTAATGAAAAGGTAGAAACTAAGTGACACTCACCATGTAACCGATTGTAAATGCCCAAGTACGCCAATCTTTCACCGACACAAAAATGGCCTGCCAGTGTGTCAGCCGCTCGCTATCCTCTGTGATCGCAGTGACGATTTCGGTGGCTAGACGAGCCACTGCAATCTCCCTCTCGCGGGCCGAAAGCCTCTTTGAAGTGGCTGGAAAGTCAGGCAAGATGAACAAAGATATCAACGCGACACCTATGGTTGCCGCGCCTTCCACAATAAAAAGCCATCGCCATCCACGTATTCCATGGACTCCCTCAAGATTGTTGACAATAACAGCAGCTAATATTCCGCCAAATGCACCGGATAATATGGCCGCAGAGATATATACCCCGAACCTCTTGGACTGCTCTGTACGCTTATACCACGAGGAAAGGACTAGCAACACGCCAGGTGCAAACCCTGCTTCAACACATCCGATAATGACCCGAAGGGCAACAAGATGCTTGAAATCCTTGATCGCTGCCATCACACAGGTCAGTACCCCCCAAGTCACCATTATTGCTGGAAGGAAGATGGATGGACGGGAGCGGCTTAGCACCAGACTGTTTAGGTTGACTCGTTAGTATGAAACAAGGTTAATTCAATGAAGGCTAACAGACTTGCTCGGGACTTCAAAAACCACATAGCCAACAAAGAACACCAACAATGCTGTGGAATATTGACTGGAGGTGAGGTTGAGGTCTGATTCCATTCCTGAAATCTTCGCGTTGCCAATACTTTGAGTCGCGAAGTTAGCTTTTTACTAAGAAGGGTATTGGATAGATATCACATACTTGGTGCGATCCATGTAGGAAAGAAGATACATGATCCAGATTGTAGGAAGTAGAGTGAGATCTATCTTCTGGACAAGAGCTCTCTCCTCCTTGGGAGAGAAAGATGATTCATCGTGCATGCTGGCATGTTCGATCTGTTCGGACGCGGCCTTTGCCATGTCCTTCATGCCCGAAGAATCCATTAAGTTCAAAATGAAAGGTTACGGTGCACAGAGAGGGGGTGTTATTTTTCCGACACTTGTCGCGCGTGGCCCATGGTATTTATCTCAAGTCTCCGATCCCTATTTATTATAGAGTAACCCTTTGATATGCACAACAGCTTCCACCGCAAAATACCCCACAAACCTTATCTCTGCCTCGTGTCGAGCTCGTAACGAGGACGAAAATCCGGGGTCTATGATGGTTGCATTCTGTTATATCGGCAGTTTGTTTTAGGCTATTATCCGGGTCAGATCAAGAAAGTCTGGATATAAATTGGTTACTGACTGAGTAGATCCAACCATTCCTAAGTCTGTGGAGTATCAACAGCCCAATCTGATCAATTTATCCCGAAGCTAGTATGGAGAAGAGTCAAGAGAGTGAGTAAATCCGTCGCCCGAGGACTTTATCGTATAGAAACATGCTGTAACAGGATTTTGTCCTTTCAAAGAAATGCATGGGGTCATGCCTCGAGCCGAAGTCCTGTCTCAACCCCCACACCTTCATGCGGGAGGGGTTGACGCATGTGCTATTGCTCACTGTGCTTTAGTATTAATTATGTAGGTCCCTATTCTATATTTATTTTTCTTTCACTTGTTTAAGCACCGTGTTCTCTTCCCCTTTCTGACCATGCCACCCGTTGCAACTGAAAATATCGCGTCAGACGCCACTAGGTCTGAGGCGCCTGCGCCATATCTAAGTACCATGCCCGCAAATAATTTCAGCTGGCAAATTACTCTGGCACAAAAGGTTGTTGCCATCACTGGTGCCAATCGTGGTATTGGCCTTGGTATTGCCGAAGTCTGTTTGGCAAATTCAGCGAAAGCCGTTTACTCATTGGATCTAATGGAGCCGGGAGAGGACTTTGCCGCTCTACAGAAACGATACCCAAACTTCCAGTTTATACAAACCGACGTTACATCAGAGCAAAGTGTGGAGAAAGCCATCAACCAAGTCGTTGAAGCGACTGGTCGCATTGACGGGCTGGTGGCCAACGCAGGCATGACCAAACATCAACCCGCTCTCAAATTTGACCGCCCCGAGCTAGAACAGTTGTTCAGCCTTAATGTGAGTCTCTTCCTGCTTGATTGGCTGGTTGATCGTCTGATCCGTGGCCAGGTGTTCGGTGCCTACTTCTGTGCCCAAATTGCAGCGCGCAAGTTTATCGAGCTCGGTGTTAAGGGCTCTATTGTAATGACATCAAGTATGACTTCGTATCGACCAAACCGAGTAAGTATGAGACCTATATGCAGCTAGCTATGTCACATTAGCTCATTTTTCTCTAGGCGGCACCTTCTGCGCCATATGGAGCAACCAAAGCTGCCGGTAAGTGCTTACTGTGATCATTTATAAAACTATCACTCATGAGATGCTTGCCTGCTTTTAGTTCGAAACATGTGCCATACCCTTGCAATGGAGTGGAGCAAGCATGGCATTCGCGTCAACAGCATTTCCCCGGGATTCGTACGAACCGCTATGACCTATTACGTGGAGACTGCCCCGGACTGGGATCTCAAGATGCAATACTATGGCGGCATGCCTCGCTTAGCTGATCCACGAGAGCTCGGTGGAGCCTATGTGTACCTATTGAGCGAGGCAAGTTCCTATACTACTGGTATTGACATCCCAATCGCGGGAATTGTTGGCGCGTGGTGAACATTGTTGCTTAAAATTAATGTGAAATCTACATTATTGTCGCGTACCCTACCGCTCTATACATTCTTCTCTATTTGCAAGTCATGTATTGCCCCACCTACCTACGGAATGTTGCGAAAGTAAAGATACTCATCAGCATTACTTTCTCTGTGCCCCTTTCGTCGTATTATAGTGTATGAGCTCCTTCTGTCCTTGTCATCTATAATTTGGTTTAGGTATTCCTAGGATCTGTTGTATGAGGATGGATCTATGCAGGGACTTGTATTCGTTTATGGTCACATTAAAACAGATTCATGTTTCAACCTGGAAGGAGCAAAGAGGCCACCACGAAATCAGAATCCAGAGCTTCCGAACAAGTCGATAGTCCCAGCATCATATGATATCGAATTACCTTTCATATGTATGCTTCTACAAGGGGTTTTTTTTCTCTACTTCGCGCCACGCACCTCGGCGACATCCGACTCGGCCGAATAGTACTCGAGGCAGCCGCCGGTCGCCTCTATTATTTTCATCTTCAATGTTTCCAGCTACTGCGATTTACGGACCGATCGCATTTCTGCAGTTTGATGCAAGAAATCAAATTCAATGGCTAAACAAGCTAAGACGGCCTCTCAGGCAAGAGGCCCCGCGAAGTACAACGTTGGGTGGAGACGCGTGGTGCGGAATTTCAGTCCATCGTATGTCTTCAGCAGTAATGGGATTGCTCCCAGCTAATAAATGCATTTCTGCCCTCTAGATGGTTTTCTGTGACTATGGGCACAGGTATAGTGTCAGTGTTGGTGAATTCGGTGCCTTTCGATACCTCAGTGCTGTATTATACATCTATTGTCTTTTTTATGCTCAATGGAGTTTTGTTTTTGTTGGCATCGGTCACTTCCATTCTTCGGTACACGTTGTATCCTGAGATATGGCGAGTGATGATACAAGATCCGACCAACTCGCTGTTTCTAGCAACAATTCCCATGGGATTCGCTACACTCATCGAGATGTGGGTTTTTGTTTGTGTGCCACTATGGGGGGAATGGAGTATCACTGTTGCATGGGCTTTATGGATGGTGGATGTGGCAGCGGCCGCTTCTGTTACGCTGTCGCTATCCTTTATACTGTCTGCGCCTAGTCCCAAAATCTGGATTCGCTCATTCTAACCTCCTCGCAGAATATCCCAACGCTATATTACCTCGCTCGATCGGATCACTGCGCTTCAACTATTGCCTATTGCCGCCACCATTGTGGCAGCTGGTGCTGGTGCAGAAATTGCTAATATTCTACCAAACAAGCAGCACGCGTTGGGAACTTTACTTGTGTCCTTAATCCTGTGGGGCATGGGCACTCCCTTGGCAATTGCCGTATTGGTGATCTACTATCAGCGACTAGCAGTACACAAGCTTCCACCGAGGGAAATGATCGTGAGCTGCTTTCTACCCTTGGGACCTCTTGGGTTTGGTGGTTTTGGGTAAGCTTAATGCCTATAAGTCTCTGGAACCCCTGCTCATACGCCACTAGTATCATTTATATGGGCAAAGTGGCACGGGGGCTGTTGCAGGACCCTCAAATTCTAGATCCCATTGCGGGCCGAATGGCATATGTCTTGGGTGTTTTCACATCCCTGCTGATGTGGAGTTTTGCCTTGGTCTGGCTCGTGTTTGCTCTGGCCACTGTTTTGTACAGCTCTCCATTTCCTTTCAATATGGGCTGGTGGGGATTTACGTTTCCTCTGGGCGTTTATGCGGCGAACACAATGCAATTGGGTATTGAACTAGATCTCATGTTTTTCAAAGTTTTTGGAACCGTGAGTCTTTTCGTTTCACTTACCATTGCTTCAATCGGTCAAATAATAGCTACTAATTTTGTTCACAGGTTTTAAGCGGCGCTGTTTTGTTACTCTGGTCTGTAGTGGCCTCAAGGACAGCACATGGAGCATGGCGCGGTACTCTGTTTAGTGCTCCGTGTTTACGAAACCTGGTGCTCAAGGAAGAAGGGGGTGAGCGGGTTGGCGATCGGCGCGCATAGGAATCATAAGCTGCGACTTGTCTATTCCATCTTATACAGCAACCAATGCCAGGTGTTTATGCATCGCATCGGATAACTCCGCAGTCTCTCAAATAGGCCATATTCAACGAGGTAATTTTAGCCGATTTTGAAGTCCGGATCTGATAGGCTGTGCATCGGACTAAATACCTCGCCCTTTTGCCAAGAAGTAAGCAGAACAATCACCTGTTCAGCTTGCTTTCGTATTTGTTTTCCCATCTTTCTTAATTTGCTATCTCTGAATAGACGGACACTTGTTTTGATCGATTTTTTATTGCGCATATCCGTCTCGGTACCGTCTGTGAAGTTTTCAATATGGTAAGCCTTTGGTGTGTTTCTATACTGATAGAGACAGGTCTAAAATGAATACAGGATCCGGGGGAATTTGAGTTTCCTTTCTTGCAGGAGGTCTTCTCTCCTATCGAAGCGCACAAGGTCGAGTATGAGCCTCCCCAACGAAGACAACATGTGAAGACATTCTAAGCAGGCTCTCTCTTCAGCTTTGTCTTTGTTCATGGCTTGAATCCCCGGGGCCGGAGTGATCATCCGTTTGAAACTTGGACGCATGCCAATGGAAAGTTTTGGCCGAAAGACTTCCTTGCCCAGGATATTCCATATGCTCGGGTCTTTGTATATGGCTACAATTCAAGCATCACGCATCCTCAGACTATGTCCACGGCAAGCATCAAGGACCATGCTAATACCCTGCTGAATCTTCTTGATATGGAACGAACTCCTCAGATGGTAAATCAAAGCTCTACCAAGCGACATTATACCCAGGATCTGATTCATATCTCAGGGAACAGTTCCACCAAGGGTGATATTCATTGGACATAGTTTGGGTGGCTTGGTGATCAAGCAGGTCAGTTCCTTCTCGTTCATTCTTTCTTATAATTTGGCTCACACATCCATTTTGTGTTTTAGGCTCTTCTTAATGCCAAAGAAGATCCAAAGTATACGGCTATTCGCTCGGCAACCTCCGGTCTTGTTTTCTTTGGGACACCTCATCGTGGTGCAAAGGCTGTGGAACTTGGGAAGATTGCAGCCCGTGTAGCCCGATTTGTCTCAAAAGGCCACGCCAGCAATGATCTCCTCGACTGTTTGGAACATAATTCACTCTTTACGAGACAGATGACCGATAGATTCCGGCATCAACTAGAGGATTATCGTGTTGTCAGTTTTATCGAAGGAAAAGAGGTGCAATTGGGCGGAGCAGGTCCGGCATCCATCAGCCATGTAAGTATTTGCCAAAGATCCCATTTCCATGGTGGAGTACTAATATATGGACTTGAAGCTAGTTGTAGATGAAGAGTCGGCTGTGCTCGGGCTTTCTGGCCTCCGCGAAACCCAGCTGAAGCTCGACGCAGATCACTCGCAGATGTGCAAAGTCGGTACTCGGGGGCCTATGTACCGCTTGATCAAGGGTAATATCAAGCAGTTGGTCGACCAAGCACTTTTTTCCGAGCATGGCTTCATTCCACAGCCTATGTCGCAAAGTGCTGGGCCTAGTCCACCACCGATACCACCACGCCTACACTCCAATAGCAGCACGCCATATCAAACGCAAGGACGGTTACCCCCAACAACTCAAAGAGTTACCGGAGTAATTTTCACTCCCTCGGACAATGATCCACGATCTATTCGCTCCGCGGAACTTAAGAATCTTGCTCGATGGGATGAGGCTCGAACAGTGGAGTATGAGATTTTCCAAGAACATCTGCGCACCCTCGGACCAGACCATTTTAGCACATTATCAGTGGCTTACAACTTAGCTTTCATTGAACTGGAGACCCACTATTTGGCCAAGTCCCACGAGTGGTGTCAATGGGTGTCTGATAATGTCCAGCGTGTATTCGGGGGCAAGCATCCCCTTACAATGAAGACAGAAAGTCTGATCGCGGAGATTCTTTGTCAACAGGGCAAGCATCAAGAGGCAGAGTCTGTTTGTGCAAATGTGCTGGCGCGTCAGCAAATCAATATCGGCGAGGAACACTTGGATACCTGCGACACTCGACGGCGTCTAGCAGGAACGTATCATTCCCTAGGTCGTCGGGAAAACGCCATCATGGCCGCTGAAAAGCTCACAGAAACTCTTAAGCGCCTACTTGGAGAAACGCATATTCGTGTATTTGCCTCGGCGCTGGATACCTTGGAATACATCATCAGCAACCAATCCGGTGATAGAAATACACTGATCGCCATGCGGTTCCAGCCCGATGTGCAGCAAGCCGTGGAAATGCTGAGCCAAATATATGAGGAGCTTCGTCTGGGACTAGGTCCTGGGCATCCGTATTCCATTCGTGCTCTCTGTCTCTATGGCCGCGGGCAGAGCTTTGTGCAACAGGGTATGGAAGCATCGGAAACCCTTCGCCGAGCCCTTGCTAGTGCGGAGGAGACATTGGGACCCGACCACCCGCTGACGATGGATATCGTGGGAAATATCGGTGTTATGTATGCCGTGCAGGGTGGCCTCCAAGTCGCTTTCGGCAACACCCGTGTGGAAGAAGCCTTTCCCTGGTTGATACGATATCTTAACTGGGTCGAACATCGCAGAGGAAAGGAGAATCCAGAAGCACAGTCAGCATTAGAATTGCTGGCTACTTTGCATTTCAATGCGAGGGAGTACGAGCCTGCCCAGCAATATTTCGAGCGCCTGGTTATCGCATACCGAGGCAATCCGACTGCCCTCGAGCGCATCAATAGTCATTTGCAATTGTGTCGCGCGAACACCATGCTCACCCGCCGAAGCCTTGGGTCTGGTATAGGAGGATTTCTTTCCTCTTTGCAGAAATATTGACTGGATCTTCTGCCGTACATATCATTCTATACTCCGACACTACACATAGCAAATGTTCGCAATATTACTCCGTATATGGGAGGAACCCATGGTTTAATCTTAGATTTATCTTTCAATCACATTTATTCATGTTGTGTGTATTTCCAATATTTCGGCGAAGGGTATCATTGTGTTTTCTGAAGTCACTCATGCCGATCGATTTAGTCCGCTTAGTTGGAGACCTTATCGGGGACATGCTTGCTATACAGTATATCAGCGCTGCCTTCTGCCACGTTATTTCCGATTTCAGAACTTACCCAGTGGCCTTCTCGAACTGCTCCCGGCCAGTGTCGGTGATCTTCTCGTTGGTTGAGCGCATCTTGGCGGGGTCAACCTTGCCCCCACCGAACTTCTTCTCGGCTCCATCGAGTGCTGGAATTGTCAGCTTGAACTTCGTGACACCTTTGCAGTGAAGCTCACCCTTGTCAGCATAGTCCTCTTGGCCAGTGGAACCGGAGCTGGAGCCAGAGTGAGAGCTCTTGCCGCCGAGCTTGGAAGCGAGTCCAGAAAGCTTATCCATGATGAATAATATGGGTGTATGATGTTAAGAGTTATAGCTTTTAAGTTTACTACAGGGAGGGCAATGGCCTTTATATAGGGCTTTGGAACTCTCGGATCGAAGATCCAATATAACGCGCATAAACAAGATCCGGATGTACATATCCATGTGGAATGCGTCATTGTGCTCGGATCATTTTGGTTTGCCCCGCAGAACGTATCATTCGTGTCTCATGCTGGATCTAGATAGGCTAAGACAGTTTGAACAAGGATGGTTCAGGAGGTTTGAGGTCATATGGAGATCCTCATCTTGAATGTCTTGGTGAGATCATACAGTGACGTCATGTATGTTGGTCTCTTTTGTGTCTCGGGCAATAAGGCACCAAGGCAGCACATTCAGACATGACACAGATAACGAACGTATTTCGCATGCGAGTGGGCCACCTCAAAACACCATACTAAGTAGGATAACTTACAACTCGATATCTCGACAACCCCGTTTTGTATTGTTAAATTGCTTGTCAATAGCTATTGATAAGAGTTTTCAGCCTCATATATCAGGTTCAAGGAAATCGATAGGCTAAATACCACATAGATAGCATGAGGCTACAATGGGCAGTCCTTATAGACCATAGACCACCGTTATTCAGATATCGAGTTGCAAGTTATCCTACTTCGTATGGTGTTTTGAGGTGGCCCCACTCGCATGTGAAATACGTTGACGTTAAGGCAGTCAGGCCACAAGGCTTTAAGGCAGAAATGCAGATTGGCAGATGGCAGCAAGGAGTCAACATCGCTATCAACGCAAACACGGTATTTTCCAAATAGCCAGATGCCTGTCTGTTTTCATACATATGCTCATGATGCGACATGCTTTACTCCTAACCCTCTTTCATGCTCGAATCAAGTAACTTGCTTTCGGGTTGAGCTACCCCGAACTTTGCAGATTGGATTCCCCGCGCTTTCACACTCTCCCTTTGAACAAAAATCGATGGTCTCGCTTGACTCCGCTTTCTTGCCCGTGAGGTGTCTTAGTTCTCGGAGTTGGGCCGGTGCGCCCGACGCTACACATATCATCATGGATTCCTCTCTTCACAGTCCCTAGTACCAACCAACATGTCTAGAGCGAAGCCGGCAGAGGAACAAATCGAGTTCCAGGTGAAGTCAGACAGTAAAGGTCATGCACTTGAACAAAATGTCCTCTACCAGGTCTATGCGTCCAAAAGTCCGGATTGGCATCAGACTATGACCCGGCGTCTGCTTCGCAAGGTCGACTTTCATCTCTTGCCTGTTCTTATACTGATGTATCTTTTGAACTTTTTGGACCGGAAGTATGTGCAATATCCACCATACTCAGTGGCGAAAGAAGACTCATAGCTATTTTAGCAACTTGTCGCAAGCTCGTCTAGGCTCATTGGAAGCAGACCTAGGCATGAAGGGTACCGATTACAACCTCGCAACAAGTATCTTGTTTGTTGGATATCTCTTGATGCAGTTGCCTTCCAACTTGCTGTTGACTCGAGTTCCTCCTTCGTTATTTTTGGGAATCGCAATGGCCATTTGGTACGAGACCTTCAAGTTGGCTATATCAACGTTACTTATTTGCCTCACAGGGGTGTCATTTCCGCTTGTCAGGCAGCCATTCAGTCATTTTCAGGACTTATTGTCACCCGGTTCTTCCTCGGATTTATCGAAGCGCCTTTCTTCCCCGGTGCTGTCATGCTCATGTGAGTTTACTCGGGTAATTTCACGGACCGTTGCTTACATTGATAATAGGTCGAGTTGGTACACCCGACAGGAGGTAATTCAGTCAACTTTTGATGGCTACTAAGAATAGCAACTAATTGGGTCCAGTTGAGCCACCGCATTGCCTGGTTTTACTCGGGAAGTTCATTAGCAAATGCCTTTGGCGGCCTCATTGGAGCGGGCGTCCTAGGTAATCTTGATGGCGCGCATGGAATTGCCGGATGGAGATGGCTTTTCATCATTGAGGGTTGTATTACGATTGGAATATCTCTTCTCGCTGCGTGAGCGTTGTCTGCATTGATCCCCCATCTTATTGATCTGACCTTCATAGTGTCTTCCTTCCAAACTATCCTGCTTCTACCTCCTGGTTGGACGAGGAAGAACAAGCCTATGCTCAATGGCGTCTGATGCACGATGCCGGCGAAGCTGATGAGGTTGGTTCAACCAGTATCAGAGAGGCATTGGCTCTGGTCTTTGCAGACAAGCGCATCTACCTCTTCATTCTACTTCAACATACCTCGCTTCTATCGCAGAATTTCCAATACTTCTTCCCAACCATTGTGCAGACACTTGGATACGGCAATATCGAGACCCTTCTCATTACTGCGCCCGTATGGATTGCCACATTCTTAACCTCGCTGCTCGTAACATGGACATCGGGGAAAACAAACGACCGCAGTCTGCATATTATTGTTTTGATGATCGTCAGTGTTGTTGGAGGGATCATCGTTACTGCGAGTGACAATATTGGAGCTAAATTCTTTGCGATGTTCCTGTAAGTTTGTCGAACTCGAACCCTTTTTAGCAAGTCTGACCCGTCCAGAATGCCAATGGGAGCCGTCTCTGCATATCAGATCATCGTTGCTTGGGTGGCTAATTCCTTCCCTCGGCCGTTGGTCAAACGATCCGCTGCGATTGCTGTTGCGAATATGATCGGTAATACAGCTTCAATTTATGGCAGCTATATGTGGCCATCTTCTTCGGGGCCTAGATACATCCCGGGGGGTAGTGCGACCGCTGCGATAGCATTTCTCGTCGCATTGGTGGCACTCGTCATTCGCCTTGTTCATATGCATATGAACAAGCAATTGGATGAGACGGATACCTCGCAGGACCTTCGTGCCTCTGATCCAAACGACCTGGAAACGCGTGCTGTTGGATTCCGGTATATCTTGTGATGTGTAGACGATGTGGAAGAAAGCGGGCTGGAGGTAGTATCAATAAATAGCACTAACATGAGATTGCATGAGAGAAAGCTCTTTATATACCTATACCCATGTCTATATCTATCTTACTTGCAGTCCATTTGTAGCTTCACTCGAGCGGGGTTGGCGGAACCGCGCTCGCCATCACAACCCAATCAAAGATTCTTGTCCTCGATTCCCTTTAAATATTTGTGAGTCACTGGGGGATTTGATATATTCCATCTCCATTTCTTACGCGAATTCAAAGCTGGTATCTTCACTGGTGAAAGAGACTGACAATTGTATAATCTGCATCCTCACAATGGTATGATCATTGTTTCACTCTTCACTCGGGAAAAGCTTACCAAGTCAGTGTGGCCCATCTTTCACTTCCATTCCTATTCTCGATTACACGGAAACATTGTCTCCGTCTACCAAGCCTGCCTTTCTAGGAAGCCTTCGGGAGGCTCTGGTGAATGTCGGCTTTTTCTATCTTCAAAATGCGCCTGTTCCAACCCAAATTCAAGAAGACTTTACCACGATGGCCTTTGACCTCTTTGAACTGCCACTTGAGAAAAAACTTGAAATAGAAATGGTTAATAGTCCACATTTCTTGGGCTACTCCAGGCTTGGGGCAGAAATCACGGCATTAAAGCCTGACTATCGCGAACAATTTGATGTCAGTGAGAGCTCTCATCTGAAAGAATATTTGAGTACTCTCCTAACTTCGCTGTTAGTTCGCAACTGAGCTCCCCGCGCCTGGCCCAGACGAGCCGTTGTATAAAAACATTGTTGGTCCTAATCAGGTGATTACAACTTCTATCTTGACATGTCTTCCTTTTTAAAGACTGACATTCAGTTTCCTGGCTCTAGTGGCCGGATGAGACCGTAATTCCTGGATTTCGATATGCACTTGAGACCTACTTATCTGAAGTGAGCAGTCTGGCAGAGTCGTTTCCAGCGCTCATTGCCGAGGCATTGAGCCTTCCACCGAATGCGTTGCACCAGGTCTTTGACAATCCGCAGCAGCATAAGCTCAAACTGATCAAGTACCCTCCCCCACCTGCCTCCAGCCATGAGGAATCCAACTTTCAAGGGGTTGGGCCCCATAAAGATTCGGGATTCCTCACTTTCCTGTTACAAGGAACCGCTCATCACGGCCTAGAAGTTCAAAACAAGACCGGAACGTGGATTTCTGCTCCCCCGGTGCCAGGAACATTGGTGATCAATATTGGGCGCACCCTGGAGGCATTAACGGGTGGGATCTGCGCAGCAACTACTCACCGCGTAAGTCTACGGCCGGAGAACTTTCAAGATGGTAACGGCGGGTCTTTGGGGCCGAGGTTCTCCTTTCCTGTATTCCAGGGCGTGAGTCTTGATCTTTCCAGTAAGACTTCCCTGGAAATCCCAGAACATGTTCGTGCGCTTGTCAAGGATGCCAAGGTCAAGTCAGATGCAGAGGCAACTTTCAACGAGATGTTCCGTGGGAGCATTGGTGAAGGCACACTTGTAGCACGAGTCACTAGTCACCAAGATGTTGGGCAGCGATGGTATCCAGAAGTATTGGCCAAAGCATTAAAGGGACAGAAAGATTTTCGAGAATAAGACAATTCTTAACTTGGATTTCTAATCAACGCGATGCGTTGGATTCGTTTTCCCCATTCGAACTAGGGCCATAAGACTTTCTGCATCCCTATGTGATTAAGCTATCGTTCTTCAACCACAGACTGAGGCACTTGAGGATTAGCAAGAAAGGGGCGAATAAAGAGAGGGCAAACTAAGGCCAAAATGGGCCCTACTATAGTCTATAGCAATATATACAAAACTAGGACCTTGATTATCTGCAGATCAGATATCAACGTTGTATGCGAGAGTCGCAGTGCGGGGTGCAAGCAAGGGACGCAACCTCGGGGTTAGGCGTCCCATCTTATTAATCTCTCGTAAAGATATATTACTTGATTCTCATCCTATATCTGTTTATTCTATAGCAATCATGCACTGGACCAAGTCGCTGTTCTGGCTTTGTGCAGCCGCTGCCAGCGCCGGTTCCATCCAGTCCACACAGGGCATCTCCGATCTTGTTAAACGTCGACTTCCGAATCACGTTGGCAACTTCCAGTTCACGCTGAACACAAGCCATGATACAAATAGCAAATATGACTCTTACGTTGTTAGCAGTGGGTCAAACGGCACAATCCTGGTCAAGGGTAATTCCCTGAGTGCATTGTCTTCGGGGTAAGGGGCCCTCACAATAGAACTATGTTGATGAAGCTAACACTATCTCCAGTCTACATCAGTATCTTACCGATGTTGCTCATGTTGATATCTACTGGTTTATTGGCAGTCGATTGGACATCGCTCCATCCAAGTTGCCTCCCCTGACCAGGCCTATGCGTGGCTCCAGTACAGTTCCGTGGAGATATCATTTCAACACAGGTATGTAATGCATTTCTTCAAGGTATTATGCTTTACTGACTGTATCTAGTTACTTTCTCTTACACCACAGCCTTCTGGTCCTGGGAAGACTGGGAGCTACAGCTAGACTGGATGGCTCTTCGTGGGGTGAATCTTCCTCTTGCTTGGGTTGGCCAAGAGAAGATCCTCGTGGAGGTTTTCCGTGAGATTGGCCTGAATAATGCAGAGATTGCTACTTTTCTCAGTGGTCCAGCGTTCCAAGCTTGGAACCGATTTGGAAATATTCAAGGTTCCTGGCACGAAGATCTTCCTCAGGCATGGATCGATGCACAATTCGACTTACAGAAAAAGATCATTCACCGCATGGTGGAACTTGGGATGACGCCTGTTCTCCCGTGTTTTACCGGTTTTGTTCCTGCCAATATCACTCGTGTTCTACCAGACGCCAACGTGGTACGGGGCTCGCGTTGGGGAGGTTTCCCTATTCAATATACGAATGACACGTTCCTTGAGCCCATTGACGATCATTTTGCAGAGCTTCAGTCCAGCTTCATTAGCAAGCAGCAAGCAGCCTACGGCAACGTCAGTCATATCTACACACTTGATCAGTACAACGAGAACGATCCTTACTCCGCTGACGTTGACTACCTGCGTAGCGTCACTCGCAACACATGGCAAAGTCTGAAACAAGCCGATTCCAATGCCATATGGATGATGCAAGGTTGGCTGTTCTATGCCAACTCCGACTTTTGGACCAACGAACGTGTGGAAGCATACTTGTCGGGTGTGGAGTCCAATGAGGATATGCTGATCCTGGATTTGTTTTCGGAGTCGATTCCGCAGTGGCGGCGAACAAACTCATACTACGGCAAGCCCTGGATCTGGTGCCAGTTACACAACTTCGGAGGCAACATGGGTCTATATGGGCAAATCCAAAACATCACACGGAATGCCTCTGAAGCACTAATAGAGTCTCCGTCCATGGTCGGCTATGGCCTCAGCCCTGAAGGTCAAGAAGGCAACGAGATTATATATGACCTTCTGCTTGATCAGGCATGGTCTTCAACTCCGTTGGATACCAAAGAGTACTTCCACAAATGGGTGACGAGCCGATATGCCGGCCAAAAGTCGGTTCCTCGGGATCTCTACATCGCTTGGGATTTGATGCGACAGACAGTGTACAATAATACGAACCTTACTACACTTGCTGTCGCTAAGTCCATTATTGATATTCGGCCCAACCTTTGGAACTTGGCCAATATCGCCGGCACACATGGCACAACCGTCAACTACCACCCATCAGTTCTTGTCCGTGTCTGGCAACTCATGTATCAAGCAACAAAGACAGAGCCAGAGTTATGGTCCAATCCGGCGTATCAGCATGATATGGTTGATGTGACACGCCAAGTCATGGACAATGCTTTCATCCCGATGTACTCGGATCTGATAGATTTGTACAACGCCTCTCAGTCGACGCAGCCAGAATTTGCACAGCAAGGAAAGAAAATCATTCGTCTTTTGACGGATCTCGATTCCGTTCTTCTCACCAATAAAAATTTCCGCCTTTCGGCCTGGATCTATGCAGCGCGGGGCTGGGCACATGGCAACACATCCCAGGCCTCAATGCTTGAATACAATGCTCGCAATCAAATTACGCTTTGGGGACCCGGTGGGGAGATCAGCGACTATGCGTCCAAGCAATGGGGTGGCCTCGTCTCTTCATACTATATGCAACGTTGGCGCATGTTTGTCGAATACCTTAAATTAACCCCAACCACGTCTTACAACGATACAGAATTGAGCGCCAAGATAAGAGTGTTTGAGATGAAGTGGCAAGACGAGACTTGGTCAGCTCCTGAGCCTACTGGGGACGCGATTGATTTGGAGAAAGTATTGAACCGAGTTTCGCAACACTGGTCATCTATTTTTGGGCAGTAATCATGATTTTTCAACGCGTATTTTCGAGCTTAAAGGAAATTATTAAGAACATTCCGTGCTAGATGACATATCAGTAAAAATCAAGCTAATAAGGCAATCCAATAGGGCAATATAACCCCAACGGTCTATATCCCCGCATATGTCATATGTCACCTTATCTGCTTACAAATGAGACATCCGCCAGCTCCGGTATTTATTTGTTTCTGTATCTCTTCACTTGCTATACGGTTGTATAGCTCTCTGAAATGATGCGATCGTCAGAGCAGACGCCATTGATCTCTAATCAACATGAAGCCCGAGCCGTGAGCTCCCAGCGAGGACTGGTGATTCTAGTCTTGATGGGCGTGCTTATCTTCATTCAGGGTTCGCTTCTTTTGTGGTGATTTCAAGTTCAATGGACTGATGGTGAATAGCAACCAATATGTCGATGATGACTACAGCTCAATCCGATATTGCGGCTGATTTGGATGCTTTTGCGGAAGCATCCTGGTTTACTTCGGCATATATGGTATGGCAAGACAACCACCGAGTGCAACACATCTAATGTTATAATCCTAGATTGCTATGTCTAGTATTACACCCCTTGCCGGACGACTTTCCCAAATATTTACTCCGCGTCTCTATGTGGTCTTCTCAACTACACTGCTTGCGATTGGGCTTTTCATCAGTGCTGCAGCGCCGAGTTTAGCTGTGTTTCTTCTTGGGAGAGCCGTGGCAGGCTGCGGCAGCGGCGGATTGATGAGCACATCCATTATCCTGGTTCTAGATATGGTCAGCAAAAAGCGACGTGGGCTATGTATTGGCTTGATCAATTGCGGATATACCACAGGCGTCGCGTCAGGCGCAGTCTTTGCTGGGCTTCTGGTTCCCACATTGGGATGGGTGGGTTCGAATATCTTATGTTCGTCTACTCGAAGATTTCTGACGGACAGTTTCAGCGAGTGATATTCTGGGTTCAGGCTCCCATTGCTTTGGTCTTAGGACCATTGCTATTCTTTGCAATCCCCAAGCCTTCGGGCGACGATGCAAATTCATTGAGGATGGAACAGTTGCTTCCTAATCTAGCTCGGGTGGACTACGTAGGCGCCATGACGCTGGTATGGCAACTCATCCCATTCACATGACTCCAGAAGCTGACGTTTCAAGACAATCTCGGTCGTCCTCCTCCTGACCAGTCTTGCATCCCCGCAAATCATTCTCTGGCCCATCTTGGTTTCTCTTCCATTCTTTGTGCTGTTTGTGGTGGCCGAGTCCCGATGGGCTGCTGAGCCCATAATCCCAGTCAAAGTCCTGAGAGCTCGCGGTGTAATGTTGACATGTCTTGCAGGGCTCGGGCTCATGATGGCCCGATGGTCCATCCTGTTCTTCACGCCCGTGTATGCCATGGCAGTTCGAGGATGGTCCCCAGCTTCTGCCGGGCTGTTCCTGGTTCCTACCAACGCTGGTTTTGGCCTGGGTGGTCTGCTTGTCGGTTGGTTACACATCCGCCAAGTTGGAAGCTACTATATGTGAGTCCCATTGACCGCCATTGGCATATTCGATCTGATCTCATTTTATAGCTCCTCTCTTATTATCTTTGTTGGTTTCGCTCTTGCTTCGTTGATACTGTCTTTTCTGTCAACGCCAGACTCTCCGGTGGCCTTGTACTTTACTGTGACATTCCTGAACGGGCTCTTTGCCGGTGCATTGATGAATTACACGCTATCTCATGTGCTGCATCTCACCAATCCAGCAGTGCATTATATTGTCACTGCTCTATTAGCCATGTCTCGCGGGTTTGCAGGAAGTTTCGGATCTGCAGTGGGAGGAGGTTACTTTGCTCGAATCCTCAAACACTCACTTGAGGCTGGTTTTGTCTCACATGGCCTGCCACCGCAACCCGAGCTTGTGCGAGAATTGCTCGGTAGCCCAGCCACAGTCATGCGCCTCACCGGCAAGGAACGTCTGATCGCTATTGAGAGCTATGAGCATGCTGTGCAGATGCTGTTTCTGGCGGGAAGTGTTTTGGCGTTGGTTTCGGCTGTTGTCCAAGCTGGGGTTGGCTGGACACCAGAGAGTGAAAAGGGAAGTTTGGACTCAGTGTCCCAAGATTGAGTCTATACGAACCTATCGTTTCCGATTCTCGGCGTTTAATGAATTTCACAAAGAATGTATCCCGGAGTTCAAATGTCTTGCCCTGGACTGGCTTTTCTCGACTTCTCAGTCCCTATCTTAAGACTTAAACAGCGTTTCATATGGTACAGCTGTAACGTAATCGATATTAAGAAGAGAAAGATTTGTCCACGCCTGTACTCTAATGAAGAAGACATTAGGTTTTCCCTGTTCGAAAGCTTCGGGGCTTTTGCTGGTTTATATATAATTTCTACCCTACTTCCGCCCCCCTTTTCCTCAACTTTCTTTGCCTATGACCAAAGTGCTCTCTTTGATTTTGCTCGATCATCATCGTATAAAGAGAGCTCGAAGCTTCAAAGGACTCAAGGCTTGATTTTTATACTGTAAGTAAGTTAATAGGTGTACTAGGCGGTGAACGTTTTGGCTATGAATTGCCGAACTAATCGCTGCTCAGATCTTCCTCAATCACACCCTTCCGAAGTTGCCCATCATGCCTCGCGCAGTCCGAGGTATCTACTTGATATTTATTCCTCTGCTGGATCCTGGACTAACCGAATCTTCTCCGCAGGTTTGCTGATTGAGTGTGATCCTTCCATTAAGGCCATGATCCTGAAGTACGATGAAGAGCGACATGACTACATAGTCGAGGACTTGGATGATGAAAACCATTTGGTTATCAAGGAGAGCCAGCTAGAGAACCTCAAGGTTCGCCTGGATCAGGTATCTTTGGAACTCACCGCCGTTCACCGACTGTTCACTCACATATTGGGCAGGACCTCGATGAGAAGATCATGCAGCTGGATGAATCTGAATCCGAATAATTGAACACTTTAGGCTATATAGCGACAGGATTTCTTCCGAGAAACACCTCGCTGCGCACCACGAACCGACTCGGTCCACATTATTTCGATGACTTGCGCCTAACGAGACACTGTCTTACGCGCAAGATACTGTCCACGTGCACCATGCTATGCGCCTGCCTGCTGTTTTTCACAAAAACTGCGTGATATAGCTCTGAGCGACCATTGGACGGCCTCTTGACACCCTTGCGCCCCCATCGTTCCTTTCAATGATGGGCCCTGACGTCCTGCCATCCTGCTCCCATCCGACCGGTGACTTTTCTATCCACTAGTATCATGCTTGGATTGCAAGAGCACTGCGTTAGGCAACAAGAATTCAAAGCTTTGGAAGAATTGGGAAAATTAGCTTGTTTGGGATGCGATGCCGGCAATTCCATGTCACTTCACAATACATTTTGGTGTATTCTAGCTTGGACCAGACTCTGCAGGAATGAATGAATAATATGGAAGCCTGGAATGTTCCATGTTTGCCACTCTATCGATTCACCTTTTGTCGACTTGACAGATTTGGTAACCCTGGATTTCCATGTCACGTGATCGAAGCGTGGAGAAGCATCCAGCTGGTTGGAGAAGCCACGAGCAACAACTGGTACTTCCTGGCTTCTTTGATGATACAATCGCATCTTCTAGATTCTGCTTGACAATGTAGCCACCCCGGGGAAAGATATAATATATAAGGCTGTTGTTTGTCCAGCTCTTCCTCATCAATCATCATCATCATCATCTTCCAAGCTCATTTTAAAAGCTATTCTACTGCTTCCACTTCCAATACAACTTCTCCAACCCAACTCTCCATACAACATGTCTCTCTTCCGTGCCAGCTTCCCAAGCTCTGGGGACTTCACCCCTCTTTTCCGTCTCCTGGACGACTACGATACCCACCGCTCTACTCGCAGCCAGCCCTCTGCTCCTTCGTTCTCCCCTCGCTTTGACGTCCGCGAGAGCGAGGGTGCCTACCACCTTGATGGCGAGCTTCCTGGCATTGCCCAAAAGGACATCGACATCGAGTTCTCCGACCCCCAGACTCTCGTTATAAAGGGTCACAGTGAGCGTGACTACAACACTTCCAACCACCAAGCCCAGGTGGAGGATGAGGACGAGGAAGGTGAGCAGACCAAAACTGAGCCCACCCACCACTTTTGGGCTAGCGAGCGCTCGGTCGGCGAGTTCCAGCGCACCTTCTCCTTCCCGGCTCGCGTTGACCAGGACAATGTCAAGGCCAGCCTGAAGCATGGCATTCTATCCGTTCAGGTGCCCAAGGCCACAGTTGCCGCCACCAAGAAGATCACCATTGAGTAAATGGGTCATTCTTTAACCGATTCGGCGCATCTGACGTCTGCATATGAGCCAAGAATGTTATTGCTGTTTTCACGACTTGATGCTGTTGCAAGGGGTTGGATCACCCCTGGTCCCCTTGGATAAGAGGTGGTCCCCTAGGATCTTTCTTTTTATGTACTATTCTAGCTTAATTCATATCTCAAATTAATTTTTTAAATAATATTCACCAATTGTTTCTGATAACGTAGAGGTTGCCGGACCTCGGCACGTGAAGCCTGTACATAGTAGAGTTATAGATTTTAGATTATTATAGATTGACATTGCAATGTCATTATAAATAAAAGTAAAGGTTTGTTTGTACTGATGGTTTATATTTGTAGTGAAACTCGAGTAAACTAATAGTCTCGATATCTCGGTGACATCAGATGTTTCCCAGACTTGCCGAGGTCCGCTGAAGCTACCCGCATTGTTATACTCACTCTCCTCCCACTCAACTGAATTCATACAACTTCCGCCATGGCCGAATACACCTTCGAATATTTTACTGTGAAGTTTCCAGCCGACCACCAATATGTGGCCCATGTGGAGATCAACAGGCCAGATAGGCTGAATTCCTTCGTCGAGGTGTGAGTATTGACCCGGTACTCTACGACTAGATTGACTTATTGTGATAGGATGTGGTTGAATTTGGCCCAAATCTTCAACAAGCTCTCCTCGGATCCCTCGGTGAGGGCAATCGTCCTTAGTGGAGCTGGAGAGAAGGCATTCACCGCCGGCTTGGACGTCAAAGCAGCTTCTGAGGGGCTTCTGTCATCGGAGACGAAGAATGACCCTGCCCGTAAAGCCGCACTCCTCAGGCGTCATATTGCCGAGTTCCAGGACTGTATTACCGCAGTTGAGCGTTGTGAGAAGCCAGTGGTAGTTGCCCTCCATGGTTTCTCGTTGGGGCTTGCCATCGACCTGGCCACCGCCACGGACGTGCGTATCTGTGCCAAAGACACCCGATTTGCGGTCAAGGAGGTGGACATCGGGCTTGCGGCGGACATTGGTACCCTCAGCCGACTGCCCAAGGTCGTAGGCAATTACGGCTGGGTAAAGGAGGTCGCTCTGACTGCGCGCGAGTTCGGCGCCGTGGAGGCTCTACGTGTTGGATTTGTGAATGCCGTATACGATAATCGTCAGGCCACCATCACGGCCGCATTCAAGATGGCCTCTCTGATGGCCAAGAAAAGCCCCGTGGCGGTGCAAGGCACCAAGGAGATTTTGAACTACTCCCGCGACCACTCTGTGCAAGATGGACTGCGCTATACCAGCGTCTGGAATAGTGCTGCTTTGCAGACACAGGATGTATCGGCAGCACTTTTATCGGGGCTGCAGAAGAGGACTCCGACCTTTGAGAAGCTATGACGTCTCCCTGTCCTTTCCACTGTACATAGTCCAAAGGTTCTAGGCACTTCAAGCCACGAGTCTCATGATTATCCCGTGTCTTGGCCAAGGAAACCTGAGATGCAGGGGTCAACTCCACATATGCAATCAATCCCGAGATCTGGGAATAGAACAACTTCAGGTCCTGCAGAATGCGAGCTACACAATAGCTCTCGGGGCTATCTAACGCCAAATTCATAATTTTTTGTCATAACCGTACAGAACTTTGTTGGAGTTCAACTCGATTCTATCAGTGATTTACAGCGGTACAAATATATCATGACCTGCGTACTCTAATGGTGGACACCTTCAATTCATATCAAAATTCATTATATGCGCATTGGAATGTAACAAGATCAGATGGGTTTGTACCTCTCTTGCATTTTCTCTCCACTTTCTTCCATCACTATCCCTTCCCATTGCTTAAACGTCAGGAAAGAAAGCATTCTTACCAAATTTTCAGATACTTCAGCTTCCTTTCCTCCTTTTCATGAGTCAGCTACCATCCTAATTGTCTTCATCGCGTCTAGGTATAGAGGTAGTGGCCGTGGAAAGGGCTATGGCAATTCCAGTGTCATCGCCTCCTCTATGGTAATGTGACTACTTGATCTCCATCAAACTCCCTTGACCGGAAATGACCAGTCTCACGACGTAGAGTATAATGTCGCGCGAATGGGGATTTTGGGTACCAACGTACAAAGGAAGCTGCACGAGGCCAAGGCGCAGGGCCTCCCCGCATATTGCCATGACCAGATTACTGGCTGCATGTTGAGGGAGGGCTGCAGTAGGAGTATTATTTTCCCATAGAAGCCATTTCCATGAATCAGAGGTAGTGTCTTGGCCTTGTTTCGTCATTTTCTGTCAGGCACATGGTACCTCCGCTGCCCCGAACGCCATGAAACACGGAGAGCTTCACAGTTCGGACATGTATACCCCCGGTGGAAATGTCACTTTTTCCACGTATCTAGTATGTTCCTTGGCATGAGCTACTGCTTGGCTTGGATATATAAATCGAATGAGCAGACGTGATGGAAGTAGTACCACACTCAAGATTCTTTTCATATTCTGCTACTCGCCATGAAGACCGCTGCTCTTCTTTCAGCCCTTGTACCCAGTGTGCTGGGTACAACCATCTACCTTGCTGGTGACTCTACCATGGCAAAGGGTGGTACCGGGTCTGGGACGGCTGGTATGCATTTCCCCTGCCCTCCAAGATAGAACCATACTAAAATGTCTAGGCTGGGGTGAGTATGTGACGCCTTATACCTCCCTCACTGTGGCCAACCAAGCTGTCGCTGGCCGTAGTGCCCGGTCATATACACGAGAAGGCCGCTTCGACACCATTGCAGCCGTGGTCCAGTCCGGTGATTGGGTGGTCATTGAATTTGGACACAATGACGGTGGATCGCTGTCAACCACCGACAACGGACGTACCGACTGCGGCGGCACAGGGAGCGAGACCTGCAGCACAACATATAACGGCGTGGCCGAGACGGTTCTCACCTTCCCAGCCTATCTGGAGAATGCAGCCAAAACTTTCAAGGCGAAGGGTGCGAACGTGCTCATCTCCAGTCAAACTCCCAACAACCCCTGGGAGACCGGCACATTCACCTACTCCCCATCACGGTTCGTGGAGTATGCTCGACTGGCAGCCGAGGTGGCCGGAGTCTCCTATGTCGACCACGGAGCATATGTGGCGGACCGATTTGAGGCCCTGGGTCTCACCACCGTTGATTCATACTTCCCCTTGGATCACACACACACCAGCACTGATGGTGCATCGGCCGTGGCTCAGGCCTTTTTCAAGGCCGTGGTTTGCGGGAATGTTGCGCTGAAGAATTCTCTGACCACTACATCATTCCCTGGTAGCTGTCTCTAAAAGATGAATACCAATCAGCGTTAGCAGCAATATCAGAAACATAATCCAGCCCCATCAACCAATAGAAGGCAGACTCTCAAGGGCCATCAACCAAGTCGGGTAAGAGGCTGAGTATTTCCACTTAGTCACAACAAAAATTTCAAGAGAAATGAAAGAAAAGAGGGAAATCCCAAGCCAATGCAGCTCGGTCAGTAAATTCGTAGGGTCGTAATATGTCCATGGCTAAGAACTACACTGAAAAGCATCAATTGCCAAAAGCTAGAAAACAAAATCGCTTCAACACATTCATTCTTCCAAAATTGACTGGACGATACCTCGTTTTGCGACTCTTTCGTAGTATTGGTTCACATTTGTAAACCGGACATTGAACGCCCCTTGTGCTTGCATGATCTCCCGAAAAACTGGCCAGAGAGAACAATCATCAATAGCGAGCACAGTACCTCCTAGATAGTGTTGCCCCCCGAGGACACGCTCCCAATCTTCAAAGCCGAACTCAAATGCCTCAACTGGATTGCTGGCACGATGTTCGCGCCAGTGCATCAAGAATCGGTCGATGATTGGCAAGTAGTCACCCCCACCCAATGGATCTGCACCTGGACGTGTAATTTCGACGTGTTGGGCCAAATGGGTCAGGATAGCAGAGTCACCAGCCGCAGTCAATCCATCGGAAGCAATGTATAACGGTAAAGCCGGTGTTTGATCATTGCCAATACGTTTTGCTGCATGGTCGGTGACAACTTCATATCGAATGCCGTTTTCTCCCAAACAAAGTTGCACACGCAAGTTAATCACTGGGTCTCCGCTGAGTACCAGCTGTGCTGTAGACGGGGTGACAAAGTTGACAACATCAGAGCCTTCGCCATACACAGCATCCCAATCAAACTCGGTAGCACGGTTTTCTTGGCCAAAGGCAGCAATAAGTCGCTCTGTCCCCGCGGCATCTGCATGGATTACCGGGCGCGCTTGGTCCAATGTCTTACTGACAGCACCTTGGCCCCAGATTGTGTTGGTAGCAGGTTCAATGTAAGTACCAATGTGTCGGAAAGTGAGAGAAATCCGTTGACCGCCGTATGCTTGCTCAGCAGCAGACTTGGTCGAATTAGGGCGTTTGTCTGCCCGGATTCCATGAAGCCATCGCATATTCGTATTTTGACCCAAGATAAAGAGTGAATTATGAGGGAGAGACACGCGCTGCGTGGTCCGACCCGATTCCGCTCCTTCTGCGGGCTCAGAGGCTGAAGCCTTGGTTCGAAGAAGCATAACGCGTTCAGCGCCTAGACTGACATTGCAAATGTAAGACCCCCGCACAATATCCAGCGTCTTGTCTGAATGTTCCGAGATACGGTCTTGTCCGTTACGGTAAAGCTGTATGAGCACGTGGTTCAAAGGGTGACCCAGGATGCGCTCAACTGTGGCCCGTACTGCATCAACTGTAGGTGTAAAAGGCCTAAAGGCCGGAGATTCGTCCGCAGGGTGGCGATAGATTGGTATTGCTCCATCTGGTTGCGCTTGGCCTTGGACAGCCACCAATCTAGGAACTAGACCTGAGAGGTGGTACATCTTCTGCCATTCCACCTCCGCCTGGATGCGCTCGAATGCATCTGCTGGCAGATCGACGTTGTGCACGATGCGCGAGTCACCTTCTCCAATACCACTTTGGGATGTATTGCGTGTTACCCCCAGCCTGGAAGGCGGATCTTGCTGGTGATGATCTGCGCGAGGTCCAGCTCCGGATTCTGGTGTGAGCTCTCGGCGTTTAGGACGGCGGATTCGCGCACGCACTTTCTTCTTTTCTTCCGCTGAACCCCGCGACTGCGCGGCTGCGCGCTGTGCGCGGGAACGAGAGGCAAGCTCTGCAATACTGAACTCATCCTCCTCTTGTGGATCATCATCCTTTGCTGTTGTATCATTGGCGGTCCAAACCTCCAATCCATCCATGATGCTCTCGATGCCAGCTGTATTAGCCGATCTCTTCGGCCGCGTCGCACCTTGGCGCGCAATCGCATCAGTCTCGTCCCAATCTAGCTCCTGAGTGAGCTCCTGCGAAGTTGTACCAGTCGCACCGAGGATGTCTGCCATGCGACGCATAGCTTCTTGGTGCCGTTGGAAATCACGGAATCCTAAACAGTTCTCAACCAGGGTCACCGAAAAGCCATTGCGCACGGCATCCAGAGCGGTGGCAAACACAGACACGTTGGACAGCGAACCACACAGATAGAGTTCAGTAACGAAACGTGTTCGAAAGGAGAGTATCAGACCAGGCGACTCCAGGGCAGAATATGCTGTTTTGTCCATAACAGTATCTTTCTGAGCATCGATGGCGGCGAGGATCGGTGCGGGAAACTGATATCCCGGAGTCTGGGGGGCAACACATCGTGATGGGTCGGCAGAGAGAAAAGCTTCCGGGTCAATAGGCTCAGGTGAATCACGGTCCGATCCGACTTCAATCACATCAGATGAGGGCAATGGCTTCCTGCGCGGGGGTTCTCGATCCAAAACAATGCGATCCCCGAAATTCCAATCGGTAATGGCTTGTGGGGTATCAAATTGAGAGCGCACCCATACTACATCACCCACGCGACGGAAGGCTGCTGCGAGTTGAGGGAGAGTCTCGAGGATATCAGGCGTGTTGGGGACATGCAGCGCCCCGGATGGCCGAACAAAGTCATTTTGGAAATCAAGCAGCAGCAAAGCCTTGCGGGTCTGGATGGTGGGGAGATCACCGAATGAGAAGTAACTCATCCTGCCATGGTCCAAGGAAGCCGATGGACAGTGTGAAGACAGTTGGGAGGTGGGGAAGTAGACACCTGAGGCAGGATGAAATATTCGAGTTTATCGTGTGGTTTGGACTGAGTATGCACTTTCTATTCAGCTAATGGGTAGCAACAGGAGACAGCCAATGATCTTGTGTTCAATTATCTCATCTTTAATACCCCGAGTCTCCATATACTCCGTACTCAATTACTCCATACTGTCGACAACTCGGAGCTTTGGCTTCACTCCGGGGAATATCCACCCTAAGCCCAACCTGGGCAGCTCATCCACGGTTGCTGCTGGAAACATGACATAATCCCTGACTCATTCTGTCGCCCAATCAACGCCACCGCCGACACCGGCCGGGGAGCTCTGGTGCTTCTCCGGAATCACGTGTGGTGACTCGCAGCGGTTGCGGCCATCTCCCATTTATAAATCCCAGAGCTTCCCCGGTCTCAATTCTTCTTTTCCTCTTCACTCTCCACTCTCCTCTCTTCCGTATCTTCACAATGGCTTCCCGTGGTCTCCCCCGTGCCCTCCGCCTCGCCCGCGTGGCCGCCCCTCGCTCCGTCGTCACCGCTGCCCTTCCCCGGCCTGCTGTGGCGGCCGCTGCTGCCCTCCCCCGTGTCTCCTCGGTCGTCACCCCCGTCCGTGGTATCAAGACCATCGACTTCGCTGGTGTCAAGGAGGACGTCTACGAGCGTGCCGATTGGCCCCGTGAGAAGCTCCAGGAGTTCTTCAAGAACGACACCCTTGCCCTCATCGGTTACGGTTCCCAGGGTCACGGTCAGGGTCTCAACCTCCGTGACCAGGGCCTCAACGTCATCGTTGGTGTCCGCAAGGATGGTGCTTCCTGGAAGGAGGCCATCCAGGACGGCTGGGTTCCCGGCAAGAACCTGTTTGATGTCACCACCGCCATCGAGAAGGGTACCGTCGTGATGAACCTGCTCTCCGATGCCGCCCAGTCTGAGACCTGGCCCACTATCAAGCCCCTCCTCACCAAGGGCAAGACCCTCTACTTCTCCCACGGTTTCTCCCCCGTCTTCAAAGACCTCACCAAGGTCGATGTCCCCAAGGACATTGATGTCATCCTCGTTGCCCCTAAGGGTTCCGGCCGTACCGTCCGCACTCTCTTCCGTGAGGGCCGCGGTATCAACTCCTCCATTGCCGTCTACCAGGACGTCACCGGCCAGGCCAAGGAGCGCGCCATCGCCATGGGTGTCGCTGTCGGCTCCGGCTACCTCTACGAGACCACCTTTGAGAAGGAGGTCTACTCCGACCTCTACGGTGAGCGTGGTTGCCTGATGGGTGGTATCCACGGTATGTTCCTCGCCCAGTACGAGGTTCTCCGTGAGCGTGGCCACAGCCCCTCCGAGGCCTTCAACGAGACCGTTGAGGAGGCCACCCAGTCCCTGTACCCCCTGATCGGTGGTAACGGTATGGACTGGATGTACGCTGCCTGCTCCACCACCGCCCGCCGCGGTGCCATTGACTGGTCTGGCCGCTTCAAGGACACCTTGAAGCCCGTCTTCAACGACCTCTACGACAGCGTCCACAACGGCACTGAGACCCAGCGCTCTCTCGACTACAACTCCCAGAAGGATTACCGTGAGAAGTACGAGAAGGAGATGCAGGAGATCCGGGACCTCGAGATCTGGCGCGCCGGTAAGGCCGTCCGCTCTCTCCGCCCCGAGAACCAGAAATAAGTTAATACTGTGATACCCGTGGGGGTTCAAAAATTATGATGTACTATGAACTGTTCTGTTTGGGTTTCAGGTATTCGAAAATATCATTTTGAGGCTATATAAGCCCCCATTTCATTATTCAACCTTCCATTTTATTTACTTCGCTTGGATATTAGTAGAATGTAGAGCCCCGTGCGTAAGCGGAGATGGTCCGGGGTAAGAGTCATCGACTTCAGACTCGGCCTGTCCTTCTATCATGTACACTTTACACACAATGACTTCCCCCGCCGTTGCAGCTCAATCGCTCACTCCTGCTGCAGTTCAAGCGGCGTACGATCTCATCCAACCCTATGTGCATCGGACGCCACTGCTGACCTGCAAAACGCTCGACACGATCGCCTCAACGCCGCAAACCCGAGAGGCGCTCGTCGGAACACCATTTGAAGGCCAGATCCCAGCTCAACCACGGTTCCACTTGTTCCTTAAATGTGAAAACCTTCAGCGAGTTGGAGCATTCAAAGCACGGGGCGCCTTCCATGCACTGTTGCGATTGTTGGAGGAGCGCGGGGACGAAGTGAAACAACGCGGGGTGATTACACACAGCTCTGGTATCTTCGAGTCCTCTACAATGCTACGAGCTCAGACTAACTATGTCTCTCTTTCTTTGTAGGAAACCATGCCCAAGCCCTTGCCCTTGCAGCCTCAACTCTAGGCGTCCCAGCTTACATCGTGATGCCGCGGATCAGTATACCGAGCAAGATCGCTGGCACCCGGTCCCATGGCGCAAAAGTGATATTCAGCGGTTCGACAAGCGTAGAACGAGAGGCTGTGGTGGCGGACATCCAGGCAAAGACAAATGCCATTCTGGTACCACCATATGACCACGTCAATATCATTTGCGGCCAGGGTACAACAGCTTTGGAGCTAGAGGCGCAACACGCTGAACAAGCCGGGTCCCGAGATTTGGATGCAGTGATTACACCAATTGGCGGAGGTGGGTTGAACTCCGGTGTTGCGACATGGTTCTCGGACAAGTCGACCCGCGTGTTCGGCGCAGAGCCCACCTTTGAAGGTGCAGATGATTGCCGCCGTGGATTGGAGGCTGGGAAGCGTGTTGAATCTGTTGGTACCTTGACCATTGCGGATGGATTGCGTACTCCGGTTGGACTTATCAACTGGGAGGTGATTTCCAATAAGAAACGAGTCGAAGGAGTATTTGCTGTCACCGAGGAGCAGATCAAAGCAACAATGCGGTTGGTACTAGAGCGCATGAAGGTTGTAGTTGAACCAAGTGCAGTCGTTGGATTGGCCGTCTGTCTTTTTGATGAAGACTTCCGTCGGAGGGTTGAGCAGGAGGGTGGAAAGGAAGGATGGCATGTTGGAGTTGTGTTCAGCGGTGGAAACACGACTGTTGAGGCAATTGCGAAGCTCTTTGGTTAAGCTACGAAGTATATATAGCGCGTCCTGGGATAGACACCGTACATAAAATCCATTTGATCACTCATCGGGCTTGGGTATATCAATATCCGACTCACGCACGTAAAATGAAAAGCTTCCCCCATTGTTTGCCTCAATGGCTTCCACCACCCGCTGGGGCCAGTCTTCTCGCCCCCATGCATTGACACAACCCGATATCCTGCCTTGCTGAATTGCACTCTGTCGTAAATGGGCATCCTTGATGGCAGCTTTGAGGGCCATGCTAGGTGGAAATGGACGAACAGAGGACCGGTGGACAATTAGACGCAAGGTTGGAAATGTACCCCACGGTGGTGGGAGAGCAGGCCGTAATACTGGAGTCCGCGACTGGTGCCAGTCGTATAGACCAGGACCGGAGTGACCATCACTAGATGGAGCCGCGCGGGTACCTGAGATCGTGGTAAACACAATTGCGCATTGAAACAGAGCCTGAAGTCGCTTCAGAACCACCACCAGCTCAAGGTAGAGATCAGACAGGTAAAAGGTCTGGTTTCGCTCGCGCTCGCGATCAACCTCTGCCCGAGGACGCCCAATCTCCTCAATACGAGCAATTTCGTCGCGAAGCCGATCTTGCCAAATGAAAGCAGTGGCGCTGTCGATGGTGATCATTTGCAGGGGACGTGAGGCGGATCGGTGCCTCGAGAGATCGAACAAGTAAGTTTCTAGACTGTGTAGCGTAGCCAGAAGAGCAGAGGAAGACTGTGGACGAAAGACATGGACATGCTGCAGCGAAGAGACAAGCAGCGATTCCAACTCATGGCCCAGTGTTGCTCCTGGTGGCTGGTCCCTTGCATCTGGATCAGATTTAAGCTGTTGCTGCATAATTATACCTCGAGCCACGACTCGCAGTCTCTCAGCGTCGAATCGGTTGTCGTTGTCTATGAAGACCACAGCTGATTCACGGCCACCCAGAGGTAAATCACCGTAATTCCGAGGTAAAATTGCGAGTGCAGTCACATAGTACAGGAGCTGTGACTTTCCTGAGGCTGACAAGCTGCTCGAGACCTCCACAACTGGGAGTGGCCGTTTCTTGATGCTCTCGGTGTCTGGGAACATATATGGGTCTCTTTCGTCTGGCAGGTGTATTTCACCCGGCATTTCAACACACTCTGTCTGGGCTTGGCTGTGCAAGAGCATTTCCTCATCTTCGGTGAGGAATTCTCCATGCTGGTCTTGGTCAAAGTCCCTTCGATGTTGGTGTTGATCATTTGGTGCATTTGGTACACCAGATGGTTTAGGCGCAAAGACTTCAAGCAATGCGTCTAAAACAGGCAGACCTAACGGATTCGTGTCATAACTTGCAAGGTCATGGTAGAACTGCTTCAATTCAGAGAGGATCTTGGAGAGGTCAGTTCACGGTCAGAACAAAGGCGAGCTATGACGCACCTCATCCAGTCCCTCGTGGTGTACATCTGCTAGCGATTTATCCCCTAAATAAGCAGCCATAGCTATGGCCCTGTCAATCTGGCATCACTGAAAGAGCCAAACTCATAAAGTCCGAGTGAGTCGAGGTTGACCAAAGATCTCGGGAAGGATAACGCGGAGCTCCCGAACTTGAACTTCACTCCGACATAACCTCTGCGCCGCCTCTCTCTCCAATTCCTCCACCCTCCCCAATGGCTCCTCTCACACGAGTCTTCCACGCCGAGACTCTCCCCGATCATGTCAATACCGTCCACCGCAACTTCCAAGAGAAACGTCGTAAAGGCGGCCCCGTCGACCTGAAGGAGTGCCCGCTGTTCGAAATGACACAATACTCATGCAACCCACCACAAGATGGCATTCCTGAGAAAGGCGTTGTAATTTGCAAGCCCGTGGTGCGATTGTTCCGACGGTGAGTGCGCCAATTCAGCCAGAGGTGAGGAAATACTGATAAGCAGTAGCTGCGCCGGTGGCTTGACGGTCGAAACTACATCCTGGGAGCCTCTCAGGCAAGCAGAGGAACAGAAGCAGAACCAAGCGAGTACACAGTGACGGAACATTAGCATTACATCGTTACGCATTGGGCGGAGTTTGACTACGTGGATTACAAGTATTTGCAGGTTTCGCAAATAAGATATCATTGATTAAATGCTTCACCATGGGGTATCGAACAAGCGCCAGCCGTAATGAAAAGAACACCAATGGGACCTGCGTCCCTGCAATTTACACGCCAGTCATGACCTCGGGTGGTTCTGCACTCGCGGAAGGCTTTTGGTCATTTTCCTCCCCCCGGCGCGTATTCGACGCGGTCCGACGCCAGAGGTCCCGTTCGCAGTTGACAATCGGTCCCATCTCCATGTTCCATAACAGCTTGGCCCGGGCTTTGTCGGCGTCCGGGTTTCCAGAGTCGATTTCCATGGCCGAGTCGATCAAAGCTGCTGCCGCAGACGTAGTATGAGGATCCTTGTTGAGCTTCTTAGTGAGAGCCTTGGCGGTCTTCTCAAACATAGTTTCCATGCTATCCGTTCTGCGACCCCAGAGTTTCTTGTGATGGCCCGTAGAGCCTGTCTGGTTGTCGCGGAATGCGGCGCTCGCCAATTTGCGCAGTGCCTCCTCTCCATGTCGTCCATCTTCTGCGGCGCGTTCTCGAATCTTGCGTTGGTCGCCATCTCGTTCAACGAATACCGCTGTGGCAGAGTAGGTGTGCTTGCTGGGGAAGCTGGGGAAATGTTTCGGGATGTAAGAGCGGTTTGCGCGATCATCCTCGCTGCTGAGCGCTGTAAGAAAAGGCAGACTTGGTGGAAGCACGTCCTCTGTCTCCGGAGAGGACAATAATGGCGGTGCGGGTATAGAAGATCGAGACGATTTGAGGGTAGGGAGAAGGTCATCGGGTGTAAGGCGGAAACGGGTGAGGGCGTGTTCAAAGTCTTGTGGAATAGGCTGCGTTCGTCGGGATGATAGCATAGATTGCCGGGCAAATGTAGAAAGTCGTAACATGTCTGCAAAAATAAGCGCGAACCACGTCAGTTGAAACTTCGAACAGCATCAGACGTCATTCACGTACACTCTTCCGTCGCGCTGCGGAAGCTCGACAGAGCAATTGGCTCAGCTAGATCGTATCCGGCATCTTTCAGGGTTATTCCAATGGCACGGTTCATCAATTGGTCGACGTGAGCCTCATCTTGCACAGCTGGCTCGGAGGACGGGAGGGTGACAGGCTCATGCAGACGGTGATGGTGGTGATACTGCTTTAGTCGCTTGATATTGTGCTGATCGACGGATGTGGAACGCTTGACGGGCGTACCTGAAGCTGCCATAGCCACAGGTTTCCGGAGCTTGATCGAGCGAAGATTAGAATGGTGCAAGTTCCGCCGTGAAGGAGGAGCCATGATGATCTGAAGGGTCACGTGTTAATGCCTGAGGCAGCAATATATGAACTCGATGATGTTGAGAAGATTGAAATAACGAAATGCGGACAGGCATTAGCTGTATATGCTTAAAATAAGTGACCAAATAATGTTTTATATGTTCGCATCTTTCCAACTTTGCCCATCACATTGATCAGCCCATCTTATACAAGTTGATCGACCAATCCGGTCACTCGCTTAGTCCGCTCCGAAGCTTCAACTTCACTTCACAACCGTCCGCTTCTTCCACTCCCCTCTCCTCTCCCCACCACCAACGTTTTAGGGTTCCAACCAGTCAGTCACCTACTGAAAGACATCTCGAGTACCAACTGACGCTACTTACCAGGCACAATGCCCGCCGCTATCCCCCCCATCACCGGCGTAAGTGCCCCTTCCCTGGAAGGCCGGGTTGACCCGATCGGACAGGTCGGCTTGGTCTGAATGATCGCAATGGTTTACTGACATGCTGTGTCTCTCTATAGATGCTCCGCCGTGGTCTTGTCCTGGACCTGAGCACCGCTTTCGGTGAGTCATGACCCGAATCCGAGTGGCATGATCGAACAACAATTGGAGATTGCGATCTTTAGAGAGCGACCGAATGGGCCTCAAACGCCCAGGAAATAATTCGAATAGGTTGAATAAGGTCAACAGATGCTAACCAGAGTTCTTTTACACCAGGCTTCGGTACCACCTTCGGCTACCTCTGGTGGTACGGTAAGTAGAACGCAACCCGGCTATGCTCAAGCCACGCGCTCCCAGGCTCAAAGTTTGACAATATTTCCTGCAGGCTTCCACCTTCCCCGCGTCCGTGAGCGCGACACCTACTACGCCCGCCTTGAGGCTGAGCGTGCCGCCCAGCGCGGTTAAATCGGTCGCTAATCGCACCCGGTCGTCTCCTTCCCGCCCATTCGGCGTCAGTCCTTTTCTTTGTCAAAGCGTTTCTAGAAAATTGCCCGTGGATGGGGGCAAACGTTCCGATGTCGCCCCTCGGGCTTGGTTGAAAGGGTCGTATACGAAGGGTGGCTAGATTGGGATCGATTGTACATATACGCCTGTGGACAACCAATTGTTTTTGCCTTGGACTATTCTTTTCACTTTGGGGCGAATTCCGACCTCGGTTCGTCGTATGATCAGAGCATTAAAGCACCTATAGATGCATGTCGGAGCAAATCCCTCGGGGCCAACTGATTGACCTCCTACGTGCTTCATTTGTCATGAGCAAAGTAGATCTATTTTATTCAAATGCTAAATACGCCGGATATATGTACGTGGAAACCAGCGCGCCGCCATGGGATCGCCAAACCATGTTCTCCATGTGTAAGCCGTAGATCATGATACCATATCTGTGTGTCTCTGGATGTTGCATCGCAACCATTGTGGCCTTAGCAAGCAACTGGGGTCAGTTCGCAAGCCTCGAGTCCTGGTTCACCGCAGCACCCTATCAAACGATACACCTCGGACGGACCCGCCGGCCATGGAATTGCGCACGTTTTTCTTGAAGTGTTCGCGGGTGGTGCGGAGGTCTTCCGCGGCTTCCTTGTTGAGGGGATCGGAGGCATTAGGCTCGAGGAAGAGGAACTATAGATTATATGCACTCGTGAGTCATATGAGTGTCAAGCGTAAGAAAATCAACCAACCTGCATGCCCACAATCACGGCATTGAGGTTCAAAACGGGTTTCCAATCCTCTCGTAGAATGTTCAAGCAGACGTTACCCTCCAGATCGATGTTAGGATGGTAGATCTTCTGTGTGCACTTGACCTTTGGAGGGTCATGGGGGAAGTTCTGGTTGACGTTAAAGGTAAAGTTGAAGGTTCCACCCTTGTACATGCCCTCGTCAGGTTCGATGCTCAAGGTGAAGTTGAGGATGTCGTCGGGATTGGGAAAGTCCATTTTCATTGTGCTTCCAAGGGTGATTTCTGTAAGGTCTATAGAAGGTCTAGTTAGGATTAAATGTTCATAACTGGCCATACTAGGCATGTTATGCACCCCGCGGCTGAAGCATGCCTGCTGCGAGGGACTTCACTGACCTTTTTGGACCCGCAGCTGCGCGGCAGTGACCTTCTTCTTCTTCTTTCCGGCAGCACCCTCGGCATTCTCAGCCTGCTGCTGCTGTTGCTTCTGTGGAGTCTATCAGCGACATATGACCAGCTGGAATACACCAAAGAGAGCCTACCATAGACCAGATTTTCAACATCCTGGCTGAAGTCACCACCCCACCTGGTGGAACAGACGGTTTGCGGGAGGTAGATGGGTTTGTAAATGAGGTTGCGGTAACTCTGTATGCTCAGAACGAGCGTTCAGAGAGAGGGAAAAGCAAAGAAAGCAATGCGGTCCAGAAGTGTGGAAATGATGCAGGAGTTGGGCCTGCGGGGGCTTCTGATCAGCAATCGGCTTTATCGTCTCTCCGCCTTGGACCGCTCCACTTCTATAGACTACGGAGTAGCTAAACATCTACTGTACACATGCACAGGAAATTGGTCTCAATATGAATTGGTTGATAATCATAACACCCCTAATGCATCCATTGGCTGGTCCAACAAAAATAAAATAGATCCCCATGTTGCGTTTACCATGAAGAGACGCAACAGTACATACTGGCTGGCATTGAAAAATCAGAGAATTGGGCATCTTTAGGTAGAATACAGATCACGGTATGAGGAAAAGAACTGGCCTAGCCCAGGCTGTCGTGAGAAAGGAAGAAAGCATATTTTGGTGTTTACCGGCGGGCGAAGCAGCACTTAATACCAGTGCGACCCAGGAACCAACAACAACCGATGAAACGGAACAGCGCGACAACGGCGTTGGACCACAGGAGAGCCTGGAAGAAACGGGCTGTACGGTCCGTGGCAGTGTTCTAGGTCATGTTAGTTGAAGATCGTAATCGGAAAGGTGCTGGGAAAGCTTACAGTGAATCCAAACTTGTCAACAGACTCGCTGGTGATGCAAACAGCCATGAAGGCGTTACTGAAGATCCAGAGAGTGACGAGGCGAGTACGGAAACTCTTGTAGGAGTCTTCCAAACTCTTCTCATCGTGTTCCACTGGAGCAACGTAGGGCGTTAAGGCGCGCTTGACAGTAGCCTCAAACTGACTGTCAATATCGGCTTGAGGCTTGTCAATTTCCTCTATCACCGCATCTTTACTGCCTTCATCCTTGGTCACCGTAGCTGACGGCAAGGCATCGGCCTTGTCAGAACCCTTGGTACCCCAGGAGACATCGTGCCAGTTGCTGAAGGCGTAGACGTTGAGGATGTTGATGTAGGAGGACTGGACGACCATGTAGGCAGGGAATGAGGTGAACATGTGCCACGGGTCGGCGTACATGAACGAGGCAACGAAGTACAGACCGAAAGTGGCGGCCAGGGCGATGATAATGATACCAGCGCCAGTCGATCCGAAGAAAGAGCTGAGGAAGGCGCCGACGCCGTGACTCGTGTCGAAATCCATGGGCGCACCACCGCTGAAGGCGCGAACGACCAGATAAATCGAGTCCACCACAATGTAAAGCTGAATGATACCAAAGACGATGAACGAGGCAAGGTAAGAGAACTTGGATCCCTTGGGTCGGTTACCAAGTGCAAGGATGAACTGAAGTAGCAGGAAAGCCAGATATCCATACTTGATAATTGTGTTGATGATAGGAGTCGCGGACTTGCCGAAGGGGAAAGCAGTATAGCCGTTGTTCTTGCTGGGAGTACCGACCAAGTCGATAATGACGGTGGTAGTCAGCCAGTAGGAAGCCAGAGAGAACCAGGTGAGGAAAGTGTTGAAGATGTTGTACAACAACTGGATGTGCAGGAAGAACATGCGAATGATGTTGTGGCCACTCTTGTACATACGACCAAAGTGCATCAGCGAGTAAATACCAGCGGCGAAGGAACCGTTCAGCCAGCGACGACGCTGGGAAATGAACTCAGGAGCACCTTCCGGCACATCAGTTTCACCCTTGGAAGCCTTGACGTAAGTCAGATGCCACTTAGAGCCTGCCTTGGCCACTAACTCGAAGCAAAGAATTCGATCCTCGGCCAAGAACATGTTCTTTTTGAAAATATTCATGCCTTCGATACCCTTCTTACCGAGCTGTTTGGATAGGGTGTGATCACCGTGGAAATATTGTTCCAAAGGACGGCCCATGATAGCACGGAATCGATAGGCCGAGAACGCACCAGGCAAGACACTAACATAACCGAACGAACTCTCGAGAGGCTTATCCAAGATATTACTGATCTTGTACTCGAAGTTCTGGGCGGCCACGAGGGGGTTGATCAGGTTGCGCCAACCCTTACCCAACATAGCGTGGATTTCACCACAAGCACCACCGAGATCCTTGTCATTGTAGAAGGCCTCCCAGAGATAGAGCAGAGACTTGGGGCCAGGTTTCGTACCAGCATCCAGAAGAATACAGACCTCTGGGTTCAGAATTCGGCCAAAGGCGTTGAACAGCCAACGATGCGAGTTGATCTTCTTGCTGTTCTTCTGCTTCAAACAGAACATCATCTGCACAGGAGGAAGGGTGCTAGGGCCATCTTCGGTGGGGCGAATGAGCTGCTGGCTAGGTGTGACGGAGAGCTGGGTGGTGTATTCGAACTGGATCATTCGTCAGTCGACCATGTCAGGTCGATTTGTCGGTAGTTCACACTTACAATATGAGCCAAGGTCTCCTTTCCGTCAACATCACGCTTCATGACACCGTCCTGGTACACACCGACGGTGGCAAGGACATCCAAAACATCTTTGTCGCAAGGATCGATACCGTCAAACACCAGCGCAACCACAATCTTCTGCCACGCGGGGCCACCCTTGTTCCAGAACTCGGATTTCTTCAGGTTCACAATGTCGCGAATGTTCTGCATCACACCGTGGAGAGTACGTGCTGTCAAGTTCTTGTCTTCGTTGTAGTAGGTAATGGCGATAAGCAACTCGGTGTGACGGTTGTACATAGCGGGACGTAAGTTGTAACCATTATGGAGGGTAAACTCATTCGGGTCACAAGTAGCAGCGGTATCTAAAAAAGCAAATGCTCGTTAGTTCCTGGTATTAAAGTCGCTCTTCGCCTCATTCCTCCCTTTACGTACATCGCATGTGAGTGAACTCCTCAGTTCCGCCCTCAACGTCATTTCGGTACTTCGCCTGAATGGCATTCTGAATAGCACTAGGCACGGGGTAGTCGACACTTAGGACGGAACCCTGGACCAGCTTGACCTTCCTAGTGGCATATCGGCGCAGACCGCCACCACCACCTTGGGTGCCTCCAGGAGCTTGTCGCTGGCGCCATGCCTCTGTGGATGATGTCTCGCTGCGTGCATAGGGCGATGCGACGCGGCCAGGGACCCCGAAAGCTGCAGCGGGGCTTTCCTCATGGCCAGAGTAAACAGAGCCAGCACTGTAGGGGTCGTTGTAGGAAGGTGCCGAGTCCGCCGCGTAGGTCTCGGTCAAACTGTACCCTGAGGCTCGACGCTGTGGGGACGGCCCACGGGAGCTAGGGTCGTCAAAGGGCGTCGCGAAAGGGCCCTGCTGTTGCGAAAGCAAGCCACGCGCTGCATCTTCGTCCTCGCGGTACTGCACAGGGTCAGTTGAAATCTCTAGCAGCATCCACGATCAGCGAACCTGTGATGCAGGGACATCCTGCAGACGATGATTATCGTCGTAGCTCGGCGAGTGCGAGCTAGAGCCTTGGTAGGCCATGATATATTAGACTAGAGACGCAAAGGGGGTATCAGTTATCGAAAGGGTCGAAAGGGCAACGTCAAGGGTGTAATGAAGCCACCAGGGCCAGAGAATAGTGCAGTGAATCTAGGAGGGGAAAGGAAAAAGGGAAGGGGGGAAAAGGAGAATAGAGTGAGACTAAGCAAAAATAGACATCTCTAGCCTCGTCTGGTTAGCTTCTTTGTCTTCAGCCTTGGACTTTTCTTTTTTTTTTTTTTTTTTTTTTTGGATTTGGTTTGATTCGTCTCTAATTTTCCTACATACTCCATCCCTTGAATATGGGGAGACCCTGACTGGACCCTGAGTCCCTGAACCAGATTCCATAGAACCCGTATTTGGATTTCCGTGTTGCTACGTACATCCATCGTACATGTATACATAGAAATCTTCCTTTTGCTTCTGTTTAGCCTCCTCCAGATCATCTGCAACCTTACTCTTCTGGGGCTAGATGAACAACACTAGAACATCCGAACCCAATAGGCCCCACTGATGAAACATTCGGTGAAAAGGGACACTTCATTCTCACATTCTTCAAATCATAACAAAGTAACTAGGGGATGGTATGTGATCCACTTCCGGTATACAAACAGTAGCTAACCCCCTAATCTTGTTAAAAGTGGACAGGTCCCCTGCAACAATCTCAGACATTTAGCGCCATGATCTCCCCTAAATTTATTTCGGGATCTGCCAAGAGCCCCATCTGTCTGTTTTTTTGGGGGGTTTTTTTTTTGGGACACGCCTTGTGCCCCCCAAGTTACATGTTACGGTTGAATTTGCACCTGATCTATCCCGCTGTATACATAGATACATAGTTGTACATGTATATAACTTACTCCATGTTGATCAACGGTTGTATCCGATGCTCGTTACAGATAAATGACCAGAAACCCTTTCAGGCGGTCAAAGCTTCGTCTTGGCCACTTATACGGGTCTGATACGTTGTCTCTATTCCTCCATCTTGCCTTCAATACAGCAATAGAACCAGAGCATTTGGGTGAGTGATTCGCTGCTTTCCCTTTTAAGCCCTTGGATCCTGGAGAGGATACATTTTGAACATATGTGGTGAGACTACATATATATACTTCGTAGACCAATATTTACCTCGTCACCGCCCCTCAACTTTACTTCACTCCTACACCCTAGACAAATGTCTAACCACAATACTCAAAGGTCAGCCAAGAGGAAAAGAGTCAGTGTTGCATGTAAGACTTGCCGATCACACAAAATCCATTGCGATGGAGGTAAGCCTCCATGTGGCACTTGCCAACGCCGCCGAGAGACCTGCCACTATGAGGATACTCCAAATGAATCAAGGTATGCTAGTCGAACTCGGTACAAAGTCATCGGCTCATGTCATTTAAAGGTCCACAGACCCCACAGGAAGCCTCGGAGACCCTGTCCAGTCGATCACAAGGGACTCCAGTGTGACTGCAATGGGCCTGGTCTCCCATCCACTCAATGACCAGTCGACAGGCGGATTCTTTGGGGACTCATCCACGGTCGCATTTATCAAGGAGTTGCAGAATACAGTATCAAAAACACTCGCCCCATTGCAGGGGTCTTCTCGGCCTCAGTTTGACCGGAAAAGCGCAGAAAAATTCGATGCGGTTGAATTACAAGCATTACTTCCACCGCGACCGTTGGCAGACCACCTTGTGGACTGTTATTTTTCTAAGATCCATACTCTGTACCCCTTTGTGCATAAAAAGGCATTTTTTCACTGCCTATGATTCACTGTGGAAAAACCAGGGCACTCCTTCACCCCGATCAACAAATGGCCTGGGCTTAGGAGACGCGCGGGGAAATCGCACGACCTTTTACTTATGGGCTGAATGTGATACTTGCTGCGGGTTGCCAATTTTCTGATATTGTTCAGTACGAGCGAGAGGCTATGTCGGAGGCCTTCTTCCACACATGCAAACCAGCTCTAGATGTAGACTACCTTGAAGATGGCGATCTTGCCTTGGTCCAGACCTTCCTGATAATAGCCCACTACCTCCAAGGCTCGCGAGCCCCGAATCGATGCTGGCACATCATTGGGACGGCAATCAGGCTAGCGCAGGGCGTAGGGTTGCACTCCGATATTGGAGATGAGCACCGATCATTTGCGGAGACTCAGATTCGGAGACGGGTATGGCATGGTTGTGTCATGCTGGATCTGTAAGAGGGCGAGCCTCTTGTTTCTCGAACCAGCTGACAGGAAGTGTAGGGCAGTCAGCATCATGCTTGGTCGACCGGTCATGATATCTCATAAGCCATCCACGCCTCTCCCAGATCCAATTGACGATCGCCACCTAGCAATAGACTATCCGACCTGTGAACAGCCTCCGGGTACATTCTCCCATGTCGAGTGGTTCATTGCAACTCTGAAGCTATATGGACTTCTTCGAAAGACGTTACATATGCTCTACGATAATGATGGGAAACAATGCAACGGAAATCCTGCCGATCAAACACGGTCGGGGACGCTGACCCAGATTCAGTATATTACACAGTTGGACTCAGAGCTTCAAGACTTTCGACTCGAGGTTCCAATGCCGCTTCATTGGGATGTCCCAGCCTCTGAAGTGCAGCCCCAGTTCCTCAGAGAGCAGCATTTACTAAAAGCGAGGCAAGTCAAGACAGGTCCCTTGTTCGTCAGGGTCACTAACAAGGTCTGGGCAGATATGTGTATCTGAAGCTTCTTATTTACAGACCGGTTCTCTCAAAATCATTACACGAGAATTTATCCACGGGAACCGAGAGGGCATCATCCAGGGCTGGAATATGTGCAAACTTCGCTATGGATTGCGTGTTCTTCTGTGTTCAGTCTGCCATTGAGCTTATTAACTTGATACATGAGACTTGCAACACTGATCTTGCCAGTGTGTGGTATTATAACATTTTCTGTGAGCATAATACAGAAGCTCTTATGTTCCAAGCTGATTAGATCATAGATCTATTCACAGCTGGTTCTATCACGCTCCTCGCCGAGCTATATCCGCCCATTGTGAGCATTGTCACGCGCGAGACGTTGGAAATATCCTGGATAAAGTGCCAGGGGGCCCTGAACTACCTAAAGTCGTACAGCATAGTAGCAGAGCGATGTGCTGAGAGTATGGCGATGATACGATCGAAATGCTTGGAGGCCATTTCTGGTAAAAACATGTCTCTCTTCCTTGGCTCAAGGCTAATGTAGAGTAGAAAAGCTTGACCAACCGCAAGAATCCAATGAAAAATCTGGGCTGGCAGCGGAAAGTGCAGGTCAAATGCCATTTTCGGAGGATATATTGCGTGACTTCGACTTCAATGCGCAAACTTTCTTTGATCCAGTTTGGTTTAACTTGGGGTTTTGATCTTCGCGATTAGATCTAAAGGTCTCAACATTGAAAAGAAAAAAAAAAAAAAAGAAAAAAAAAAAAAAAGAAAAAAATTGAATCTAGCTCTATTGATCTATATAAAAAAAAAGCCTAACTAAAAACGCTTGGAAATACACATTTGCAAAGGGCCTAGGTAAATCCCTTGAAAAAGTCGACGAGGCTGTCGATCTCATCCAAGAAAACTGCATGCCCTAGAATTCCATCAGGCGGTAGAACAGCTACAGCGCCACTCCTTGTTGAGATGGTGTACGCAGTATGTGCCGATCGATCTTGGTCATAGTACACGTTGCCAATCTTGGGAGTATCGAACATCTGGTCTCCCTCGGCTGCACTCTGAGCCACTAAGGTGAGGAAGCGGGCCATGCCACTAGGAAGCGTATCCGCAATTTCCTTCAGCTTCTTAACGGCAGGTGCGAAAATCTCACGAGTCAGGGCAGGCTGTCCCGCGAAAACAATGATTGACCATTGGCCAACGTTCTTCGTCCGGTGGAAGAGACGGGTTGGAACGCGAGAACCAAGGCCGTAAACCAACGCGTCTGGTGCTCTCCAGCCTGCCGAGACCATTCCAGTTGGAAGGGCTTTGTTGATGATATTTTCTGGGTAGTTGATGCCGAGTCCAACATTGAACTGGATTGTCTCGTTGAATAGTTTTGTGAAAAGCTCATTGGAATCGGCATAAGCGTCTTTGTGGCTGTCCGGGACCTGGCCAGAGATAGTGGCCGAGAATGCCTTGTCAAGCTCGATCAGGCGCATAGCCAGGGGGCGGCGCTCACTGTCATAGGTCTGCAGGACAGCCGCCTTATACCAGCCTTTCATCATTCCACCTAGCTTCCAAGCGAGATTCACCGCATCATGGACGCGTGTGTTCATGCCTTGTGCAGCCCCTGAGGAGTGTGTGTGGCAAGCATCGCCTGCAAGCAAGACGCGATTGTTGGCGAAGAAGGTGTCAGCTACACGTTGGTTGATACTATACGCCGACATCAGTACTAAATCTCGAGGCGAGAGACATACGATAGACATACCTGTAGAGGGTCCACCAATCGACGGACTCGAATTCTAGAGTGAAAGGATGCATGGAGAGAATGGCTTCTTCCTTCGCCTGCTCCTCTGTAAGCTTACCCCCATACTTGGCAATCATCGCATCAGTCATGGCAAAGCCAATGCGCTTCACACCATGGTCAAGCTGGACCTAGAGGACGTTTCCAATGCCTCTGAGACTCGATAGATGCAAAGCCAATACCTGAATCTGGCATGTTGGTTTTGAAACGCCCGTCAATTCGCACCCACTTGAATTTGGTATGATCGCCGTTGAAGGGAATATCAGCCGTACGTCGAACAAGGGAGCGACCACCGTCTGCACCGACTATGTATTTACTGATCTGCGTTAGAAACACAACAGACCTAGACCAGATCAGATGGACATACCCTTTCACAGTCAACAGCCTATCAGTCTGAATCTCACGAACATGCGAGGTCACTTTATAGTCATCGCCACTCGCATTGTCAACCGAGTAGCTCTCCAGCTTCCAGCCTGCGAACGCCTGACCTCCGAGCTTTTCGTACGCCCCCTGAATCACCTCCTCCAAATACTTCTGACGAAGATTAAGGCAATAGTCTAGGAAAGTGCCGTGCATACGCTCAAACATAACATGCCACCCACGGGATGTAACGCGCTTCCCATCCTTGTAGGTCACGCTGTTACGGCCAATGTAACCAATCTGGTTCAAATCCTCAAGCAAGTCAAGTTGATCCAGAAGTTCGAGGGTTCGAGGGTAAAGGGTGGTAGCTCGGCCATACATGGCTTGTTCTTTCTTGACATATTGCTCTGCAGACGTTAGCTGGATATCACATCAGGACTTGGACAAGAGACTTACCAACTAGAACAGAATCAACGCCTTGTCTAGCTTGTCTAGCCAAACAATAGGCAATGAGAAGTCCGACAGGATCGCCACCAGCGATAAAGACATCAGTTTGAATGTAGTTGGTCATTTTGAGTTAACGATTCTGATATGGATAAAGCTCGAGCCTAATCTGTTGTATGCTGAGTGACTGACACTATAGTCGAAGCTTAGCTTTTATATACGATATTGCGGATATATCGGCATTCATTTTTCACATCCGGCTCCGATCTCAGCTTCAAACGGCAGGCTACTGTATTGAAGTGTGAGATGAAAGCTGGTGTCGTATACATTCCGAGATGTATCGCTTTGTAACGGAAGTATGCTTGTTAGTGCAATTTACAAATTTGGGCTGGTAATCTTGGTATCGGAATGTAACGGTTATTGGCCCACCTTGGTAGAAACATCGAAAGAACTATGACGAAGAAGTTCTCATTATTCATCTTTCTATGAATGAATCCTACGGCATAAATGAGATAGGATCTTTTGTTCAAAGCGTAAATTCTCGGTAATGCCATGCCGGAAGTACACGTAGGTCTGTTGAGGTGAGCAAGTTCGATTTTGACGCTTGGTGATAATGACAGTCCCTTTCTTATGGTGTAAAGTTAATTGAATATAGTCCGCTCACTGTAATTTATCTCATTCAAAAGTACATATCAGCACCCGAGACAAAATGACCACGTGCAATGCCTATCAGTCCATCTGATGGTTTCGAGATATATAGCTGGAATGTGAATCAAACAATCTACATAGAACCCACCGTGACAACACTAACTCTCAATAAGACAATGGAAGGGAAGAGACCAGGACAATTGCAATACTTACCAGTGACTTAGCCCTATGCCTAACGAATTGAGCGAAATGTTGCCAAGACCAATATCTAAGATCTGGCCCCGCTCAGATCCATCCACAGACGTTGATTGGGCAAGTTCTTCGGATAAACTATAGTATTTATAGACCAAAGAAAGAACTTCAAGATTCGAGGAACTCCTGTATAGGATGGAGAGTATTGATGTGACTTTTTGAGATGATTCTATATGAGGCCGTGTACACCCTTTATGTGCGAGTATGAACCTTGCATGCACCTGCACCCCTTCTAATTTACCAGGAATCAAACTTCACCAAATTATAGATCCAGGGTTGAGCCCTTGGAAGTTTAGTAGTAATCTTAACAAAATGACATACTGAGGGCTGAGTACATGCAGATATCTGTTACAGATTGATGAAACGAGTCAATGCCAGCCACTAATAAAAGTGCCCAGTCGAGACTACGCCATGTAATCTTGGAATATCAATAGTCCGAGAGTCTGGACTCACAGCCCCCCCAACCTTCGTTTCTCCCTTTTCCTAAGTAAGGTGAACATGGGATGAAACAATCGGGCTTGTCTATATTAAAACGTAGCTATATGCTATGCTAACTGAATCTTCTTTCTGTTTGATTGCTAGCTTTTTTCTTCTACACTATAACCTACAAGATTTGCGTACCTGACTACCCCGTAACTTACCCGTGGAACTTCAGGCCCACTACCGTGACTTGGGCCCCCGTTCCCCCGTTTCTCTCCTCTCTGCTCTCTCATCTCTTCGACATTTACCATACATTTGTGACTCCAGTTGTCTTTGATCTGGGCTCGTTCCAGACGATGATTATCGTCTAACGCTTACCTCCATTTATACACTCGTTTCCCGCCTCGACTTGGCTTTTATGATCTTGTTTACGCTCACGACTTGACGCCGATTGAGCCACACTCCTTTACATTACTTACCCTGCACATTCCTTACGCCGTTGACCGGTCTTGTTGATACTTTGATACCTCTCTTCTGTTGTTTTCGCCCATCATGCTCGACCATATCGATTCTTTCTCGCCGGCTCGCTCTCTCTTTAAGCGCTGCAAAGACTGCGGAGACTCCTCCCCCACCTGCCCATCATGCCCCGATGGCTCAACCTGTACCATGACCACTCAGACCTGTGACCAATGCGCCACCACAAAGTGCATTTCAACAGGGACTGGCGGTTCCCAGCCACCCTCGGGCGGCAGCGACACCGGTGCTATTGCAGGGGGTGTCATTGGTGGTGTGGCAGCAATTGCCCTCATTGTGTTCTTGGTGTGGTGGTTCATCATACGGAAGAAGCGCCAGGAGCGCATGGAAGCAGAGAAGAACAATGAATTCTCGGCCGCTCGCAGTGAACGGCAGTCTATCGCCTCCACGGTCCTAACTCGTGCCTCCAACGTTATCCAAATCGCCTACATCCCCGGTGTCACCAACCGCTCTCCGCCAGAAACTCCAGCTTCTCTCGTTCCTCCCGTCCCCCCCCTCCCCGGTGCTACCCCCGATCAACACTTCTTCATGCCAGGTGATCTTCGTGACTCGTCTTGGACGACTACCACTGGCCACCAGAGCATCTCTCCCACCTTGCGTAGCAGTGTGGCAACGACAATCTACCGCAACGATGCCATTGTCAGCGCCATTCCTGCGCAGCAGATTCAACGCTCTCGTGCCGCCGTGGTGAGCATCCACAATGGAGGAGCTGGCGGCAACGCACCCGGAGAAGATTCCCCCGTTGCAGTTACAGTGACTCCTGCAGACGCACCTGCCGTACCTGCCATCACACCAGCACAACTTGCTCGAGCGGAGGCCGTCAAGGGCAACAGCTCATGCGTGGCTCGCAGTGTGACAGCCAAACCCGTCATGGTACGCGGTCCTTCGCTGAAGAAGAAAGAAAACAACAACCCACCTGCCGTCAGTCGTATCGAAGAAGTGTCCGAGTCAAGCACTAGCAAGAACACCAGCCGGGCTCCATCTACCACGGACAGCCAGCAGTTCAACCACAACATTTCCACATTTGATGCCTCCTCAGACGAGGAGGATGATGCACCGAGGCCAGCAAACTTGGACACAGACTCTGCACATCGCCAGTCAGCACGTCGAATTTCTGGCTTGAGTGATGGACGCAGCTCCACCCGGACACCACCTGCCCGGGTGGAGAGTCCATTCTCAGATGCGAATGAGGTCCAATAAGGGTCCCCTTGAGATCGGTCGGGCGCAACGGTCTTGCTTTGTCTTTTTATTCTGATTCTTTGTATGTATGCAGCCTGCCACAGCTTGGTTTATACTTTTGGTCGACTATTCCCTTTATGTGCCTTGTACAGCGAGTGTGGCACCCAGACAGATGGTCTTGAATTTATCCTCTCATTTATCTTCTCATGTATCGCTCCACTTGGATATCACCTATTATATGTATAGTCTATAGCGTAGTAACTATTTGAAGTTGACATGTGAAACTGCCATCAGCTACAATATACCCATGTATTTTTCGACGACAGTTTCCTTGTATGATCTTCAAAGACGATCTACTATATTCACACATAGGGTATATATACAGCAAATGAACTGACCAATGCTGCTCAAATCAAACCACACTCTCCTCCAACCCCATCCCACGACCAATCTTACGAATCAAAGCCCGTTTAAGCAGAGCCTCACGAGCAAGACTACGCGTATGCCGCGACCAAGAATCAACCCCAATGATACCTCGAACCAACGCAGCCTGCAGCGCATAGAGCGCTTGCTGAATACCCTGCTCCTCAGAAACGAGATCGTACAACTGCTTCCCGACAACAGTAGGCGCAACCAGGATATCATCAATAGGAGGAAGACCAGCAGGCGTATCACTGGGAACAGTTGAAGATGACGACGCGGAATTCTGCACAGACGTAGAGCGAGCCTGAGCATCGGCAATAGTAGCATCGGCACGATGGATAGACTGTTGCAGAATAGAGGTGTTGGACTGTAATGTTGCGTGCAGGGCATTCAAACTTGAAACCTCGCCCTGCAGGGTAGCCATAGCAGCATGCAGAGAGCGAGACTGTGAGACGAGAGACTGAGCAGCTGTATCGGACTGAGCGGCGTTGATGCGGAGAATTTCTGCCAATGTTTGCGATACAGCATGTAGCAATGCATCTTTCTCTGGATTTGGTGGGATTGGGGGTGCAGGCCCTGTGGGTGCAATTGATGGAAGTTCGACTTCGAATGGGGAGGTCAAAAGGTCTTGAGTTTGAGCTTTGGGAGCTGGAGCTGCAGGTGGTGGATGAGGGTAGTTTGATGGGTACGGGGAGTGTTGGGGGTATGGGGGCCCTGCTTGTTGCTGTGCTTGGGGAGGATATCCTTGGCCTTGGTAATTTGGAGCAAAGGATTGTGCTGGCGTTTGTGCTTGAGGGATATGGGACTGGGGCAGTTGAGATCGCGGTTGATATGTCTGAGGGGGATATTGGCCTTGCACATTAGCAGAGACATGAGGTGGCACTCCGCTGTTTCTATAATATGGCGCGGCACCCTGAGCTGGCGGGGGTGATATAGGACCACCTTGGCCAGGCGGATAGTACTGTTGCGGGTGAGCTCTCAGACCAGGTGTCTGTGAAAGCGCTGCTAGACGAGGATCTTGCTCTTTTGGTGGCGGCGGGGGAGATCGATATCGATCATCCAATTGTGATGGCTGTGGATGTCGATTCTCCCCAGTTGCGCCTGGCTTCGGTGGAGGTGGCGGAGGTACCTGGCTTATAGACTGAGCTCGCTGTGGCTGTACAGGTGTAGTAGAGCTTCCAGCTCCGGGCGGGAGAGGAGGTAATGGCGGCGGTGTTTGTGTCTGTGCCTGAACTGGATGGGCCTGGGGTGGTTGCCTGTATCGGACAGGTGGCTCCTTGGCAAAAACATCCTGGAGGATAGACAGCAGATCGGCGATGCTAGATCGCTACCGGGGTTGTTAGCTCGCTTGTCGAGAAGCATCCTGTGAACACTCACATCCCAAGCTTCGGCCCAGTGTGCCAGGTAGTGATGATACACCTGCCCCTCCAGCGTCACATGCTGTCCAACACGAACAGCCATATCCTGCGTCGGAGTCACATATGCAATGGGTGGTTCGCGCGGGTATGTGTTTGGAATCCACAGCGCAATGGGGAATCGATATGTTGTCCCTCGGAACGTGACTGGCAAGGTGCCCACGAGGTGCAGGAGTAGGGCCGAGAAGCCTGTTTCATATGCTGCAGTATATTAGATTAAGAGCGCTTCCAGCTGATCGGATCACTCACTGTATACATCTGTTCGAGGGGAGAGTGAGGGGTACTGGGTGAGCGCGTTGGCGACGTCGTGGTACGTCCGATTGGGGTCTTGGTAAGTCTGTTGCGGATCGTAGTGATCCTGTCAGGTCAGCTTGGTACTGATGTCGCATTCAATATACACACCTTGGTCAATACACTGTAGAGCCAGTTGAGGGTCCGCTGAGGCACCGCCATCACAATTGATGAGTGATTGAGGTGAGTCGCGGGGAAGCGGAGCGAACACCGCGGTCTTGGCCATACTTGCACTTGTCATCCACCACGTTGTTGATCTATCCAGCTTTGATATTCTACGGTCTACTACTTCTATCAGATATGCAATGTATGATTCTGTTTGTTTGAAATGTCTTCGCCAGTGATGTCTACAGGGCAACTGGACAACCTCTATACTCGATGGTATGACCGACATGAGGCTGTATACCAGCATAACAGACATGACACTTCATTGACCTATTGCAAGGCACTCAAATATCTCAGAACTTACTGCTAATCATAGCAGACTGCTAATAATTTAGAGCCCTGACCTTCGATGAACCTTCGAAGTTCTAGATTCATCCCCGAGACAGCTCTAGCTCTTCAGTCTGGAACCACCTGCAAACCTTGGGCCTGGAATATCTCAGATTGCAAGCTCATCTTGATTCCAGATATGATTCTGAGGACGAAGACACATCAAATCCGAGGATCTGTGGGAGTCATGACGAAACATCCCAGTCGCCAAGAGGCAGACAAAGAACTGGCGAACTTAAGCGACTCGAGCCTCGCAATCCGAGTCAAATGCCTCCAATGAATAAGTTGGTCTCCTGCAGCCACTATGCATGTATCCGTTGCCTGGACCTCAATTTACAGAATGCGCCTTTGTCTCACAACTTAGTATTGTTCTCTCCATCTCGATATTGTTCTTCTATCATCCAACAATGCCTCATCAGACTCCCAACGTCACTATGGATACCTCTTCATTCATGTCCATTGTCTGTTTCGGCTTGAACTGTGCAATTTTCTTTCTTCATATCTATATCGTTTAATCCTGTCCATTTGTATTCTCGATCCCTGTCATGCATATTCTTCACTCGTCAGTGTGACCTTAACTACTTCAACATGGATTATGGTATCCGCAGCTCAACAGACCCCGACCAACAGGATGTCACCATGCACTATTCCAACGGCACGGAATTCAAGGTGCCAATGCAAGCTCTGGATGTCTTCGTCATGTACAATGTCCGAGTGTGTATCAACTACGGTTGCCAGCTTGGAGCATCAATTGTGCTACTGATCATCCTTCTACTTTTGACACACGCCGACAAACGCAAGTCATCAGTTTTCATCCTGAACGGACTGGCTCTGTTCTTCAACTCCATGCGTCTACTGTTTCAAGTCATTCACTTCTCCACCAAATTCGAAGAAGTATACCCATACTTCTCTTACGACTACTCCGCCGTGCCGGCGAGTGCATACGCCATTTCAATTATGGCCACTGTCTTCCAAACTTTGGTAGTAATCTCCATTCAAGCATCTCTTGTGCTTCAAACCAATGTGATTTGCTCAACTGTTCGTCGCCGATACCGACGCCCTCTGCTGGGACTATCGATCCTGGTAGCCCTGTTGGTAATTGGTTTCCGCTGTGCCTGGATGGTCGAGAACTCAATTGCCATTTTCAAGGTGATGTACATGGAATCTATATGGTGGATCGAGAGCGCAACCAATGTGACCCTCACCGTCTCCATTTGCTTCTTCTGTGTGATCTTTGTCACCAAGCTCGGATTCGCCATCAAGCAACGCCGTCAACTCGGCGTGCGCGAGTTTGGCCCCATGAAAATTATCTTTATCATGGGCTGCCAGACCATGATCGTCCCAGCCATCTTCTCAATCACCCAGTACTACATCACCGTCCCGGAACTAGCATCCAACGTCCTCACCCTAGTTGCTATCTCGCTCCCACTTTCATCGATCTGGGCTGGTGCTGCCCTCGAACAATCTCGGTCGCCTCGCAGTCAAGCTCCACACCGGCGCAACCTATGGCGAGTCCTCGTAGGTGGAGCAAACAGCACATTGAGTCCAACCACCAAAGACAGTCCAACAGATCTGACAGCCATGGCCGCTGCCCAGACTCTATGCTACTCAGATCAAACCATGAGTAAGTCTGTTGGTTCAGGGAGCTCGCGGGACACAGATGCGTTCTATGGGATTGCTGTTGAGCATGACGTTTCTGTGAACCGAATTCAGAAGAAGCATTCAATTGTCTAACATGGACACTCGTTTCATTCCGATGAGCATCTGTCGCGACCACGCCAAGAATACCCAGAGATCTTTTTCCATTCCTCTGTTCAAACTTCTCAGTCAAATCTTTACATGAACATTCTTGCACTTCGCGTGTCATCTATAGTTTCTTTTGTGAACATTGTGTCTTTTTTCCCTTCCTATCTTTGCTTCTGCACAAGCACTGCAGGCGCTCCTTTAATATGAATTCGTCATCATTTTACCTATTTTGATTGTAAAAAAATAGAGCTATACACACAATGTAAGACCTGCGGATTTCACCACACGACAGGTGCCATTGCAACCCTTGAGTCACTCACTCCTGTCTCATTCACGGATACTTAGACTAAACTTGGGAAGGAACAGACTGAAACTAGAGTAAATGGGCACTAGTTGACGAAGGATAGCTTATTTTATCGAAGTAACAATGTAAGATCCATTGCCACCGGGGAACTAACCAATCAAAAAAAAGAAAACCACGAACGAAATTATGTACAGACAGAACGCTCTATGTATAGACCACACGTGCGCCAGAATCGAGAAAAGAGAGTGAAAACGTTGATACCCAATGCTAATTCAATTGCACGTAGTTGGCTGGTACCATGTTAGCAATGTACTTTTGAATCATGGATTGACACTTACCCGGGAATTGGCCTTCCCGACCGCCGACACGCCCAGACCACCATTCATTTGTGTTGTCGGTACGCTGAACGATTTCGATAACATCACCAGCAGAGAATCCCAGATCACCATGTGCCTGGGCTTCGTAGTCGTAAAGAGCGGTGACGGTCTCGACCTGCTTTGCGCTGAGGTGAGATGGCTTCGCACGTGGAGGTGGCGGAGCAGGCTTGCTCTTTGCGGCTGAAGAGAAGCTGCCTGTCGGACTGGCACCAGCAGACGAGTAGGGTGGTGGAGGGTTTTCGTCAGCGGTGGAGCTAGAACGACCCCGGCCAATAGAGCCCTTGCCTTCCTTTTCGCCCTTAAGGGCGCTCAGCTTGGAGCCGGAACGGCGGACACCTTGAGTCTTGTAGTGCACGATACTGAGGGCCTCGGCACGTTCCTTCACATCGCCTCGCTTCTGCTCAAAGGCTTCTTCGACGTCAAGTTGAAGGTTGAAGTAGCTGATGTTCATGCCTTGCATGCGGTCGTGGAGGGTATAGAAGACGTTGAGTTGCATGTAGTAAAAAGACTGGAAGAGTGGGCGAATGAACTCGGCTTCGAGCGCGAACAGCTTGGGCAATTCGTCCTTGAGCAGATCGTTGTAGTAGTTGAATTCCTGTGTGGCGACCTCGACATCATTTTCAGCTTTGTACAAAGCCTTTTCGTCCTTGATCGATTTATCCTTCTTCTCTTCCAGCTTCTTCAGGGTCGCGTTGCGGCGGTCAAAGTCCAGCTTCTTGTGGTCACGCTTGACGGCAACCTTGCGAATCACCTTGATCACCTCGAGGAGCTGGTCGGCAGGGCTGATGATGCGGCTGTCGATCATCTCCAGCTCGGGGGCCAGGGCCTCCTGCAGCTCTTTGACGATCACTTCATATTCTTCACAGGCTTGGATTCCTTCGGCATTTCCTTCGAATTGGTAGGAGGTGGGATCAGAGGCGCGACCGGAGATGGGTTTGTAGATCTCAGCAACAGCTTTGGAGAATTCGATCTGGTGGTTCAACATGCCTAGAACGCGTCAGAGCAACGCCCTTTCATGCAGAATTCATATCTTACCGTTGATGGCGCCAAAGTACTTCTTGGACTCATCGTGGAGCTTCTTGGTCTCCTTTTCGAGCTCATCAAATCGGCGCTCGGCATCGGTGTAGACAGCATCTTTGGTGTGCTCGCCAATGTTGAACTTGACCTTGAACTGCTGCGGCGCACGCACAATGCTCTTCTGAAAGCCTTTGAAACTCATACTGCGGAAGCGGCGGAATGGGAGAGTGAGGAAGTTGCCAAGGCGGGGTGACGGGCTTTTGGGCCAACTTTCGCTTCTATGACATAAGACATTCGCGATGTGGCTGTACCGGAGTATATACTTCCCTTGCACGCCTAATTAGTGTGGCGCATACTATGTTACATCAGGCACCAATATTACTAGGGATCGGTGGCTGTTCGGGGGCTGAGTTCTCACGATCTGCTGCTTTTATTGCAGCCTTACCCGTATGACCGATCCTGGTTCGATTATCATTGGCCATTTCGTTTATATGCGGGGTGACTTGGCTGGCGAAAATACAGGTTCAACCTGTGGAATTTTATAAAGAAATAGTTACTCCAGGTATAATTTAAATCAAATGATCCTACTCACATATTATTTAGTCAAGCAATGACTTCAGAGTATAAAATTTTAGGAAAATGTTTCCGCCTGAGGCACCTCGGGGAACTCCCGGAGAAACCATCCTGATTCGGAATTCACCGAGGCCAGGTTTAGTCATGAGGAGTTTCCCGGCATTCAGTGATAACAAAAAGTCGGGGTTACTCTTCTTTCTTCATCCCACTTGGTTCATCACTTTATCTTCAAAATGACGAGTGCTGCTCCTACTGCTTGGAGACAGGCTTCGGCCTTCTCTAGACGCCTTTCAACTTATGGCTATCGCGCTCCTCGCTTCGCCACCCAGGCCCGTTCTTATGTTTCCGGAACCAAGGTCGGCCAAGCTCAGGTCAATGTCGAAACTGCCATCAAGGAAGAACAGAAGTCGTTCATGAAGCAGGCTGGTGTTCCTGCTCAGGGGGTGAACCTTCCTGGCACGACAACCTCCGCTGATGCCGCGATGAGCCCTTCCGCCGGTATTCTCAAGCAAGCCACCGTTCTGGACCAAGGTACACGACCTATCTACCTCGATATGCAAGCCACCACACCTCTTGACCCCCGAGTCCTCGACGCCATGCTTCCCTACCTCACCGGAATCTACGGAAACCCGCACTCGCGCACACACGCCTACGGTTGGGAGTCGGAGAAGGGTGTCGAGGAGGCCCGTGGACATATCGCCAAGCTGATTGGCGCCGACCCCAAGGAAATTATCTTTACAAGTGGTGCGACTGAGAGTAACAACATGTCTTTGAAGGGTGTTGCGCGGTTCTTTGGCCGCTCCGGCAAGAAGAAGCACATTATCACCACCCAGACCGAGCACAAGTGCGTTCTCGACAGTTGCCGACACTTGCAAGATGAAGGCTTTGAAGTTACCTATCTCCCAGTTCAGAACAACGGTTTGATTCGGATGGAGGACCTCGAGGCAGCTATGCGCCCCGAGACTGCCATCGTCAGTATTATGGCCGTCAACAACGAAATTGGTGTGATCCAGCCGCTCGAGAAGATTGGCCGTCTTTGCCGGTCCAAGAAGATCTTCTTCCACACTGATGCCGCACAGGCTGTTGGAAAGATTCCAATGGATGTCAACAAGATGCACATCGATTTGATGTCCATTTCCAGCCACAAGATCTATGGCCCCAAGGGTATCGGTGCTTGCTATGTGCGCCGTCGCCCTCGTGTTCGTCTCGAACCTATCATCTCTGGTGGTGGACAGGAGCGTGGATTGCGCAGTGGTACTCTGGCCCCGCATCTGCTTGTTGGCTTCGGTGAGGCTTGCCGCCTTGCCGCTCAAGATATGGAGGTAAGATTCTTGTGATTTGAAGTTTCGCCTTTGCTGCGATGACTAGACGTTGTGAATCAACATCGCTATTGGAGATGTCTGAGCGGTAGCTCCCTGTATACACGATACTCAGCGTCCATGATGTCAATCGCAGGGGTACTGAGTCGGCCGATGATGAATTTGGATTTATTTTTTTCTTTGTATAGGAAGATGCTAACATGTTGATTTACGAATAGTACGACACCAAGCACGTTGAGCGTCTATCAAAGCGCCTGAGCGAGGGCCTCCTGTCTATGGAACATACCGTTCTCAACGGTGATCCCGACGCCCACTACCCCGGCTGTGTGAACGTCTCGTTCGCCTACGTCGAGGGTGAATCCCTTTTGATGGCTCTGAAGGACATTGCTTTGTCTTCCGGCAGTGCCTGCACCTCCGCTTCCCTGGAGCCTAGCTACGTTCTCCGTGCCCTGGGTAGCAGTGATGAGAGCGCCCACAGCAGTATCCGTTTCGGTATTGGTCGCTTCACCTCAGACGAGGAAATCGACTACGTTCTCAAGGCCGTTCAGGCCCGTGTGTCATTCTTGCGTGAGCTGAGCCCGCTTTGGGAATTGGTGCAGGAAGGAATCGACCTGAACACCATCGAGTGGAGCCAGCACTGATTTCTTTTCTCTGATCATATTAATCACTTTCGTTTCGAGAAAAAATGCCCATTAGGGTCGGCGTTGGAAGTGTAACAACATTGGATTTGTACAGATTGAGCATAATCAACTCAGAATTTACTACCCCTACTCAATATGTAAGCATCCGATCGGTCAGCGTAAAGATGATTCCCGTTAGGATGTTCCGATGTAGTAACCCCCAACTTACCTACCATAGCGCCCACTGATGCTTCAGGTTAGACCAAGTTTATGTGCCGAAACAAGTTTGTCCCCTCATTGCAGCTCTATGGTGACTTTGCATATTCGATGCTTTCATGATAAGCTGACGTGGTCCATTCGATCTTAACATACAACGTTCACCTGCCGATGCGCCGGTTATCCGACTCAAATTCCAGGGAGTACATTCGCCTATACAGGTCCTTGGACTCTCAGCAAAACATCCGTCAAAGATGAACCAATTATCCTGGATTCTCTTCCATACTGTCTTTAAATCAATATCTGGAAACCTTCTTTCAAGCAACAGGGCAAGAGGACGCATTGATGATGTTTGTCCATGGAGGAGGGTACGGCTCTGGGTCTGGATCGGTGGCCTTTTGCGATGGAAACAATTTGGTACGGGATGATGAGGATATAATTGTTGTTAATTTCAAGTAAGTGGGTCGCATTTTATGAGAGAAATAGCTCAGATCTGGTAGTTATCGACTCAATGTCTTTGGATTTCCCAATGCACCTGGCCAGGGTGCTCTGAAGCAGAATCTGGGATTTATGGATCAGGTGTGCCGCTAACCTCAACAGTGAATTATAAGCTCACATATGTAGCGACTTGCGGTCAAGTGGGTTCATGAGAACATAGCCAACTTTAGCGGTGATTTGAACAGGATGATACCTATCGTATTCGGAACTTATAACCTATCCAACGCTGTAGCTCCATTCGCGGAAGAGGCGGAAGGCTAGCAAATACATCCAAGGTACTCACTCACCCTGATTCATACGATGTATTCGTCAGGGTCTTACGACTTTTAGGAGCAAGGATCGTATTTGCCGAGGATCCCCAAAATTCAATTACGATGGTCGGTCACTCATTGATTACACTGTGATTGTTCAGGCTGATAGTTGACAGAACCAACATTGATAGACCTCGCACTGAACAATACTAGTCAGGCTGTTTTTACATCCTCTGATTTGTGGGGTACTTCTTGCAATAAAGTTGGCAAGACCACAGAAAGAGGGAGCATCCAAGATGGCAGACAGACAGTTCCATAGTTCTTAGTTGGGTGCGATTTAAAGTCCCACCTGTGAGATGACATAAGCAGCAGGAGACCCCAATATTCTGTAACGGTAACCCTTGATGCCTTGTAAATCAGGTGGCAGCGTCAAATTCTTCATCCGGAGGGGTGTGGTCCACTGTGGATAGCCTCGGAACGAGGCTCTGAGCAAGGAAGATGGGGAAAGTAGGGGAGAAAGATATCAGATTAAAAAGGGCAAGTATATACAGTGAATCCAGACATCGAAGTAAGCTCAAGACTGACGTTGACGCAACGTGACCCCAGACGTTGCGTATGGAGCAGCGTGAGTGATGGCGAATGTGCTAGGGATTAAGCGAGAATGCCCCGAATTCGGCGCAAAGGCCGCATTCCCACGTCTCAGCCGTGTCTGCCAGGCTTCCGGTTCATTGTCTAGCACCCAGTCTACTTCTCGCTAAGAACAGACCCGCTGAGGAGCCCTTGCGCGTGCACCCATTGCTGCTTGGCATTTTAGTCTGAGGGCGTTAGTTGCATGGGCCCATATAAAATGAACCTGGTCTGTAGTTGTCTCGCTGGGCCCCCTCCTCTAAAACGGTTCCAGGGGTCTCTAAAGGTCTCCTGCTTGGTCCTATATCGGAATCTACTCATTAAGTCCGGCTTAGAAATGCCTCTTGACGCCCCCCCTTCGTCTCCCGGTGAATTACGTGCTTACAATCGGTCATCCCACCGGAAAACTCTGCCGGGGATAGTTACCTAGTTCATGTCGTGGATGGTTACTGTCCGTACCTTGATAATAATGAGTAGCCTTTCTCCCCCCTCCGAACTTGCTCCGTCATCATCCGTACGCTTCCTGGGGTACTCTCGCCACTGTGCCTGACTTATAACTTCTTCCTTTTCTTTACTCACATTGACATCATTGCATTTTAAAGAGATTCGGCTATCAGACGGGATTGAGACCCGGAGCGCCCCTTCTGTACATCTGGCACACCTGCCTCTTCCTTCTTCACAACCACCATGTTACCTCCAGTGCCATCACCTGCTGATTATGGGATCACTCCCGATTATGGGTTCCTTCCCCAAGAGCCTCCACTGGCGGTTCTCCCGGATCCATACTATGCTAAGTGGGAGGCCATCGTGGGGAACTTGCAAGCCCTCATCCTGAGCAAACGGGTCCGGTCCCTGGTGGAGCGTCTCCCCCTACTATCTACTGAGTACCTCCAGACAGATGCTGAGTGGCGTCGCGCCTACGTGGTACTTGTGTTTATGCTGCATGGCTTTGTCTGGGGAGGTGATCGTCCCGCTGAGGTACGTTGTCCCACTGATCACGCGATGAGCAACACTGACATTCTACAGAGGATTCCCCCTCAGCTTACAGTGCCATTGTTTAAAGTCTGTGAACGGCTCGAAGTGCCCCCAGTTGCCACTTATGCCGGGGTTTGCCTCTGGAACTACAAGCCGATATTTCCCGACGAGCCGGCCACCCACTTGGATAACCTGGCTTGCCTGCAAACATTCACTGGGTCACTGGATGAACAATGGTTCTACCTCGTCTCTGTTGCTATGGAGGCACGTGGAGGTCCCTCCATCCCGTTGATGCTCCAAGCTATCACAGCTGCGCGTGCAGGAAAGAGCCAGGTCGTGACCGAATGCCTGCAGCAACTGGCTGAAACCATTGATGAAACCGCTGAATTATTACAACGGATGTACGACAACTGTGACCCATACGTCTTCTACAACCGCATTCGCCCATATCTAGCCGGAAGCAAAAATATGAGTGACGCCGGCTTGCCCAATGGTCTGTTATATGATGACGGCCACAACCCAGAATACCGACAATACGGCGGAGGCAGCAATGCCCAAAGCTCGCTGATCCAATTCTTCGATATCGTCCTCGGCGTGGAACACCGACCAACCGGTACAAGCCGCGACAGCGACGACAGCGGCAAGACCCGTAACAGCTTTATCCACGAGATGCGCACCTACATGCCCGGCCCACACCGACGATTCCTCGAACAAGTCGACTCAGTAGCCAATATCCGCGCCTTTGTTGAAGCCCGCCGCGGAGACTCAGCCCTCTGCATTGCCTACGACGCATGCCTAGCCATGCTGCGTGTCCTCCGCGACAAGCACATCACCATGGTGTCCCGCTACATCATTATCCAATCCCGTAGTGCGCGTCAACCCTCGCAGTCCAGCAGTCGACCGGCAGCAACCAACCTCGCCACCGCCACACCGACCGATAAGAAGAAGTTGCGCGGGACAGGTGGGACTGCCCTCATTCCATTCTTAAAACAAGCACGAGATGAAACTGGCGAGCCTGCTATTGATGCATGGGCTCGACGACTGCTTAGTGACGGCCCTGTTGAGAAGACCTTTGCTTCACTAAGTAAAGTTGGCGAGCAGCCAGACGGGCATCTTGAAGTTGTTGGTCTATGCGGGACATGGACTGCCGACGATAGCGAGGGTGGCATTTGTCACTGGTAAAGGACATATTTTCTGGTTATTGAGCGACGCATTGCATCTGGGATCTGCGTACATGGCGATAAAGCGTTGATTGCATATGATTTGTATTCTGATAGAGGATTTGATTAAATGGCTATTCCATCGTTACTCTACTTCAGTTTTACTAGACATGTACTTGCGCTGTCAAATCCGACAGCGCATGTCTAGATGTTTGTTTCCCGTGTAGATCTTGATCTATAAACTGATAAACAAACTTGGCAGCCATGACGCGTGAAGCGTCATCCCACGTGATGTGATGTCATCTACGTCATCGATCGTGGCTTTTGTGTACACCTTCATGAATGCCCTGGAACCATGTGGCGTGGGATGTGATGTCTATTTAAGCATTGTTCCATCCTCATCTGCCATCTCCATCTTCACTTCAAACATCTCTGCATCTCTGCATCTCTGCATTTCTGCATCTCTCCATCTCAACTCTCTCCATCTCAACTCTTTCCAATCTAAACTATCCATATCTATAACCATGTCCGACGGTAACTCTTCCACTGGCCAGTCCTACCTTGACCAGGCCACCGGCCTGGCCCAGCGTGCTGCAGGCGCTGTCACTGGCAACTCTTCCACCGAGGTAAATAACACCCACCCCACCACCAACCAACCAACCCACCACTGACACTTTCAAGACCAAGGGCGAAGTCAAGCAAGAAGTCGGCCAAGCCAAAGACGAAGCCTCCCATACAACCGCCAAGCTAGGCCCTTTCTCCGCTGACCCCAACACCGGCGCCGTCGCAAAGGACAACGAGAAGCGCTCCGACGGCTCCTGGGACCAAACCGTCGGCTCGGCCAAGGAATCCGTCGGCAACATGATCGGCAACGAGAACCTCCGCAAGGCCGGCGAGCAGCAAAACGCCGCAGGCAAGGAACAGGAAGCCAAGGGCCAACTCAAGGACTGGGGTGAGGGAATCCAGAACCGCGCCCATGGAGCCCTTGGTGCCGTCGGTGCTGCTGTCGCTGGTGACCGTACCGAAGAGGAGAAGTACCGTGATCAGCATGATGAGGGCAAGGTCCGTCAGCGCGGTGCTGAGGCTGATATGGCCGAGAAGGCTTAAGTGACATTTGTGCGGAACACTTGAACATTTGTGCTCGTGACTTCGGTTCTTGCCTATGGCTGTTTTTATGACCTTTTGACGATGGCTTAGCTGTGATATCCAATTGATTGCCATGTTTTATTTGATCTTCTTGCAATATGTAGCTCTGCTTTTGAAGAGGAGATATGTCGGAGTTGAAGTAAGCATAGCCCAAGCAGGGATGTGCATGTTGACGTGTACCCACAAGAAAGTACTGGTCCAGCACAGTAGTCAATGGGATTGGTTTTGATACCAAGGAAACTTGTCGAAGAATAATTCACATTAGAGAACTTTCATGACATATCGGTTCGACTCGAAAACAAGCCCAATACCACTTTTCTTTCGTGTCGAAACGTTCATCCCAAACAATTCATATAATCCAATTCCTAGGTTCCCAACCTTCGACAACTGCGGTTTCCAACACCAACAAAGGTCTCTAGGGTTGATGTACAGACTGAGTTAGACTGTCCTCCAAACACCGGGATCTAAATAGCCTCCGTGAGAGGCAACAATGTCCCCAGCCGACCCCGCAGTGAACTAGAGCCCCATTCTTAGGCGAATCTACCCTGTGGTTTCGGTTCTTCCTTGTTTTCGATAGTATGAATTACGTTTGCTTGACTATCCACGAATGACCAATTGAACGCTTTACCGGAGACACCACCATGTCCTCCAATATAGACCAGTGAACGGGGAGGCCAAGGTCAGGCGAGACCAGTCGAGATGTGTAGTGGCAGCAAGACATCCGCTCAGATCTACAGCCGATCTGGAATCTATCACATACATCGGTGCGTTCCGTGCAGGGGATAAACCTTGGAAATATCCGAGGTGAACGTGGCTAATCCCCCCCCCGGTGGAATCGGGGCATTGGCATCTGATCATCGTCTGTCCGAGGTTCACCAGTGAGCTAAGTCAACTTAACAGCCTTGAAAGGCCTAGAAGCCTAGAGTCATTATGTCACCTTGGACATGGCTTGAAGCATGGAGGGGTCGAGTGCTAAGCATTTGATATAGACCGACTTCCCCAAACCTCTCCATCGCACTACTATTCTCATCACCATGAAGTTCACAGCCGTCCTGTTCTTCCTCGCGGCATGCAGCGCTGAGCACCATCACCGCCGAGAGGGAACAGACTATGGCATCAACCTGGCCTCAATCTCCAGCGCATTGTACATACCACAACCCACCCACAGCGATCAAACTAACACCATCTAGAGAGCATATGACGGCCAACCAAACCGCCAGCGCCAACTTCGCCAACATTTCCTCGCCGCCCAAGTCCCTCATCCCAGAGATCCTCTCGGTAGTACCCGTCTCGGTGATCTGGGAATTGGTCAATCCGGCCCAGCGCAGTTCCTTAGCCAGCCAGTTCAAGGCAGGAAGCACACCCGCCTGGTATAGCAATCTACCGACCGACGTGAAGAGCTACATGTCCGTGGTGAAATCGCAGATCTCCGGCGGCGCATTGACAGCCACTACGGGCTTAGCGTATGAGACGCCGACCGCCACCGCAACTGGGTCAGAGTCAGGATCGACAGATGGAGCAAGCGGAAGTGCAACTGCAAGTGGAATGGCATCGACATCCACTGGTGGCGCTGCACAGGCCACGGGACTCACCGTATCAGTGATGGGGGCCATGGGCGTGCTTGGGCTGGCACTAGCTCTGTGATCGTTTTGTGCTTTTGCTCCCGGCGATGCATCCCAGTGGAGAGCGGAAGGTCCCACTATGATTTCCATTTAGTTAGACGATTGTGATGAGAAATGTGACCAGAATTGAGTATGAGCAGACTTCCAGAAATGAGTGCGGAGTAACTCCGAGCCATGGGTGGTTTCACGATGTTCGCAAGATTGAAATGCCTCATATGCTGTATAGTTAGACGAACCATGAGGCGCCAATGCAGGTCCTCTCCCACATGCTCTTTTAATTTAAATTCATATGGAATCGGCATGACGAGGTGGTCTCTCTCTCTCTCTCTCTCTCTGTGGATATGCAGGCCTGCTTGGACCTGAGCTTATGTCGATCGCTTCCCAAGACAAAGAGTTCTCCGGGGAATTCACGAATCAGACGAACTAGTCGAAGCCAAGCGAGTCCCACCACAATCCCCCCAAAAAGAGGATCATCAGTCGATCGGATGAAAGTTGAGGTCCGGGGTGAAACCATGCGGGGAAACCCTCGTATTGATTGCTCGCTTCCACGTACTATTCACTGCACTGCAATGGAACCAACAATTCACATGGTGTACTCTTAAATCTACCTCGGCGTACATCACCCGAGATCGTGTCAATCCGGCCGCAACGGCCTCGGGGCTTTTATCGATTGAGCACTAGATTCACGCTAAGTGCCTTGGTCTAGATCGAGCAATCTCGTTTATAAGACTCGAGTAGTGTAGAGCCATACAATCTATCTTCAATTCTCCCTTCCACATCGATTACAATGCGTTTCTTCCGTCTTCTCCCTCTGGCTCTGGCTCCCCTGGCTCTGGCAGCCCCTGAGCCCCGGCCCAACCCTGTCGCTGCACCCGCACCAGAGCCCTCCGGTCTGCTAGAGGAGCTGCCCGATATTCTCAGCGGTGTGCAGGGTCTTTTGACAACCGATAATCTCAAGAAGTTGGATACCATTCTCGATGGGGCGGCCAAGTTACTCGCCTCGGACAATATCAATGTCCTGCAGGATATCTTGACCAATGCTCACAGTCTGCTCACCAAGAGCTTTGTGGATAATACGACTACCCTGATTGGGGATGCCACGCCGGTATGTATCCGACCAGATCTCATGTCACATCGCATACTAACCACACGCTAGTTGGTGGAGGATGTTTCCAAGCTTTTGGGTGGGGTGTTAGGGTCTCTATAGGACAGGAAGGAATGAATTACGACGCTTCATTTATGCATCAATATAACTATTTCATTTTCAATTTCAATATCCCAAGATCTTCAGAAGAGAGCAATAATAACACCAGCATGATAAACATCAAAGGATCGGGTATATACAACAAAGAATCACACCACATTCAACTTCTCCCGCAAGCGATCCTGGTAGAATTTCAAAGGATAGGCTCTCCACTTGTTAGGCATAGCTGGGTACACCGCAACCGAAAATCCCATCCACGTACGATAAATCGCCCGAGTAGCCACCGTCGAGCGCAGCCCATAGGCATCCCGCAGCTTCGGCGGTAGCATCTCAATGGTCGACACGCGCAGGAAAGGCTTCATCGTCTGCACCCAGCGCGGCATATCTGTACTCTCACGCAAATCCTTCGCAAACTGCGCCGCATCCGACGAAACGGTCAACTCGGACACCTGCCGATCCCAATATGACCAAAAGGCCTCACGGGTCTCGGGCCAGGTGCCAGGGGGGACGCCCAGACAATTCATCAACAGGGTAAACTCTTTATACGCCAGCTGGGCGCTGGCATAGTCCACCCGACCATACACCCGCTGATAAAAGTCCGTCGCAGTCGCATACAACGTGGCAGCCATCCACAACTGTAGTGCAGGCTGCTGCGCAAAGCGGTTCGAGCGCCCACCACCAAGAAGAGGCGGCTCGCCATTGTGCAACATATCAATCAGCGTCTTGCGCTCGGCACGGGTGCCAAAGACCAGACAGGAGATGTAACTGATATGCGCTTGCAGGGCATCGATCAGTTCCGTGGCGAGCTCCTTGTGTCCGCCTGCAGTCTCTTCACGGATTCCAGGGAGGGCCGCTTGGAGGAGCAGGGTTGCCCCTGACCCGGCGAAGAGGATGCCCTCGGAGAGCATCTTTGGTAGGACTTCTAGTTGCTCCAGGGCGTGTAGACGACCAGAGTCGCTCGTGATGTTGTTTGTGGTGGTGTCTGAGTCGCCATTATAGACGTCTTCATGATTGAGTTCATTCTTTTCGGGCTTCTCGTCCATGTGGGAAACGGGAGAGGAAGTCGAAGACATGATGTATAGTGACTCCAGGGGACAGAAATGCAGAGATGCCAATTGTCTTTTCAATCAAGGGACCAACGGGACCCCGCAAACCTGACCCCAAACCCCAGACCCGAAAGTCTTAACTCTGAGAAAGAAAAGACGATCCGCTCGGCCCATGTGAATAGTTTCGTCGTTTGGTGGAGCAGCCGCGGTTCGCAGCAGATCGCCATCTCCTGAATGTCGATCTCAGCCCGTTTCTGGCGTCATTTGACCTCCGAAGGGAACGCTGCTCCGACGCTATCCTTTTTTCGCTCTTTTTTCGCTCTTTTCCCTCGCTGTTTTTTCCTTTCGGCCTCGTCTTGCTGGACCCGACCCGCTATGGGGTCTGGAGACTATGGGGTCGGAGGGTCCACGGGCTTGTTTTGTTACTTATACCATGTCCGCCCCGAATTTGCAGCCCAATTGAGAACATCATGTCTGACAAGCCGGCCTACCTCAGTTCCGATGATGCCAAATACTCCCTGGGCATTCATCGGGGTCCCTTATTCGCCAAAAATGTCGACGAAGGCTCCAGACTCGCCCAAGTCGAGTCGGCCGGGGGTCACTCGTTAGCGGCGAGAGAACTGAACAAGAAAGAGAAGTTTGCGCGCCATTGGAAGCGATTCTGGTGTCTGCATCTCTTTGTGACCATCATCTTCCTGGCCATCTTCCTACCGGTCTTGTGAGTTGGTACCCTCCCCACAGCTGAGTAGACAACTAACGTCGCATAGCTTCCTCGTGGCCATCCCCGCAATTTCGCAAATGGTCGTGGACAAGTCCGACCTGGTTCTTGTCAATGCTGCGGTCTTGAACCCGCGACCGGATCGCATTCAATTAACACTCGAGTCGGCGCTGGACCTGAAGATCGCGCTGCCCGTGCGCATTGAGCCCATCACGTTAGACCTGTTTGTGCGCGACGCGGGCGCCGAGAATAAATGGGCTACGGCCCGCTTGGATGGGATGGTGGTCAAGGGGAATTCCACGCTCGGTGTGAGTGATGTGTCGACGCCTCTGACCAATTTGACCACCTGGACGGAATACGTGCACAATGTTGTGTTCGAGGAGACCACGCCGCTGTCGATCAAGGGCACCACCAATTCGTATTTGGGTGTGCTCAAGTCGCCTGTGACTATGGATAAAGATGTGTACTCCCCAGGTACGTCACCATCTCCTAGCATTCACTGAAAATCATCTAACAATCCCAGTTTTGAATCAATTCAAAGGCTTCAGCATCTCCAACAGCGGTCTCATCCCAGCCAGCTCAGATGGCACCAATCTAATTGGCAATGCCACCCTCCCCAACAAATCAGTCCTGACCCTCGACATCGGCACAATCGTCCTCGACGTCCACAGTGGCGATCTACTAATCGGCAATGCCACGCTGAAAGACGTAACCCTCTATCCAGGCGACAATACATTCCCCTTAACCGGCGTCCTAGACCTGGGTGTCATAATCAAAAATCTAGGCAAGGTACTTGCCTCCCAAGCCTCAGCCCTGAAATCTGGCAATCTGGCCTTGGACACGATCACACGAACCGTGACGTGGAACGGTACACTGGTGCCATACTACACAGACGTGATGAAGCAATTGACCCTAACAGCCAACGTGGCAATTGCCGACCTTCTCAAGAATACAATTCACAACTTCCTCAACAGCGACTCCAGCATCTCAGATCTGATCGGCTCGCTAGGCAGCAGCAACGGAAGCACCAGTGGCCTCCTGTCAAATCTGACAGATGGCGAAAGCGCCAGCGACACAGCCAGTGCTGCCCTTGCTGAATCTTCTTCGCTTTCATCCAAGCTGAAGAGAAATGCTGCTGTGCGGGATGTATTCAAGAATGAACATCCAATCAAGCGGGATGCGATTATCGACTCGCTTGCTGGTCTTTATATGAAACACCAGGCATGAGCCATTCCCCTGTGCTATGTTTATGTTGTATTTCCTTTTGGTTCTGTTAATATGGACTCATCTCATGTTCATGTACATGAGTGGAGTCCGCTGATGCCTAGACGATACTTGATTCCCAGGCTGTGGCCATTGTTGACTATTCCTTCTATTGTGTGATTGTTTGGAGTTTGGTGGATTTTCTTACTATTTTACACTGTTTACACCGTTTACACTGTCTTGCTTGATCTGTTTACGTCTTCATCCTAGAGATTAAGATAGAACGTCCTTTTGCTGCTTATGTGAGGTGTGATGTACAGTACATACTTGGAATCTTGGTCTAGACCGGTTCGATGCATATAATACATCAATTATACTATGGCGTTCTGATCTGTTTGACAAACTCGGGGTCAGCTTGGCAAAAGTACTTCGCCCGGGTGATCAACTAGTATATGCATGTCTAACACAAATGTCTAGGATGATCCACAAATGGAAATAGGCAACCAATCCATTACCGAAAACGGTATTACATTGCGATGTCGAGAAAACCCGCCCAAGAGGCTCTGTCTTCTGTGTTGGATGCCCAAGGCATCCTGTTCGTACAGTGAATACGAACTCATGCACCTCGTACTCGTACCAATTTAGTTTGAACTTGATTTTCTCTATTGACATTGAAGGGTATGGTATATCTGACAGGTCCGAGCTGTCTGTAAGTTCTATGGAGAATATTGGTGGATTAACGGAGCCAATAGCCACGTCGAATGGGAAGGAAGAAAGGCTGCGCCTCTTGTATAGCATCCTTGTCATAATGATTCGGCGACTGGGGTCTCACGTCATAGATGTCTCGTGAGTCGGCCTCTTCGCCCGGAGAAAGAGTTTGAAGTGCAGGGATGTAGAGTTGAGGGTCGAAACTGATGAGAATGAGAGCTTGGTGGTCTGGTGGTAGTCCCCGAGCAGAAACGGAATATATCAAGGAACGCTCATCTGAAATTCCCTTCACGAATGAAGTCCGTGCATCTGGGCAGAGAAGATGGTGTAGAGCAGGCGGAGCGTTGTCTGGAGGCCACAGGTGTACACCACGACACTCGAAGCGTTCTTCAGAAGCTTCAGTAGGACGACCATCTTGGTCCATCTGTGTCGGCTGGAATAATGTATTGCGAGGACCTTCAATTCCTTCTTCGTCAATGGGGGATTTGCGCTTTCTTGATACTGTGCGCAGGCGGAGTCGGTCTCGAGACCGCACACTGTCACCAATAGGAGCAGGGTCGTTGACAAGATCAATAAAGGTAGATGCACCAAGGTGGTAGTTTCGGTGCTTTGTCCGTACGGCAATGAATTCTTGTCGCTTCTTCTCATCCGAGCCACTCTCGTACTCGGCGTGATAGTCGCGGCGTAACCGCTTGGCAGGTCGCTCATCGTAGGGATGATCATCATCGAGGTCATCGTCCATGGAGACCCAGGAAGGGGTTTCAATCGCCCCTTCTGACAGAGGTGCCAAAGCCTCCTCAGGAGTGGGCAGTCGTTGGGTATAGTAGGTTCGGTGGTTTTCACTCCCTCCATGTCGCCATTCCCGACGACATTCCAAGATCACCGGTCGTCCCGTCATTTCGTCGGTGCGGATAGACAGGTCAGTCCACATCTCGTTGATAGGACCTTCTTGATGCTCACGACGCCAGAAGCGACCGTTCCATTTGCGGCCAGCTTCACGAGGGGCATGACAAAACCAATGATAGAAAGAGGAATGGACCTCATTGTCGTCGGAAGCAACTTGAGTTGACACCGCGTAGAGGTGGTCTTGATACATCTCAAAACACAATGTTTGTCCCAGATCCCCGTCGACAACCCGATCGAGCGGAAACCCAATGTGAAGGCCGGTGAGGAAATCCAAGCCTGTCACTGACCACACTCCATCCGAGCCATCCGCAGCCGTAAATGTGCCAAACCAGATGTAAGATCGGGTATGACGCACAAAGAGAGGCGCCCCAGCTGGAATGGGCTGTGACAACAGCTGGCGGTTGACGAAGCTCTGTGTACTCCGGACCGTATTGATCGCCCACAGTATATCCTCGGTCGCAGTCACACCAGTCTCCCGAAAAACAAGAATGTCATCACTATAAGCGACCAGCGTGACCCGACTACCGGGTGATGAGTTGGTCGGGCTGACATTGAAGCGTTCCCCGATGACGGGGAGGTAAATCACGCGCTCAGCACGCTTGTCCCCATGCACGTCCAACAGACGAATCTCCTCTTGCCAGCGATAACAAAGGATGCCTTGATTATAAAGAAAGTCGGCGGCATAGCCTAACACCGCGACAGAGTAGGGGTTTGCCGTGGCGACAGCCTCGTGAATATCAAAGCGGTGACCGACAGCCTTGCGATAACCAGACTGGGCAGCAACAGCAGCCTGACCTTCTTTGCTGTAGAGTAAAACATTCTACGGCAGTTAGTTTAAAGTCAAGCCTGGAAATTGATGTAGTCTACCTCAACAGTTTTGCGGGCGATCTGCTCGCTTTGCGTTAGTGCGCGCAGGGCGCGATTGGTGCGGCTGAGATTGATAAAGTCACGGTCGTCCAGCGACGTGGCGATTTGATAGAAGACATCGAAAGGAAGAGTATCCAGACTCTGGGGCGTCATGGTAAAGAAAGAACACGGGATTAAAGAATTAGGGGGCACATCATTACGGAGGAAGGGGAGGGGGTTATGAAGGAGATGAGGCTCAAGGGTGAGAACGGCCGAAGAGCCTCACGATGTGAGACCAAGGGGGGCTAGTTTTGGAGGCTCCGGGGGCTGAGTATGCGGCTCTCTCGGATTACGTGGGGATTTACATGGACTTGGACTTCCAAGATTCCAGGATCTAATCGTCTCGATCTGCAGAGTCACACAATAGTAGCATAGATCAGTAGTCCATCACTAGTCAGTATGACTGGTGAGACATGACTGGTTATTCACAGTCGAAGAGCCTCAAGTGGCAGCGGAGTTATGATCCTCCGGCTTCCGGCCTATTATTAGGTCAGGTGACGCATCCTAGTCCCCTGCCGTCACCTGACGAGCAGAAAGTCGTTGCCTGCTGGTACTTCAGGTACATTTCAGCCACTTCCAGTCATAATAACAGGTACTTCAGGTACTTCCACGGCACGCTTCTATACTGAAATAGATCATGTTTACCGCTATGTTAGTGACATTTCCATCAACCATTGGCATTGACGTAACTTGGGAATGTATCCTGCAGCCCTACAGGTGGATCCTTTCAATTCCAGTAGAATAATTTATCCTACGTGTACGTACATAATTGTTGGACAAAGAATCGGCACAGTGCCGAGTGCCCAGAAGTGCAGGGCGCCCTGAAGGTGTCCAGGACCCACCCACGACGAGTCCTTTTAAGCTGTTCTTGCTTCAACTCGACTTCTTCTTCTTCTTCTCCATAACATCAACATCAACATCAACATCAACATTAATCATGTACCACCCTCCTCCTGGTCCGTATGGACCTCCTCCTCCTGGACCACCGCCGTGGGGATATCAACAACCTGGGTGGCAACCCCCGCCTCAGCCCTACCCTCAGCCCTACCAACCCCAGCCTGGTTACCCTCCCCATCACGGCCACCACGGCCATCACCGATCCCAGAGTCAGTCGCAATATCCAGGTGCCTATGCACCATCAGCGCATCCACCGTATCCTCAATACCCTCCGCAATCCCCCTCTTCCCTACGGGCAGTCACAGTCACCGGCGCATCTCAGTGCGCCCCTAAATGGTAAGGATGCCCCGCCAAGCACACACCTCAGCGTCACTCACCATTTACAGGCCGACCTCGGGCAAACTCGGCCAGTTTACCGCCTCCACCACCACAGACAGCCCAGCATTTCGGTCGTGGCGCACCGTCAAACTACAATTTCCAGTACTCAAACTGTACTGGTCGGCGCAGGGCTCTATTGATCGGAATTAATTACGCGGGGCAGCCGAATGCCCTCAAAGGATGTATCAACGATGTCACCAACATGTCTAATTTCCTCACCCAGCGATTCGGGTACAAGCGCGAGGACATGGTGATTCTCACCGACGATCAGCGCAACCAAATGAGCCTTCCAACCAAGGCCAACATCCTCCGGGCCATGCAGTGGCTCGTCAAGGACGCCCAGCCTAACGACTCCCTCTTTGTGCATTTCTCCGGTCACGGCGGTCGCACACCCGACCTGGATGGCGACGAGGATGACGGATTCGACGATGTCATCTACCCACTGGACTACCGTGTGGCTGGCCACATTGTGGACGATGACATGCACGCGATCATGGTGCGTCCGCTGCGGCCCGGAGTGCGATTGACAGCGATCTTCGACTCGTGCCACTCGGGCACTGCATTAGACCTGCCATACGTCTACTCGACGCAGGGTATCCTCAAGGAGCCCAACCTAGCTAAGGAAGCCGCCCAAGATTTGTTCAGCGCCTTCAACTCGTATGGCCAAGGTGATTTCTCCAGTATGGCCTCTACCGCCATCGGCTTCTTCAAGAAAGCGGCCAACGGCGGCTCCGCACGCGAACGTACAATCATGACCAAAACCTCACCGGCCGACGTGGTGATGTTCTCGGGGTCCAAGGACACACAGACCTCGTAAGTGGCGTCGCAGGCTAGCAATTAATGTTTAAGGATATGAAACTAACCCTGTTCTTCGTAGTGCCGATACATTCCAGGATGGACAAGCGCGGGGTGCTTTAAGTTGGGCGTTTATCAAATCCCTGCAACAGTGGCCGCACCAGAGTTACCTGCAGTTGCTCAACACCATCCGAAATGAGCTCGAGGGCAAATACTCCCAGAAGCCGCAGCTGAGCTGCAGTCACCCCCTGGGTATGTTTCCATGGGGCCCCAGACTCCAGTTGCAGTTCCCCACTGACGATCGCAGACACCAACCTCCGCTTTGTGATGTAATGAAGTACAGTACAAGTACATGAATGAATGTAGCAAATGAATCACGCGATCCGAGACCCGGATCCCGACCCGTGCGGAGTACTCCGTGTCAGAAATACAGTGCATTAGTCCGTAAAAGTAGCAGAAAACGAAGAACGGAAATTCTCCACGGCTCATCCACATTTGGCCCTCATTTGTGGCTGTGGCCCGAGGTGGATCCCGCAAAGTTACTGAGCTCGTATTTCCCTTCTGTGCAAGTAGACAGTCAAGGCTATGAGTAGAATAAGTAACAAGTAACAAGTACTAAAGTGGCATGTACGCACACTAATCAGTTTCTTACGGACAAGACACATTGTGGCTGTCTAAATGTCTTGATCTATAAAAAGTACAATGTAGAGACATTTCTAGCGCCCCTGAGCGGGAATCGAACCAATCAAATCCCCACTGCGAACTGTTCCCGAGTGGAAACCGTGGATTCTCTGGAGTTGCCCCTTGGTTTGAGCAGAAAACACATCAGGGAACGCATAAGAAGCCGTAAGAATGGTTTAAAAAAAACGCCTAAGACGGTGCGTAAGTTAAATATAAAGATCGTGGCTTCGCTCGGCCGCGTCATTGGATGGTGCTGCAGATCCTGTATGATCTGATAGGAACTCCGCTGTCTCCAGAGTCCACATGGAGTATGAGAACAGGTAAACATGCCATCAGTTCAACAAGTAACAGTCAACTATTGGGGAGTATACAACATGGCCTCTATAGCAAGCCTGGAATCGCGAACAGTAGATAATAAAAACTGAAGACTCGATAAATTACAGTCATCTAAGTGTTACACGGGACTAAAATCTTCTATGTCTCTGATCCACTTTTTGGTCTTTTTCGGAATTCATCAGATGCGCTTTTTTCTTTCTCCCTCTTTTTCTTTCTTCTCTCACCCTCACTCTCATCATGTATACCTCTACAAACAGCTCCTACACCTCCAGTGTCGCCTCCGACCCTCAATCCCCTCACTCCCCATATCAACATCCTCAACCTACCTCCTCTCTCTCGCTCAATTCCCGCCGTGGCCCCATGCCTTTCAAATACCCCCGGTTCTATGCATCCCCGTTGGACGAGGGCACCGACTCAACCCCCCTCCAAGTCTACGGCTATGAACAGCGCGAACCTTCAATCTACGGCAAGCCACCCAAGCTCCTCCGCCGGGTATCGCACGCTCTAGGCGATATCCGCGAGGACATGACTCTCCAGTTGGACCCCCTCAAGCGCCGCTCGACCATCTTCTTTGAAACTCCACTCTCCCCAGCTAGTCCCGAGGTGCCCATGACCTCCGAGGGCCCGCGGTCGCGACCCATGTCTATCATCTCCTACGATGCCATCGCAGCCCCATCTAGACGACTGAGCCAGCGCCTGACACGCCGCCTGTCTGTCTTTTCGTCGCGAGGCAAGCCCACTGGAAACGCTGGCGCCAGCATTTCCACGCCTAACCTGATCGGATCTTCGACTCAATATGGAAACCGAAGCCAGGCCTCGTTCATCTAGAATGAACCACCTTGAATTGGAGTAATGAACAAAAACGAAACGCCAGGTTGTCGATCCCCCCCCCCCACAGATTGAGACCCGGGGGATCGACCATACATACCATGGGCAACCGGGGAGGGTGTTTGGATATAATATTTGATTCTATGTTTTGGGCGATTATTCTCATTCTGCATTCACAGCGACAGCGATGATTTACATTATACACTCCTTACTCGCTGCTTGTATCTATTCTACGCATAGCTCGGAGTTATGGTTTTGGGCGATGTCTGATTTCCAGCAATTTTTTGTTTTGTTTTCTATTGATCTTTATTGCATGTTCAATACCGATATATCAGAATGACAGATCACCTACAGTACTCTACTCCTAGCATACTGCACATCAATGCAAACCAAACGCTAATAACGCCACCATGCAGTCAACATCAACCCCTCCAAGCCAAGCATTACCGGTGGACCAACGTGCGTCAGCCCGCAAACGCCAACATGTAAAAATAAAAGATCTTACGAATGCGACCGAGTCGTACGTCTACATGAAACGAGTTCACGGATGCCTATCAGATGACAATCCCATGTACCGCTAAAACACCAATACACACTGTCTGTATCCGCTAATCACCAAAGCAATGGAAACCTAACCTCTAGCGCGATGCAAGGTGCTCGGAAGGTCCTCGGACACCCACTCTGTTGTCCCGCCCGGCTCTTCCTCGGTTCTTCAATGGGCTGATCGGAGTGGGGTCTGTCTGCGATGTCTGAGATGGGCTTACTGTATTGAGGGTTTGCCATCTATATCCCGTTCGCATTCTTCGGGTCGGGTGGATTGGGATGCGATTGTTTGGTTGGAAACATGGGCGACACATTATGTATCGCTCTTTTTCGGCGAACATCGGTACACTTCTAAGTGAGGGGTTTCTTGGTCTTCGGTTAGATTAGTTGGAACTAGGTGCAGTTGAATCTGCATCTCCCCGTCAGCTTCCGAGATGACGGTTTACATTTTCGAGTCGGGACCGAGTCACGTGGCCGGCTTCACAGCCCTAACTAGCGATATTGTATTTGGTGTTTATATTATGGTAACCCCAGGTTAAAGCTTGATCTCTTCCTCGGTCTGGTAGAAAGGTCGGTGCGTAGTTTCTTAAGCGAGTCGCAGACACTAGCATGACTACTACGGCAGGACTTACTCGCAAAGTTCGCAGCCTGGGGGCCCTTGCCAATAGCATGGCTACGGTAGTCCATGCTGAACTTGGTAGCTAGCACCATCGAGTTGCGGTTTTGACGTGCCTCAACCCATTCATCGATCTATTGTTTCGACTGCTTGTTCTGGTAGACATTGGCAGTATCAATGAAGTTTCCACCGGTCTCATAGAATGCATCCGGGAGGTTGAAAGCGTATTTTAAAGTGTTGTGATTCAATTATTTTAAATCCATAAATTCAGAGTCTCTGAATTATATTTGTTCCCAAGTTGCACCAACGGCCCCTGACGTAATCTCATACATAGGAAGATCTTTCTGGTCATGTTGGCGATGCGCGGACTTAAGACGATGATATCTGAGGCCCGTTGCAGGTGCTTTTCGGGACAAGGGGGAGGATTCCACAGAACGCAACGATCGAGAATGACTAAGAGCGAATGGGCCCTGGTCCCGAGATTGGAGTCGGAGATCGACAGTGATCCAATATCTTCCGGCCCGGAGGGAAGGTGCATACTGTATGATCCCGGCATGATCCCTGCAGTATGCGCAATACGGTCTGTAGCTGTAGCTGCAGCCGCATTCCTGATGCGGCACTTTTATGTACTGAACAAATAAGTCTGTCGCATCGACTCTCACCGACATCACGGGTGATCCTTCTGCCTACACCCACTCTAACGGCACATATACCCTAACAACGAGAGGGGACCCGCGCCATCATTCCCTAAAATCCCTTTGGCGAAGCAATAGGGCAACAACGATTGCCATCAACATGCGAATTCAGACCAATGAATGTCAAAACATGCTACTATCTGGCGGACTACAAGCAAATACTCGAGGGCTGTACATGCCTAGGTATCATGATGATATGTGAGGCTGCTTAAGGATTATCAGAAGCCCTATGTTTATAGATATACATGTATGTAATCCAAGGTACTGCTTATGCAAACATTTCGGTTAGACGTCAGGCTTTATAATTATTCTATTGACTAAGTTCTTTAGTGTTTCCAAAAGAACACTCATCATGCATTCGATATTCTCTATCTGTTTCCGCTTCGTGGTGTGGACTTGGGCTCTGGTCTCAGTCTTTCATATGATAGGTTGTTAGAGAGGTTATACAGATATCCCTCTTGTCCCATAATAAAAGTGGTTGACTTCTCTCCCTGGATGAAAAGGGTTGGATCATGAGGTTGTTCTCGGCTTCCTGCGGATTTCCAGTCTTCGTTGGTGAAGAACTTTATGCTCTCTGGTGAGCCGTTCAGCTGAACCGACTTATTAAAAATGATTTGCTTCGAGTCCGACATGATGGTATAGCCGATACTGCAGCGTGGATCTGAAATTTGTGAGAATGGGACTTAGGATTTCAGAAGGGAGGAAATATACCTGGAAGAGCTGACAGTCAAGTAAAGATGACGGATGGAGATGAGATAATCAGATGTTGGACTTGGATCTTGAGCAAACGGCAGTTTGGATTTCCAGTTAGAAAATGGAGGCCGGACGACAGTAGTATTTGTACGGCAAATTATCATGGGGTTTGGAGCGCAACCAACACATAGAGACCCGATGAGCGAAAGTTAGTTCGATTACACCCATTTCCAAACGCCTTATTAGGCAGAAGAGAGTTACGTATGGGCTTATTGATTGGAATATTGGTTTTTTTTTTTTTTTTTTTCGCCGGTATAAGCCCATTTCGTGTATATCAGCATGGGACGGTGGGCTCATTGGATGGTTGGATGAGAGCGTTCAGTGTATGACTCGGTGCTTGCTTCGCCTTGTAAGGGACAGAGCATCACAGACATAAATGAGTAAGTCAAGCTACAATGTATTCTATTGATATGAGGTACATAGCCTGAGACCGACATAGGTAAGGCGACGTGTGGGCCGTCAACCGCTATCAAGGGGAGTTCTGTTGTCGCTGGCCATCACAGGTTCCCAACGAACGGCGCCATAACAGTTGGAAATATTGAATTAGAAAGAAAGGTGATGCGTCCGCAGGGATGAATCATTCATTGGTAGAAGTGTCATGTGAGGCGCCACTTAGCGCCTAGGGGAGTGAGGCTTCAAATTTCGTATTTAAACCGCTAATTGGTCGCCTACTCCTCCGTGGTGTATTCGAGATGTTCCGCTGCCTCTGCCGGCAAAAGTCCCTTCTTAACGGCAATTTTTACAAACTGCTCGTCCTTGCGCTCAATACATTTCTGAGGGCGGTTTCGAGAGATTGCGTCGGGGTCTCTGGTCACTAAAAGCAATAGGTTGGAGCGGTAATAGGCATCTAAGTCTTCAAGACTCCGGTTTGCTGCATAATTTTAGTGAAGCAACGAAAAGAGAGTCTTCATGACATATCAGTCTCTGGATAGAAGAAATTGATGACAGGGAGGAAGACCGCATTGGTGACCGTTCAGACAATCCAAAACTTCCAGCCAATATTCTGAATTCCGACGATGAAGTTGGCGATTCTACAAACGGTGAGAAACATATAAAAGCAGTGATATAGATACATACCAGTTAGTAGCAGTCGCAGCCGCAGCACCCTTCGTCCGCATCGGCAGAGAATTAATCTCAGTCGGATAAAGCCAAGGGTTACCTAGCATGCCAATTCCAAAGGCCCCATGATAGAGGAAGAAAAGTGCAACAGAACTATTTGCATACACCTGATCATTAACACTTTCACTCTCGGAGTAATAGAGTAGTAATAAAGTTAAATGGTGATGATGAGGAAGCAGACAAACTGAGCGACAGTCGAAGATAGCATCAACACCCGACGTCCCATGCGCTCAACAAACAAAATAGCAAGACCCGAGAAAATGAGATACGAGACCGCATTACATGCAGACAGTAACCGTGCCATTTTCTCTGGTAGACCGACCGAGTTCGTGAGCACAGTGGGCATATAGTAAGACATGACATTGATACCGCCGAACCGTTGCACGAATTGAGTTCCAATACCGAGGAACAACCGGCGAAGCGTCTTGGTATCGCTCTTCTTGTCTTTCTTGAGGAGGACACGCTAGCGCACAGCATTCTGATTCTCATATTGAATGCTATAAGCTATTTCGTTGCGCTGGGTAATGACTACTGGGTCGTCGATCGGCTTTGCTTCTAGGCAGCTGAGAACTTCTATGGCTTCCTCTTCTTTGCCATGTGCAAGGAGCCATCTATCAAGCATCATAGTTAGATATAGCTTGTCTAGGAAGGAGAGGGTAGACCTACCGAGAAGATTCTGGTAACCAGGGGGTTGTAGCCCGGAGAACGAAGAGAAACATGAATTGGAATGCAAGTGGGAACCGCCATGCGACAGAGCTCCCGGCAAATGAAAATCCGTAATTGATCCAGTTGACCAGACAGAAGCCAGTGATGTTCATCATCATCGCCAATATGACTAGCCCTCCACGCCATTTCAGCTGCGATGTTTCAGTCTGCCAGATAGGAGCTGTTGCCGTATTGATACCTTTGCCGACACTATAATTGTGAGTGATGTTTTATATTGGAGGAAATATGACAGCCAACCCTAGAATGATACGGCCCACAAACATCTGCGGCAGGCTAAACGAGGTCGTCTGGAGGATAGTGCCTACTGCCATGATAGTTGTTCCTAGCAAGATACCTTTTTTTTCGGCCCAATTGGTCGCCAATACTGAATGCGACAACAGCACCGAAGAAACATCTTACATCATATATCGCCGTTACGGTAGAGAGGTCCTTTGTCTTCGAAGGTCCGACTAGATTGTGAGTTTCGAGAAAGTCCTGCGTGATCACGACGCCATCTGAAGTTGAAAAGTTAGCCTGGATTGAGATACAGATATCCCAATTGACTTACTGAATACTCCTTGGTCATATCCTAACAAGGACATATCGGTTGCGCAAGCAACCTTAAATAATACATGGTCCATCAAGTCCAATCAAACACTGGAGTAGATAATACCGTAATTGAAAAAGTAAGCCATCCTTTGTTAACCGGAAGTAGGGTTTCTTCTCGGAGACCGTAGCCATATGGTGATAAACAGTCAATGATCTCCACAACTCGTACCCCCACAGCAATAGACCAGCAAAATCCAGAGGACTGCAGACTTATATATCAACCTAAACGAAATAGACGTAAGGGGACCTCATAACCAATTTGGAAATATAGCCGAGAACCTGCAAGTTGCCGGCTAAATTCAAAGTCGGTTATATTCCGAAGTCCGGGGATGCGGGGAATGATTGGCATAGCGCCTGGACACCCTTGTAAGGAAATAGAGGCGACTTTTTACTTATATTAGATCATTGTGGGGGTTTATAGTAAGCTGAATGAGGAGATTTGGGGTTGGTTGTACAGTCTATGGCTTATGATTGACTGTTCCTAGTGGTGGTTCTGAGTTTCATCTTGGCTTTAGGGCCGGGATTGGTGGTTTGGTGCTGATCTGGGGTAGGCTTGCGTCACTGGTCGGGGTGAGTGAGGGGTTCAAAGGTATTCAGATTTGTTTTGGCTATTGTAAGCCGGATGGAGTAGATCTTGACGTTGAGAGTGAGTGTGGTATGACCTGGATATCTCGAGTCCCGAACTTGGATTCTCAGTCTGGCTTTGTTTTCCTGTAATTTGTACCAAGGATAGGTCAAAGTCAAATGCGACCCCCCGGTACCGAGTGTATCACGATCTATTGTGGTTTTTCTCTTAATATCTATGGTGCATATAAAGATCCCAGTGGTCTAGTTTTCTTTTGGAGACTGTTAGCTGTTAAACCAGAGATGACCTATTTCGACTTGCCAATTAGACCACTGGGTGAACAACCTTTTATATACGTTTGTCCTTGCGATGCGTTATCTATCTATGAAACATTTTGGGATTTGCTGGGCCAAAACCTAAGGATACAGTTGCCGCATGCGAGGAATGAGGGGACCATGAGGGAAACAAAACTTTCTTTATATAGCAAACCAATATCGAACTGCACATAAAGCCAGGAGCAGACCAATCAGACATGAATGCACCAAATACATACCTGCGAGCCAATCAACCCGGTTAAAAGGAACGATAAGACAAAGCCGAGGTTCATGCGCAGCATAGGCGAATCACAAGCCAAACAAAATTATATCGAAGCGAATTGCGTTCCTAAAGAATTGCAGCTTTAAGCACAATTTATACGCTTCTAAAGTAAGATGATATTGCATGTCTCGTAAGTAGTTGGTATCAAGGCTGTAAGCCGTAAGTGATGAGAATATAAACCATAAAATCCTGATTGAGATCAACGCCAGATTGGTCCAGAATCCGAATGATACGGACCCTGGAGAAGCAACCCAATGAAAGGTGTGCCCGCAGAAATGAAAAAAAAAAAAAAAAAAAAGAAAGGAAAAATCAAAGCCCACCACATGATACGCCGAAGTCCACATCCCATGTTTCTAGTCCACAGAGCCAGTCCATAGACATGAAGAATGCTGCGATGCGCAGCTCTCCCTTGCGGGTCCCGCCCTTGTAGCCGTAGCCGCGGTACCCAGATCATAGAGTCACACTCTCGAGGTCGCGCATGACAATACCCATCTGGGCCCGTTTGGCCGCCTCAGCTACAAGGTTGAAATCCTGCAAGAAGGGCGCCGTGGCTGTAGGACCCCCTAGACCATTTATCTGGTGGGGATAGTTCTCGGCCGGGGCAGGTGCTGCATTCACAGGCAAAAGTCCCTGAGCGTTGCCTGCTGCTGGGGCGATAGGCAAGACAGCCGCGTTGGAGGTGTTGCTTAGTGTCTGCGACAAGGGCTGCATTGGAGCCGAGGTTTGCGGGGCACATGTAGAGGGTTGTAGTGAGGGCGAAGAAAACACCTGCTTTGTCGCATTCGAGGCAATCTCCAGGGTAGATTGGGCCTGGGCGGCCATGGTAGACTGGTCGGTGGAAGGAGCGAGGGTTGATGCAGAGGGAGCGAAAGAGGAGCCGACCAAAGGTGCTTGGGAATTGTAGGCTGGGCGAAGGGTCGAGTCCATGACGTCTAACGGAAGAGATCCACTCTCGGGATCCGGGTAAAAGTTAGTCGCAGAGGGGTGGTTGGAAATGAGAGGGAGAGTCGAGAAAATGAAGCCGCTATGAATGAGATGCTCGGGTTACCGGATCTAGCACGGGTTCTGTAGGCGGCAGTCTGTGGCAAGTAAGGAAGTTGAAAGCCGTTTCGAGTGTGGAAATGCGAAGACAATGCAGTTTGGCTCCGATATAAAGTGACGGAGTGATGGTCTAGTATAAGAATAGCGGGAAAAGACACCGAACAACAAGTGAGAGAGAGAAGAAGAAGAAGAAGAAGAAGAGAAAGTCTCAGGGGAGAAGAAGGCAAACCTCATCGGCGTATCATCTCCACAATACGGTATTGTCACCTCATTGTGTCACGTGATGTATCAATTCGAGATTTGCACTTGAGTATAAAGTCGGGTTTAGACAGTCAGATGAATATAAAGTGACGCTTAAATGAACCTCGCGTAACTTTGAGATTTATCGAGATCGACTAATCATACCTAACTCCAAAAGCCGAGTGATCCGACCCTTACAGTGAATTACCATACTGATCCCCCACCTGGAGATCAGTCCACATTCTGGCCTGAGGCACTAACTTCCGATAAGATCTTAATTTTTGCGATTTCTCTCTTCAGACCAACTCACCATGGCTGAATACGAGTCAGGGAATCTGTTCGACGATCCCGAAGGGTACTACCCTGAAGATGCACCTCCGACATTCGCCGAGCACCACATGCTCTCAGGGCAGACTGTGCGCGTGCGTCTAGTTGGCAGCCATCCCCTCTATGTACGACATCAACAATAAGATCGAGGGTTCCCAACTAACCCTGGCAGGGAAATTTGCTCTGGAACGCCGGTCGAACCAGCTCTCATTACATTGAAGAGCACACCGAGGAATTGATCCGCAACAAGGATGTCCTCGAGATCGGTGCGGCGGCAGGCGTCCCCAGCATCGTGAGTGCCATTCAGGGTGCCCGCACCGTGGTCCTGACCGACTACCCCGATCCCGACCTCGTGGACAACATGCAATACAATGCCGATCTATCGAAGAGCGCAATTCCTCCACGATCAGACGGGAAGCCTCGTCTCCACGTCGATGGCTACAAGTGGGGTAGCGATGTGAACAAGCTGCGGGCATACCTTCCACTTGCAGCCGATGGCACTCCTTCTATGTTCGACATCCTGATCATGGCGGATGTGGTCTATAGCCATCGCGAGCATCCGAACTTGGTCAAGACCATGCAGCAGACTATGAAAAAAGATCCCAAGTCTGTAGCCCTGGTCATTTTCACGCCTTATCAGCCTTGGCTGTTGCCCAAGACCGAGCAGTTCTTCCCGCTGGCGGAGGCGAGCGGCTTCACGGTCACAAAGATCTTTGAAAAGGTCATGGACGATGTGTTGTTTGAAGACGACCCTGGTGTAAGTCATACCTCTCCACCTGGTGATATTAGCCAGTGATATCCAAACTGACTCTTCCATAGGATGAAAAACTTCGCCGGACTGTTTTTGGATATCAGATCCGATGGGCTCAGGACCAGTTGGAAGAATCTAAAGACTAAATGCTGATTTTATACCCAACTGGAACGATGACATGAAATGACAAAAGTTCAATAGATTTCAGATTATATAGAAATTCGAAGTTGTCAGTCTTCACATTCGAACTATATACAACTCTAGGCATACTATAAAGCGTAATCCAGAACTATTCATATCACTCTATATTAATTGACACAAAAGTTGAATCTCGACTGCGGGTCACATGGCCAACCCCGCATGAAAAAAAAAGTCCGCCAGAACACAACACTCAACCAACGATGCCGGTAAGTCCAAGTCCTCGATTGATTGCCAATTTAGATTAATATCGTCTAGCTCGTCATCTTGACGGGATACCCGTGCTCCGGCCTCACTCACCGTGCCAACCAGCTCGCATCGCTCCTCGAGAAACACCAAGATGAATTATTTGCAGCCTCCGAAGCAGGCACGCCAATGTCATTGAAGTCCCGATACAAGATCCACGTTGTCGCCTCTCACGGCTCCTCGCACCCGCGCATTGTATACGACCATGCCCGTACAGAAAAGGAAGCGCGTGGTGTCGCTTATGCGAGAGCCAAGCGCGTGCTCAAGCGGGACAGCATTGTGATTCTTGACGGAATGAACTATATCAAGGGATGGAGGTACCAGCTGTGGTGTGAGGCAAAAGCTGCGCAAACAACCTGCTGCGTGGTACGTTCTCAAAATTGTATTAAGCGCTGCGACAATGGCTGACAATTCTCGCAGGTTCATGTAGGAACACCAGTCGACCGATGCATCGCAATCAACGACGCTCGACTGCACCGACAAGCTACAGAGAACCAAGATAGAAGCGCACCAGATGCGCAAACCCTCGAAGTAAGCGAGACCCTGGCACCAACCATCGACTCACAATCCGCCCCAGACGACGAGGAGCCATACCCCGCCGAATTGCTCAACAACCTCATCTTCCGCTACGAGGAACCCAGCACTCACAGCCGCTGGGACAAGCCCCTCTTCACAGTCCCCTGGGATGACCCCCAACCCCCAGTGGCAGACATCTTTCAAGCCCTTACAGGCGTGGTCCTCCCAACCACCGAAACCGAAGCAACAGCCCCAATCCCAAGCCTAACCGACGCCCTTGCAAACTCCACCATCTCCGATACAGCCAGCATAGCAACCGGCACACGAACCATTGGCGGTAGTCGCGGTGGCCTTTCAACCAGACCCAAGATTGTCCCCCACCAAGCAACAGTGCAAGCAGCAGCGACTGACTCAAATGCAATGTACGCCATGGAAAAGAAAACCTCAGCCGTTGTGACGGCAATTCGTACATTCACCTTAGCAACACCATCCGCGGAAGTCGCGCTCGCGCAGAGTGCCAAAGCTGATGGTATCCTAATTGAGGTGCCCGGGTCAATTGTATCAGTCTTTATTCCCGCGCATGTTGCCATGTCCGGTACGACGGATGAACTTGCAGGCGCGGGTGGAATTTTGGCTTTGCCGAAGCTGCAGAGACTGCGGAGACAGTGGATTAGTTTGAACAGGGCTTATATCGGCCGTGGACAAGGCGCTGGTGGTCCTGGGGCTTTAACGGCTGATCAGGTTGGGGATGCATTTGTGCGGTTCCTGAACGCTGAATTTGGGGGTGGTGAGACGGCTGAGGATGGGAATTAAACGATTTGAATGTTTAGAGACGAATCTGCATAGATGCTTTGTTCATAGCGCTAGAGGGACTGAAAGTAGTCATGAGATACGAGTTTATGACCGATATCAAGTTTAGACTTAGCTTGCTCATCAGATCTACTTGTAGAATTATTACGTGGAAACCAGTCTTAGAAGTATCAAAATCGAATGTCATTCAAATCAAAGACCACGCACAATCTATCTACCATCAAAATCAACAAAAACAAGTCCAACAATCAATGCTGAACACAACACTCTGCTGTCGTTCTTCTGCCACCCCTTTTGAGACACAATGCCCGCACGCTGTTCCTCCGCATAAGTTCGGGTTCTCCAGTGTCCTTGGAGATGGTTCAAATTGGGTCTGCAAAGCCAAGAAAACTCTTGGTGGCAGATCACCGTATGATAAGCCACAGCGATCGGGGACAGATCGCAAGCGCTCAAGCGCGGGCTCGGGGCCCGCGCTGGTCCTATCCAGTTCATGGTTCGTGGCCGTCCAATTGATCCAACGGATCAAAGATTAGGAAAGAAATACCTCGGCCGAGGGTATAGTACCGAAGTGCTATGCGCCAAGGTCCTCGCGAGCAATCACACTGGTTCCTCCATGTGTAGAAAGTAGCCTGGCCAGCAAGCAGCAGGCAGCATCAGCTGCCGCGCAAAAGGAAATAAAACCGGTCCTCCCGTGAATTTGTTCAAATCATATCAACCGCTATTCGCCTTCCATCTGGAGAGGGCACAACGGCATCTCGAAACCCCTTCACGCAGTGAGGCCGTTGGGCATCTGGGAAACAGCCTGGCTGGCCTCAATGTGGCGGTAGTTCAAGCCGAGAGTGAACAGTTCCTGGAGACCGGCGTTGACACGCTCATGCATGGAAGTATCCTGGGGAGTTATGCTGGTCAACTCTTCCAACAGGCGGAGACGGCACTTGTCATAGTTCCGCTCAGCAGTCTGGAGACGCTGACCGAGGCTGGCAGAGGTCTGGGTAGCCTTGACGGAGCCGGCCTGGGAGTGGACGGAGCGAGTGCGTTTCATAGTTGGGGCCGGTGTGGGACCGGTGACCCTCCTCTTACGGCCAGCGGGTTCCTTCTTCTTAATCTGACCAGCGCCGGGCGATGTCTCAGGCGAGCTGTGGCGCTCGGAGGTGGCATAGTCATGGACACGGCGCATGTGGTCGTAGAGATTCCATCTCCGGGGGAATCCATTTCCTGGCACGGCACGTTCGCAGCCCTCCCACAAGCAGAGGTGAGGATTATCTCCGTGGCCATGAAGTCCGTGGGCTTCGCGCTCGTGGCGGAAGAGACAAGCGTTGGAAGAGAAGCGGAGCTGGGCATCGATGCAGGCAGGGGCCTTGCAGCGATAGGGCTTCAGGTGGGAGTCTAGGTACTTGCTGTTAGAGGAGATCAGTTAGCTGGGGCTCAGATAAAACCAAAGTTTGCACGGGTGAACTTGCTGGTAAGCGCATTTTTGCGTGGTAGGTGGGTGGCTGCAGGGCTTCTCTCCGGTGGCGAAGGGGCAGTAGTATTTTCCATCGCTGTGGGTGGACATGGAGTAGTAGTGGTGCTCTCGCGGGTTGCGAGTCTCAACACCTTCCTTGGAGCGCTGGCGGGCCTGTTCTCTCACGGGGAGAGGCTGGAAGAACTCTGGCTCGACCTTGGGCTGAGCAGCTGGCAAAGCTGAACGGCGTGACTGTCTGGTTGGTCTAATGGTCCTACGTGATTGTGGTTAGGTTTCTGGTCAGGGTATTCTTATATCAACTTTGTCGACACTCACCTGTGGAGGTCCCTGTCCATAGTGTTGGGGAATAAGGGCTCTGCTGGGTTGAGTCCGTGGGTTCCGATGGGTGAAGTGGTAAAATCTCCGAGAAGTGAATCATCAGGGGCCATGAATGAAGGGAATCCAGAGTTAGAGCAAGAAGAAGTAACAGAAACATCATTACTTGCGTCGGTCAGTGGTGGAGAGACTGGGACAGTCTGGAAGAGACCTGACGAAAATTGATCCATGGTGGTTCCTGGGTATTGGCCGTCATGCATCATGGGGGTCCATGATTCAGGGCCTGTGATATAGTGGCCGTCCTCGGTTTGGGAGCTGTGTCCGATGGAAAGAGCATCATCTGGGGTGCCATTCCTGTGGCAGACATCATTTTCAACATTGGAAAAATCCAGGAAAGAAGTATAGAGATCCCGGGACATTTCATGGTCATTCATGTCTGGGACTGCTGGGAAGTCCACGCCAGAGTACATCACATCATTTGGTCCGACCGTGGGGGTCATCAGCTGCTGAGACAGCGAGAAAGAAAGCATATGCACCTCGGAAGAGTCTTGCTTAATGGGCTGGTCTGAGTGGTTCAAGGTCCAGTCCTTCATATCCTGGGAAGTTCCATGGCTTGTAGGAATACTTGAGCACATTGAAGAGCTGTCCTGACTCGACAATTCATCATCCTGGATTGATCTTGAGGCAAGATTTGAGATTCCTCGAACCATGGAGGTATGCATGGACTGTGACATTGAGACCCGTTCAGGGTCGTTTGTCCTTGGAGACATTGTGATTGTGATTGTGATATGAACACTGTAAGAAAAGAGTCAGTGGCCTACTCCTTGACGTTGAATATTGAGAAAAGCAAATAAGGAAAAAGACAAAGGAAATTTCCATGGTCCAGTGTAAGATCGGACCTAGTAAGAGTCAGTGAATGAGGTCAGGGCTTCGGAGGTTCTTGAACATTTCAACGCACCAAAGCCGCAAGTGCGAGTTGGGGAATTCCTAGGCCGAAGGGATTGAAGGATCCTGGTTCAAGTCGTTTTCTATGTTGTCAAGTCCGGGTCTGGTGTCAATCCATGGAATAGTAAGTGGTGCCAGGTATAGAACAAAAGGTTCAAGTTGGAGCTACTATTTGTTGAAGCATCATCATCCAGGTAAGTCCAGGTAAGCAATTGTCGCTCATTTTCTTGTCATGGCCAGGTCCATAGATCAATGGCCTTGAAAAGGCTGATTTAGATAAGGTTGACGCGGATGCTTCTCCATTATCGAAGTGCAAGCACATTAGCTTGAGAGAATCCTCGGTTGTTCCATAGGCAAAAGTGGTTCCATTAATGTTGAGATAGTAAAGTGGCCATAGTAGCAAGAGAAGTCCAGGCAAATGTCATTTCTGTCCATGAAGTGGTAATTCCAAGGCGTTGTTTCCATAGGCAAGGTCCAAGGGTTTATCCCATCCACTCTTCACTCCAGGTTTGGAGCAGAGGCAAGATCAAAAAGGAAACATCCAGGGTGGTAATTCCAGTGGCATTTTGTCGAGTGAGAGTGCATACATTAAACACATCTCAGAGAGATAAACCCAGCGGGTGCTGAGGGCAAGCAGTCCTTGGCAGGACATCCTGTTTGGTCGCCAAGATTGGCAGAGTCCATGGAAGCAAAGCAGTAGTGAAGTCCAGGGGTCCTGGGAGATTGGTTGTCGAGATCCTTGGTAAGAACAGTTGATAGTGGTACAGGTCCAGATGACAAAGGAAATAAACGCATAGGAGAAGCAGTTGAAAGAGAAAGTGACGGGAACTACCTATTGAGTGTTTGTCGAAAGTGGGCAGACTAGAAAGAAGCCTGGGAAATAACAAGAAAGCAAATCCTGTCCGGGAAGTACGTGGCAGTGAATCCTTGTGGCAGACTTGATTGCATCAAAAAAACCAGGAAGTTCTTGAAAAAAAAGGGGCCGGTCCAGGGATTGTTGAGTGTTGAAGGGGGTATATATAAAGTGAGATGATAGAGCAACAAAGTATATGTTGTGAGTAAAAGGGGTATCCAAAGTAATGAAAGAAAAGGAAAAGAAGAAGAAGGAGAGGGGATCAGCGGCTTTTTAGCACACAGTCAAGCGAGAAGCTCGGACTGTGGACCGTCAAACACAGCGTGTGCCAGACACGCATACAGCCTGCGTTGGCACTATTGAGAGCCAATGCAGCAGACTGGCGGTGATAGGCTTTGCAGATGAGGGGGGGGTTCGTTTGGCTGAGTGGAGGAATCTGTTCTAGCGGTGAGACCGGCTCGGCGTCTTGAGTGCTTGGCAAGTGATATGATTGGTGAAGGAACAGGCTGACGCTGCATGATGATGTCTATATTGGTCGATCGGCAGGTTCCCTTGTCGCGTGTTGATGAGATGTCCATGTCTGTCGCTGCGCTGGGTTATCGAGTGGTTGGGGACATCCCACGTTCCGCAGGCGCTACAGGGCTCATGCGGCGTGACCTCACCTCATGTCATTACTGGATGTGAAGCAAATAATAAAATCAAATAATAAAGAATATAAAATTATAAACTATAAGAATGAGAAACAAAAGGAAATGAGAAGTATCTATTACGGGTCAGCGGGACGGGGCGAGGCGACCCACGTTGGGCAGCCATGCAGCCATCGGGCGCTTCTCCTATTTTTCAGTCAGTCAACTTTTTCTCAAAGTGTGTAAGAGAAAGTCATGATGGGTGACAGGATCAGAAAAATTGAAAGATGGAATATATTTTCGTTCAAGAATCCGAAGATTTCAGGTGAACTATGCTTTTGATATTTTTGTTCATCATCCAGAGGGATGGGGAGAATGGGAATTGAAAGGATCAGATGGCTTACCTGTTAGCGGGACATGACGGAAGATGAGTTGGCAATCACAGACACACCTGGCCTGTTTACTGGTCAGAAGCAGTCAGAAACATTGTGATTGACGGAAGAAGTGAAGTGTGTGGGAGAAAAGAAAAGTTTTTGAGGCCCGCGGGTGGTCACGTGCGTGGGTTTGCACTGTTTGCCCTTCTTCCTCGAATAAGAAATATCATATCTCTCCCGAGATCATGCGTTGTCGTCTTCTCACATCATGCACCATGAATTGGACAGGCGGCCAGCTGCAGCGTTCTAACCGCTCAGGCCTACTGACCAAAGCCCAGAAGCAGAATTTCGCCAGGTCTCGATCAAAAGCGAAGGGCACGGCCTGTCCCCCGCCTTCTCCGTTTCGCAACTTCCCTGATTCTGGACCGTGGGAGGGCTTGAGCACAGTTGATAGAGGTGCAGAGACACACGCAGGACATCAGTCAGTCGACTACTGTTGATTGCTTTGGCTTGGCTATCCTGATCTATGTGACGTATACTAATCTGGTTCTTACTGAAGGGCTGCAGTAGAGCCAGTTTCACATTCAATTGAAGACTATACATCCAACACTGAAAATGAGCTAAGTGACATCAAACGCCAACTCCTCAAAGAGCCTGACTGGGGTGCTGTGTCTGCTACTCGTCCCCTCGAACTTGCCTTTACGACTGTTGAGGAAGTTGAGCGATTTGGAAAGCGGCGCAGGCTGCATGATAAAGATGGAAGACGGCTGGTGGCAGCCAAAAACAATGGGTTTACTTTTTTCGAGCTCCCCAAATATACACGGAGAGAAAGGCACCCGTCCTCGATCATCGATACGGTCGAAGACATCCAGATCGAAATCAACGGACGACCGGTTGGTATGCATGTCAAAAACAGCTCAGGGCTGGGCATGAGCAGTCTGTCATCACAGTCAATGCTTCTCGATCATGAGGGACCTTGTGCCTCCGAACAAGAAGAGAAGGAAAGTCTGACAGCCACCTGGATTACCAATCTGTTTCCCCAATCCCAGTGAGAGCTTGCGAACTTTCAAACAGGGGCCCGTTCCTATCCTAACATATCATTCTTGGCTAGAGCTTGACAGGTCTAATGACAGAATAATCAGCTGACTCCTAGGCCCTACTATACACAGATGCTGATGAATATATATTGTCAGCCAACTCGTGTCAATCCTGTTCCCACTTCGAATCGAAATTAGTTAAACTCCCATTTTTCTTGTTGGGCACCCATTACTAAGTCCGTAGCCCTAAATCTGTTCGTTCTTGTACCTGAATATCAAACATTACTATATGTAGTCGTCACATGACGTCCTTCTCCGGACCCAACGTCATTCCGAATCCAACATCGCAGGTATCAGTTACTGCGATTATTATAACATGCGTTCCATTCCAATCCTAGCCTCACTGGCTGCCAGTGCTCTCGCATATGCCTTGCCACCAAAGACCACCACAGACACTGATGGCGTCCAGCTCCCCCTCGTCATCTGGCACGGCCTCGGGGATGACTTCGAACGCGACGGTCTGAAACAAGTCGCCGAACTAGCCGAATCCATAAACCCTGGAACTTATGTCCACCTGATCCAACTCGCCGGAGATGGTAGTGGAGATCGCCAGGCAACCTTCCTCGGCAACGTCACGGAGCAAATCGCCTACGTCTGCGAGCAGCTCGCCACAGACCCAATCCTTCGCACCGCGCCCGCCATCAATGCGCTAGGCTTCTCGCAGGGCGGTCAATTCCTCCGCGGCTATATCGAGCGCTGCAACTCCCCACCCGTACACAACCTCGTCACATTCGGCAGTCAGCACAACGGCATCTCGGAATTCCAGTCGTGCAAGTTGGGCGACTGGCTATGCAGTGGAGCCGAGGCACTACTTCGATCCGGTCGATGGACAAGCTTTGCGCAGTCGCGCGTTATACCGGCGCAGTACTTCCGCGATCCTACGGACATGGAGCAGTACCTTGAATACAGCAATTTCCTGGCCGATATCAACAATGAGCGCGAGTTCAAGAACCAGGATTACAAAAATAAATTGATGTCCCTGAATCGGTTTGCTATGTTCATGTTTGAAGAGGATACTGTTGTTGTGCCGAAAGAGAGTTCTTTCTTCGCTGAGGTAAATGGCACCACCGGCGAGGTGACTCCTCTGTACGAGAGGCCTATCTACAAAGAGGATTGGCTGGGTTTGAAGGTTCTTGACGAAGAAGGAAAGTTGGACTTTAAGACTTCCCCTGGGCAGCACATGCGTTTGTCCGAGAAGGTGCTGAAGAAGACTTTCGAAGAATACTTTGCTCCACTGAAAGAAGAGCAGAGTACTTCTTCGCACGGTCTTGTCGTACAGCGTGATCATTGATTGATTTCTATCTCATCGGAGTCTCTGTTGTCATATGATATCCCAACTGCAATACTGTTACATTAACATTTAGTTGAATGAATTCAATGCCCATGTATTAGTCCTGTTCGCTCACCTCCGATGCCGTTGTCTTTAGCGTGGACCCCCTTTTATTTATTCTAATTTCACTGATGTATATCTGCTCGCATTACGAAAGGTAGGTCTACAGGTGTGAAGATTGATTATATATCGGGGGCAGGTCATTGGAGGTGATATTTATACACCAGCTTGGCGCGAAGAGAGGTGTGGCGAGAGGCAAAAGATTATAGACATTACCTCAGTAAAGCAAAGCTAACAAGAACATCGTTCTTTACTTCACAACAGTACACATTCCTAGTAAAAAACAATTTCAATCCAGCATCTAAATAGTTTACCGACAAGGTAGCTAGATACAACATCAAGTTGCTTGACAAAGGCAACCTGCACCGATATAAGAACAGAAGCCCGAGCTTCAAGATAAAACATATGCAAATGGGAAAAAAGACAAAGATGAAATATCAACTGACAAAGAAGCAGTACATGTACCGACACGACAGAAATGAAATATACCAGACCGGTGGGATGAAAAGAGCCAGCACGCCCACGCCCATGAACCCAGATACAAGATCCATCATTGGCAGGCGGTGCAGGACAGTGTCACAAAAGAAAATTATACATAAATATATGAACCAGAGAAGGAATTGGTAGGTGAAATGCCTGGAGAACCATGCTTATCGAATTGACAAAACAAGATAGGAACAAATCGAAAATCAATAAGGTGGGCGTCCGAGGCCACCGCTGACCTGTCGTCTGCTGACACTTCTACCCATTGGGCCCTTGGAAGAAATGGCAGTTGCTGGACGGGTTCCATTTGTCATCGTGGTATCGTCAGGCGAAAGGAACCCGTCGAGGAGTTTCCGCAATTGATCCTGGTGACTGCCATCCAGGGCATTGGACTCATAATCGGTCATAAGCTCTGGAATTCCATTGGCAGCGAGGTTGTTACTGGATCGGCTCTTATTGCGGTCTAAGGACTTGGGGTTAAGAGCACCAGAGGCTGCATCAGCTTTGTCTTTCACTGAAGACTGTCGCGAGGGACCTGGCGCAGTGGATGGGCGATCGTATGAAAGCAATGACCGCTGGGAGTCATTCGGGAAACCTCCTGGGATTGACAAATTGACTGGGATAGGTGGCACGGGAGGTATTTGCTCGTCCGAGTTTACACGACTCAGAGAAGGTGCATTGAGAGGTTGGTCAGACGGCTTGTCGCCCGACAGAACGATCTCTGCTGCCGAAGCGCGGGGTGTATCTGCACCATCATCATCAGGTGTTTGTTGACCATCTGGCTGTTGGGTGGAGGCGCCGTCTTCCATCTCAGAAACAGAGAAGGCACCGCTGACCATACTGTCACTTCCAGAGGAGATGATACTGGCATCTGATGCGTCAAGTCGTCCTCGCAGTGGGCTAAGCCGCCGAGCTTGAGAATCGTTGGTGACCGAGAGTACGCGACGGAGCTCATTGACGCGAACGGGAGATCCCCTACTCGAACCATGAGATGACGAAGCCGAGATATCGGGAACATTTGTGCGGTAGTTGTCGCGGGATCCCGAACCAGCAGGCGAGCCATTTGCGATTCCGTTGGATTGATTAGTCCGAGTGTTTTGTGTACCGACTCGAGAGCCATTGATAGATAGGGCATTGGCGCTTTCCTTTTCAACCTCGGCCAAGCAGGCCTCACGGGACCACGGGGACGCCAAATGGTCCTTCACGAGACTCGGCAGACCGCCCTCGACTTGTGATTCCGCGACTGGATGCCCAAGGACTGGGAACGTGAATCCTCGTGCAGGTGAGGTTGGCGGGCTTTGAGGGGGAGATGAGATTGACTGGCGGTAAGTCTCGTCAATCAGATAGACGAGTCCCTCTATGTTCCGGAAGGGTGTCAATGGAGGTGGGGAAGTCGAGTCATTGACGTCTCTTTTTTCTTTATCGAAATCAATACCACCGAGACCAACTGGGGGTACCTGGATCTTGGAAAGCCAGTGGCCCTTGTCGACTCGCTCCTGTATTTCCTTGGTGATTTCAGCTCCAACGGGGGAGGTGTCCATTTCAAACTTCTCTGACAATGCGAGAAGATAGCCGTGGACTAAGCTTCCGGTGTTGACGCGTGCCGCAAATGAACTCAGCTCAATAGAAGTAAACATGTCCTCCTGTAATTTGAGAACCATGGGGAACCCAAATTGAGCAGCATTCACTCCGAGGTTCTGAACAAGATTTGTGAGAAGTAGATGAAGGAGGAGAATCTCGGACTCGTCAGCAGCTCCTTCAAGAGCGCCATCGTAGATAGCCAAGTGCAGCAGACGGAGGAAGTTCGATTGTGCTGCCAGTGCCACTGTTTCTCGCTGGTTACCCGGAGCCGTAGTGCTTCGTCGGTTTTGTTTATCAATCTGCTCGGACTCTCGCTTTGATCCTGTTTTGATGAACTTCCGTACATCTACTCGTGCCTTGAGATCGTTCTTGTTGGTTTCAAATGTCAACCATGACAGGAAAGCGTCGGCGTAGGCATAGCGAACATCCCGATCTGCATCACGCAAGAGACCTTGGGTGCCCTCCCACACATGAATACCGACTGGGTGTCTGGATTCCGCGCCGGACATGGTTGATGGCGTCCTGAGATTGGCAACGACCAATATGGACTTGAGTGATCGAAGAGCTGTCAGTTTGGCGGCGGCATGTGAAAATGTTTCTCCTGAGGCCTTGTCTCCGTTAGACTCCGAGGCAGAGTTAGAGTCAACGTGTGCCACTCCGGACTCATGAACAGTAGCCAAAGCGAATTGTGCAGAGCTATCGTGGAGGGGGGCAGGCTTGAAGCGCCTGAGGATTGCCCGCATCATATCGGCGACTTGGTCACCGTAGTAAATATGCGTTGCGAGGTCTCCAATGCTCTGCTCCAAGAGTGTGAGAAGGTCCTGTCTTTGCGAGGAGATGACCATATCGACCTGACCATTGGGCTGCTTTTCCGAATCTGCAGACCCAGTACGACCCGGAGGAGAGAGGATATCAGAAGCATAGTGCATAAGACCGAAAAGGATATCCATGACGCTGAGACCAATCATGTTCACCGAGGATCTGAGCAACCAATCCACCACAGAGAGAATGGTGAAAGCCGACTCTAGGTTATCCTCTTTGGGGCTTGTATCGTGCAAGATCTCCATGGCCGTTATCAGAATAATGAAACGAACCTGTACCGGGCACCAGTTCGCAATGAGTTCGATCAAAGAGGTTGCCCAATTTCCGTTCTTGGCCGAGCTCAACCCATTCTGCTTGTCACTCTGTGGGAAGCCCTTGGTCGATATGAAGCGAAGAATGACCGTTACCGCGATGCGGATCTGACCGCGATTGCTCCCCGAGACGATAATCTGCTCGAGGCAGCGTAGAGCCATGAGCCGAGCATCAATTTCTGCCTTTCGGTCTGCATCATCCGCAGACCGCGCTGCAAGCTCGGGATCACCCTCCGCTGTGTCCACGGTGTGTACGGTATTAACACTCATGCGGCGGGGTTTAGACCCATCCCGCTCATTTGCGTCAGCCTCTTGTAACCTGATCTTGAGTGTCGTGAGCAGGTCCTCATCAGCGGAGTAGAGGTTCTCCAGAATGACTGGTAGGCACAGCTTCAGCGAAGTGCCGCCGTCAGCAGCGAGGCTTTCTGAGCTGACCACACCTCTGATAGCCCGCAGTCCCGCGTTCCTCCACCGAATGGCCACTTGCGGGCTGAACTTTGTATTCGAGTTGGAAACAAAAGCCGGATCGGCTAAGCTGGCGTATGTCCGGACGACTTCTCGGTATTGAAGAGCGAGACCCTGGTCTGCCGCAATGGCCGCAATGTCCTGATGCCGGCAGAACATTTCAAAGGGCACAATTGATTCCTCCACCATAGTTATGTCATTCGATCGCAGGACAGTCTCGATCACGGTCATGATAGAACGAGCGTAGATAGGAAGATCGCGGGGAACTTTTTCGATGAGTGCGGCCAGAATATGAAGCGCCACCTGGACATTTCTGCAATGGAATCGATCAGTTGGATTCAAGTGCCACATTCCTTGACTTGGCCTCTACTTACCCTAATCTGCGTCTCCAGACATCCCGGGCCACTCTCTTCTCCAGGAACGCGCCGACCTTGGTCAGCTTACTGCGGCGCGTGCTGGTATAGTATAGGAGGTACGAGAGTTCACTGGGATTCGGCCTGACCTCCGCCACTCCTTTCTGGTATTTCGGATAACATTTCAAGATCAGGACCTGGTGCTTGGGCCGACATGACTGGCGTACGGACTCCATTGGAAAAGTATGGGTGACGCATGCAGCTGCCGCGTGGCGGGCTCGAGAAAGGCGCGATCGAGCTTCACGACTGAAATAGGGAGACTGGTTAAGATGATGAAGGGAGTGTCTAAGGTCGGATTGTCGAAAGGGAAAAGTGTCAAAAGGTCGCAACGTGGACGAGAACGGGACCGATGAGGTAGTTCAGGGCCGATCACCAGGGGGTGGGGCTGCAACCCCAAGAAGTGACTGAATAACGGGGGTTCAAAAGGAATACATGAGAAGATGAGTAGACCTGCAGACTTGAAGACTTGACAGGAGAAAAAAAACAAGGTTCGGATTGTTCGGGCTGAACAGCCCAATTTCACTGCGTCATGCGTTGGTGGCTTATACTGCCCACGTTTACTTATATCGCTCCATGTACGTTGCTATTGCTCAATTTTGGGATTGAATGCCATATTGCTCACTAATTGCTGTTCATTATCAGCATTGAGGCTACCATTCTATTCATTCCAGACATAAATGCGACCTCAGGGAGGTACAGGGACAGGGACAGGTACTAGTATGAGGTACTAGTATGGAATCGTGCATCCCAACAACGCTTGGTCCTTTTCCCACCCCGCAATGCAGTGCCAGGGGTGCAAAGCTGTGATATGCTCGAAAAAACAGTGTTGGTTGATCGACGGTCGCGGAGCCTCGGTCGCACATGAACTCGTGTGCGCTCCCCGCAGTGTGAATAGCTCAACCGAACGGGAAAGGCAAGCAGTGTAGATCTTTGGTGTTTCGGGTGGCTCGGTTGGTTCGTTTCGTGTGCTTTGCGTTCAAACAGGCACACCCCGGTCGCATGCGCAAGATCCTCTTTGAATGTAGGTTCAGGCTTGCAGCAAGCCCTCAGGTCTTGGTCCCATTCTGGCCATCCTCTGGCTTTTCGTCTGCAGCTTCTGCCTCGGCAGATGCTTGCACACATTGGACAGGCAAGCTCAGTCCGGCCAGCCCTTCAATGACTTGCGGGAGAATGATATCGCGGCGGAACCTGTCCTCCTGCAGCAATCGCAGGGCCCGCAGTGTAGGGCCAGGGTGTGTGAGGAACTGCGAGTATTCAGGCGTCTTCCAGTAAGCGTAGAGATAGGCTAGGTAGGCTGCAAATGCCTCGGCGTCTGGTGAAGTCGCGGAGTCGTCATCGTCGTCAGCATGGGAGACGCCTAGGAGGTTGGGGTAGGTGACAGCAAGGTGAGATAGGTAGTAGGGATTGGCGAGAGAAGAAACAAACTCCAACTCCAGAGTAAAGCGCGGATTGGTGAGAGTGGGAGGCTCCATGATGAATGTAGTTGTGAAGCTCAAGTGAAAGAACTGCGGGAAAGGTGGAGCGATCAACCCTAGCTCCTTACATCTGCATTTGCCCTTTACACTTACACTGTTGTATTCAGAAAGACAACAATGCTTCAATACAGGTATCAGTTGAAGAGAGTGAGGTCGAAAGTAGGAACACCTCTCAAGATCTTGTTCCTATATTTTATACTCCGGGGCTCATGAATATGTACACAGTGCGATGAAGTAGACAGTTTCTATACAAAACCCTCCGAGTGAGTGTACTATACTCTGTATTATGTTTGACTCATAATTTGTCCCTTTTCGAGTGCCACGGGTTGATCGAGTCGATCATATAAAGGTGGGTGTATAAAAAGACTCGTAACCCCAGTCATGACTTTGCTATCATACTTCACCCTATTACGATATGACCTGAACTTTTTGATCGAGGCGCGAGTACAGTTCTTAAAGTCAGGGCTTTAAACCGATAGCATCCAATGCATTGTTTTATTCACCCGATGACACAACATGATTTATCCTTTGGTCTCGACAGTGTATCCTTTGACCTCCGTCAAAAAGCTCAAATTCCTCCGACGAGGAACAAATTATTCACAAGTGATGTTAGTATTGAAACAGGGAGGACTAGAGAAATCTGGCCTATTCAAGGCTAAATGAGATACACACGACGGCGCGACGTTGTAATATGTGGACAGGCCAAAATCATTCACAAAATAGCATCCTTGTATAAGCAGATATCATATCGAAACATAAACGAGTTCTAGGTAAGTCATCCACCTGAGCGCCGGTTGTTAGTCCAACGTGTACGGTTTCAGCTTTCGTGGGCAAGAGTATAACATTTTTTTTTTACATTGAAAGCCTTTTGAGGGAGTATAAATGGGGGGTGGAAGGACTCGGCCAATCGATTGAAGTTACTTCGGCGTGTTTGTAGCGCAGCACTTGACTGAATGAAAGAGTCAGTGCCCAACCCCGAGCACTAGGACAGTATATAAAGCACATTAGATAGTTGACAGGACCCGATATCAAACGAAGGAGGATCGTAGCTAAACCTCTTATGGCTTACAGGTGATAGATGTTGGAGTCAACTGGTTTAATTATCTGATGCGAAAAGAAGGAGAAAAGAGCAATGGGTAGAGTAAAGAATACAGATTCTGAAAGCAGGGCTCAAGTGAAGTACAAGAATGGAAAAAATGAAGAAAAAGGAATCAAACTCCGAATCATGACCCGGCCCTCGACTGGGCGTGGTGTTTCATGGCGTTCTGAAACCAGAACCAGTGTCACGCATTCTCTTTCAGTTCAAATTAACGCCATGGGGAGCACTGTTGGGTTGGCAGTGCTCGATGCTGGATATTACATGGAAAATCATCACTCCTCACGGAGGAGATGGCAATGGGAAAAGCAAAGATAGGCCGTCCATTTGAGTCAACCTAGGGTTCAAGAGGACGCACGGCGTGCCTGATAATCCTACTCAAGGCAGGCGAAGAGTGTTCATTAGGTAGTTTAGTCGCTGGTGCGTCGCTCGGGCTTTGGCTTGCGCAAGCTCTTCATGCGGTTCAGGAAACCACCACCACCAGGGTTGAGCTTGGATTCTTCATATGCTCGCTCTTGGGTTGGCTTGCGCTCCAAGCCAGTGCTCTGCTTGGGGCTGCTGGAAGATCGGAGACGGCCGCCCTCGAGGCCAGACTCAACGCTGGCACCTTTCTTGTCCCACTCCTCTTCGTATTCTTGGAAGTATGGGTTGCGCTCATTCCCTCGAGAAGATGCAGAGTGGCTGGATTCAATTGCTGGAGGGTAGTTGTTGTCGGTGGGGGATGTGATACGGCCAGGGCCGCGTCCACGCAATCGCTGAGCCAAACTCTTCTTCCGTGCAAGACCACCATTCTGTCCCATGGAAGTCTCGTTCTCGCTCTGGCGGCGTGCCATGGCGGACCGACTTGCTGGGGCACCATCGAGGAAAGTACTGGTACCCAATCCCATGCTCTCTGATCCGTGAACGGGATCTATACGGGAAGTGGGATCAAAGTTGGTACCCGAGTCGGCGTTGCGACGGGCTGCTGTAGCGAAGTCATTATGTCCTTCTTCCATTCTGCCGTGGAAAAGGTTGAGATCAATGTTGGAGTTGTTCGGGCCGGAGCCACCCAAAGCCATATTCATGGAACCCTTGGGGAAGGCCTGCATGGGGGCAGTGCGCAAGCCTCGGCGGTTGCGATGCGGGTTGCAAGCATCAAAGGGACCATCGTGATGGAACACTTAGAGAACCATTAGCATACGAAAATCGAGGTTGGCTCGGCTTGAAGACTCACTTCCAGTTCCATAGATGCTAGTCACATCCAGCTTATCGATTATGTCCAGTCGACGGTCCTTGCGAGTGGAGCGAGACTTGCCATCCTTGTTGCGACTTTCGCGCTCACGGTGGCGTTTCTCACGTCGGCGCTTCTCGTCCTCATCGTCGAAAATAGTGGAGCCTCGATCCATCACCGAAGACTCGGAGTTCCGGCGCGGTCTGCGCGAGGGTCTGTCGCGGTGACCCATGGTCGCAGCCTTGTTCAGGCTGGGAGGGTCTGCGAATATGTCAAGCGGGTCCTTCTCCTTTGGTTCTGCCGATCGCCCGGGCGGGCGCTGGGGTCTGCGATTTGACGGGGCGCGATGAGTAGTGTTGGAAGGAGGTGGGCGAGCACGAGGCGGTTGGGGGGAAGGCTTCAGCGAAAGGTTCTCCTGTGATATGTTAGATCTGGCCGAGACAAGTCTTGAATTCGCAACTTACGAAGAGCTCACGGGTGTTGCTCGAGATGTCGGTCTTATCCACCGGAGAAAACATGGTGGCGCCAGTAGACATTCCAGGAGCTGATTGCGGCGACATAGATTCTGCGTCGTCGAGGAAGGGGTTGGTTGATCGGGGTCGCTCAGGGCGACTGTTGGATGCAGCCGGGACCGAGGGTGAGAGAGCACGGTTGCGGAAAGGATTGTTGGAGCCAAAACTGGCCGCAGTAGGAGATGATTGGGGTTCTATTGACAGGTGAGACGTTTCGAGTCAGTCACTTTGAACGGTATCTCAGAAAGTTCCCAGGGGGGGGGGGATTATGGGGTTATGGAGACAGTTATATGATCCAGGAAAAGCATTACGTACCTGCCAGCGAGACGCCGGGATACCCAAGCGCTGGAGCGGCATTCATTGTAAGGTTATCACAATGAAACAAGGTGTGGGTGGAGAGGGAGTGCGTCAAGTGAATCTTAGGGTGTCGCACGAATGCGGAAGAAGGTGGCAGGAGGCGATTCTGAAACGGCAGGCAGGGGTCGAGTGGAATGACAATCGATCACAGCCAATAGATGCAGTATTCAGATACTTTTTGAAGAGTACAAAGAGAGAGAAATTAAAGGAGAGAAAGAGAGAAGGAAAGGAGGGGGGGGGGGGGCAAGGGGACACGGGAGAAAGGGGATCGGGTTGGGAATTACGGCCTGGCGATCTCCCCTTAACCTCTTCAGCGTACGTATATGTATCTGTGGCTGTCTGTGTCTATCTGTGCCTGTGCCTGTGCCTGTGGCGCTGAGTTAAATCTCCTGCATTTCAAGCTAATTGTGTCCTGCTCTTCTGCACTGCACTGCACTCCAGCATGTGGGATCGACAGGGTTCCACCCCAGGCATCCATCAGTTACTCTGTCACTGTGACTCTCTCACTGTCACTTCACTAGGGATTCCTCGGCTACCCCAAAAATAGGCTGGAATGACGCATCCCTCCCTGATGTCATCTCCCTTTCCGGAATGTGGTGATAGTTCCACGCGAGAGACTCCCCTTTGCCGGGTACACTGCCGGTCAACGTCAACGTCATCTTCAGCGGGTTATCTCTGAACTATTCGAACAACTTGAACTACGTGCCTCAACATGGCGGTGATGAGATATCAACGCCTTCAACAGCCCGGATCAAGAGCATGGTATATGCAGTCATATTACAAGTATGACCAGTCCGATATTCTGCTTAAGGCGCTAATATGCATTGTTTGTTCAATGTCTCAAGTCCCGAATCAAGGAACAGATCGAGGGAACCGTCTAGAGCAGAGAAGGCATCGAACATTCCTCAGTGTGGAATGCGATCTGAAATGAGGTCATCGCAAGGGCCTGTTATTGCACACATGCATCTACCTAGAGTATGTGAGCACACTATTAACATGACAGGTCCAACCCCCTAGCTTAACGCTTTCTCCCACAAACAGGATCAGACTCAGAAACCACTAGTAAACCGGCATTGGAACGCCATTGAAGTCGTAGTGCCATGTGTCGATGGAGGCCTGATCGTACTCGCACTCCATCTTGTTTCCCTTCCACTTAGGCCGAAGGGGCCAGCCGCAAATTTGGCGATTTTCTCCAACATTCTCGCCTTGGAGGACGGTTGCATTCAGCGTCACTGGCTTCACGTCGTTTTCAACCCAATTGATGAGAACTTGCAGGTTGGTCTGTGGGAAGGGACCATTGGGCATAAGTGGATTAGTGCTGCAGTGCGCTGCGCCAGGAACAAGGTAAAGCTGATACCAATTCTTGAGTGCGGCAGCTCCCTCCTTGTAGGAAAGATTGGGATACATGATGCTCCGCACAGACTCCCAGTATCGAACCGAAGATGCAGTAGGGACACTGGCATCTGCCTCGCCATGGAAATGGATGACCTTACCGCCAGCCTCGTGAAACGGCGTCAGATCGGGCCAATTGGTCTGCAGGGTAGAAGCAAATTCCACCATTCCAGAAATCATCCATTCCTTCAGAGTGTCGTAGGTCACGCCGTCAAGATTGGAAAGGTTGTTGCCGTTCTTCTCCACCAAGAGGGCAATGTGCTCGCCACCTAGGCCATCCACTTCGAGCTCCCATTTGCCGGTTTCGGAGTTATACTGGGTGGTCACATCGTCAAAGTCCGCAGCTGTTTGATAGGACAGATAGACTTGTCTGCCCTTGGTGTCACGAAGACCGCGAATGACCTCCTTGGCAACCTCGACAGCTTTCGCGGTGACAGTTCCATTCTGTTCTGGAGTAGATGAAGCACCCATCTGTCTCTTGCGCTTGCCATATCCGCCGCTGGTCGCTGCCGCGCAATAGTACGGCTTTCCAACAACAGTATCAAGATCAAAGTGCAATTGACAAAGATCAGAACGAGAAACCACACCATCCTTCAAGCCATCAAGAGAATCACAGGCGGAGATAGTCTCATTGATAATCTTCTCCATCTCACACGGTGGAGGATAATACCCAAGAGTCTTCGTGACGATATTCGAATAAAGATGCTGAGTCTGCTGGAAAGACCAACGGAAAGCAGGAGCACCAATAGCAGCGCCATCCCACTCATCTCCATACCGCTGAATCTGACTCCAACCTTCACGTCCACCCTCCGAACACCCTTGATAATAAGAATAAAGCTTAGTCTTCTCGGCCATACCATAAAAGTTGCGCGTAAACTGCTTCCCAATCTTGCTCAACTCCCAATGAGCCTTATATCCAAACATATACAAAGTCTCATAATCCAACGTCCCATTAGCAAGGAGCATAGCCGCATCAGCGTTCGTAGAGAAACTCCCAAATCCACCATCCGTAGCGCCAGCAACGGCGCCATACATCACACCACCAGGCAGAGACTGCACACCAGAGTAAATGGCATAGCCACCGCCGCCGGTGGACAGATAACGTTTCTCGAACTTGGCTGGGTCCGGCAACCAGTATTGGATGAGGACTTGGTCACCTCGGCCGTCATGGGAGTATGCCAGAGTCAGGTTGCAATAGGAAAAGGTTGCTGCAGGGTAGAATGTCGAGGTGGCGCTTGTAGATGCATTTTTGACTATATTTGTCGTGACAGACGATGGGTCGAGAGTTATGCCTTGTATGAAGGTCGATGCGGGCAGGTGGGAGCGAGCATATTCCACAGTGCATACATCCTCGAGGGAGATTGCTGTCACCGAAGTAGCATATGCAATGGCAGTGAAGGCTGCTGCCCGGGAATTTGAGGTAGAGAAACGCATCGCGGAGTCCGTGAAGCCCTAGGAGAGGAAGGGAATTGGAACTGATGCTGTCTCTTTACAACCCGACGTCCTTCCGACTACTTATAGTCCAACGCCAAGCTCGCTTGAAACGAACTCCTGTCTTCGCAATTGTTCAATAATTCGGGAAATGAACAGCATAACCCGGTTCAAACGTGGAGAAAGCAGGGAATGACAGCACCATACTGCTCCCCCCCGGATATTCCAACAGAGCTCTGGACAACGGACAAATGGATCTCCACAATAGACGCGGGGAAAAGCTTTATGAGTGGAATTGTGGGGATGAGACCTGGGGTCAGGGGGCAATTGAAGCAAATATTGGCCATTGTCAAGGAGACTAATCCCTCTTCAGCGAGACTCAAGACCGGGCACTTGGTGGATGACGATGACAGTCCAGGGGTTACGGGCAAGACTGCCACATTTGCAGGCCCGAAATCACAGAAGGACGACAGTCTGTGGTAAATTGGTGACTTTACTGGGGTTTGGTGAGGAGTATAGATACAGGTCAGTCGATGGCTATTGGTCCTGGTAAGGACTTTTCCGCTACCCTAACTGTTTTACGACTGGGCTGCGAAATCTTCATCAAATTGGAAGCTTTATGGGGATAGTTGCCATTTTGGAAATAAGCACCTTGATAATCTCCGAGGTTTCAATATTTAATATACGCTGTTGCTTTGAGGGTTGGAGATACATCGAGTCAGGACTACAAATGTGGTATCGCCCACCTAATTTCCCTTTTTGCATACCAATTGTGGAGACAATAGGATGCATTGGACACTTTTAGACCCTTTATAAGGGTACTGTGTTAGATATTATACCAGCACAGGCCTTGAAAGTTGGTATGCGAAGATAGTATAAAGTCATTGATAAGAGCACTTCTTGTACGTTGCCTGTCCTCACAGTTGAATACCAGCGGGGCTAAGCAGTCAGCGTCGAGATGGTCTAGTGTGAGAATGCCCTATGCATCTGCGAGAAAGACAGTATGGCTGAGTTTGATCTACTGATTTACAGGTTAAGCACCATATATAAATTAAAATATCATTCATTGGTTTCCCATTCATTAACATATCATGGTTCGATTTGAAGAACAGAACCCTGTCATAAACGCCGCATACGTAAAATGCAAACAAGATGGTATTAAACAAAAGAAGCCATGCAACCAAGCCACGCCAAATCTCCAATTAGGACGTTCACCTCGCGGTGGACTGAGCCCGTGGCATATGAGGGTTCGTGACGGGAATACCAGCACGACGCTTGGACTGGGGCTTGGGTCTGGAGAGTGTGTACCTGATGGGAATGTTAGTTGGTTTGGTTTCGTTGAGTCCAAGATTGAGGGAGATGTACTTAGCAAATGCACGCGAGAGAGCCTTCTTGCAGCTGACTTTCTGACTGCCAATGAACGAATCCACAGTGACAGCGATGGCACGGTCGATATCCTGCGCGGAACAGTACTCGGACAGACGCATCTTGCAGAATGATTCGGCAATACGCATGATGGCTTCAAGGTGACGAACCTGGAAATGAAAGTTAGTATGAGGTCAAAGTAAATTCTATAAAGACAACTTACTGTGATAGGGTATGCTCCAGTGGCAAGGGACTCCCGGCGCATGTCTGCGAAGAGACGGGCAACCTTGTCCTGGTCGATCTGGTAGAGCTTAGGGTTGCAACGCTCGCGAGCGTACTTAATGTACTTTCGCAAGAGCTCCTGGGGGATCTCGCCCTCCTTTTCTTCATCGGCTCTTTGCTTCTCTGCCGCACGTCTGGATATCTCCTCTTGAGAAGGAGGCAGGCGCTGGCCATCCTTGTTGACGCGGTAGCCCTCGCCGTCAATGAGGTGGCCATCAGCATCGACCATATCGCCCTTCTCATTTCGGAGAGGACGAGCCGGGTTGGCACGATGGTGGGACTCAATCACGAAGTTGGCGAGACGTTCATCCTCAGCAGGATCAACAAGATCACGGACAACACAGAGGAGATCGAAACGAGACAAGATAGGGTCTGTCAAGTCGACGTTCTCCGAGAAAGGAATTGAACTGTTGTAGCGACCACCCTTAGGGTTGGCGGCGGCTACAACGGCACAGCGAGCCTGCAACGTTGTCACGATACCAGCCTTGGAGATGGAAATTGTTTGCTGTTCCATGGCTTCGTGAATAGATGTCCGATCCTGGTCGTTCATCTTGTCAAACTCATCAATCAGACAAGTTCCGCGATCAGCCAACACGAGCGCACCACCCTCAAGTGTCCATTCGCTAGTGAGGGGATCTCGACGAACACTGGCTGTCAGACCGACTGCACTAGCACCCTGACCGGTAGCAAACACAGCACGGTGAGCTGTCTTCTCCACAAACTTGAGCACCTGAGACTTGGCAGTACCGGGGTCACCAAGGAGTAGGACGTTAATATCACCACGAATTGACATCTTTCCTTGGGCCTGCTTGCTAACACCACCAAAGAGCGAAAGTGCAACAGCAGTCTTGACGTCCTGGTGACCATAGATACTGGGAGCCATAGAGCGTATAATTTTGTCCACAATATCGGGTTCACGGGAGAGTGCGCGAATTTCCCGCTCATCCTCTTCCGTTAGATGGAAACCAGCCATCTGGTCGTGTGCCTTGACCACATGGTTGGCCTCAATGATAGTGGCAAATACGGGGAATCCGTTCTTGTTGTTTAACTGAGCATCGTAGCTGTTTCGGTAAATACCAATGACCTCAATCTCATCACCAGGCTTAGCAGTATCAATCAAATCAGCAAGCAAGACGACTTCGCGCTGACGTGGCAGACGACCAGCAGGGACGGAGCCGGGCGACTCCTGCAGAGTCAACTTCTGGTAGTTGCGGTACACGGTCTTTTCGGAGTTGACAGTGAATGGACCGCGAGACTGACAGTTCTGACAGAAAGAGATCTTCACCTCTGCACTGGCTTCTTGCTGGAATGGACCTAGGGTGATACCACACTTTTGGCAGAGGAACATGACATACTTCAACTGCGGGAAAACACCGGTTCGACGAGTGACCACACCACTGACACGAATCAGGCAGTTGAGATGCGACTGGCGCAGTTGGCGCAGAGTGTAGATGATGGGCACATCGGTAATACGGACGTGGATCTCGTTGTGAATGTCGTGGTACTGAGGGTAGTGAAAGAGTGTAACATCAAGCGCGACCTGGTCAAACACCTTGAGAACTTCGGTAGGTTCGTTGGCGAGGAAATATGACAGCGCTGCCTTGGTCTCACTCAGGTGGGCATAGGATACCTCGAGAGAAGCCGAGTTCACCTCACCAAGGGTCTTAATCCTGTTTCCGTAGACTGACTGGCCGCTTGGGTCGATGAACTCTGTTAGGAAGGCCTTGAATTCACGATAAATAGAGCGGAGGACCTGAGGCTGGGTGACCCAGTCAGTGATATTGGCGGCCTTGACATCAGCCAATTCCTCGAGGGAGAGTTCTTCCATGCCCTCATCGGCCATGTCAATATCTTCCCTGTCCTCGTCGTAGTGGTGTCTGCGTCGTCGGGGTTGGCGAGACAAGTCCATTTCAATATCATCGTCATCCTGTAAAAAAGCTGCAGGCATGCGGCGTCTGCGGGCCAGTTCGCGGTCTCTTTGGTTGAGGCGAGCATCTAGCTGTCGACGGCTTGCGGCGTCAATTTCTTCGTGGTCCTCATCATCATCGATGTATCCTTCATTTTGATAGCGATCCTGTGCCGCATCGCGGTAATCTCGCTCGAAATTATCGCCGAACAGATCAATACCATCCTCGTCTTCGGCTAACTCATCAATATCATCAATATCCTGTACAAGTCCCGTTTCATCCTCGTCATCTTCATCTCCCATGTCAAATGGAATTGGAGGAGGGGACGAGCCCAAGGCAGTGGCTGCGCAAAAAAATTGTCAGTCTCAAGTTGGCCCAGCAACGTGAACACGACAGTCAAGATGGGAGCAAGCATACGACTTGATGGAGGCAATGGTGCCGGCGATGACATATCGTCATCTTCTCTGTCTCGCTTACGAGTGTTGACCCTCAAGCCACGGTTTGCGGCCGAGTCGCTGGGTCGGAGGGGACTATGATGTGTTAGTATGCGGGCGCAGAGAATTTATCAGGGGTTACTGACTCCATTGTGTGTGTGTGTGTGTGTGTGTGGTTTCAAGCAATTTTTGATAATGAGAGACGCAAAGCACCGAGGGTAAAAAAGATGACAGATGAGTGGTCTGGTCCTTCCTTGATGGTGGGTTGTGGTGTGGCTAAGACGAAAGGGAGAGGCAGCGGCAGAGTTCACTTTTCTCGCGTGGAGGTCGCGACGCGTCGACGCGTTCCACTTAAACCTCAATCGGGAAGGTACCTAAAAGTGATTCTCCGAATACTTCGTTAGTTCTGCGGTTCTGTAAAAACAACTTTGAATCGAAGATCGCAAAAATACAACCATTTCTTTTCTTCTTTAAGAAGTAACCATTAATTCCAAAAGCAAAAATATGACCGACGCAGGGATCGAACCTGCGACCTTCCGTGCTCAATATGTAAGACGGACGCCTTAACCACTTGGCCAGTCGGTCGATAAGCTGACAAATATCTTGACTGGTGTGATATATGACCTCAAGGTAAAACCTTTCAACTATTACTTCATACCATATTTTATGCTCAGTAGACATACTTGAACATCCTCAATTGCCTCATTGACTAATTTTTATCTCTCAAGGGACAGCAAGAATGGTACTGCAGCATACTGCAGTGCTAAGAGACAATGTATCATCTCAGTAGGCGAGACCAGGGTGACTGGGGTTCTTTATGCAATGTAGTAGTAGGGCAAGATGTAAGGTCTCGAGATATAGCTTGAATTTGATCTAGTATCTAGGGCAATGAATGGAACTAATAGACAAAGTACGTGGATAATCATGCTCAAATCGAGATCTACTTATACATGTCCGAGGGGGCGGTTGCAAACCGGGCAAACGTCGCGCGCAACAGATTTGGTATATGATTGCGATGGAAGTTCACTAATCATTCGCTCTAACTATCTTGAGACTGGACTGTTCACACTCAAGTGCAAAGATTGAGTCTGGTTGTTAATTCCCCAGCTGGCGAATTGTCTCATATCGCGTATCGACCGCGCAACGCGCATCACGTCCGCAACGCCAACCTTAATTGTGTTCGAACCCACCATATGCCATCTTAGAACCCCACAACGTTGTCTTGCTCACGACCCTAAGCGTGGTCTTCAAATAGCGGTCACCTCGTTTTCAGTACGGTCTTTGTTCCGGGCAACAATTCACATAACGCCCTTGCTCACAAACCTCGATTGCCACCCATATCCACGCCTCCGTGTCGCGAATATCTCTACCTGTTTGCTATCATAGCCATACCTTGATTGCTATAAGAACACTTGATCTCATACGAAATCGCGTTAATCACCAATAGGCGCCCCTTGATCGCCACCAAGCACACGTTGATCGCATCTATATCCCCGCGCATGCTCGTCATCAGCCGGGTGTAAGCACTGCACTATCTGCATATTGCGTTTCACTGTTTACACAGCACAACATCCGCCCTCCTCGGCACTGAAATATTGAACGACTTTGGACAACACAAGCAGAGCTCTGAAGATGGACTCCCTGCCAACAGTTAGTGATCAAGTCAAAGCTGCAGATGGCCGACGCGACAGCTTCAGCTCACAAACCTCGCAAACCGCAAGACAGTATGAAACACCTCTGTGCCTTCCAAGCTCTGTGACAACGATGCTAATCCACACCAGGTTTATCGACTCCCAACTTCAGCTAGAGGCCGATGCGCGCGAAGCTCTGCCTTACGTGGGTGTTTCCTCGTGGCTTCTCTGGTGCAGCACAGTACATAGCTAACACACCGAACCCAGTCCTTCGATTCCTGTACATATGCCCTTGGGCCGTTACGACAGATCCTTTTCGCTTGTCTGACTTGCAACCCCACTCCCACCAATCCCGACGAACCCTACGATGCCGCTGCTGTATGTTACTCATGCTCGATCTCCTGCCACGGTGAACACGAATTGGTCGAGCTCTTCAACAAGCGCAATTTCGTCTGCGACTGCGGAACCACTCGCATGCCCTCTTCCTCCACTTGCACACTGCGTGAAGATCCGAAGACTGGAAAGAAAGGCGTTCACTCTCAAGAGGCTGCTGCAGGCAACTCTTACAACCACAATTTTCGCAATCAGTTCTGCGGCTGTAGCGAACAGTATGACGCTCATAAGGAGAAGGGAATCATGTTCCAGTGTCTGGGTATTGGAACCGTCGAGACAGGAGGCTGTGGTGAGGACTGGTGGCACCCGGAATGTCTGATCGGGGTACCGCGTGATTGGAACAAGGCAGAGCCCAAGATCAATGTCGATGGTGATGCTACCAACGATGCTCACGCCGAGTATGAAGAAGCTCCACTTCCGCCTGGATTCCCCCTTGAGGATGACTTCCATCACTTGATCTGCTTCAAGTGCATTGACTCGAATCCCTGGATCAAGCCATATGCTGGAACGCGCGGTTTTTTACCTCCGGTTTTCAAAGAAGGTGGACTGAAGAACACACAGGCGGCAGCCAATAACTCCGCTCCCAAGATCGAGGCCCAAGTAATTGAGCCCAAAGCGCCAGAGCAGACAAACTCAAAGAAGCGCAAGGCGGATGACAAGGGCCATCCCGAGGATGATCAGTCTATCAAGCGGACCAAAGAAGAATCAGTGCCCGCGGAGGACCAACAACCTGGACTCGCATCCATTAAAGAAGAGCCAGTCAAGAAAGAGGAAGACACCACTCCTCTGGTCCCCTCCGCCCCCAAACACACCACCCTCCCCGACACCACACCAACCGAATCATTTTCCCTCTTCGCCCTAGAAGACTTCCACGACCAACTCTGCCGCTGCGCAGAATGTTTCCCCAGACTCGCACCTCACCCCCAACTCCGCGAAGAAGAAGATACCTACGAGCCCCCTCTCTCAGAGGACGGCGATGCCAATGGTGCCGCCAGCACAGGCACAGGTAGTATTCTCGAGCGCGGCGAAGCAGCCTTCAATAACATTGACCGCGTGCGCGCTATCGAGGGTGCAATGGCTTACAACCACCTCCGTGACAATCTTAAGGAGTTCCTGAGACCCTTCGCTGAGAGTGGACAAGCTGTCAGTGCCGATGATATCAAGAGTCACTTTGAGAAGCTGCGTGGTGATGACCAGGGCATTAAAGATGCTGCTGGTCATGCCTCTGCTGTTGGTGGTGGTGATGAAGAGGGTACCGATGGAGATGGTCGTCGCGAGCAGAATGGTGAGTTATGTCCGTGTGATGTTTTCCCTTTTTGGGGATGATTCCTAACCATTCATTTCTGATAGGATACTGAAAACGAATCTTGATGTATTTTATGGGGATCTGGATTTCGGGTGTTGATCTATGTTACAAGTGGATGGAATATGTACAATGTTGTATGGATTTCGGATTGGGCAAGGGAAATCTGAATCGGTTATGGCTTTTACGGCGCTAAACAGGACACGAGAAACTTCATCTTCTCGTAAAACTTCGAATATCTTGATAATTGTATTTTCAAGTTTCAAATGCATGTTGTCTGTCAGACTTTGGCTCAGTCCATCTACATCTCTTACATAGGATGGTCAGTACGCTACTCTGGATAAAAGGTAGTATCTCGAAATGCCCAGAATGAATTCCAACGTAAATCAAAAAACCAAATTCGCTAGTAAGCGCAACGCCAACCCGAAATTTAATATGTCACGTATGATGTGGATATCCCAACCAGCCCGTCCACACGCTCTGAAACCCAATGCAAATGTACAACAAAGAAATGAGACTATTCCTTAAGGCGCTTTGAAGCTCTCATCAAGGAATCATCCGGTAATCCGCTGCGCTTGGTACCAGGAAGACTACCAGTGCGGATATCATTATCATCTTGGGTAACTCGACGATGGGGGTATTTACTCTCGATACCCGCAAAGCAGTCACCGCTGATCGGGGGTCCATTGGCAAAGTAGGGGTGCTCGAGAGCCTCTTCGGCTGTAATTCGCTTTGCCGGGTCATATTCAAGCATCCGTGACAAGAGGTCAAATCCATCGGAGCCCGGTGTGCCAGCACTCGAGGTAGCATTGTACCCGCCATTCTTTAGGCAGCTTTGGTACCAGCCTTCAAGATTTGAGCCACGGTGGAAATGTGAAGGTTGACGGTGGAGCACTAGAGACTGGAGCTGGGAATACTCAGGCATGGAAACCAGACCTGGCCAAGATTCTTTGCGGGGAAGGCCCAGGATTTCGACAATCTTCATCATTTGATTGCGCTGGAAAGGGACTGTCTTTTTGCTGTCCATTTTTGCTTCTTCGCCCTTGAAGATTGGTCGTAGGGAGAGGAGTTCAGCGAAGATACAACCCACTGCCCACATGTCCACAGCAGGAGTATAGTGGCGGCTTCCTAACAAGAGCTCTGGTGCCCGATACCATATTGTGACGACAACTTTGTCACCGGAGAAGAGTGAGTTAAGTGGCTTGTAGAACAGACGAGCCAGTCCTAGATCGCCGATTCGGATAGCTCCGCTTGATGTGACAAGGATGTTTGCTGGTTTCAAATCGCGATGCAGAACCCAGTTGGTGTGTAGATAGAGTAGCCCGTTCAGCAGTTGGAACAAGATGGACCGGACCATAGGTGCCGGAATGGCATGTCTTTGAGGCTGAGTGTGATGATGGATGATCTGGAGTAAATCATGCTCTGTGTATTCGAAGACCATGAAGATGCATTTGTCTTCGAGGATGATTTCTTCTAGCTGGACGACATTTGCATGCGAAAGCTCCGTGCATAGTGACATCTCACGAATGGCAGACTGTGACAGACCCGTGTACTGGATTGTCTCACCTTCCTTGTCAGGCTTGAACCTAGACGAGGTTAGATCTGAACAGGTGCGGTACATCGATGATCATACTTTTTGATGGCAAACTCTCCTTTCTTGCCATTTTTGCCAAGAGCCTTGTAGACTCGACCGTAAGTTCCACTGCTGATGAAGCCTACGATGTGATATCGATCTCGAACCCGGACCTTGCTGGTATATCCACCAGGTCTGCGGGATTCAATCGCATCTATCAAAGACATGTTAGCTCAGATCAATTTGCAGCAAACTGCCTGGTGAGGAGAAAGTGCCTGATGACAGAAACATCACAAGAATCAAGCCTTTTGACCGTGCCAATTGCATAGAGAGGTGCAAACAAAACCCACGACACAAAGAACCAAGGGGAAAGAGTTACCACGAGAATAGAATCCTCCAGAATTCAAAAAAGGAAAGCCCTTTCCAAACATGATGGACAGAGAAAATACTGCTATACAAACAAGCCAAGCTCAGGAGGTAGGCTGAGGAAATATATAATTACCATCAGTGGCCTGCAGACTGCGTTTCAAGTTCTGGCTGACCCTGGTTCGGGCAGAGAGAGAGCCGGAGGAGGGCGGGTTTGTCAGACTCATTGGAGAATGGACTTGACTGCATCCATTGGTGGTAATCCACAAGATTCAGTTAGAGTAGAATATTGCCAACATTGAAGCCATTGTCAGGCGATGAGTTCAGCTGGAGGGCCGAAACAGGAGATGCTGACTCAGCTACCCCGGCCACCTCTCCGGCTCTTTATACGACAACTTCAAGCCTACAACAGATGTACTTCTCGTTCGCACTTTGATAGCTCATATCTAAATCATTCAGTTAAACCTACTCATTCAGCTTCGTTTGATATCCTCTAAGCACATCTACAACCTTTTTTTGAAAGGGTGGGATTGATATGATCCTGATCCATCCCCTCCATCCCTCCAACTCCAGTCAGGATCATCCTAGCCTTGTGTCACGATGTCGGATATATCGAGGAAGTCTAGCGTGACGCCGTATCTGGTTTATCTCGTCTTCATCACCACGCTTGGCCCGCTTCAATTCGGCTATCACTTGGTAGGGTATCTAGACCCCGCATTTGCCGAGCATCGCTGATACCCTGAACAGGCTGAGTTAAATGCCCCTCAAGCAGTGATAACATGTGAACGCAAAGGTATTCACTCTGCAGGCAAAACATTCCATGGCCTACCGCAATGTCTTGCGATGAGTCCGTCTCAATTCGGCCTGGTGTCTTCGATCTACACGCTCGGTGGTCTGGTCGGGGCTCTGCTGGCAGGGCCTGTCTCGACTAAGTATGGGCGTCTTCTTGCACTCCGGGCGACTACGGTATTCTTCATCCTGGGTCCTGTGGCAGAGACACTCGCTCCCGGGATCGGGCTTCTTATCTTGGGTAGATTCCTCTCTGGAATTGGATCCGGTGCTGCCATTGTGGTTGGCCCAATCTATATCTCAGAGATTGCTCCTCCTAGTGCCCGAGGTTTCTTCGGTGCCTTCACTCAGATCATGACCAATGTTGGCATTCTGTTGACCCAAACACTGGGCTATTTCTGGAGCGAAGCAAACATCTGGCGACTGATCCTAGCTGTGGCTGGAATCATTGGGGCCCTGGAACTTTTGGGGCTCTTCTTGGTACCAGAGAGTCCTGCCTGGCTCGCGGAACACGAAAAAGTCAGCCATGCACGCAGAGTTCTACAGCGGATCCGCGGCCGAGATGCCGACATCGAAGCGGAGATTGCCAGCTGGAGGAGTTCGGATGCTCCATCTGAAGAAGAGTCCTTGCTTGCCCCATCTTCAGAGACTCAATCTGTCAAAAAGCCTTCTGTTACATTCATGCAGGTTGTCAAAGACCCTTACTACCGCCCAGCCATCGTCGCCGTGGTTGGAGTAATGGTCGCTCAACAATTGACCGGGATGAACAGCATTGTCATGTACAGCGTGTCCCTGTTGCAGAGCATCTTGCCTACGACAGCCGCGTTGCTCACAGTGATGATCTCGGCTATCAACCTCCTGATCACGCTGGCGTGCTCACCACTACCCGACCGCATCGGTCGCAAGACGTGTTTGATGCTGAGTATCTGCGGTATGGGCAGCAGCTCCATCCTCCTCGCAATCAGCATCTACATGAACGCCAAGATCCTGACTGCGATCGCGGCATTGCTCTTCGTGGCATGCTTCGCGGTCGGACTTGGCCCGGTGCCCTTCATTCTGGCTTCAGAGCTAGTTGGACCAGAAGCAGTTGGCGCAGCACAGAGCTGGGCACTGGGTGCCAACTGGATTGCAACCTTTGTGGTTGCGCAATTCTTCCCCATCCTCAACGATGCCCTCGGAGGTCGCGGAAAGGTCTATTGGGTTTTTGCAGCTATGGCGGCGTTGCTAGGTGGCTTCATCTACCGATATGTACCAGAAACCAAGGGAAAAGCCAACGCTGATGAAGTCTGGAATCGGACGGACCGACGACAAGACTAAAGTGATCGACCACTTACCCGTCAACACTGATTCCTGTTTCTCTCAACGCTTCTCAACAAATAAATCCGTAGACATTCCATACATGCGGGGTACTGCAGTAGAATGCAGGTTTGAAGTGACGTCTTCAGAGAAACAGTACCCTGTAACACTGCATTGTCTATGCACCACACAGTAGGCATCCAAGGCATCCATGTTATCTGACTTGCGGTGTGGGGAATTGACGTCGATACCGAGCTGATCCGCTCAATGGCGTTGTCTCTCTCCTTTACATTTGTTGAGAGATACAGAGTACAGAGGGATACTCTGTTCGTTTCGCTCTTCTGTACTTTGGACATTCCTATACTCTGTCCTGTAGCCTATTTTGCCGATCGGGAGATCTAAGATCGAGACCTGGGGTCTCGGAACAAGCCACCTTGACTAGGGGCCCTGAGCCACGACACTTATTTTCCCCGCCACTTCTTTCTTTTCCTCTTCAACTTTGTCCTCTGCATATCCGTATTCGTCATGGTTCGGTTGGGATTGCCCTCACGGTTGAGTTCGCATCTCTCCGCGAGGAGCGCGTCGTCAACACCCGGTCAAAGCAGAAGTACCAGTCCCCTACGAACCCCAGACTCCAAACCTCTCCTCCTGAAGGTTTCTGTGATTCGGGTAAGACATGCATTGTATGAGTCCTTCTCTGCTGGACTGACAGTATCACTCAATAGGGACAAAATCTTGCGGCCAAAGATCGCGGTGGCACGAGCGATCCAGTGAGCACCCCTCAACAACCCCCCAACGCAACTTCGGCCGCGATCGCTTACACGTACAGTATCTGGTGGTTACATTGGGAGATGCCAGACAGTCAACGCCGACAATATTCAAGACACTGAACCCCGAATGGAACGTCTCGTTCGAAATGCCCATCGTGGGCGTACCGCTGTTAGAATGTATCTGTTGGGATCATGATCGGTTCGGCAAGGATTACCTGGGCGAATTCGACATTGCACTAGAGGACATATTCATTGATGGCCAATTGAATCCAGAGGTAGGAGGTACACGTTCGGATCATCGGGGTTTCGGTGCTGACTCTAGACGCAGCCCAAATGGTATACCCTCAAATCGAAACGGAAACCGGCCAAGAAGAAGGATAGTACTGTCTCAGGCGAAATCCTATTGCAGTTCTCCCTCGTTGATTCCGCGAACCCCGCTGCGCCGTTGCCAGACACGTACCGCAAGTTCAAACGACTTGTCTTCTCGGCAGAGGACGATGACCAGATCCCTCCGGCCGATTTCGATGACCTCGATCGGGATGAAGAGACCTCCGACGAAGCTGATGACCTGACACAACCAGAAGTGGTGGAAAAGCGTCGCAGGCGACTTCGCCTGGCCCGCTTGAGGCGCAAGTCCCTGGCAGCTCGCGCATACCATTTCTCTGGCTCAGGCAGTGGGGTGCAAGGCATTGTCTTTATGGAGATTGTCAAAGTGACCGATCTACCTCCCGAACGGAATGGTACGCATAACTGGCTTTCCTGATGTTGACAGATTGATTAATTGATTGCTTAGTGACGCGGACATCGTTTGATATGGATCCCTTCGTCGTGACCTCTCTCGGGAGGAAGACGTTAAGGACACCGGTTATTCGCCATAATCTGAACCCGATCTACTATGAGAAGATGGTGTTCCAAGTCATGCGACACGAACAGAACTATACTATTAGCTTCACTGTTATGGATCGCGACAAATTCTCCGGCAATGACTTCGTTGCCTCTGCAGGTTTCCCACTACAAAATCTCGTACAGTCTGGCCCTGTTGCAGACCCTGCGACGGGCCTGTACCAGTTCATAGAGTCGGAGGAGATGGTAGAAGAGCCGAGCCCAACCTCCAAGTCATCGCGAGTCAGCCCCTCCGCCTCTTCTTCAAGTCTCTCGAAGATGTCTAGGCCCATATTGAAGACCCGTAGCTCCGCTACCTCAGTCTCAAGTCAATCCCTGCAGGATGCGCCTGTGCCAACACTTGTCACCCCCTCCTCCCTCCCAGAAGAAGGAATCGCAGAGATGGATAGCGCCAGCACCCTGCAGGTGCCCTCCACGACGACTGCATATGATAGTGATTCGGCCACGCCAGTTGACAAGGATGGTTTCCGGTCTTTTACTATTCCTCTCGTCCTGAAGAACCGGGAGCGCTGGGAAGACAAGCATTCACCAGAGTTGCATGTCAAGGCAAAGTTTTTGCCGTATAGTGCTCTACGTCAGCAATTCTGGAGATTGATGCTCAAGCAATACGATGCAGATGAGAGTGGCCGCATTGACAAGGTTGAAATGACAACAATGCTTGATACTCTCGGTTCGACCCTGAAGGAATCGACTATCGATAGCTTCTTCGAACGGTTCAGCGCAGACAACGCGGCAAATGGGAATGACGATCTCTCGTTCGACCAGGCAGTAGTTTGCCTCGAGGACACACTTAAGACTTTGCAAAAGCGAAACTCAATGGCCATTCCTAAGCTGCCCCCGCTTCCACCGCTGTCGAACTCAGGAAGCCAAGAAAGCGAGCCATCTAGCAGCGATGAGCACTTGGAAACCAGCACTAATGCCCCTACCAATGCCGACCCACGTAAAACAACCATTCCAACCCTGTCTACCGAAGACCAGTCTAGTTCCAACGATGAGTACGCTCAGCCTGATGATCTCGCAGATGAACGGGGTGAGGAGCACGTTATTGAAATCCGCGAATGCCCTCTTTGCCACCAGCCTCGTCTTGCCAAACGCTCTGATGCTGATATTATTACCCACATTGCCACTTGTGCAAGTCGCGACTGGCGGCAAGTTGACAACCTGGTCATGGGTGGTTTCGTGACCTCCAGTCAGGCACAGCGCAAGTGGTATTCTAAGGTCATTACAAAGATCTCATATGGTGGGTACAAACTCGGAGCGAATTCGGCCAATATCCTTGTCCAGGATCGTATCACTGGCCAGATCAATGAGGAGCGCATGAGTGTCTACGTGCGATTGGGAATTAGATTGCTCTACAAGGGTATCAAGAGTCGTGACATGGAAAAGAAGCGAATTCGCCGCGTCCTTCGCTCTTTGAGTGTCAAGCAGGGTCGGAAGTATGACGATCCAGCGTCTGCATCCCAGATCCAGGACTTCATCAATTTCCACCAGCTGGACATGTCTGAAGTATTGCTTCCGTTGGAGAAATTCCGCAACTTCAACGAATTTTTCTACCGCGCCCTAAAGCCCGAGGCCCGTCCATGCTCCGCTCCCGAAGAGCCCAAGATCGTTGTATCTCCAGCTGACTGTCGCTCAGTCGTCTTTGACCGCATGAGCGACGCAACCAGTGTCTGGGTCAAGGGTCGTGAGTTCTCTATCGAAAGGCTGCTGGGAAATGCCTATCCGGAGGATGCAGCTCGCTACCGTAACGGTGCTGTGGGTGTATTCCGTCTGGCGCCTCAGGACTACCATCGCTTCCATATTCCGGTCGATGGAATTATGGGCGAGCCTAAGACCATTGAAGGCGAGTACTACACTGTGAACCCAATGGCGATTCGCTCTGCGCTGGATGTCTACGGTGAGAATGTCCGCATCCTCGTTCCTATTGACTCTGTCGCCCACGGTCGGGTCATGGTTGTCTGTGTGGGTGCCATGATGGTGGGTAGCACGGTCATCACCCGCAAAGCTGGCGAGAAGGTCGGACGTGCTGAAGAGCTAGGCTACTTCAAATTCGGTGGCAGCACTCTTCTTGTTCTCTTCGAAGAGGGCAAGGTCAACTTTGACAGGGACCTGGCGGATAATTCCAAGGGTCCTCTGGAAACTCTAGTAAGTATCAGCTCTGCTCGTCCTACTACCAACAAAGCTTACCAAATAATTTAGATCCGAGTTGGCATGTCCGTCGGCCACAGTCCCGATATCCCCCAATTCGAACCCGACATGCCCAAAAAGGCCGAAAACATCACCGCCGAGGAGATGCAAGAGGCTAAGCGTCGCATCGAGGGCAGTCTTGCACCCCCGAGCAATCCTTCCACCGTGTTGAAGACACTCCAGTGATCTGTTCTTCTTCTTTTGGGGACTCAACTCCCACCATCCGACATCCTTTCACTGAACATATTTTTCAACATTGGCGCTGGCGGGGTCATTTGTATCATTTTATTTTATACATCATAGCGTTCATCTGCAGCATCTGCACATTGCGAGCATTGGTGATTAGGCGGTGCACTGTAGAGGTGAGAGGCAGTTCGATCTAAAGAGATATGCATAAAGCGATTTGTTGTGTTTTTGTACATGTATTTGATACTCAGCATAGGAGTAACCAGTTAGCATGGCTCTAGTTATTGTTGATGCTTGCTGAGTGCATCAGCTCCGAGCTAGATATATATATTCAAAACAGATCCCAATACATTCTTCTATCCTGACTATCACCCTTTTTTACCTTCATATCACTTCTCAATCCTTGAACCCAATGATCATTCATACAATATCCATCCAGTGCCAGATATTTGCTGCCCAAGCATGATCAAGCTGGCACTCATGTCTAACATCGGATACCGGGAATCCACTATATCTAAGAAACATGAAATCTGCAAGGGGAACAATATGATGATTCTGTGCTTATTCTAGGAGGGTTTCATCGATCAGAGCAAGTATAAGATAAACAAGAAGAAGTATAGCCATGTAGATAATTGAAGTATAACGGTCGCAAATCCCGAAGGAGACTAGCGCGGTCCCCACGCGCCCGACCAAAACAACCGCGTGCGAGAATCTAACCCACCACTCACCACCCCCGACCTATGCTGCGCTCCCCTTGCGTGTCTTTTCGCAGTGAAACCGAATAACGACATCGCATAATCTGCTGCTCATCTCCTGCAGTTCTGCATCTTGACGCGACCCGCGCCTAACATTCCGCCCACCGCGAACCGATTGCCGCGAGCACCGACAAGCTTGACCGTGCCACCACCATATACGCGGCAACAGAGAGTAAGGCAACTACTCAAATCGATCCAATAGCTTTACTGAGAGCCAGTTGAGCTGCCAGAGGAGTCGTTCCAAGTCCGGCATTCTTCCGAAGAGGAGAGTTGAGCTTGTTGATTCTCCAGGAAGCCTCTTGAACCAGGGGTATTCGACTGGAGAAAAAAGACAACACGAAGGAGCTAGCCAACGTGGAAACGGAGAATATCCCATTTCACGAGGTTTATCAATAACGAAAAGAACCCCGCGTGGACCCATCCTGACATGACAATCGCGGTCCTGGCGACTACTACGACTACGACAAAGCGTCGCGAACCGCTGGGGACGATCGCAATGGCGGCTCCAAAGGCGCAATCGCAATCCGCGGGCGCATCCAAAGGCACAGGGGACCGGAGGACCACGCGATTCAGCTCAAGTAAACAAGGACTTGAGGAGATGACAAAGGACGGGAAGCGGAAGCCTGGTGAGTAATCTGCGCCGAATGAGGATTTTGCGCGATCGCGTAGGGAAACTGTCTAATTCAGCGGCTACAGTGCAATACGAGGAGGATGATGGATTTCAATTCTCGCGAAAACCGTCCAAGAAGTCCCGACCTTCGATTGAAGCGGTTCCCGAAAACCCCAATTTGGATATTGAGAATGCGCCTCCAAAAGCAACACCGAGACGAGGGCGGCCACCGAAGAAGCGACCGGAAGACACCACTGGTTCAAGCGGAGTGCCAGTGAAAGGTACATCCGTGGAGCTCCCGAGCAGGAAGCCAACGAGGGGGTTTGGGAGGACCTACACCGAATCTGAAGCTCAACCCGCTACCGTGACGCGCTCATCACATCCCCGCGATAGTCCAGAGCACGAGCCAGGGGCCAAGAAACCGAGGAAAGGACGACCCCCGAAAGCGAAAGCCCCAGAGACAAACGGATACCAGTCACCAGAACAACCGCCTGCGGGTACCAAGGTGGCACTACCTACGGCTGATACCCCGGTGATTCAGCGCAACAAAGAGCTACGGGGCGGGAAGGGCGAGAAGAAGGGACGACGAAGCAGTTTGAGCAGACGCGGACGACGAGCCAGTGATTTAATTGACTCGGGCACGTCTAATGGTGGGTTTCCTTTTCTATTGAGGATTATTAGGATTATTAAGGAACAAGTACTGATTTTCTCTATAATATAGCATTGCCCCATCGAGAAGTCAGCGTGGCCGATTTCTACAAACACATTGCAGATGAAGGTCTTCCGGAGCCGCGGAGGATGCGCCAGCTTTTGATCTGGTGTGCGACTCGTGCACTAGGCGACAAGCCTTCAGGAGGCTCGAATTCAGATGACCAGAGTGCGCGTTTAGCAGCACGTGTGATCCAGGAGGAGCTACTTCGCGAGTTCTCGAGCAATTCAGAACTTTCCAACTGGTTTTCTCGTGAAGAGGTGAATCCTCCAGCTGTGATTGTGAAGAAACCGAACCCACGAAACGTGCAGAACACAGAAAAAATCAAGGAATTAGAGGAGCACATCCAAAAGTAAGCAGGTCAATATCAGTTGACGTACAATTTGGCTAACAAAATCCCAGATTACAAAAAGAACGACAGTCCCTCAATGCAATCCTTCGTCAACCAGTAATTCCATCCTTCAAATCGGAGTCACGACCTGAACAGCAAAAGACGACACAATCTTCCCAGAAAACACAACGGGAAGAAGTCGATTTCTCTCTCCTAGACCCCTCTCAACAAGCCATATTGAGATCTCTCAACCCTCCGACTCCATCAGAAGAAGAATCTTCTACCACATCTTCTACCCGGCCACCTATGACCCCATCTGCCATCTCATCCCAACTGTCACGTATTACAACTGGTCTAGCACCAACACTCGATGCATTTGCAGCCGGTGTACATGATATTGAACTGTACCGCGCTTCCGCAGATATCGTGTCATCCCGAGTACTTCGTATTTGCTCACAACGACTGGAAGAGCGCGACGCGCACAACACACAAAGCCGTCTCGCAATCGAAGGTGGCGACAAAAACAAGCCACCAGATGTACCAAGGCCCCGAGAAGACCTGGGTCTTATCCTGGGAGCACTCAGTCGGCTCGAAAGGCGATAGAACTGCCATTTATCTACTGTGTCCGGGGATTCATTCTCCCGTGTTATACCCTCAATAATTTGTTTTCTGGCGATTCTCCATTCGTTTCCTTCTTTCTTTCCCTTCTTCGATCTGGGAAATACTGCAAGTGTTCACCACGAACCAACTGTTAGCGACGATCTTGACGAGCCTCAGTCCACGGGGCTGGGGAAAGGCGCATTTATGGGTTGGGATGGCATTTACATCTTTTTCACAAGCTCGGAGTTTTGGGGTTGTGATCTTTTTCATGAGGTGAATTGTGACTTTGGGCTGGGGTAAATAGGTAGCCTACTAGTGCCTAATGCATGCCATTAACTGTTACAGCAACACTCTTATATCCAAGAGATGAAGCTTGATACGAATAGAGTATAACCCGCAGATTAATCTAATACAATTCCACGAATGGGCTTACTTCTATTGGCTGTGTTCTGCAGCCTGCCGGAAGCTAACACAATTGAGCCCCGGCAGTAGGGTCCCTTGCAGACAAGTCGAGGAAACAATGCTATACAGTTAGTGGAAGACTCGAAAACAACGCCATAAATTAACATAGCAAAAGCTAATATAGCCTAGGTATCTCAAAGACCAACATTGAAAGATTGTACTCCGTATATAGCGAACAATAACAAACAGAACGACAGAATACAAATTCAAACCAACGCAAATGACAAAGCTGCTCCGTCAATAGATGTTGATGCTTCAAGAGCCCGCTGATGAAAACAAACTGAAAATCAAAGTTGACACCCCAAGACAAATCCCAAATAAAACAATTTTGCTCTTCTGCCTCCATATCCAAAAGACACCCGCAAATCAAGTCCAAAGCAAGTCCCGGGAAAAGGAAAGGTCAGCACAGAACAAATACACTCAGGGGGGTCCTCGGTGATTTTGGTCGTGGCTCGTAAGAATTCGTAGCTTCTATATATGTCCAGACGGAGAGTCGGGAGAGAGAGAGATGGTCGATATAGACTCGGTCGGTGGAGGGGATTCAGGGACCCAGTCCGCATGCATATGCAAGGCAACATTCAATTCGCCGCTCAATGACGAAATAGATAAGAGGGATGATCTCCATAGATTATCAAGATACACTGCAGGGGGCTGATAAGTTGAGGCCCACACATGCAAATGTTCAAGACCGCAAGCCAGACATGACGCGAAGATATCAAATGCAAAGGGGATGCCAGGGGTTGCCGGCCAAGTATTGGCAGCTCAGAAACTGGCAGCTCAGAAACTGAACAGTCCACTTCGCTTCTTGCCTAGTGGATAGACAACCAAAGCAGCGAGGAACAGACCGACAGTCGTGCCAATAGCAACTTGCACCATACCATATCCGATATCGAAGACGACGCCATAGCTCTGGTTCTTCGCCTGATCAGATGAGAGGTTCTTTGCTGCGTCGACGAACCCCTGCGTTCCATTGTTGACGACCGCGTAGGGAGACCGGGTCATCTCTTCTGCAGAGGTAATTCCCGATATCAGCGAGCCACTAGCCGCAAGACCAGAGGGAACGAGAACGAAGATGGCTGGCAGCATGGCTGCAGCGGCGAGGCCGTGTCGTAGCCGACTGTAGAAATTCCCCATTACGCCAATGACAAAGGCACCGAGGGCATTGGAGACCTGAGTATTGGAGTAAAAGCGCTTAGCACTGAAATAATTGACCACGTAGCCTGCCAACGAGATGACCATCATGATAGGAATTTGTCGCCACTTGGCACGGTTGACAATTGCCAAACAAACAGTGAAGATAATCACGAATGGGAACCGCTGAAGGTACTCATTGCGAATGGGACTGGCAGGACATGTGTATGCAGTTGAGGCTTGCGAGTCAAGTAGTCCGTACACGGCTGTGCCAATTGTGATTCCGAACCCGAGGAACAGAGAGTATATGATGGCATAGACCATGCGGACGGATCCAGCGATGATACTTCGTGATTGGAGCTCGAGACTTGCACAAAGGACCGTGTATCCTGGTAGGATGAGGGCAATGGCTGACTGTGCTAGAGCCGAGAAGCAGAAGAGAGGTTCACCCTGGAACCTGATACTTCCAAAGGCACGGGCGAGGAAAGAAGTCAGTACTGCAGCTGATATTTCGAACACATTGGAGTATAAGCTCGATTTTGGCGAGAGGATCAATTGTAGTATTCCAAGGAGACAGCCCAGCAGGAAAGCGACAGGAATATCGATTGGTCGGGCGTTGAAGGCGAATGGCCCAACTGATGCACTGGCACAGCCGTGGGCGAAGATCAGGAAGAGGATGTGGAACTTGCTCGGCTTTTTCATCACCTCGTCCAGCCGTTGGATTGCCTCCTCGACCCCAATGACATCGTGAATGACTTCTTTGTAGATCTCATGGACATCAGCTAGTTTGCCCAAGTCGATTCCTTGACTGGACCGGACAACCTTGACTTCAGTTGTGTGTGTAGAAGCATCATCGAAGGAAATGATCATACAACCAGGAATGTACAAGAATTGACCATCGATCTGGATGACTCGGGCGGTCATTCGCATGTATTCCTCTAACCGATGAGTCGGGGCTCCATACTTCATCAGAGCACGACAAAGACGGATCAGATATCGCTGCCGAGACAGGAGTTCAGCAATATGAACCGTGATATGGATCTCGTCTTCGAGGTGAGATTTAGGCCTGGAACGACCCCCTAAGCTCGGGATTGCAGCACCGCTACTGCGGGAGCGTGTAAGCATCGCAAAAGGCGAGCTAGAGTGGTGGGAGGATCCAGCCATGGAAATGCTGGACCGAGCAGAGGACTTCTCATACCACTTCTTGGGTGGCTTCCAGACAGAGTCTGGGGACAAGCCACGTCCACTCCATTCAGACGTGCTCCCCTGTCGAGAGCGTGTCTGCCCATAGCGACCACGGCTATGACCATGGCCATGACTATGATGTGAATGGTCGTAGAGTTTGAGCAGTGACGAAAGAACGCCTCCGCGGTACTGAGTCGGCCGGTCATAGGACTCGGAGTCTCTGTCTTCGCTTGGGGTATCCTGACCAGATGCAGACGGAGCACGAAGGCGAGTCAGGAAGTCGAGGTCTCGGGGTGACATTTGGCGCAAAATACAATGGGCTTTGGAGATGCGCGGAGTTGATCGCCCGTCTAGGAAGGCCGATTCATGGTCATGTATGAAATCGTCGAAGAGTTGTTTCTCAGGAAAAGAGATTATAGGAAAATTATCCCCATCTTCCGCATATGCTGCCTCAGTAGGAGTGGAGGCGATAGAAGACAAAGATCGACTTGGCGTCGGAGATTTTTGAAGGCTGAGAAGGGAGGCGAGTCGATGTGCCCTTTCATGCGCACAGTAGATAGCCCCCTTGTCATTCGTACGCTCATGGAGCTCCCCTACAGTCCCTGAGCTAGTCCTGGTGCTGATCGTCAGGCCAGTGACATCCACTGACGCGCTAGTGAGGCCATCGGCCCCTAAGGGAGCCAGTGAGGGGCTTGGGCAGTTTTTTTCTTGGATAGCTGGAATGTTGGCCGTGGGCAGTTGTCTTTGCGGCAGCTCACAACCCCTTCGGTCAAGTCGGGAGTCGATCGCTGTGGGTTTGCTCTCGGATTCGCTGGCCACTTTGAACTGATTCGTGCTGGGAATGCCTGCATTCCGATGCTTGTCCTGTGCACCGCCACTCGGGATCCGCTGAGACTTGTCAGGTCTATAACCGGGCAGTGAGGAACGCGAGCCTGATAGTGGTTTATCGTCAGGGTTCGAACGGCGGGAGGAGATCGGAAGGTCAAAATAACCCCCCGCCATTTGCGTGTTTTTCTTAGAATAAAAAGCTTTTTATTACTTGGTTACTCAGTGGAGCTCACAGGCCTCTTCGGTGACCGAGCCTTTGGACAGCTGCACGCGCTGTAGGGCTAAATGTAACCCGGCAACAGTCAGATATGTGAGCTAACTTGGAGAGCTTAGCCTGACAGCTTCACAATCCTAGAGAGATAGAGCTGACCTTGCTCACTGTAGAGCATAGAGAAATCGCAATCGCTAGAGCGAAGCACCAAGACTGAATAAAACCCACACACCGTGGGGTTTCTTCCGGAAAGGGGGTCAGGATCGGTGGAAGACCTGCCAGGAATGGGAATTATGTCACGAGTACACAAGTATAGATAAGAGGATAACCTACCGTATCGGAAAATAAAGGCGTCTGCAACCTCGGAGGAAGGGGTGAGTGTGTGGGAGGGGAGGAGCAGATCGATATAAAAGAGACATAGATCATAGCCTGGGAAGGTCTTTCTCTATTCACGCCATTCTGCGCCTGAAAACAGCAAGAAAGAAATAAAAGCGCTTTTTCAAGTTTGTCGGCAGCACACGGACCATATCAAGAAGAACTAGAGACACAATGATGGATTGGTGGGATTTCGTCGCCATGATGATCCCGTGTAGCCACGAAGGGGTCTCTTCCGTAGGCTCTCCCGCTTGAGTTTTGTGTTTTATTTTATTCTTATTTTGCTTTTTGCCACGGAAGACCAGCTTGCAGGTTTGATGACCAGAATAGAAGATGGGTCAAGGTATGCCAGGGCACAGCCTACCGGAATGATTCACAATAGATACGGAAGGCCTTCGTTGGTGGGTACTTCCCGGGAGATTGACGCGTTAGCCGGAATAGACCCAGTTTTTCTGACCCGAAAGGAGGTGATATGCATCAAGGCTGAGGTCCTGGATCGTGGAATAACGACACGCATTACAAGATCTCGACTGTTGTCCAAACAGACAAGTCCTCAAGGTAGAGAAGGGGGCCGAGCTCATGGTCAAAGAGACCAGTTGGTTCCACAGGCCCATGAGGTATCACAAAGTCGCTAAGAGAGTCCTATTGCTGTGGCCAAAGGGGTGTTGTGGTATCGGGATATGGCTGAAAAAGGATCTTCAGGATCGGAGGTTGAAGTAGATCAGTGGAGCAACCTTTTTTCTAGAGCAATTTGCCTTTCATGTTGACTCAGTTGCTGCATGGAGTCTGACATGTTCTCTATGTGCTTTCAAGCGCATTTGTAATGCGATTGTGAACTGGTCCAGCCCCTTGTGTGCCTTTGACATGGGAAATCACCCGACAGGCGAAACATCGTCATGCATGCAAGATGCCTGCAAGATGCCTCCTTATCACTCGACCAGTCGAGAACGATAGATCTCAATCTATTTCATACCCACTTGCATAGTCCACGTAAACCGTGTCTCGGGATCGCTCCGGATTCTCGGGAGTCCGAGAACACTTCTCCTTTCCGACCAGGATGTTGGTAGATGAATATCCAGACCGTGCGTGAGATCACGGAAGACCTCCGAAACCCGACTTGGCGCTTAGCACTTGAAGTTTGAAAGATTTTGATCCGTCACGGTGCAGTATAAGTACTGCAGACGAAAGAGTTGCACCAATATCTGGGGAAGTTGTTTGTGCCCTCGAGCTCAGCCATTTCATGGCCAATTCCGTCCCTTGCCAATAGGAACGTGCGACAAACACACATGCACTCCTAGCTCAAAGCAAGCCCCTTTCTATGATGTCAAGATCTCCACGACCTTTTAGCTCGTCCTTGTGGCACCCAGAGTGACTTATCTAGGAAGTAGTCACTACAATGTGAGCGCTTTTCAAGCCCCAAATTGGACGAGTTTCAGAAGTTTAAGCTTGCAGTTGTGGCTATTGCCAGCCATCCCGGTCAGGAACAACCTGGAGGGGGAGGGTTCATATGTGGCAATCACAAGGTATTTTGCTTGGCTATCATGCACTGTGGCATATGAAACGTTAGGATGACTTGGATGAGACTAAGACCATATGCCCGTAGAAACCCGTTCATGAGAGTAATTTTGGAGCACTCTATCACATGTTGCTTCTTTCTGGGCCGGTGGTTTTATATCAAGCCGAGTGGCAATACACTGACGTCTACCCTATGTCTTCATGCAGCAATGTGACCGCACGACTGCCTGTGCTACCCTTTTTCCTCTTCCTCTTCCAGGTCACACTCCCCTAGCAGTTGTGCCGAGCATGACGGTGTGACCTTTGAGAGATGCAGGGACCAGTGCTTATGCTTGGACTGCAGCGTGTAGACGTCCCACGGATGCTCTGTTCTTGGCTAGACACAGGTATGAAATGTCAACATCCCCGGAGAAACGATTGCAGATTCGGCAATAGCCCCTTGTAGACAGCCATCTGCATGCCTAGAGAAAGGGAGAAAACGAAGCGCCTCGCTGGTTTGTGCTCCAATAAGGGTAGTTGGCTTAAGTTTTCAGGCCGTCATGGTTGCTGTGTGAGAGCAGTCAGCCATGCTCTATGAATTAATTATTACCTATCAAATAATTGGAGAGATTAGGAAAATACTGCACCAAGTTGAAGTGGGAATCAAACACGAGATACTTGGATTATTGATTGCAGGAAACGAACTTGACCAGGGACAATCTACAAGTCTAAAAAGTCTATAGAAACAAGCATGGCTAAGTCTAAGTTTCACTTCTGGGAAGGCTATATATAGTGAAGCAAAGTTACTAGGGGTACTAACTTTGCAACTCATTCAACAAGAGAGTTCACTGTGATCCAGAACCGGACCCCGATACTGTATCCATGAGACAAATTGAGGTTTAGCTAACCTCCCTCTGCAGCATGAAGCTCAGCTTCTCTTGCACCCTGAATGACATCCTGGTTGAATTCTTCGTTGTGAGGCAGCTCAACTGTATACTTGTCAATAACAGCCGCTTGGAGGCTGACATCCCCAGTGAACCCGGTCACATGCCCCCCTCTAGTTTCATCCTTTGACAAAAAATGCAAGTGAAAGCCCGCGACACTGAAGCCCCCACTGAAAGCTGGAGACCAAAACCCAACTAGTGTGCCCTCAATATTCTCAAGGCTCACTATTTCCTGTCGTTTGGCCAGCTCCGAAAGGGGCTCTCGGGGCCTACATTGTCCTGCTATCACCCGGAAAGTGAGCTGACTGAAGACACCATCGAGGCGAATTGATAGGAAGCAGTTCTGCTGAGAGGGCAGCAAGGGGTTCAATGCCTCGGGTAGCGAAGTCAAGCTAAGTGAAGACAAGGCCTTTTGGAAGGTTGGCTGGAACCGAGTGATCATGACAAAAGGAAGAGCGTCGGACACTTCGACTCTTCGAAGCTGCTCGCCCGGAGGAAAGTGGTAGGCTTTGCCGTCGACTATCACCACCTCTCCATTCAAGCCAGGTACAGTGCCGAGGCCATGATCGCCTTGTGCAAGGGCATCTTTCAGTGCAGTACCTGTTTGACAGATGCCGTCCAACAGAGCACTGAGAATGGAATACTGATAGATATTGTTTGTAGCCATTGCGTCTGAAGCTAGGAGATGAAGTTGGTGTAAATCGTGACGCACAGGACTTTGAGTGTATATCCGGAAAATTAATGCGAAGGTGAACTCTCGGGCTAGGCCCACACTTTATCCCTAGGGTCTTTGCAGATCTTTCTCGATCATCACAATAGAATATCACAAGAGCTGATTGCTCCAAGATAGGCATGTTCCAATTGATTGCCACGATTCGCCTCTCCGATGGAGGGTGGGTGACACAGTGGCGGCTCCTACATCTCGGACGGGAGGCACTTTCTAACGCCATTGGTAGAATAGGGCTGGAAAAAAAGCCCGAGAATTGTCGATCAGCTCACCATGCATCCCGATGACTTGATCACTTACCACTATAGTCGCCTTACTTACCCGATGGTGTACACATAGAGCACCCGATCTATATTTCCATACCTCTATGATCGAATCATGAGAAAACGGTCACCTCTATGGCTCATCTGAAATTCCCTAAACTCGATGAATGCTAACATCATTGGCCATTGAGAAATGGGTGGTTACACAAATCAAGGGCTTGTATTGGAGCATTTGGAATGGATGGAGATACCAGAAACAAGCACATAAATAGGCCTACGTTGAGACTTGCAGAACCGTTCAGTGCATTGATTCCATTCATTCTTCTCCACCATTCCGCCATATCAACTTCAAACCCCACATGAGAGACTATCGTTCCAAAGCTCCGACGGGAGGCGAATTGCTCTGTGAGCTTCTCGCGAGTCACAAGGTGGACCATGTGTGTGAGGGAACCTCCCTAAAAGTCACCATGGTACTGTTCTAATCAAATATTAGTTGGATATCCTGGTGGTGCAGCTCTTCCTCTTTTTGATGGAATCTACAAGACCAATCTGTTTCAATTCATCTTGTCTCACCATGAACAAGGCGCCGGCCACATGGCAGAAGGCTACGCCAACGCCAGCATGAAACCAGGCGTTGTCATAGTGACCTCCGGCCCTGGAAGCTCCAATCTCGTCACGCCGATGCTCAATGCCCTTTTGGACGGTACACCCATGGTGGCAATCTGCGGCCAGGTAGCTACCGCGGTCCAGGGAACTGGAGCATTCCAAGAAATCGAGATCATGTCACTTGCTCAGACATGTACAAAGTGGTGCGCTTCTGCGAATAAGGTCCATGATTTGCCGGAAATCATGCACGAGGCGTTTCGTCAGGCCACCTCTAGTCGGCCCGGACCCGTCCTTGTTTCCATACCGAAGGATATAGGCAACGCGGTTCTTGAAACAGTTTCACTTGGGTGCCCTCTGACACCACCAGAGGAAGATGCGCCGAAAGAATTCGTGCCCAGGGAATTTATGCCTCGGGCTACGCTTCCTGATATCACTTGTGATATCCAAAGCATCCAGTCTCAGGTTAGCCAGGTCGCAGCGCTTGTTAACAATGCCCAGCGTCCGGTCATATGTGCTGGTCATGGAGTCTCCGCTTGTGAAGACGGACCCGCATTGCTGTCTCAAATTGCAGAGCGATACAGAATTCCTGTCACAACCACCTTGTTGGGACTGGGATCCTTTGACGAAGAGCATGAGCTGGCCTTACATATGATAGGTACTTATGGTGCGCCTTATGCCAACTACGCCCTTCAGAGTGCCGACCTCGTACTTGTCTTTGGAGCCCGTCTGGACGAGAGAGCTGTCGGCAGTCCAGCTGGGTATGCACCCAAAGCTAGAGAAGCCGCTTGCACTGGAAAAGGAGGGATCATTCAATTTGATTTCCACCCAGAGAGTGTGGCCAAGGTTGTCAAACCAACACAGCTCATAGTGGGCGATTTGGCCGTGACCTTACCCCTTCTGCTCTCTCGGCTAGAAGAAAGAGACAACCATTCATGGCTGGATCAGGTGAAGACTTGGAAAAAGCGATTCGCATTCCGAACTCCTCTAACAGACCTGACCAGCCTGTGTTCTCCACAGCAGGTCATTGCAGAGGTCGACCACCAGACAGCACCATTCAAGCACTGCACTACTCTGACCACAGGTGTGGGACAGCATCAAATGTGGGCAGCGCAGCGCTACAACTTCAGATCTCCCCGGTCCTTCATTACATCTGGAGCTCTAGGAACCATGGGGTTCGGAGTCCCTGCCGCCATTGGAGCTCAGGTGGCTCAGCCAAATCACATAGTGATTGATATCGACGGTGATGCCTCATTCTGCATGACTATGGAAGAGCTTCTCACCGCGTCGCAGTACAACATTCCTATCAAAGTTATTGTGTTGAACAATGAAACTCAAGGAATGATTGCCCAGCTCCAGCGGTCTGATTACGATGGTCGGATTTGCTACAACCGCCAGGCCAATCCCAATTTTGTGCAGCTTGCCGAGAGCATGGGATGTGGGAGTCGGCAATGTGGTAGCTCTGGGGAGCTTTCAGATTGTATCCGGTGGCTACTAGAGTGTCGGGGACCGGCATTGTTAGAGGTCTTGGTGCAAGAGGTGGAAATGCTCCCAATTGTGCCGAATGGAAAGGCACTGGATCTAATCAAACTGGAATCTGACTCTGTTGAAACTTTGCTGGCTTGAAATATAGAATTTCTTTTATTTAGAATGTCATCTTAATCTAGAATGCATGCTTTTTCTTCCCCGATCTCTTTTCTCAAACCTGCATATGAATCAAGCCACCTGCAATTTGGTAAAATGTACCGAGTTTATCTGGTGGTAGCTGAAAAGGGAGAAAGGGCCATTTCAAGCCTGAAGGGTTGAGCAGCAAACCTCAAACCCAATTGGACAATTCTTGTCACCTCGTTTCTTCAACTCTGCTTGATCACACATGTGTAGATCCTGTGGAAAAAGCCTGTAGGTCGGGAAAACCGAGGAGTTGAGTAATTAGATACATCTCTGCCGAGAAGACACAAGACTTGTCAATAAATGACCTTGTGACTACAATAAAGCGAGATCGGAAGGTCGCAAGGCTGTCGCATATGCGTCTGAGTACGGCTATGATGGTATCCTTCAAGTACATTTCGAACGACCTATTTTCAAATAGACAAGGCAGATGCTTTGTTTCGTGCAGTCGAGAACGCGAACGACAACCATGTGAAAGTCGTGCATGACCTGCTCGAACACCGACCAAAACTGATAGAGTGGGAGCCTGGAGATATAGCAAAGTCTTTGATCAGAACTCACGAGACTCATCAGCTTGCTTCTGCTCAAGTACTTTGGACTTCAGCGCCAATATCTTGAAATGTTGGAAACGTCGCACAGCGCGGTGCAAGGCTCAGCAGACGCGTCTCTGGAACATTGAAGTTGTGCTAAAACCACATAGAGCAAATGTCAAGGGAACACAGATTCCATTTAAAGTGCGAGCCATGCTAAAAAGCAAGTTTTTTCCAAGAGGATAAGGACTGTAGCGTGCTCTGATATTGGGGTTGACTTCTGTGCCACTTAGAATTGCTGTACGGCATAGTAATTAGTGAATGGGCTCTTAAAACTCATAGCTTACAAGTTACATGCTAGGCTTTACGAAGATCAAATAGCGGCAAGGAGCATGAGATGAAAAGGGAAAGATTATCCTGTTGATATGTACATAACCGGATGTACACCAGAAACCGAATGTCAAAAGACTGTACCGTGGCCAAGGTCTGTTCCAACCATGATCTCGGTTTGTCTGATCTCCAATCCCAGGTAATAAGTTATTCTGTCCAAGCTCAGCTGTGGCGAGGGTAGGTAACAGAAGAATAAAAGGTATTGGAAAGGAAAGGAATGAATGAGAGAAAAATAAAGTCATTGCAGACCGATCGAGGTCTTTCGTCACGAAACATAAGTGCTAGCAATGTAGCCAGGGATAATAATGATGGAAAAGGAGTGGAAAAGGTTCAACCTTCATCGAGGCTCGATCACAAGAGTCGAGATAGCAAATAAAAGACAAGACCAATCCAGAAGGAAACATAAAAAGAAAAAAAAGGTCATACGTCGCTGTCACATGATGTTCGGTATTACATGAAAGGGGTCTTACGCTTTTCAGCGCTGGACAGCACCAACATCGGCGTCTTGCGCCTTTCTGGTGCCTGAGCCACCGGCCCCTGGCCAGCAACAACAGCCGCCACCGAGGGCGAGGAGGTGCCACTGGCACTAGGCGAGGGAGCATATTCCCCACGAACATCCACGAACTTCGACCCAAAATAGCCACCATCCTCGCTGGTTGGGGTAACGCTGTGGAAGGGACTGTCTGGGGAGCCACGCTCCCGACCAGACTTCTCCTTTCTCTCAGATCCAATAGCACCATTGGCCACTGCACGCAGGCTACCTAGACTGGGCTTGCTGGAGAGACTGCCGCTGCGCACGGTGGCATCATCGCCATCAGAGAAAGTGAACTCCTTCTCACTTGCCGGAGTGTTGGTACCACCGCTGCTATGGTATCCAAGACTCCGTGTGTCACCTCGACGCTCAATACCCGCACGAACGAGGTTGTGAACAGCACGGCGGCGTTGGCGAGTCGCGAAGTTCTTGCTTCCCTCGTGCTGGGAAGTGGGCTTTGCGACAAGATCCTCGAGCGAAGGAGGCCCACGGGGCTGACGGCTGGGGTGCTCACCAGCACGAGCTTGACCGGGTCCAAAGGTTCCAGTGGCAGGTGTCGGCGGCAGTGCAGCAGACCGAGGACCATGCCCCACGTTGGCCTTATTGGTATCGATATTAGTCTTGATGGCCGGGTTGAACGAAGGGGTTTTCCGGTGGCCGCGGCGAAGAGCGCTCATAGATGCCTCGTGCGGCGGGGAGGGGCTGCCAGTGGGAGGTGACATGGGTTGCGGGAATTGCATCACCGAATGCGCAGATTCTGCGGGAGGAGAGATCTCTGCACGGAATTGCGGCACTTGCTGACCAACATGGGAACGGGTATCTTGATAGGGCTGAGGCGAACCATCTTCCTGAGAGTTATCCATGAGGTAGCTTTGCTGGCCAGTCAGAGGGTTGTAAACGCAGAACATTCCAGGCTGACCAGGAACCGGCTGCACAATCGGCTGAACGCCTTGCTGGAGCTGCTGCTGATAGAAGCCCATGCCGGGAAGGGAGGCATTCTGCTGTTGCTGAGGAAGAGACATGCCCAAATTCAGACCTTGGAATTGCTGAGCCGCAGCAGTGACACTGATCAATTGCTGCTGCAGGCGCTGTTGCTGAGCAGCAAGGAACAAATTGGTTGACATGATTTCGGCGTACATGTTCTCATCGATGGGGATGTCACCACCAATATCAAGCATTGGGGGTGCAAGCACCTGCTCTGGCAGAGTGTACACCATGCGATTCTGCTGTGCTTGGTGCGCCTGCTGTGCTTGGTGCGCCTGGTGAGATTGATGAGACTGGTGCTGCTGATGAGACTGGTGCTGCTGATGAGACTGGTGCTGCTGATGAGACTGATGAGATTGATGCGAGTTCATGCCCTGGTTAGCGTACATCTGCTGCGGAAATCCGGTTCCCGTCGCAGTTTGTGGAACTCGATCAGCTCCTCGGCTAGGGAAACCAGGGAATCTTCCACCCTCCATTGCATTCCGTTGTTGCTGGGAGGGAATTGTGGCAGATTTGGGAGCAGTGCGTAACCCAGCCAAGAGATGAGAACGACTAGTGCGTGGAGTAGAAATTGAGGCAGAGGCCTGGGACTCATCGATCGTAGCAATTTGGGGTGGCACGCTCAAACGCTTGATATGAGAACCTTTGCGGCGCGAAGCAAACCCAGAGCCTGGAACCCCGAGGGAACCGCCATTATCGAAGGAAGAGTTGAAAGTCATCTGAGCAAGACCGCCAGCGTCCATACTCATATTTGTTGATGAGGGGAGAATTGTTGGTATGTGCAAAATAATGCAGGTGGAGCAAGTCGCGTTTTTTTTTTCACGTCCGGGATTCGAGAGAGTTTGGGGTCAACCACAAATCTGAGCTCACTTCCCGATGATTAAGAAATTATGTTGTCTATGCAAGGAGGAGCGCTGAAATGAACCTGCAAATCCAGATTCGACGGCCGAGAAGGTAAACGAAGATGCGAAATTCGGGATATCTGCGGAGAAAAGTCGGTTAGCGACATCAAGTAGATGAGGGAAGACACGCGTACCAATGCAAAGAAGCGGGCGACAGGCTGGTAATAAGTATGGCAATGACCAGATCAAGCTGTACAAGAGCTGCACTGAGTTTGAGATTCGCAAAGCTTAAAACAAGCGTCGAAGCAACGAGCAAGTGAAAGTAACGGGGTGACAGGCACCAAAGGAAGGAACAATTATGTGGATATCGCGGGAAGGTCTGTAAAGAAAGTCCGCAAAGGAGAAGTAGAAGAGAAAAGCCAAAGGGAATGCTCTGCAAATCCCAGGTCAATAAGAAAGAGAGGTGATGCGAGGCCGAGGTTCGAAGACCTGGAGGCTGAGACACGAGCTGAGGTATCAAACAGCTCAGTGCTATGCAGATGACGAAACCAGGTTCAGAAACCAGGTGAAAGGACAAAGGTCGGAAAAGTAGTGTGAGATCGGGTTTCGGCCAGACGCGAGTAACCTTTTCAGGGGCGGAACAGATCGGAGACTATTTGCAAGGTTGCTTTTTTTTTGTCTTTTCTTCCAATAAACGAGACGAGCTGCAGGGAAAGAAGGAATGCAGACGGGGGAGAAAAAAGAAAGAAAGAAGCGAAAATTAGGATGGATGAGAAAGAGAAGAGCGAAGTTTGAGGATGTGGGGAATTATCGAACTGGTGCGGCCTCAGGCAGAGTATACACGCTAGTCCCAAAGGAGACTAGATTGGACACTCAGGTACAACTTCTCCCATTATTGTTTGTTTCTTTCTCTATTTCTTTCGTCTGGGAGCTCCTTATGGTGTTTTGTGTTATTGGGCAATTCAGCATGACTTCCGTATCTCTGCCTAAATCCAGCTTGGTGATATGAATAAATGCCCCCTCGGATCTGACTGGCTCGTCCTATCAGCCAATAAGCAGCACACCCAGGCGTGGAGTGATCCCCCATCACATCCCCAGCCAAATCATTGGCTGCTAGCCACTAGCGGCGCGACGTGGCCGCCGTCTACGCCTGACAATGTCCCTGGAGCCGCTCGCCGCTGGTGCCAAGCTGCCGGAGGCAGTCAATTGTCTCACCTCGACTGCTTGCTAGCTAGCTTGTTACTCGTTCATAATTCATTTTGATTATTCATAATCACATTCCGGGGCTGAAGATCAGGTGGAATTGCACAGACCATGGAACTGTTCAGATCGTGTGTCGTTGTGGGAGCTACCGGGGCTAGCGTGATTATGATCTGCATTCACGATGGGCCATGAAGATCTTGGATGTCAACTCCATATTTGCAGACACTTGAGCCACGCCCTTTTGCCACCAATTTACTCCCTAAGTTACATGTGAATTTCTGGCTTTACATTTCAATTGTTCGCTGTACAGACTTCGCTCTGTACAAACCTGAGCAAGCGCTAGTCAACCCGTATACAATAATTTCGTTCCATCTTACCAGTAGCTACTGCTTCAAATGCGCCATCTAATTTTAGGGGACGGTGGAGACAGTAATACTCAAAGTCTCGGTTCTTGAAGCCGTTCAGTCTCGCACAATAGTCAAACTGAGCCGTACTGCGCACTCTCATACACCACATCCCACTCAGTGACGGATTTACAAAATAATTTTCTTCATGGAGAACCCCAAATGGATGAATATATCACAGAGGGAAGTGATTAAAATGTCATTGTGTTCAAGGAAAGCCGTTTCCTCCTTATGTACACACTCAACCCTGTACAGGCCCACGGGAAACACTTAGACAATCCGTGTCCAAATAACTCCCCCCGACAATACGTGTAAATGAAGTGACGAGAAGCCATGAAAATATGAGAAAAAGACAACGGACATGGAGAAACGAAGAAACAACACGTGGGGTATCTGCTGGCTCTTTATATGCCAGAAGGAGAGGAATCAATGAATCGTGAGATGTAAACCAAGGCAAGACCTAGGCATCAACTGGAATACCAGGCCCAGTAAGTGAAGCCGAATCGTTTTGAGACGGTAGTCGACGGTGGCCTAATTCTGGAGTTGTGCCTTTGCCGTTCATTCGGTCAAACTCCAAGGTTTCGGCTAACTCAGCAGCCATAGGATCAAGGTCTTCTTCTCTCAGTCCGGTCGCCAAAGCCACAAGTTTGCGGTGTACATCAAACTTGGTGCTCACACCAGCATCCGCTGTTTGCTGGGCTAAATCTTTGACGGTATTGCGACGAATCCTCTGGGCAGAGCACAGCTCCTGGGCAAGTTGATATCGAGTCAGCAAGTCGTCTTGCTCAAGAGAGGCTGGCGTCGGTTTTGGTGTCTCCGTAATCGAAAGTTGCCGTGCTAGACGTGAATGCTGTATCTGCTCGAGAAGAGACTCGTAGCTAGCGCGCAACATTTCATAACGTCCAAGCTGATCGTCACTGCGCTCGTATTCAGCTTCCTTTGCTGATAATGTAGCAATCTGTTTTTGAATCTTCTGGCGATCAGATTCGAGTTGTTCATGTAATGCTTCGGGGTTGGCAACGTCATTGGAATCTTGTTGGTTGATCTTCGAGTTTCCGTATGTAACAGCAAGCTTTTTATTAGCCTCTGCCATGATTGTTCCTATCTTGGAAAGCAATTCCGAGGTCGCAGGAGCATCGGCCGTGAGTGCAGCCGAGTGATGATCTGCCATAAGACCACCCACTTCACCATCCATGTGATCATTAGCCATTATGGTAGAGGATGGAGCGGGAGGGATGTCATGTTCCGCGTGGGTGGTTCGGTTTGAAATTATACTAGCAGTCTCTCCTTTGTTGTTGACGAGATCACCAGCGCGGTGGCAATGCACGAGAAGTATGTTCACCAGGCGGAAAGCGCCATTGCGAGCAGCGACAAGAACGGCTGTGTCACCATTCTGATCTTGGCATGAGAGTAACAAATCAATTTCATCTTGCGAGCACGTCTTGCATAGCTTATCAAGAAGCACCTCACAGTAATAACGAGAGCTCTTCCATTTTCCCTTGCTTCTGGTATTCTCTGCAATGTGATGGAAAATAGTGGCACCAAACCAGTCCCGGAAAGACACAGTGTCCAGGAGCAGATCGAGAAGTGCCTGGAACGTTCGCTTTTCATAGTTATTGGTGAACAGAACAGCTCGAACGAGCGGCGTTTCTTCATGCTCCGAAAGTGCCTTGACGTTGGCCCCTCTGCGCAGAAGATCTTGCACGATCATCAGGTCACCCATCGCGCAGGCCCAGTGCAGGGCCGTATTTCCGGAGTCGTCGATAGCGCGGTCGACTTGGAAATGGGCAGGGGGTTCAGGAGGAGGAATTCGTGTTGCCTCTGGAGCATCGCCAACAGTCATGAAATAGTCCAGAAGTTGATCACCATAAATAATATGTTCCTGTTCGCTGATCGACATCGCGGTTGCTTCATCCACTCCACGCTTCCGCTTCCGACCACCATGCGACATTTGAAGCATGTCTTCGTCTGCAACCATTGACGAGGATTCGATTGTAGCATGTCCAAGTGATTCATTGTCATCGAATCCGGCATTGAGATCATAATGGTCTTGTGGGATGGTTGGAGGGCCCATGCTTCGCTGAGGTTGAACAACAAGAGTCTCTGCCGCCGCCGCTGCCGCCGCTGCGGCAGCAGCAGCAGCAGCACGGCTTGCGGCGGCTGACTTTCGTGGCGCTCTTGGTTTGGATGGAGCAGAGGTATGTTTCGGCGCGGGTGGGGGACTGTGATCTCCAGCAACATAATCGAAGATGGGAGCTAATTTAGTGAGGATGTTGTTGCGCTCAGCTAGTTGGCGACCTTCCGGGAGTGGAATCCATGTTCCTATGGGCGATTAGTGTCAGATAACAATGACTAAGATTCAGATCTCGCGCTTGCAAAGCGTACCCTGATATTTGCCATAACCACCCTGGACTTTCTCGTGCACCCCCTTCTGCACCTCGCGTTCCAGGATGCGAGTTCGTGCTGGTTTGTCAAAGCCCGCTGCTTTGAGTATATGTGTTGCATTGACCCAATTATCACCCCGTCTTCTCATGACACTGTCGCCATCGATCTTGAACTCGAGCACAGGGACCTGGTGATAATTATATTAGTCGCTATACGTGCCATGCGGGATACAATGCGAAATGTAATGGTGACCATGTTTCCTTAGCGATATACTTACACTGCTATAAGTAGCAGAGTAGATTTGGTCCATCCCCGCCATGATTAGCGTCGCCGTTGGCCGCTGCAATCCAGTAGGTTCCTGACGAGCAAAATGCCACGCTGCGCACGTTTGCGTCCGGTATCACTCGTTGAGGATCCACGAAGTAATCAGCTTAGGAATGCTTCGAGGCTCTAATGCATTGCATACAAGAAAAATGCAGACCAAGAACGTAGAGACACGATTTGGTGGAGCTAGGACCTGGACGCGCCTTACGCGTAAAGTGGTGGTTTCTGCGAGCTAAGCCTAATGCAGCGAGTGAAGTCATGTGATTGGATCACGTGGACAATATCGGGACAGCAGGAACATCAAATGAGCGGGAATCGCCAACTTTGACCTGCCTCTCCTTCCCCGCTCCTCGCCTTTACAACCTTCAATACCGATAAAATGACTGTTATCGAGTCGGTCAAGAGCGCTGTGGGCCTCTCGGAGTCCTCCGGTAAGAATTTGAAGCCATTGATCAGCAATCAAAAGCTTTGGCAGGAAGTTAACTTCTCCCAGCAACCCGCCAGGAAATGTCCGAAGCCCGCCTTCCCATGCAATACAGAGACTCGTGTGCACACCTTTTGATCCCTTTGAACCGTTGCCGGCAACAAGAGTACTACCTTCCCTGGAAGTGTGAGGTACGAGATCCCTCGATTGCAAAGTCCCAGCACGCCCCGATTCGATCAGTGCGCTTTGCAGAGCCGGTCAGCTAATGCGATTCATATAGGATGAGCGACACTCCTACGAAAAGTGCCAGTACGAGGAGTTCAAGAAGCGCGTGGCCAAGATGGATGAGCTGCGTGCCGCCAAGGACGGCGCCCGCAGCAACTAAATTGTGCGACTACTGGTATGCGCGGTCGGAGCTGCTTGCAGAGCAGCTAGTCATGTAAATAAGAGATACACCGAAACTGCTTATGGATTGCCTTTTGGCGTTGGGACCTTTTCCATTGATATCGGCCACTTTATCCGCCCATCTGAACAACAATTGGTTTTATGATTTGCCTGCGACCCAATGCTTTCTTTGACATTGAACAACTTAACACACTGGGCGTGCTTCTCGTTTAGAGCTGCACTTGGCAAAGTGGACGTCGCATCAGATATTCCTGCTGGATATCTTGACAGGCCGATGCATTTGAGAGCACATCACATACCTTCCAGCTGTCGCCCCTTGCTGGAACTGCGGATCAATGGCTCCGGCTGTAATTTTTTGGATCACGAAACTATTGTCATATCTGTGCCGTTTCCACTGCTCTCAGTAGGAGGCTATACCCAATATATTGTATGCCGTAGAAGTATCGATATCATATTTATGACTATATGATTTCATTTTGGTACTTACAACCTCTTTATCGACTTTATGTAATTTCTTGCATCAATCTTGAATGGTACTTTGCTTGACCACACCGGTGAAGATTGAGTATTGGATTCATGCAAACAGTGGCTAAGGGCAAGATAAACATAGACCGTTGTATTCTAGACCCTGCGCGACATAATCGGGTGACGAAGGATGGACTTTGCTTTCCAAAATATCTGACACTAGGCATAGGAAAGCAGATAGGCTTTTTCTAACAACGCGCAAACATTTATCATATCCATTTTCTTACAGCTGCAGTGCTCGGACCTATAATGCCGGTGGTTACGATAATCCCTGCACACGCAAGTGCAGGGATCAATCTCACCAGGCTCTGTCCAGCCTTCTACGCCAGTACACCATGCCTAGTGAGACAGTCTGATCCTTGACAGACTCTTACAGAGTTAAATGAAGTCCAGCAATGTATATACTTCGGGATAAACCAATCACCTGACTGCTTAGAAATCAAGGCCGTTATCGCCGAGATGCCCCGCCAGGTGCGGCGGTTGCGGCATCTGAAAATTCCCCCCTCATGCAATTCGTCGTTTCCGAATTGCAAAGAACAAGGCAGAAGTGGACTTGGAGCATGCGCGGGGTTATATACACTTGATCTGCCCCGGGGTTCTTCGTTCGACTTCGGTTTTCTATCACTCTGGGCTTGTCCCGATCTTACCCCATACTTGTGCCCGGACTTCATATCTGAAGTCGTAGCAAGACTTTGGTCTCAACGCAATGGGTCTTTTGTATGTGCTTACTATGACTCAAATGACCAGCTATCATTTGTCTAATATCAACAAACAGAGCACTTGGAACAGCGCTGGAATGGCCTGAGGCCAAGAAAAAGGCGGGCCAGGTGCGCCAGTGGGGCATTGAAGTATGTGACATGCATTTGATGCATTTACACTGCACCTGCAGAGAGCGACGACTGCTGACACGATCAGCAATTACTTGCCAATTGGCGCAGAGCAAAGGGTAAGGAGCGCGATGCTCTTCTTTGGGGTGATGAGGTATGCTATTAAGTCTGGTGTATCCCGGTCGCGTTGCTTATCAGATTTTGGACTTAGGTTGAGTACCTCGTGGTAGCCCTCGATGATGCAGCAAAGAAATCCCGGCTGTCCCTGGCCCAGGCTGACATCTTAAAATCATTGGCGAGAGACGAAGCGCTGTGGAAATCTGGAACTAGCAAGGGCAATAAAAATGGAGAGCAGTGAGTGGGATCTGACATGGACAAAGAGAACCACATCTGACAGCTACTAGTGAGGGCGAGGAGCCTCCGCATTTCCACCCCGAGTTTGGAAGGTTCATGCTGGAAGCTACTCCGGGACAGCCGTGGGGCATTGGGTTCAAGGATCTACTCAAGGTAGAGTCCAATATGAAGTGGAGGTAGGTTCCTTGGACAGTGATATAGCTTGACAACATACTCATGGTTTCAAAGACGGGAAGTTGCGAGTGCCCACATGGCGCCGAACGAAGTCCCCATCACTTTAACAACTTTCCCTCGACTGGGAACAAAGGACGATTACATTCAGCCATATTATCCTCCCTCTGGGCCAGCTCTTCGCTCGCAATTTGTTCCCGATGAGATTGCCAATCCGCACATTCGGTTCCCGACTCTTGCTGCTAACATTCGATCACGCAGAGGCCGCAAGGTCGAATTGAATGTACCTGTTTTCCATGACATAAACACACCAAGGCCATTCAAGGATCCAACGGTCGATTACGATCTCCATAATTGGCCCGAAGATGACGATGTCCGTAATGGTGCCGCCAAGGATGATCATGTTTACATGGATGCAATGGCATTTGGAATGGGAAGCTGTTGTCTGCAAATCACCTTCCAAGCAAAGAACATGACTGAAGGAAGACGCCTTTATGATCAGTTAAGTCCTCTTGGTCCTATTTTACTGGCTCTTACTGCCGCCACGCCTATCTACAAGGGTTTCCTCGTGGACACGGATGTGCGATGGAACCAAATTGGCAATGCAGTCGATGACAGGACTCCCGAGGAACTTGGCGAAGCCGTAGGTCTATCAGAAATAAGGAGCTCGAGCCCCGAAACTAACGTCTTGCAGCCTCTCAAAAATGACCGCTGGAGAATCCCCAAGTCTCGATATGCCTCTAACTCTACCTACATCTCCCAAGATCCTCGATTGCGGAAGGAGTATTTCGATCCTGATCTAGTTGTCGATGAAGATATCAAGAAGCGCCTCATGGACGGGGGAATGGATGATCTTCTTGCCACTCATTTTGCACACCTCTTTATCCGCGACCCATTGGTCATTTTCTCCGAAGATCTTGAAGAGCTTGATCTCAACAAGGGCGACCACTTCGAGAACTTACAGTCTACCAACTGGCAACACATGCGATTCAAGCCACCACCACCCGACAAGGACGATATCGGCTGGAGAGTTGAGTTCCGCTCCATGGAGATTCAGATTACCGATTTTGAGAATGCGGCGTTCAGCATTTTCATCGTCCTTATTACTCGTGCCATCTTGAGTTTCGATCTCAACTTTTACATCCCGATTCAGCGTACAACTGAGAACATGGAAACAGCACACGCTCGCAACGCTATCCATGACCGGAAGTTCTGGTTCCGCAAGGATCCCTTCTCTCGCAGAATTCCTCGGAGCGCACAGCAGTCGATGAACGGCAGCACCTTCTCATCCACGACATCCTCGGCTGTCAACACTCCTCCTCCCTCTCCTCCTCTTGGTCCCGTTGACTCCGAGTTCGAGCTCATGACCATCTCCGACATTGTTAATGGCTGTGCAGACGGCACATTTCCAGGTCTGATTCCACTCGTGGAATCCTACCTTAACAGCGTCAATGTTGACGTCGAGACCAGATGTTTCCTAGCCAGCTATCTTGACCTTATTCGCAAGCGTGCCGATGGAACTCTCTGGACCGGGGCTCGATGGATCCGTGAATTCGTTGCCAAGCACCCTTCATACAAGCAAGACAGCGTTGTCTCCGAGGAGATTACCTACGATCTTGTGAAGGCTGTTGAAGAGATGACTATCAAAGAAGGCAAAAATGGATCAGTTGGATGGGAGCTGCTCCGAGGCAAAAAGAACTAAATAGAGGCATCCACTCACAAATAGATATCCGGAGTGGAAGCATATACAGCCGGAGCATAATCTACTTTCACATATTCATGACATTCGAGTCAGCTCTCATAGCGTCTGATCAATCAATATTTCTCATCGTAGTTCACAATTTTCTACCCTTCTAATCCAATAACTTTTCCTCTTCGGTTGGCTGCCGACAGGAATCCGCGAGTCCAGTGACCTTCCATATCCCGTTGAGCTTATGCAACACGAAAAGTTCGACACCAACGTGATCCACGATCCCATTTATCTTCGACCTGAAAGGTGCCCAAACGGCGGCGAGGTTGCCGGATTCCTGCACTTTGATCTCGGGATCCCAAATGCGCTCGTTGATATCATCCTTGAGCGTAGCAACATGCTCAACAAACGAACCGATCGTGCAGAAACGCAGGGAAGTCGGAGATGGAGGTGAAAGGGACATCCCTCCAGCCCGAACGCAGTGTTTCTCGAAGTCGACCCGTGATTTTGTGCTTAGTGCGGCGAGGAAGCCCTGAGTGACAGCGATGATGGCATCTGCCTCCTCCGAGGGTTGTTGTTGGAGTCCTTCCCTAGAATGAGAGTGGTTTGACAATGACCAGCACATATCTAGAAAGATTCCAAGGTGGAAAGCATCCGGCCTTCGCTTCCCAGGCTTGTTTGTTTTTCTGCATATCGCACTTTCATTATTCTCCTCGCGGCAACAGACAGCGAACAACTATATGTACATGTGCAAGTACCTGTACAGGAAATGTACTTTAACCCACTATTGTCACCGTTGCAGTCTCGATCGGCTTGTTGTTTCGCTCGGTTCCACCTGTATGACCTTGTTCCATATCTGGAATCCTGCGATCTCCGCCACCGTCATATCAGAGGGATAGGTGCCTCGTGTGTCACACATTGCCTTGTCTGATGGTTTATAGGCTTAGCATCTCGATGCGGTGATCCCTCTGAGATTGACTCCTTCCATTATTGGTCTATTGATTACCTTGAATGTGTATCATATGTGACTATCAAATATGAATGTCATTGCTATCCATGTCTAATCTTGGAAGCGCAGCATGCTGGTATGTCGTCATGAGTTATAATGTTAAATTCAGAAACCCTCGAGCTGAGACTGGTATGTCTCACATCCCAGTATCATTAAAGTCCTTATGCTCACGTTGTGCCGTGTCAACTCCCGTGAACTGGTGCCGGAGACAACAAACTCGGGTAATCTTCGGTCTATCCGAACAACCTATATCCAAAACGGCCATTCACCCGTGAAGATTATCAAGAAAACGGGGCCCCATACCCCGCACAGCAGGTCTTGAAGGGGAAATGGTGGAGCGACAAGCCCAAGCCAAGCCCAAGCCATTCGGCTCCCCGCTCCGGAGTCAGGGCTTCACCGGCTATGCCGCATTATTGCTCCCATTCACTGACGTCTTGACCGGCGCATATTTGAACCGGTCTTGCATCTCACTAGAAAGCGCAGATCGTGGACGTTTTGGGCCTGTCCCGTTATGGGGCCTTCCCCGCAACCCCAGACTGACAGGGTTGGAATATAAATGGGCGAAGAGACATTGTCAATTGTCAAAATAGCCTGGATTCCTCATCATGTTTGGCCTTGCGATTGGCTTTGTCCTGTACACGGCAGTTCTGGCTGCCCCGGCATCAAACTCATCTCCTACGGTGAGGGTACGCAATGGAACATATACGGGTGTGCATAGCTCTACCTACAATCAGGACTTTTTCCTGGGTATGCCCTATGCCCAGCAGCCTGTGGGTAGCTTGCGCTTTACTATACCACACTCATTAAACACGAGTTGGAAGGATGCACGTAATGCGAAGGAGTATTCGGATATATGTGTTGGATACGGAGTGGGTATACTCCTTTGTCTTTTGAATATGTGCATCTCTTTAATGCTTGGCTTAGACCGATTCTATCTGGTATCCCCAGTCAGAAGCATGTCTGACACTGAATGTCATCAGAGGTTCATCTGTCAACAAGAATTCAAAGCTTCCTGTTGGAGTATGGATTCATGGTGGTGGGTTTTATCAAGGATCTGGATCAGATGAGCGATACAATATGTCTGCGATTGTAGAAAACTCATACAGTATCGGTAAGTCAGTCCATTCATCTACGTGGATCCCTTATCTGACTGAGATCAAGGCAAACCCTTTATCGCTGTCACACTAAACTACAGATTATCAGCATGGGGCTTCATCAGTTCAAGTCAAGTATCCGGCAGTGGAAACACCAACCTTGGATTAAGAGATCAAAGGCTAGCACTGCAATGGGTCCAAGAAAATATCGGCGCTTTTGGAGGTGACCCCGAGAAAGTCACTATCTGGGGCGAGTCTGCTGGTGGCATGTCTGTCGGATATCATCTCACAGCTTACGGTGGACGTGATGACAAGCTGTTCCGAGCTGGTATCATGCAATCAGGAGGATCCATAGCCGCCAGCGCATCGAACTATACGACTTTTCAATCGAAATACGATACAATCGCCTCCGAGGTTGGTTGCTCAGACGTTGTGGACTCGTTGCAGTGTCTACGAGAAGTTCCCTTTGAGACCCTCAACTCTGTCTTTAATGGTACAGATGGTGATTCCGACTATAATTTCTCGCCGGTGGTAGACGGGGATTTCATTCGAAACTGGGGTAGTATCCAACTGAACAAGCATGCATTTGTCAAAGTCCCCATCATCTCTGGTACCAATACCGACGAAGGAACAGCATTTGGCCCTAGAGGAATCAATACCACGGAAGAATGGTACGACTACTTGACAGGTATGAATCCGGAGTCCTCGTAATGTTGTATTAACTACTGACTCATCTAGACGGCGGATTCAACTTCCAAACACCACCATCTGTAGCCAAGCGCATCCTCGAACTCTATCCAGATGACCCATCCCAAGGCATCCCAGCCTATCTAGAAGACATGCGCGTTCCCTCAAACGGATATGAATGGCGACGCACCTCTGCATTTGCAGGCGACTGGATGATGCACGCCAACCGCCGGCGCCAATGCGAAGCCTGGGCCGAGACATCAACACCGGCATATTGTTACCGATTCAATGTACGATCCGCAGATGTGCCACTCCTCTCGGGCTCGACCCATTTCGAGGAGGTGTCATTTGTGTTCCACAACCTCGCCGGGCTGGGATATCACTACGGCAAGCCATTTGCCGGAGTGCCTCAGTCTTATATTGATCTCAGTTCCATGATGACGAGCATGTGGGCATCTTTCATTCATGACTTGAATCCCAATCCTGTTGCTGTCAATAAGTCTGTCCATTGGGATGCTTATGCTACGAGCAAGCCGGTTGATATTCTCTTTGATGCTAACATTACTAGCCACATGGAGGCTGATACATGGCGCCAAGAAGGGATTGATTACATCAACTCTGTTGCGCCGGCCTTTTGGCGGTAGATACATCCAGCGTTGGCTATACATTCAAGAGCAATACTGGCATCAGGCCACGGGGTAGTACAATATCGATGGATATTCGGCAATGTTCGGGTCCGGTGCCGAGGGTACCACCGATTCATGATCCAATCTATCCGGTACCGTGGTTTATCACCTTCCACGCTTTCGATCCCTCGGACCCGACGGTTCCGAGATCTAGGCTTAGTCACACAATTAATATCGAGACATGTCCGCGGGTGTATAACTTATTGTTAATCTATGTCTCAGCCCCTTAACGCATATACAACGTGTCTCAATTTAAGTCAAAGTCAAAATTTGTAGCCGATCTCAATATGGGCGCAACCGTTCGTCGCTCCGTCAATGACGATAGCGATCGAGAATCGAGAAATAGCACCGGGGATCGGCTCGTAAACTACTTTCTGTCCCAAAGTTCCCCGTCAGATCTTCAACATATCGAGCTCAACGTGTATCATGAACCCTGGGTGGCACCACCTCCAAGATTCAATAATGCCTCCACTCCTTCCCGAAGGCACCTTTTTCATCGGGACCCACGAACTATATGAGCCTCAAGCCCCTCTGAATCGCAAATCGAAGGAACTGCGGTGAGACACGCCCCGTGTGGACCACCCGGGTGAAAACTCCATCCACTGATGCGCGCATCATATCATCCAGTTGGAATCGAGTTCCTACCGTACGCGCTTATCGCGCGGGTCAATCGGCAATGAATTGGTAAAATAAGGCAATGTTGGGCGAACTACTCCGTACTGGGCCGCACTCCCACCATACCAGGTGTGTGAGTATGTACATGCAGTAGCGTCCTCGGGGACCATCTACATAAGGAAAACAAATCACAAATCACACACAAAGGAAAAAGGAAAAACAATAGGGGAATGTCCGTGGTCCAAATGGGGATCAGTGACGTGGTCGAGTCCACCTCGGCAGACACAAAACTCACATACCAGACAACTCATGTGGCCATGCGACTTCATTAGTGTAACGTGAGTTACACATAGATGTACATTTGCAAGCTCACCGCCACCAATCTCAGCAATCGCGCTTGGCTTGGAGCCAATCTGAGATCGCAGGCGGGGAGGGCTGCATGTAGTAAGGATCACCTGGGCAGCACCATCACGATCGCGCTGGAAATTCTACGATCTGGAAAGTTTCATGCAGGACTGGTAATTTTTCCTATAGCATAGTTTGATTTGGGAATCCAACATGGCTCGATGGGGATGTGTACATATGCAACCAGGCTGCAAGCCATCCACGGGCGATCTCGCTCCATCTCGCTCTCGGTCCGGGGATTCGGGCATGTGCAGGTGAATCGATCTTCAAGGTTGCGGGCACGGAATTATTGAAAGCCTCATGCGGGTTACTTTGGGTGGACCTGATCTCCGGCCATCATGAGATGTGGTACTCCGTTGGGTACCGTATGCATGGCTGTACAAGGGAAGTATTGACAACTGCATTACTATACATACACGGTGTCCCTGAATTTGATCCGTGGAAAAAGCAAAAAAAAAAGAAAGAAAGCCAAAGACGAACTAACACGAAAATGGTAATCAATAGTAGTCCCAGCAGGCCGGACGGTCGATTCATCTCCGCTCAACGTCACAAACTAATGCGATTGGCCCCACCGAAGGCAGCCAGATAAACTTTGCAGGAAATAAACCATCCTCTCAGGGGGCAGTGGACGTGGAGTACCCTACATAGAGGCCCAATAATCATTCGGGTATGACCGGGGCCTGACTACAGCAGAGGTAAAATAAGCAGGATTTGTCGGGATTTGACTCCACGCTCCAATCAGAGTCGCTACGGGTAGGCGATCTGTGGTTCGATTAGGTTCCCGCATAGGTTCTTTCGTACTGGGACGGGTGAAGAAGACGATCGTGATCTCATTAACAGGTAGGTAGGACAGACAGGGTGTTGGACTTGGGAGTTTCGGATAGATCCGCTGCAGTTGGGTCGGCAATGTCTGCAATGCCACTTGGAAGAGAATTCACATGTACTGTATGCAGATATCGAGATGTGTGATACTACTGTAGTACTACTGCGGTACTACTGTACGTACGTTGTGTCAGGTGCAGATATCCACGGCCAAGTTCGATAGTCTACCCTTAGTGCATCCTTAGACCGCCATCTACCCCAAGCAAACGCATCGAAGGTAGTAGAACACTCAAAGAACATAAAACCT